CTTAATACGGATGCAGAAGCAGGTGTAAACGTGGTCAGACCGCCGCCCGCGCATAACCGTTACACCAAAAGGTGAAATACTGAAAGCTTAGCTTTCAGCATCAGCGACGGTGTATATAGAACTCAGATAAGCCAGCGTGCTTACACAGGGGCGATCTTGCTAATCTCGGGTTACCACCAACGCACAGTGATGACGGCTCGTCTGATGTGGACAGTGTATGGTAGTACTAGAGATATCGGCCTACGTATTTCTGGTCAGCGATTTAGCTACAAAGAAGATACAGAATGCCATCCAAGCCAATAGATAATACATAAATGTATCAGGGAGCAGTATATGTGTACAACAAAAATAATCTGTGTGTTTGATTGATGTAACAAATTGCGACGACCATAAGTCCAGAGTGGAAAGGTCTTGGATCAAGCATCCAGTTCAGGGAACACTATGATATATGTATGCGTGCTTCATGGAAGTAACGCCAGTAACCAGGAAGTAGATGTGCAACAGAAAACCAAAGCTTCGGAAAGTACTTGGTCAAGCCGAAGTTACACAGATGAGAGTATGACTCACACTATATAGTTGACACGACAGACGGTCCGCCTGAGTTGTCTTACATACCATGAATCGTAATCCGATAAGACCCGAATATAATACGAATGCGACGCTACAGTATGCGTCCATCCTCCAGACCTGAGTAAGACAAATCGACCACATCGGAAGTCCTATAAACATGGACACACGAGCTGGAGAAGGATGTGCGATCGGCAGCGTTCGTCTACCTATGGAGCGATCTCCTTCTTGGTCTTTGAAATCCTGTGCTTGGAGCGTGGTGGCGAACATAGCGATGCTAAGCAGCACAGCTAAGAGAGCATTCGGCTCTAGCCGCGACATATCTCGGCCTGGTTGCGATAGTTAGGTATTTTCTTATTTGATATCAGCTACATACCTGCAATGAGGGTGGCCCCAGCCTGGAAGCAAGCATATCCTAAGCCGGTCATTAAGTTTTTTGAAAACCAATGACTATGGGCTTTGAATTCATTGTACCAAAGAGTGAGCAGAGTTATCGCTAGGCTTGCGCTTAGCACTTGGATGCTGTAGAATGCTGATGATACCAAGCATATGGGGACCAAGGACCAGCGTAGATAGACCGCATCTCGTAAACTAATGTATCCCGCTGGTATTGGTCGACTAGCTTTGTTCCTGCCATCTTCTGCTGGATCAATCACTTGATTGGCAACATTGAAATGAAGGAGATGAAGCCAAATCCACCAGACCACATGAACACATCGGTAAGGGCTGTAGAGGGGGGCTGACACCAGTGCGAAAAGTGTCTGCGTCTATCATCTCAGAACAGAAAGTTACTGGGAAACGCTATTGTTTACCGTTGGAATGATCGTCGTCAGAATATCATTGTGCGTGAAGAGATAGAGTGTAAATAGGGATTTTGAGATGGGTCGTCCAAAATCAAGGGCGCTCATGAGTGTGGAGATTGTAGCACATATCCCGTATCCTTAATAAATGTTGACCAGAAGAAGCAGAGCCGAAATTAGATGTTTGAGTCTCATCAGAGACACCGTGCGAAAGCACGGAAGGGGTCGAGGAAGAACTCGGTTGGGCATCCTGAATAGGACGGGAAGAACGATCTTGTTGGACAGGGTGGGTGTTCTTGGGGACCCACGAAATAATTTCCAGCTCGGAGAATTGTTCCTACAGGATAGAGAGTCGAGATACGAAGTGGTGCGGATCGGCGGTCCGAGCGGTAAAGAGGAAATAGGACTACGCATACCAGTACAGATGTTCTCCGAGTCTCGTAGCCTCGTAGTGGTTCAGGACCACCTCGATGAAATACGTCAACGATTGCCCAAGGGTATTGCGAACAGGTAGCGCGTTAGATGATGTGCGAGAAGCAGGTTCCACGCTGATTGCCACAGAATTTATGGCACATGGGATGCCGCCAGCCGGATCACATCAGAACATGTGGATGTGGTCCTGGTACAACATACACAAAGTAGTATTGTAGTATACGGTCGCACAGTTGCTCGAATTTGAAATTATGCCAGCTGTCGACGGTCGTCAACTCGACCGTGGATTTCATACACGGCAGCACGCACCAACTCACTTTGCGAGCCGGTGATACGGATCGCTCCGATGGGGTGTCCTAGCGACGGAATAAAAGTAGTTATTAAACAGTCAGCTCGTATAAGGTAAACGCTTTGCAAACATACCCCTTTTTAACCGATATGACCGGAGGACTTAGGTGCCTCCACCGATAATAACATGGAGATGCGGCTCAAGCGCTCTTCAATCGCTGTCAAATCAGACATCATAGCGGTGTGCCTATGTTCCAGCGATTCAAAGATGTTATCGTCGTTTTGCAGATTACTGCTTTCCGTAAATGTAGTAGAGGGGAGGTTTAAGAAACGAGTAGAATAGGATCCAGATATTGTGGGCGTCACGCTTCTTCGGCTGAGTACAGACATTGCAGAACCAGGGCGTGGACTTGGGCTGGGACTTGGTGGTCCATCCGACTCGGTTTCCTCTGCTCCCTCAGATGCCGAAGCAGCCACCACGGCTGGGAAATCATCAGAGTCATAAGTTTTGTCAGTAACAATGGGCCGGAGACAAAAGCGCAGCTCTTTCCGAACGGTGTTTGAAAAATTTCGGCTAGAGGACTGTATCAAGCGCGGCTTGCGGCCACTAGCGAGGACTTTCTTCCTGGCACTCATTCCGATGCATTCCACAAGTTGCTTCATGGCTTCACGATCTGAAACAGCGCGCCGCTGAGCTGTACGCCGAATAGTGCCTGTGCGGGGAAGGGTGTGGAATGCTGATAAACTATGGGGACGAATAGGTGTTGCAAAAGCGGAGAAATGCGTGGCAGTGCTGGAAGCTTTGAGCAATGGACGAGGGCTATGGTTCCCGGAAGTGGCCTGTAAAGGCTGAGGAGTAGCCAATCTGCCTGTCTCGTATTTTAGAGATGAATTGGTTGGTAGAAGGTATACGTCCTCAGTAGGACCCCACGAAAATCCGATGAAGGCCGACTCGGCTCGTGGAGATATGTGATGAGACGTGTCATGCAAAATCGATATTCCAAGCGAAGTGTTTGGGGAAGAATGAAATAAAGCAGAAAACGCAAACGGCTGTGAATTGCCTTCATCCGTGGGTTCAGGGGGTTCAGGTACTGCTGATGCAGAATATGTGAATTGCGGCACGTGGATGTCAGACGGTGCAAGGCCTACGCAAGAAAGAATGGATATAAGAAGAACTATATTGATACCCAAGACTCACGCGAATCTACACAAGACCAGTCGGTGTTTCCGAAAAACTGGTGCTCTGTTATTTCCAGCACGCTACATCTCCCGAGACGATGGTGCCGATCAGTGAGAAATCTGTATCCACGTGGTTTGAATAATAGTAGCATGAATAGTGTCACAACAGACCTGTGAAGTAACTCCTGTAGTTGTTTAGAAACGGGAATCGCCGCATTGAAGCGCAAGCTTGTCTGTCCAAATGAAGGGTCAACGTAGGTACTAGCGAGCTTAGTAATACTGCAGTACCTGATAGTCCAAAATCCTCAGATAAGTAGTTCGGATGTCTTTAGCGAAGAAAGGGGCCACTCCATAAGCCAATTCATACAACATTGCACCGAGGCTCCACCAATCGACTTCTGAGCCATACGAACCAACTTCTTCGGAGAATGAAGGAGAAACATTGTCGTCCGACAACTCCAGCGCAAGGAGGGCATCTTCATGTGCTTGCAGAACTTCAGGAGAAATGTAATCACAAGTACCACAAGGAACAAGGGTATATTGTTTCGGGACTGACTGACTCCCGTCAGGCTCTGGAGGTGAAAGTGGCGCAGCAGACCCGAAATCTATTAGAAGCATGTGATTGCTTGCTGTGAGAACGAAGTTCTGTGGTTTGATATCACTGCATTGCGTTTATATGAGTACGCAACGCTAGAGGGTGGTCCTCACCGATGTACAAAACCCTGGGAATGACACCAGTTGATGGCGCAGACTGCCTGAGGAGCCCACCAAAGTAAGTCTGCCTCAGGAACTCTACCTTCAGGGCTCGACTCAAGCACGTCCCATAATGTACCTCCTTCGGCATAATCCATGACAATATTGAGATGAGTGGAGGTTTGGAATGCACAAAATAAGTGCGGAGCCCACGCAGAGCGCTCACGTTTTGCACGTAGAAGAATTTCCTTTTCCAACTGTGGAGAACATTGCTGCAGAATTTCTCAGCATGAAAAGTCGCTGATAACAAAAAAAGTGCTACTTCACGAGTCCGCTGGGCAAAATGTTTCTCAATAGATTTGCGAACATACACGCAACCATTTAGATGGCACGTCACCACGTCAATCTGAACAGACAAATCAGTGTATACGTAACATATATTCTTTACGCACTCACCGTCCCGAATTGGCCTTGGTCCAGTGTGCCCAGGGCGACAAGATCTCCATCTGAGAAACGGAGAGATTCTATCTCTGCAGTTCTCGCTATTTCAGCGGAGGTTATGAGCAAAAGACCGCCAGAATGCACCTGGCTCTCACCAGTCCTTCCTATGATCCGCTGACCATGCAAAATGCGATCCAAGGCAAGGCCTTCTTCGTCATCATCCGAGCTATTGAGTAATGAACCCAACAATGTTTTCCGTTTTGTCCAGGGTAGAGACATGCATTAGGTCAAGGATGAAAAAGATGACGTTTCTGGCTCCTATAGCTACAGAGTGATGATGATGATTACAGGAAGCTACAGACTAGTCGTTATCTAAGTCTAAAAGTGTGTTGAGTGTGTTGCTAGACAATCAATAACATTGAGCTCGGCTTTTTGCGTGATAAACGTTAACTCGTCCACACAACACCAACAACGTCCATATTACTGACAACTGGCAACCATAAATATTCACCATGAAGCTTGCAAGGTGAATATTGCGCTTGTTTCTATGATATTAGACTAACCCCAAAAGTTTTCTCTCTTCGAGCATTGCAAGGTTCGGGCGCTGACCCCAGGTTGTTTTCATCAGATTCTTGATGAAACTCAACAATGAGACGGTGACTATCGAGCTCAAGAATGGGTCACTAGTCCATGGGACAATCACCGGTTCGTCTAATCGGCTTGTTTACTCAAGCTTTACAACCCTCAAATCATTTGCAGGTGTCGACATGCAGATGAATACCCACCTCAAAACTGTCAAAATGACAGTCCGTAATCGGGACCCGACATCACTAGACTCCCTATCTATTCGTGGCAACAACGTCCGGTATTTTGTGCTCCCTGATGCACTTCCTTTAGATACCCTCTTAGTGGATGATGCGCCGAGGCCGAAAGGTAGGAAGAAGGACGAGGGGCGCGAAAGGGGAAGGGGACGAGCTCGAGGGATGGACCGTGGGCGTGGTAGGGGAAGAGAACGAGGAAGAGGAAGAAGTTTCTGATGATATGGTCAAATAGCATTATCATCGGGAGATGAAGAGTTCGCATAGGGTGCACCACCCAGCGGATGTAAATCCCTCTATGTAAATCTAAATGCTCCGACATCTGGTCCTTCTGAAAAGTGGGCGCTACGTTTAGTAAGACAGCCGTGTATTGAGGTGAGTGTCGATAATATCGTCTCACAATATAAGGTGAACTTTGGGAGCATCAACGGCATCGTCAAACAATGTGTTTTCCCAAGGGACCTTGTTGGCGTTCAGAGTCGGAGTCATTCACCCAAGCCATCAGTGTTGTAGTGGTGACAAAGGCTTTCGCTTCGAATGACATCTCGCTCGGGGAAGAGCATCATACCATAACATACCATTTCATACCTTTTCCAGGAATTCAACATGCGTTAGTCCTTACTCAAGAGTCTATGGAGCCTGCTAGAGACTTGGAGGGGTACTAGCACATGGGAGTCAGACGAATTTCATCCGCAGCATTCAGCATTCCGTCCTTACATATGTTAGACTAGTTATATGCTGGGTTGTATACGTACCAGCGCAAACTCAAATCAAACCACGCCACGTCTGCAACGAGCTTGCCACATTATAAGACTCCGTATATCTCCAGATTGAAGCTGAGTAAAAGGCCAACAAAGGAGCTCGCGAAGGCAGAAAATAACAAGGAATTTGACCAAGAGTTTCGCACCTAAACCTTCAGCTACTCTATCGTGCCCACACCATCCCCTGATAATCTAGTAAAATTGGCACAAAATCCCAGAGGCTGAAGTCGGGCCAATAGGTATTTACCACGTGGACTACATGTTTTCGCAGTACTGTGAGAGATACAAATGAGTTTGGTGAGGACAATGCTTCGGGTGAGTATATGACTGCCATATTCGCCAACAAAAGAATATCTGCTTTGAAATGGGAGATGGAAGACAGGGAAGGAACAGAGACACACCTGCCACTGCAGAAAACTGCTCAATCGCTTCACGCCACTCGTGCGAATGAAAGTCTCGAGCGGCGGACTGCCCCAAAGCGAAGTAATGACGTTTTCCTCGATAATCTGTTCTGTGATCAATCTGCGTGTATTGGTTGGCATGAAACATGACGGAGAAGTCACACATTCAAACAACGGTCAAGGAAAGATCTGTGCTCACGAAGAACCAAAGTTCTCTCTATCAAGGGCCTACTGCACGACGGATTGTACATGTCGTCCCATGCCACGAGGCATGTGGTGCGCAGACATTTTATAAAGTTGCTCCATTGGAGTGTGTTCAGGATGGAAGGCGAGGGTAGACAGGACATACTTGTTATTCTGACGCGTCATTTCCCTTCGCTTCATCAATTGCGACTTGAACACGCATAGGCAGCAGCTCACGATGGCTAACATACTGACCTAAGAGAGCACTGAAGAGTAATTGCAGGCAATAACATCAGGCGAGTGAGCGCTTTAAACGCAATGTATTTCAAGTAAGACCTCACCCATCCTGTGCAATCTTTACGAGCCTCTCTTCTGCTAGTTTCATGAGCGTGCAGACCTCGTCGGGTGGTCTGTTGAAGTTTGCGATCGCAAAGGCGTGGACCGTGACACGGCGTGCGTCAAAACCTATGCATATATCTAATATATGTAGTCCATGTCAGGGGATCTCCACGACTGAAACAGGATCAAGGGATGTATCCGCGTGAATGTATGCAACCTGTCTGAGTGACCCTCGACCGCGCGGCGGCCAGTGAGACGTGCAAAGGGGCGGTTAGCAACCGTTTCGAAGGCCACACATGACGTGAAATAGTGCCCACAGAAAGAACATGGAGGGGCAGAATTATGAGTTGGGCCGTGATAACTTGAAAGGAGGACTGTCCTGTCTGTCCAGCTGTGATGAAAACAACGGACTGCTTCTCTCCGGGACTAGCGGATCTCGAATGTATGATGACTATGTACTTGTTTGCGGTTTTGATCCTTGCTTTCGTTCTTATCTGTTCTACCACCGCAGTAATATCCATTTGGTTTCTTCCTCCTGGAACTTTGCCGGAGCCTTCAGATCCATCCTAGGGTGTCGCTGACACCAGCCCAGGATCCCGGGTAGACTGGTTACCAGGCCCCTCATAAATAGAGGGGCTGGTCACCAGTCTAAGGAAGTGCTACCAGAGGTCTTCCCTGAGCTACATTCCACCACAACTCTGGTGGCAACACTGTTTGAGCGACTCAACGAACGTGGCTGCAGAATAAATGAGCACAGCCACATACATTCAATTTCGGCCTCGGCGCCTCTCGACTTTCTCTAGATCTTCGTCGTCGTCTTAGACAAGCGCACACAATTTTCATACATCAATCATGCCTGACAAGCGACACGTTTTACTCTTGAATGTTGACGACATAGATGCTATCCAACCTGATGTCAAGGAGCAACCTACTCGCCCTGCCCACTCACACAAACGCAAGCGTTTTGTTGAATTCAGTGTCCTCCTCTCGCTTATTATCACTACTACCATACTTGAATTCTGGCCCCGTACTCGACACGATACGAGTACTGGAAGGGATTCATTGTACTCGAATGGAACACACGAGTTCAAGAAGACAGTGCTTATGATTTCGATCGATGGTTTTCGTGCGGATTATTTGGATCTTGGGCTCACGCCGCATTTGTTAGATATCAGCCGGGAAGGTGTGAGGGCAAAGTACATGCAACCTGTTTTCCCCGTGCGTATTCCCTTTCAGTCATTTGCTCTAGTCCTAAACATTTCCCTCTTTGCAGACTCTGACATTCCCGTAAGTCATAATTTATCAAAATAATTGATACATCCGAATGAAATTTGTTCCAGAAATCACTGGTCACTGATGTAAATATCACTCGTACATTGCTCGACATGAGCTCATGATCTAGGACTGGCCTCTACACCGAGTCGCACGGCATCATTGCGAACGTTTGTTTTTCATCACTTTCTTCAACTGTCTGGCATTCTCACATCGGCCATGTAGAACTTTTGGGACCCCGTTTTCCGAGACACGTTCCATTTCGATCGTGTTGAATCCGCGCAGAACCCGAGCTGGTGGCTCGGCGAACCTGTCAGTGCTCACCGTTTTTGTTGTATGCATGCCTAATGCGCTTCTCTTCACCTCTTGTAACTTTACACGTTCGTCTGGTCATCTGACCGACACATACATCGATCTCTCCATCCTCTGCATTTGTTACCCTTCGTACAACTTAGATGTGGGAAACCGCAGAACGTGCAGGTATCATCACCGCAAACCTCATGTGGTCGGTTTTTTCCTCTGTATCGTGATTTGCTCTTTATTCACTCGACCAGGCCTGGTCCTTGGTCTACATCCTCGGGTGTGAACTCCACATATTTTCTACCTTGGGAAGTAAGAGTGTGGTCTTAAACTCGCAAGGAATGTAGTGTGATTGAAACTGGAGCGCAGGATAACTACGCTCTCGAGAAGAAACTTTCCAACCTCCTAGAGTGGATTGACCTCCCGCTGGAAGAGCGGCCGCAGCTTATTCTTGGTGTGTTCTTGCATCTGATTCTTCCTGTGTTTCTAGACGAAATGTCTATAATCTTCTGCTTGTCTTTTCGTTCTCTTCAATTTCACAATTTTCCTTTGTGTACACTGATGTTGTTTCATAGGGTACGAACCGTCGCTAGACCATGCTGGCCATACAACAGGGCCGATGTCCAAGGCCGTTAACGTAAGCGTTGTATCAATTCCATTGGTTGATGTGCTTATCTTTTTTTTCGAACTTGCTACTTACTACAGATGAGTCTTGCAGCTGTCGATCTTTTCGCTCGGAACCTAACCCAAGCACTAGGCGAGCGCAATCTCACGCATATCGTTGATATCATCTTCGTCAGTGACCATGGGATGACGGACATGAGCCACCCAACTTGGATATATGTTGACGAGATTGTTGGTGAGCTGTGGAAAGGTGTTATCAAGATGGATGGTAAGTGATTTCAGTGTATAGTTTGCTACTTGCCGGAATGTTTTAGACTGAGTGACGGATTGCTTACCCTTCACTATTCAGGTTGGCCATCTATGGGCTTACGCTTCGCTCCTGGCACGAACGCGACTGAGGCCCTTGAGCGTCTGTGCGAGTACACACTTACCCACCCGGATCAGTTCGATGTGTTTACGACCGAGAGCTTCTCTACCGACCCCGGCACCTCCTTGATAGACCTCAACACATTCAACTACGGTAAAATGTCTGCATGCACAGTGGAGCCTGTGCCCGAACGATACCATTTCTCCCATAATTACCGCATCGCCCCTGTGTGGATTGTACCGCGCATAGGCTACGCGCTGACTGACCGCTTGGGTGGCAAAGACGGAGTGCCGACTGGAGTGAGTTTACTTTACCGTATCTTGTGTCGCTTGGTTTCTGCACTGCAGGTCATCGAGCTAACGCATTACGCCTTTCTAGAACCACGGCTACGACAACGAGGACCCGTCGATGCGTGCCATCTTTGTCGCACACGGGCCTTTCTCGCGGGGCGCCAGGGCTTCTGTAGTCGCGCGAGGAGAGGGCGATGCCACAGAGGAGTACGTGATGCCAGGGTTCCAGAATGTCGAGATTTACAACCTCGTGATGCGACTGCTGAGCCTCGACGCTACGGATATAGCTACAACCAACGGAACTGCTGGATTCTGGGATAAGTTTGTCTTGCCAGATGTTTGAACTTCGTACATATTTGAAGTCGAACTGCGTTCGACGCTTCGAGAGCTATCATTACCCATCACCTTCCTGGACGTGCTACATACATATGCATCATCTTGCTACGCGCCATAAGTATCTGACCCGCGTCCTCAATGTCGGACAATGTTAGAAAACTAAATTTTGTCATTCTCACTGCTACGAGATCAGACAAAGTCTTCGACTGCGTGACTACATGTTGAACTTGGGGAGTACCAGAAGTCCTGTCTAGATATTCGTTAATGAAGCACTGGCAAGAATGAACCGCATAGTCGAAAGACTCATATTATATTCCCTTCTACATAAGTATCATCTGCTACAACATATTCAATGTTCTCGGTACAGTACAAAACAGCAGTAAATATATTCAGCGAGGATATCATCAACTCGAGGAAACTCCGGATCTTCGATTACTTCTGCATCCAAGTCATCTGATTTGCTGTTGCGCCGCGATTTGTATGACCCTGACAATCGTTACTCTTGCGCAATTGGGGGACAGAGTACAGGACGAAATTGCAAGATGGTGATGTCGTAGAGGTTGAAGTCATCTTAAAACTGCATGTTTGTTCGATTTATTTCCTCCAGGTTTCTCTGACAATTCTTACCAGGTGGAAATCAGGCCACCGAAAGATGCACTGTCCGACAGTCGCGACGCTAACTTGAATGGGTCGCGCATATATCAACTTATGCTTGCGGCGTATGCACGGAGAAAGCTTTCCATGATCCAAAAGGCAAAATGAAGGCTACTGATGAGCTCGGAGGTCAGTCACCTGCTAAGAACTCGAAGATGTCGACCGAGAGCCATGACGTCTTTGACATGGAGCTGGAAGCTGATGATGATTATCCTGACTCGAATGCTATTATGAAATTTGTAGTGCTGCATCTGATTTGCGAAGTGTCTGATTGCTGTACATACTCGATTGTTTGTTGTATATCGATAAACTGTTTGCTACCAATCCATCGTCATATCTTGAACTCCGAAGTTGAACTCGGGGACTGGCGCTTCCCAGCGCCTGCTATGATATAGGACTACTAGAGAACCGCTTAAAGTCATGTTCAGATGAATGAACCTCACCGGTTTTCCCACGAATTGCGATCAACAACCGTGACCTTGAGTCACTGAGCTACGCGGTTTCCTTGGGTGCAGGTACATACTCGAATCTCTTTCCTTCTTCCTGCTCCAAAAGATCGAACTCGGGCATTCCGGCAAAGTTGCCCCACAACTCAGATCCAAGGTATTCGTATGTCTGGGCCGCACTTGCTGGGTCAATAAGACGTGTTTTTATTCCACGAGCAGCGGCGGCCTGGTCCGCTGTCATTTGAGCCTGGCAGCACTTTTCCAAAGAGATGAAAAAATAAACGGTAGATTCAATCGACTCGGTGGAAACAAGGATCCCGTGGTTCTACACGAGGGAGCATGATAAGCAGGTGAGAACGTTTGACTGAGCTCCTAGAGATACCTGGAGGATGACAGCCTAGTAGAATCTTATGAGCATTGACACATGTAAATCAACGCATTTGCAAACCTTTTTCGAACCAAGAGCATTCGCTATGGCCACACCTTCCTCGATATCATCGACAATGCCATTGAATTCGTCATACAAAGCATGATCCTATAGGTTCATTTTCGTTGAATGGGGATATCTCTTCAAAACGGATGAATACGAGATTACCTTATAAAACGCACAGCTGTCCTGAGTAAGGGGATCAAGAGGTATCCCAAGAGTGCCGAATGCCTTAGCATACGTAGTATGCGAATGCGCAATGCAGACAACATCCGGGCGAGCTTGATGAATCGCTGAATGGATCAGGAACGCCACCCCGTTGAGCCACCGGGAAGGTCCAGATTCATTTTCCTGTATATTCCCTGCTTGGTCCACGAGAATGAGGTCCTCAGGCTGCATGAACTTGAAATGAACACCCTGTGGCCCCGCAACTGGTGAGTAACATGATTTCACTATCTTGACAAGATATCAATCACCCAGGGGTTGAACCAGTAACAGTCTTTTCTGATCGGGTCCTTTTGACGAAGTGATTAGAAATGACGGTCACGCGCAGCATCATATGAGCGTTACTCTTACCTGGACAGTAATATGTCCAGCGACCCCTTCATCAAAACCGTACTTTCCTGCTTTGGCATGAATACGACGAGCGCTTCTTGTTACAAATAGAGCTCACCAAAGATGCGATATGCTTGAGCCAAGCGGAATTTTAGGAACGCCCGATGTTCGAGTGGGTCAGAAAACGTGCGAGGAACCGGTACGGTTTTTTTTCCAAAGATCAAACTTGCTCAATGGTGCGGCCATAGTAGTAGATGTACGATTTGAAACGGAGGGGTTCTAGTACTTATACTGACCCTGCCAACGAGCGCTTACAGGCTTCCTCTTCGTCGTTCTCACAAAATATCCGACTTGCGTAGGACATAGCAGGTACTAGTAAGCACTATGCTCGTAATCACGGCCCAGCTGTGATCACAAGCTAGCTTATCGCACTTAAGACATGCAACGTGATCTCCTCGGGCTGTCGGCGGACCAGATAGAAGAAAGTTAATCAACTCGTCTCTTCTGTATGACACATGTATCAGACATTATCATCAGAGAGCCGGTAAGCCGAATCCCCAAATACCTCGATGCGTGGGAACGCTTTCGAAAAGACTGTATAGTTGATTGGTGCCGGTGATTAGACTCGTAACCAGTCTGACCTGGTCACGAGCCTAGCCGGTGAATCGTGATTCAAATCGATGAATCACCAATCAACTGTACAGTTTTTTTCGACAATAAGGATAGGCTTCACTTGAAGTTGGGTGTCACTTGTGAATTTGATGATGTGCACGGCCCGGCTCGAGGCCGGACCAAGCCGGGCCCAGCCTAAGTCACGGCCCGAGGAAGGCTTTTGCATGTTGAACTGTTCAGTGGCACTGCCATAGAAACCTTGCCGGAGGTACATTTCCTGACTCTATTTTTTTTCTTTCCAAGCTTCAGACTTCCACCACCTTAATCAGCTTCGACTCGGATGGTCCACATGTCCAGCGCTATTATTTATGTCCTGTGCTTCGCGCGCTCAATATACTTACCATAGACATCGTGCTCTACCCCCCTCTATGATTCTCGAAGTCAAGGACTCAGAATGGCTTAATGTAACAGTGTATAGTGCGTTAAGCACAATATTTTGTCACTAATATTCCTGTAGTCGCTCAACTTCAACGTTTATGGTTAGGGTTATGATTATGTAAGGTGCTGGATCACAAGTCCTTCAAGTGAAGCCTATCCTTATTGTCGAAAAAAACTGTACAGTTGATTGGTGATTCATCGATTTGAATCACGATTCACCGGCTAGGCTCGTGACCAGGTCAGACTGGTTACGAGTCTAATCACCGGCACCAATCAACCATACAGTCTTTTCGAAAGCGTTCCCACGCATCGAGGTATTTGGGGATTTGGATCCTACTTCGTGGGAAGTCGGGGAATACACGAAAACACGGGCCACTCAAAACGAAACAAAAAATGTAAGGTAAAAACACAAACATCAAGTCATCAGTAAACCGGTGAGACTCAGATATTAGTCGATGTTGTAAGCCAGATGCTTCTTTCCTCTACATCAACACCACGCGGAACTTGAGCTTCTCGATATCGATGTGGCCGGCCGCGCTGTTCCTAGTACTAGAGGGTTGACAGTCCCGACGTTATCTGGACGGAGGGGCTGTATCACGGTGCTTGGCGTTGAAGTTCCAGACACAGAAGGTGCCAGCGACGGTGAAGGTGTATGAGTTGCCTGAAAGAACATATTCCCGCTCGTAGACCTCGCACCCGCACTAGCATTCGTTGGTGTCGGAGGAGAGTCGCCTTGAACTACGGTCCCAAAGTCCGCGCTGCAGATAATTATATCATACGGTGCATTCGTGAGGTAACGCAGAGTGCTAAGCGTGGGCAGATGAGCGTCCTCATCGCACCCGGTCAACTTGAATCATACGTACAAACTCAAGGCATCATGCAGTTGCACGAGACGCCTAGGTATTGCCAACTGACAAGACTCGGCTCCTGGGCTCACGTTCGTTGAGTATCTGGCACGAGTCCTCAATATTGGACAGTGTTAGACAACTAAATTCCTTCATTCTCACCGCTACGAGATCAGATAAAGTGTTCGACTGCATAACTACGTGTATACCTTCAACCTAACTGGATTCTTGGACAGCACTCGCGGGCAAAATGCACTTAGCCGAGTAGAGGTAAGGGCTACAAGTACTATCTTTCCTTGCGCCTGTTCTAACTTCTAAGCAAGGTAGGCTGGAGCGTCAAATTTCGCTCACTGTGAATACTTATGCCGTGTTTTAGAGAATCAAAAATCAACAAAGATATTGCTGGACGCTTCAAGACTCCGTATTAGTAGACAGATGATCTAAACAGTCTCCTAGGGTGCAGGAACATACTCGAATCTCTTTCCTTCTTCGTGCTCCAAGAGCTGAAACTCGGGAATCCCATTAAACCAGCCCCCCATCTCAGACCCAAGGCGTTCCCATGTCTGGACCGCACTTGCTGGGTCAATAAGACGCGGTTTAAGTCCACGAGCCGTGGCGGCCTGGTCCACTACCATTTGGACCTTGCAGCACTTTTCCAAAGAGATGAAGAAGAAAACGGTAGATTCAATCGACTTGGTGGCAACGAGGATCCCGTGGTTCTACACGATGGAGCATGATAAGCAGGTGAGAACGTTTGATTGAGCTCTTAGAGATACCTGGAGGATGACAGCCTAGTAGAATCTTGTGAGCATCGACACATGTAAATCAACGCATTTGCAAACCTTCTTCGAACCCAGAGCATTGGCTATAGCCAGACCTTCCTCGCGGTCATCGACGATGCCACGAAATTGGCTATACAGAGTATGATCCTATGGATTCATTTTCATTGAATGGGATATCCCTTTAAGAACGGATGGATGTGATATCACCTCATAAAATGCACAGCTGTCCTGAGTAAGGGGATCAAGGGGTATCCCAAGAGCGCTAAACGCCTTAGCATACGTAGTATGCGAATGCGCAGCGCAGATAGCATCTGGGCGAGCTTCATGAACCGCTGAATGGATCATGTACGCGGCCCGGTTGAGCCACCGGGAGGGTCCAGATTCGTTTTCTTGTATCTTCCCTCCGTGGTCCACGAGGAGGAGGTCCTCAGGCTGTATGAGCTTGAAGTGAACGCCCTGTCGCAATTTGGTGAATTGTGATCTATATATCGGACACGATAATCAATCACCCAGGGGTTGACCCAGTAACAATCTGGTCTGATCGGGTCCTTTCAATAAAAGCAATTAGGACTGGCACGCACACTGATATAAGCGTCACTCTTACCCGGACAGTGATATGTCCAGCAACGCCTTCATCATAACCATACTTTCCTGAATTGACATTATAACGATGGGTACTTCTTGTTCCGATTAAAACAAATGGAGCTCACCAAAGATACGATATGCTTGAGCCAAGCGGAATTTCAGGAACGCCCGATGTTCGAGCGGGTCAGAAAACGTGGGAGCAATCGGTCTGCTACTTTTCCAAATATCAAGCTTGCTGGCGTCTTTCAATGGTGCGGCCATAGTAGTAGATGTGGGATTTCAAACGGAGTTCTGGTACTTATATTTGACCCTGCCAGCAAGCGCTGGCAAGCTTCTTCATTGTCATCATCATCACAAAAGATCCGACTTGCCACAAATACTAGTACGGCACTAAGCCCGTGACTAGCCTAGGCATTGAACACCAAGGCAAAAGAGCCATCGTAACGCCCAATGTAACGGGAAGGACTGCAAGGGAACCAAGGACAGACCTCTATGGCGGGAGGCTACGGCTTTCTCTATCAAGGACAGACGACACACGCGGCGACTCGACTACCGACTACGAGCCAGGACTCCTGCTCCTGCGCCAGGACCCCTGCCACTCCCGAACCTGATCTGTCCAACCAGAGCGTCCCGTTCCACCAGCTCTGTGACAGTCACTTACAGTAAACTAGTGCGACTCGGATATTATATCAGATCCCAGGAAATTCAAAGTACAACTTCGTGCACACTATTATAGCACATGATATTACATCTCATTAGTAGATACTGTAGATATTGCAGACTCACTGCATGAATTCCCCATCTACTAGCGTCAGATAAAATCCGTCCTTCCATCATTCATCATTACATATAATCCATACCATCCAGAGGCATTTTACCAGACATGAACTGAAAAACACTCGACGACTGCAGCCATTCACAGTGCAGAATGATAAATTTGATCTTATCTTCAAAATGTAGGATTGCAAATTTCAAATTTGTATCGACGTACTAATCAACGTTCTTCGTTTTGTATTTATTGTATCCATCTCGTTTGAATTATATCAACCTCGTTTTCAGTGGGAAGCTTGAGCCGCCGGCTTAGGCTTTCAAATCGCATCGAGGTATCTGGGGAACTTCGTGGGAAGTCAGGCAGTACACGAAAACACAAACATGAAGTCATCAGTAAACCGGTGAGACTCAGATTTCACGGCTACGAGATCAGACAACGTTTTCGACTGCACGACTACATGTATACCTTCAACCGGATTCTTGGACAGAGCGCAAACACTCGCGGACGAAATGTACTTAGCCGAGTAGAGGTAAGAGCTACGCCATCTTTCCTTGCACCTGTTCTAAGCAAGGTAGGCTGGAGCGTCAGATTTTGCTCCCTGTGAATACTTATGCTATGTTTTAGTGAATCAAATATTGGCAGATATATTGCTGCACGCTTCAGCGTATTGGTAATGTTACAGGTGAGCTAAACGGTCTCCTAGGGTGCAGGAACATACTCGAATTTCTTTCCTTCTTCGTGTTCCAAGAGCTGGAACTCGACAAATCCATTAAACCAGCCCGCCGCCTCAGATCCAAGGCGTTCCCATGTGTTTGCTGCTTCTACTGGATCAATAAGACGCGGTTTCAGTCCACGCGCCGCGGCGGCCTGGTCCACTACCGTTTGGACCTTGCAGCACTTTTCCAAAGAGATGAAATAGAAAACGGTAGATTCAATCGACTTAGTGGCAACGAGGATCCCGTGGTTCTACACGATGGAGCATGATAAGCAGGTGAGAACGTTTGACTGAGCTCTTAGAGATACCTGGAGGATAACAGCCTAGTAGAACCTTGTGAGCATCGACACATGTAAATCAACGCATCTGCGAACCTTGTTTGAACCCAGAGCATTGGCTATAGCCAGACCTTCCTCGCGGTCATCGACGACGCCACGAAATTCGCCATACAGACTATGATCCTATAGGTTCATTTTCATTAAACGGTATGTCTTTTTAAGAACGGATGAATGCGAGATTACCTTATAAAACGCAAGGCTGTCCTGAGTAAGGGGATCAAGAGGCACCCCAAGAGCGCTGAACGCCTTAGCATACGTAGTGTGCGAATGCGCAGCGCAGATAGCATCTGGGCGAGCTTCATGAACCGCTGAATGGATCATGTACGCGGCCTGGTTGAGCCACCGGGAGGGTCCAGATTCATTTTCTTGTATCTTCCCTCCGTGGTCCACGAGGAGGAGGTCCTCAGGCTGTATGAGCTTGAAGTGAATGCCCTGTTGCAATTTGGTGAATGATGATTTTTATATCGGGCACGATAATCAATCACCCAGGGGTTGACCCAGTAACAATCGGGTCTGATCGGGTCCTTTCGACAAAGCAATTAGAAATGTCATGCACAGCATCATGTCAGCGTCACTCTTACCCGGACAGTAATATGTCCAGCAACCCCTTCATCAAAACGGTACTTTCCTGCATTGATATGATAACGATGGGTGTTCCTGTGACGATGAAAACAAATGGAGCTCACCAAAGATACGATATGCTTGAGCCAGGCGAAATTTCAGGAACGCTCGGTGTTCGAGCGGGTCAGAAAACGTGGGAGGAGCCGGTATGGTGCTCATCCAGATATCAAGCTTGCTGGCGTCTTTCAATGGTGCGGCCATGGTAGTAGATGTGGGGTTTCAAACGGAGCTCTGCTACTGCTACTTATATCTGACCCTGCCAACAAGCGCTGGCAAGCTTCTTCATCGTTATCATCACGAGTTGCCCCAGATGAAGGCTCGTGACTAGCCTAGGCATTGATCGCAAGCCAGCTGATCGTGCTCACACACATACAATGTGATCTCCTCGGGCCGACCACGTAAAGTCAAGATACATAATCGACCCCTCTCTTTGAATGACACTCCCATCTGAGATTAATCCAAGTCTATGGTCGGGTGCTTGATAAATACATCCGAAGTAGCATAACCCTTGACGTCCGGAAGATTCTCTACCGACACTTGATGTGTCTGGGTTGTCTGCAAAAATTTGTTTGACGCGTGTTCAGAGATCGACTCGGAGACGCACCAAAACTTGACATTCATATGTACTATCGTCCTGTGGAGCCCATCTAATCTTGGAATTTGGTCCGAATCGTACCCAGTCCCAAAACTTTTGATCGACCGAATTTCGGATAGTACAAGTGTTAGTACCAAATTCTGTAGCGTTGTAGCAACAAGAAAGCTTGACCCCTGTATTCACCAGGGTATTTCCGTCTTAGGTGCAAGAGGACCGCCACCATAGAACTGCATTGGTATCAACGCGAGTCATTCCTTGTCACATCATCGATAACAAACTTACAACATATTCGAGGGTCTTAGAACACTTAGCGAAAACGCCCATTGTTCCAGAAAGACAAGCACAACTACCAAAGTGTTCGGTTTCGTCTTGAGCACAGAGTCCATGATGTTGTGCGAGTTGGGTACTACGAGGATCGCCAAGGGATCGAGGAAGGATGTAGGCGGGTAAACAGACACTGCTCAAGGCGGCGATAGGGGCGAGCGGCTGAAAATATATACCAAAGGTATGAAATGATGGCAAAGACGCAGCGCCGATGCGGATAGGAGTGGGCAGGATAACGAGGTCGAGGATAGATGCTAACGGTACTCTATCTTAGCATTGTTGCTGTGCGGATTATTTTACCGACTCACGCGTTAGGCACCAGTGGATGGCAGTCAAGTTACTTATTAGAATGGGTTTTGGGAAGCCAGTGCTGCCAGAGGAGTGCAGGTAGAATAATACATCGTTATCAGACGACGGCGGACCTAGGGAAGGGTACGGGACAATGGCCACGTTGGGAGTACCACTAACAAGTGAGTGGTACAGATGTTTCAGCGCCGGAATCTCGTCGATCTGCAGTTGGCTTGTTTGAGTGGCAGACATAAGACATGCTTCGACTCCGTCGATTAGGGAAGCGAGAGAGTGCCGAGTCGTGATCAAAAAAACGACGGCATTTTGTTTTCTGCATCATGCTCGTGCCTGCCGCCGCCGAATTACGAGGGGACATAAGGAATGGCTTGAAATGGCAGTAATCAGAAACCCATATCAAGTGCATGAATAAGTAGTCATTTTCAAGCGGCATCCCGAAGAAAATTCGGCAACAATGACTTAGATTGAACTTACTGGAAAAACGAACGCAAACGGCTACGGGTCTACATGAGTCGGTGTACGTAGTATGATGTCGGATGGCGACCGAGAGAGCTGTTTTAATGTATGAGATAGTCTACTGTATTAGGATGTGGAGATAATACCTTGTACATATAGATAAATGTCTGCCAAAATGCCTCGTGGATCACCCGGAGTGATAAATAATGGAAGGACAGACTCGATGTGACGCCGGTAGACGAAGAATTCATGCAGTGAGCCTGTGGCCCTGTGCAATGAAGCCGGAGCTACACTCCAGTTGGAAGCCTTGTGCTCGATATTTGACTACATTGGGATATCACCTAAGAAAACCGAAAGTGAAAAAGCAAGCAAGCGCGTGCTACATAGTAGTAGCAGATTTCGGCATCGTCTCTGCACTGAGACTCAGAGTCTGAGACGCCCAAAGTTTTGGATTCCCTCCTCCCCCACTTCGCGGGAAGTCGGGGAGTACACAAACACCAAGTCATCAGTAAACCGGTGAGACTCAGATATAGTCGATATTGTAAGCCCTTAATGCCTCTTTCCTCTACATAAACACTAGGCGGAACTTGAGCTTTTCGATATCGATGTGGCCTGCTGCGCTGTTCCTAGTAGAGGGTTGACGGTCCCGACGTTATCTGGACGGAGGGGCGGTATCACGGTGCTTAGCATGGAAGGTCCAGACACAGAAGGTGCCAGCGACGGTGAAGGTGTATGAGTTGCTTGAAAGAACATATTCCCGCTCGTAGACTTCGCACCCGCACTGGCATTCATTGGTGTCGGAAGAGAGTCGCCTGGAACTACAATCCCAAAGTCCGCGTTGTAGATAATCATATCATATCATACAAACGCTAAACGGTCACCTAGGGTGCAGGAACATACTCGAATCTCTTTCCTTCTTCGTGCTCCAAGAGCTGAAACTCGGGAATCCCATTAAACCAGCCCCCTATCTCAGATCCAATGGATTCCCGTGTGCTGGCCGCATCTACTGGATCAATAAGACGCGGTTTCAGTCCACGAGCGGCAGCGGCCTGGTCCACTACCATTTGGACCTTGCAGCACCTTTCCAAAGAGATGAAAAAGAAAACGGCAGACTCAATCGACTTGGTAGCAACGAGGATCCCGTGATTCTGCACGAAAAAGTCATGATAAGCAGGTGAGAACGTTCGATCGAGCTCTCGAAGATACCTGGAGGATCACAGCCTAGAATCTCGTAAGTATCGACACATGTAAATCAACACATCTGCAAACCTTTTTCGAACCCAGAGCATTCGCTATAGCCAGACCTTCCTCGCGATCATCGACGATGCCACGAAATTGGCTATACAGAGTATGATCCTATGAATTCATTTTCATTGAATGGGATATCTCTTTAAGAACGAATGAACACGAGATTACCTCATAAAACGCACAGCTGTCCTGAGTAAGGGGATCAAGGGGTATCCCAAGAGCGCTAAACGCCTTAGCATACGTAGTATGCGAATGCGCAGCGCAGATAGCATCTGGGCGAGCTTCATGAACCGCTGAATGGATCATGTACGCGGCCCGGTTGAGGAACCGGGAAGGTCCAGATTCATTTTCCTGTATCTTCCCTCCGTGGTCCACGAGAAGGAGGTCCTCAGGCTGTATGAGCTTGAAGTGAATGCCCTGTCACAGTTTGGTGAATGATGATTTTTATATCGGGCACGATAATCAATCACCCAGGGGTTGACCCAGTAACAATCTGGTCTGATCGGGTCCTTTCGATAAAAGCAATTAGGACTGGCACGCACACCGTTATAAGCGTCACTCTTACCCGAACAGTGATATGTCCAGCGACGCCTTCATCATAACCGTACTTTCCTGAATTGACATGATAAGGATGGGTACTTCTTGTTCCGATCAAAATAAGTGGAGCTCACCAAAAATACGATATGCTTGAGCCAAGCGGAATTTCAGGAACGCCCGATGTTCGAGCGGGTCAGAAAACGTGGGAGGAGCTGGTATGATAAAGTTCTTCCCAGCATCAAGCTTGCTGGCGTCTTTGAATGGTGCTGCCATAGTAGATGTGGGATTTCAAACGGAGTTCTTGTACTTATATTCGACCCTGCCAACGAGCACTGGCAAGCTTCTTCTTCTTCTTCGTCGTCGTCGTCATCATCAGAAAAGATCCGACTTCCCCCAGATGAAACAAACAGTACGGTACTAGCCCATAACTAGCCTAGTTGATCACAAGCCAGCTGGTCGTGCTTACACACATACAATGTGATCTCCTCGGGCCGGCCACGATACATAATCAACCCCTCCTTCGCAGTGAATCGCACTTCTATCTGGCATTAACCAAGTACATGAAAACACAAAATCGAAATAATAAAAAGACAAAAAAAAAAGTAAACACAAATACAAACACCAAGACTAAAGAGCCATCGTAACACCCAACAACGCAGGCCACAGAATAAACACCACTCGGAACTTGAGTTTCTCGATATCGATGCGGCCCGCCGCGCTGTTCCTAGAGGGTTGATCGATGGTCCCGACGTCGCCTGGACGGAGGGGCGGTATCACGCTGCCTGGCGTTGATGTTGAAGTTCCAGAGTCAGAAGGTGCCAGCGACGGTGACGGTGTGTGAGTCGCCTGAAAGAACAGATTCTGGCTCGTAGACCTCGAACTCGCACTAGCATTCGTCGGTGTCGGCAGAGAGTCGCCCTGAACCACGATCCCAAAGTCCGCGCTATAGATGACCATATCGTACGGTGTACTCGTGAGGTAATGCAGAGTGCTAAGTGCGGGAGCAGAGATCAGCATCCTCTCGTCATCGCACCTAGTCAATCATACATACAAATTCGAGCCATCCATGCAGCTGCACAAGACTCCTAGGTATATCGAACCGATAAGACTTGGCTCCAGGGCTCACGTTCGTAGCGAGCGTTGCGAGGTACGTCTGCACAAAACGTCAAGTCACCTCTCGCAGTATCTCCAAGAAAACTGGAACGCACGTCAGAATCGCAGTATAGCTGTATAGTGATGCCCCCCATGTTGTTCAGCGGCGGATACGTCCCATCATCTATCCAGTCCGTCAGAGCGGTCTGTCCAGCGTAGTAGACGGTGTTTTGGATAGGTTGGGTGGGGTACAATGACGCGGAGACTGGCGTGAGGAGGGCGAGTAGCAGTATCACAAAAAACATCGACACGCCGTTGAACATCCTGAAGTTTTCAAGTTGATGATGGAATCTGAACCCGGTACGGACAATAATTAAGTATATGACAGACCCGCTGATCAGTGCACTGGCGGCGAAAGAATGAGGGTTCCCGAGGGCGAATATGACAATATGGACAAGTGAACGTTCAACGCAGCTTAAGAACACAAAAGTCAACTTGGCGAAAAACGCGTCACATCACGTGTTTTTATTTTACAACGATGATAAGGTATACGATTTCGATCTATCGATCGCTAGTTGGAAAAACGTAGAAGTTGAAACATAACTATGCTCGTAGATGATGTATCTCTTGGTCTTGATCTATGAAAAAAAACACGCCACAGTATCCAGAAAGTGTACGAGGGAGGGGGATGAGGAAAAATGGTTCGCAATGTTAAGAGGTTCCGACCAGGTGCCCGACGAGACGAGAGAAAAAAGAAGGAAAGAAAACATAAATGAGAACGAGAACATTGTGAAAACGTTCAGAAAAGTACCGGCACAGCCATTATTAAAAAATGCATAAGAGGAAGAGAATGATAATGAGAACGAGAAATCAAGAATCACATCACATCACACGTTCCTTCTCGCGAACTGCACGAATCCAGATCTCTCCAGGACGACTATGAAGGCAAATGAGTTCACAAAAACCCACCAAAAAAAAAGAAAAGAAACTTACCTCTTCTCCCTTAAAATCCTATAAACGCACCTACTCCCCTTCTCCTTCTCAATCCTCATCTTTGACGTAAGGTTATCCGCACGAGGGGGGAACACACCAGGTCCGCAGCGCGCTTGAAAATCTGCAAGACCTTCGTTCGTGCCTTCAGCTTCGACGATCACAGTCCCGTACCAGCCAGGATCGATGAAAAAGCCTGCCACGTTCGGAATCGGGAGGCGCAAGTTTTGGCTGTGCGAGTAGGCGTGCGGGTGGTGCGCAGAGACCGGAGGTCGAATCGTGAATGAAGAACGGTGCAACCAGTGGACGACGCTGTGCAGCGTTCCGTGAGGGCTATTTGAAACGATGTTAACATGTGATAGACTGGTGAAGAGAGAGGACTCACGTCGCTGTCGTAGCCCTATCCTGTATCAACTGCAAGTTAGCAGCGAGCTCTTGGCCCCAAGGACTAACATCCAAATTAACGATAGGATTGCCGCCCGGATTCAAAATAGGATTAACGCCAGTCCGAATGACGCGGTGGAAATACGACGGAGAAAACGCCAGACTGTGGAAATAAGGAGACAGCTCTCCCATCGGCGAGTACTTGTAATCAAGGTCCTAGAACACGCCGTAAGCCAAACCCAATACGCATGCGATAAAAAGAGGACTCACCACAAGATAACTCCCATCCCAAACCATCCTCCCCAAATTCCCCTCGTCGCCTACAGCAACATCCCACACCACATCCCCAACCCTCAACATCTTCAACACACCAGCTCTCTTCAGCTCAGCTTCACACTCCACTACGCTCGAATCGGATAACCATTCTCCTTCAGGGGAAGGAACGAACACCCGCAAGAGCGGCGCACGGTGGAGTCGGACCAAAGGAGATTGGAACGTCCCCTTGGTCGAACCAGAAATCGAGGACGACTTGCCATGGGAATATAACGATGTCGGGGATGCCGTACGACTCGAAGAGCGCCGCGCTACATGCCCATCACGTGTAGCAGGCCTTGATGACACAGGACTGACATGTGACCTCGCAAACGCTCTCGCTGCACTCTCGGCCTGCGCCCTCAACCGTAACACAACCCTCGTATACGCACGAGTGGTCATAGCGAGCGACAGAATATCCGGGACCGTGAATTTGTGACGATCTCCTGGGGCCGCTGGGTTGGGGATACGGGGCTGGAGATACGCGTCTGCTAGTTGAGCATATTGGTGAGTGGGCATTGAGACGCCTCGCATGTAATCATTTAGGTCCTTTGATTTGCGTTAGTACATCACATCATATTGTGTGCGGAAGGGGGACTGACCTTCAAGGACAGCGCAAGCGGCTCTGCCCACTCGAAGCTCCACCTCTTATACCCAACAGTTCCCAAAAACTGCTCGAGCACATACTCTCTCAACACCCGACTTTCAAACACAGCCCTCACCTCCTTATTCGCCGCATACAGCGCACACCAATCACTAAACGTCAAATACTCGAGGAGATGCAGGAGAAGCGACGCGTCGGCGAGATGCGAAACGATAGGGTAGAACGAAGGAGGCTTCCTAGCGAGCTCTTCTTCCAATCGTTGCTTCTCTTCAGCTTCTTCCTTCAGTCGCTTTTCTTCTGCTTCCTTCTCCATTCGTTCCTCTTCTTTTCTTTGGCGCGCCTCTTCTTCCTTTCGTCGGGCCTCCTCCGCTTTTCGCAGCCGGACAGCTTCCTCTTCTTGAAGAAGTTCGGCTTCCTTGTTCATCACTTCTTGCTGAACGATCACGTCAGCGACGAGAGGAGGACGTGTCTTCTCGAGCCATTGTCCACGGCGCTGGGTCCGTGCGGATACATAGTCTTCAGGGGACTCGGGGGTTAAAGGCGATTTGGGCCTCGCCAGAAGAGGCGACTTGGGCCGTGAAGGCGTCACCGGCCTCGCCGTCCCCTCATCACTTCCGCAGGATTTAACAACCTGCACCCCCTCGGCCTTCTTGAATGGGTCTTCATCTAAGAACAACGCGTCCTCCGAGAACCCCTCCATCGATACTTTATTAGATAGTAATTTGGTCGGCACCGAAGGTCCAGGAGTAGAAGAGGAAGGAGTAGGAGGACGTGACTTCGTCAACACGCGAGGCTTGAGGCTTTCTTTACTCGTCATTCGGTTGAGTTTGCGCAATGATGGGGGAACAGTGTCTGATAAGACTCTGATACGGCTTTGAAGAGGTCCTGCATCTGATGATCGGTCTATTATGGCGTCTGATGAACGCCCAGATCCTACGTCCAATGAAATACGCCTCCCAGCTCCAGCCGCAGCCGGGCCCGAAGCTACAAAGCGTCCCTGTCCCTGCCCCTGTCCCTGTGCAGAAGTCGAAGCCGTAGTGATACGCTCCGATCCCCCGCGCACCAATCCCACACGCTCTGATGTCAAAGGCACCCCCGTAGGTGCATAGGTCAGAGGCACGGGTGCGCGCTCCATGGAAGGCACGGACACACCCAAAGGCACATTAACACCTCTCCCAAGTTCTAGAGTCCTATACTCCGCGGGAGGAGACGGGTAACCAAGCGTATCATGATCTGCACCACGCCGCGCTGATGATGCGGAGATGTGCGTGGCGTTCACAGAGTTGTTATGTTGGCTGATAGGTGCTTGCGGGTGTTGGCGTTGGTTGATAATCATAGGTGCTTGTGGGCGTTGGCTTCCAGCAAGAGGTACATTTTGTTGTAGAATGATGGATGAGCGCTTATTAGTCATTGCTGGGTTTTGATTGGGCGAGATATTTTCTCGTTGTCCGATGGGCGCCTGATCGTTGGCCATAGCAGCGAAAATCAACGGCCCTTTCCGGATTGGAGCGGCGCTGAGCTCTATCGAAGTTGACCGGTTCGAGTTGAGCTGAAGGGGTTGGGTGCCTTGGCGAGGGGGTATCGCGTAGTTGCTGGGAGGCGGGCGGGTGGTGGAAGGTGCGCGATGGGGAGTAGTATTGGGGGGACGAACGGTAGGATGGGGACGGGCAGTAGCGGTAGAAGATGACACTACTGACGACCGAGCAGTGGTAGAAGGCGGCGGGACCGCTGTCGCTTTGGAACGAGTAGTATTAGATGATCGAGTGGCAGTCTGTGTCATAACAGTCGTAGTCGTAGTTGGCATTAAGTTTCGTTGCAAATTTTTGTCTGGCAGCACGGGGGAACGTGCGGACGGAGGGACAGCAGACAACGGACGAGTGTGAGTCAAAGTCTTACTAGTAGTTCGGACGGTACTAATAGCAGCGGGTACGTTCGCGTCGGCAAGCTAACAAAATAGGTTAGTCGCTGGTGCCAATAAAAAAATTGAAAATGAAAGGAAATTATATTAGTACTCACGGAGGTGCCAAGGGATCTAGAAGGGGGGCTAACCGGCTTAATAAGGTTTGCCGCCAATCTTTGTGGTTGAACCGAAGTAGATTGTGATCGACCTTGAGGGCGCGTGACGTCAAGGTGCTAAAGAAGACCAACGTGTCAACGGCATTCGAAGAACGGAGATGAAGTGGATTTGGCGCAAGGCGGGAGTAATAGACTCGTGTGTCGACACTGAGGCAGAACGTGTGGGATTAAAAAAGACAGCTTACCTTGATAGCCGGAGCGATTGAGCTGGTGGACGTAAACGCGCTTGAAGAGGAGTTGGTGAAGCGAGTTGCATCCGTATGATTACTGCTACTGCTTGAGCTGGAGCCAGGTTTCGAAGGAGGAGGAGATATTTGAGTTTGAGTGAAGTGAGGTTGAGAAGCCGCCGGGGGATATGAAGAGACCTGATTTGCTTGTTGCGGGGGGTGGGTTGCGAATTTTGAGGGGTGCCTGGGTGCCATAGGGGAGAGGTGATCGTTGCGATCTTGTCGTGTGGAAACAGCACGGATTAGGTGTGCGTCGGGGTCTGTGAGACGGATGAATACACGATAATATGATTAAAGAAAGGACACACCGGCGAGTTTTACTTGAGGTAATAAACCGGGACCTGTGTACTTGCGGCGACCGACAGGTAATAGTAAGGGGGGCGGCTTTGGAGGTTCTGGTATCTTGTCGGGCAAAGGTTGATGGGGAGGTTCTGGTGAAGGTTCTGGTGGAGGTTCTGCCAGCACCTTCCAAGGATCCCATTCATCCTGTGGTGGCATTGTACAAGAATCCATTAGAGAAGAGGAGGTCGCGAATCTAGCAAAGAGAGGTGGTAGTGAAGGAGGAGGAGAATCGAGTGGAACGGGTTTTGACGGTGCCGGATGTTCTACATCAGCGTGCTTCCTAAACTTGCGCAACAAACCGGCCATTGCGAGGTGATGGAAGTACCAGTACAAGAAAAACAACGAGCGTGGTTTTAGTTAATAATAATATTAAAAGGAAAAGGTTTTTGAACGTGCCGAGTTAGAGAAACGACACAAGGAATAGCACTCATCTTAGTCACGTGATTATCCGTTTTAAATCCACAAGATCGTCAATCCAATTACCTCACTCTATTCCGCATCTTCTCTTCCCGGTCAAGCCGGTCATTCAAGAATTAACCAGGCAAATCGGTCAAGGACGTCCGACTCCAAGTTAACTGTCAAATGAATGTACAAACATTCTCCCGACATGGAATATAATATAAAATATTCAAATTCAAAAATGAAGGAGTCTTACGAACTCATCTCGAACTCGATCACATCATCTTCTATTCGAAAATCCCATTTTAGACCGACCCTTGGACTTTTCTCGTACTGGCAGGAATTCATTACCCTCACTCTCTCGATATCCGGACGAAATCTAATACTCCTTCAGTAACCAACTTGTCCGTGTTCCTAATAAACGCTGTGCATCCCCGTAATACATCATGGTAACAAATTTAGAAATCATTTCAAGCGGCACTTTGATCATCATACCACCGCATCCCTCGCATCATCATGTTTCCGGGAACAGCCCACAGCGTCCCTCAATCATACCATCATGATCCAACTTTATCATCAGTGAACACGAGATAGGAAACAGAAATGCCCACCGAGGAGGGGAAGCGAGCGAGCCCGAATCCGAGTCTATCACGTCGCAATGACGAGCTCTTTCTGCTATTACTAATATTACCATCCGTATGGCGTACGGACAGCGCCAAGAATCCAATATAAGAGTTTGGATTCTCTTCGCGATACATTGCGGATGCGATATCGACCCGTGAGTGAATCGACTGGTTGTACGACTGCTAATAGTCAAAGCGTTGCGTACCGGTCTTCCTACGATATCATATAGCCGGAACCCCCTAACGTGTTGATGGACTTGGGTGATGTTCCATGCAAGGACCCGAGTAAGGACTGCAATGCAGAACCTTGCGCCCAGGTATATATATCCAGCATCAAAGTTCAAACAGGCGTTCATCGATGCATCATTTACCAAGAGATACGCTCTTCCTCACCCCCACCATGACGCAAGACTATCAAGAAACAGAACCACTTGCTCGAGCTTAATTAAATTAATGTTGGTATCCCCGAATGGTACCACAATGAGTCAACAAACGTCCCGGACCCAAATTCGGAGTCAACATCGAACAAAAAGCTATGCTGATGCCGATACCAGTTGCGCCTTCCATTCTCTCTGCCTTCTCTAATAATAGTGATTCGCAGTGCCATGGTACCGGCGCGTTCTTGTTCGCGTTCTAGATTAATGCTATCGGATGACCTCGTTGGCGGATGGGGATGAGGATCGGTACCAGTACTACTAGTCTTCACGGGCATTCATGCCCGGAACTATAGTAGTATACACTAGCGTAGCCACTGGCAGTTCGCCGTGCTCGTATTCGCGAGCCCCAGTGCATGCAATGGAGCTCTACATATTGGATGTGGTGGTTTCGTATCAGTCCATACCGGCACCGGCATCAATCACGCCTTTTGCCAGAATGTGCCCTTGGATGCAGGGCAAAAATAGCGTAGGATACAGGGCAACAGGACTCTGGGATAGGCGAATCGTGTAAACGTCACGGATGACGAGCTTGGGAGACCAATAGACGAGCTCGGCAATGTCATTCAAGTTTGTTGTATTCGAGTTCTCAAAAGTTGATGCGCGCTAGTAAGAAGACGAAATCTTTGGTAATCGCTTCATGTCAGTAACCGCGGACTGAGAGTTTGGAAGAACGGTGGTGACGGTACAATAAGGTAGCGCCAGTGGATCACCACGTCCGACAGTTGCAACCATCCGTTTGAGTCGACTCGTGTGTCAAAGGTAAAGTCATCCTGCGACAGAAAGGGTATCAATCAGCCTCCCTTTCGCTATGGCATATCCTGTCGCGATATAAGAATAGACATTCTATCCGAAAATTTACCTACAACAAACGCACGTCCTGAACCAGATAAGTTCTCAGAGAACTTGGACCCTGGGCTCAACTGCCAGTGAAGTTTGGCCCTGATTGGCATAAGCCTCTCATCCTAACAGATACAAACAACGCCTTCGAAAATCTATTTGCAGGTGCCGCCATCTAGTCCTCGGGAGTCGGCTTGGAAGACAGGATAAGATCAGATGACGGAGCTTCCTTGTCGCACTGATCAATTTCACACATCAAGCGACAACAACACAAAAGAAATACAAACGCACTTTCCCAGGTCCGCCGACATGCGTCCGTATCGTGACTCGAACTGCGGCTAGCACGATACAAACATCTTACGTCCACCGACTTACAAATAACATTCCCTGACACCCGTGCGCTCCGTCTTTTGCAAGGAACGTTCGCCGCTGCGAAAAGGCACGCCTCGAGGACTCACGGCTGCTGATTCTCTTCCGACTTAAACCCACTTGTATAGGTTCCAATCTACTTAAGTATGTATTGTGATCGTCCATGTGATGCGCGTAAGGGGTATCCCTTACCTCATTCCGCACCGCGCCTCATCCTCCCGGACGCTCCACCACTCCGCGTTTGGCATCACACTTGCATCATGGCGACGTCACGGCCACCCAACTATCTCCCAACAAATCGGTCAACTCAATGCGGAGAAGCCCAGAGTCTGATTGAAGAAGTCTCGATGATGGCGGATACATACCATCTTCGCTCGAGAAGTTTTATCCATCCATCAGACCCGCCGACATATGTATATATATATGTTATTTGTCAAATCGGAGGTTTGCGAAAATGATAGATATGGGTATTCTCGTCAGCGTACATAATCATTCTACCAATTCGACAATTTGAACAAGTTCGGAATAATGTAATTTAGCTATCGATGATGATTAACTGGCCCCTTCCAAGCTGTGTTTGATCATCACTCCGGAACAACTCCAATTCCTCCGTTCCTGTCCCTCCAAGCCCCACCCAAAAGGCAGTTGCCGCCGCCATCATCACCATGAAGTAATTGTCTGATAGGAACATTCGATAATGTATCCAAGGGCATCGATAAACCATACTCTCAAATGAAACGTCTCGCAATATGGGCTTACGACGCGATGGCGGGGCATTCGTTCATTATCGCGTTAATGGTTGACTTACAATTACGCTATACTGAGTAGACGATCAACGATCTTCGCGACGCAACAAGGGCACCTACGTACGCATCGTCAAGACGTCTTACACATCGAAGCTTCATCTCGAGCTCGATCATATGATTCCTTCCCGGGATCGATGCGCGTTTGTATCATCATCGAGCGTCTTCTGCCCGAAGAAACCCTCTTTTGGATGCTTTGGGCTCGAGTTGAGCTTGGACGGTATGGCCACTTGGTGGTCTGGAACACCGGAACATCCTTCTCCGCCTTCATTGAAATGGGCCTCTTCTCTGGTACCTAAGTTTATGGGGAAGATCAAGGGATTGTACCTGGTCGAGTTTGGGTACTTGATGTCTATGCCTTAACGTTTATCCTGATAACCTTTCAGATCTAATGCGGACGCCGTCCTTTGTACAGTATCAGGTGCGATATTCCGCCTTCGCACAAGCATCTGGTGAGCACGCAATCTAATCAAGTTAGACAATATTGAACAGGGGATCGTCCGGACGAATAGGAATGCTCGAATTACTGGTTTATTGTTTCCGTTTTATTGATTGGGCTTCGATACCAACATGGGAAGTCTTTGGAGCCTGGGCTGTCGGACCTTGTTTTGATGACCTCCTTGTTCTACGGGCTCACGAGAGACATGCATGTGCATCGTTATCATGTGCTCGCAAAACGCACGGTACCTAACCACATAGTCACCTGAACATACAGCTGCCCACCTTGGAAGACAAGGACATTCTTCTCCATCCTCGTTGATCGCAATTGAGGTTTCTTCAGTCGATGCTTCTGCTTCTGCTTCGGATGAAAGTCTTATGTAGTACCTGGTCAGGTTTGGACGCAGCATGTCCAAGTATTAGATCTAACTGATAGCCTTTCAGATCAACTGCGGATGCCGTCCTAAATGCAAGGTCGGGATAACATAAAGAATGGAATTAATTAGCTTCGCCAGTACTTACTTGTCGATATCCCGCCTTCGCGCACGAAATCTAATCGAACTCGAGGCCTCGAGGGATCATCCCGATGAATGATAACATTCCATTTAATTGCTCGTTTCTTTGATCGCTGTACACCACACTTCGATACTAATTCGCAGCCCATGCTATCGGGTCGTTTCACATGTTCGGCATGCCCGAGAAACGTCTACGTCCATGTGCATCGTCACAATCATAAGCACCGACACATACGGAACAAATGCAGAGTCACCTACCAAGGGTACATATCATTGCATGGCTTCGATAATTCCTGGGCATCCATCGCCGTAAGTTTCTTCCAAGTTTCGGTCTCAGTCCCCCATGGCCAGGTTTGGATGCACGATATCCAAGCGCAAGCAATGGACTACTTATCCTAATAGCCTTTCAGATCTATTGCGGATGCTGTCATGTATACTTGGCTGGGTTCACCTAAGGGATGTAATTAATTAGCTTTAGTGTCGATATCCCGCCTTCGCGCACGAAATCTGACTGAGCTTGATAATAGCAGAGTAATCATCATGATGAGTGACCTATTATTGATTGCTCACCTATGTACTTCGATAATAACACAAGAAGTTCTCCCCAGCTATCATTCCAAGAAATTTACGCCCACGTGCATATGCATTGTCACAATCACGCGCACACACCGAAACACGCGTAACAAGCGCATAGTCAGCTCGCTTAGAAAGGTAGGTGAACCGCTACTCACAAAGAGACCCCGTTTCTGAAACGTTCTGTATGTACCATCATTTCCGGGCGCGCTGATCAGCTTACCAATGATGAAACGGTCATCTGCATGATCATAACCCTGTGAAACAAGATAGGAAACGCGACATCGCTATGTAACTGCAAGAAGAGGGACTACCCGAGCTTACCGCATCTTTGTCCAATCACCATTACGATCGGTTTTATCCTCGCATGCGCATATGGCTGATCACGCCTTCTTCCGATAATATAATAGGATTTTAAATCAAAGTTCTCTTCGCGATGCGGATAGACGTTGCGTCTTGGATCGACTCGCCGTTTATGCGGAAGAGATACCTCGATGGGCGTCGGGGAATCGGCCTCGTATGCATAATGGGCGTATTGATTTGATCTGCGAGTAACGTTGCAGTTCACCGCGATCGTGATTCTAGAATTGATGATGATGGGCTGCTTGAAGCTGGGCGATGGTTTCATATCAAGATCGGTATCAGCTGAGACTTGAGCTTTGCACGTGGTGAGAATGTGGGCGGATCGTTGTTTGCTTGTGTGCCACGGATGCAGAGCATCTTTAGATGAGCGCGATGGGTGTACTTGATGGTAGTAAGGAAGATTCAACAGTATCGGCGTATCAGATCGCAGTAGGATGACGGGAAGCAGTCGCATGCACACTGATCGAGTGATTCCATGAACCGAGGATTTGGAAGAACGGTGACAATCTGAGAGTCCGAGTTGAATGATAGAAGGTGAGGTGACGACTCACTGGGAAACACCAATCAGCCTCTTCCATCTTCCTTTTGTGATGTATCTGTTATGATTTGTGGAAGTTTTAAGTTGCAGGTTACTTAACACCTCGGCCAATCACAAAAGATGCATATGCATGCCACCAGCCAGTTTTAGTAGTAACGATGTCGGAAAAATTATGATTGACTTGGGTTGACCTAACATGAGTTTGGCCCTGATTGGCAAAGGCCTCTCATCCTAACACATACAAACAACGCCTTCAAAATTTGAAAGTAAGGATCTGCCACGCCAGGCGCTCCAAATCTAGATGGCAACATCACTCGGGAAACGCAGGCAAAGAGAAGAAGACGCACAAGCCCCATCACAATCACACGGGTAAGTCAATACGTTCACATCAAACACCAAAACAACGTAACATCGCGCTTCATCAGGTCCACACTATTCGTATCCAACCTCCCCTATGATGCAACATCCACCGACCTACAAACAACATTCTCAGATTTAGCACCCGTGCGATATGCTTTTGTCGTAACCAATAATGGAACTGGGGAGTCCAAGGGTTTTGGTTATGTATCTTTTTCTATCAAGGAGGATGCGCAGACTGCTTTTGATACCGTGTCGACTGAGGGGATCAAGATCAATGGGAGGAAGTTGAGGGTCAAGTGGGCGGATAAGAAGATGGTGGGTTTTGTTGTCGTTTATTCGTGGACGGGTTTCTTATGGGTGGTATAGGACAAGGGCAAATTCGAAAGCTCGAAGGAGCGCGTTGGAAAGGAGAAGAAGCGAGAAGTGCCAAAGCAGGTAGTGATAAAACAAGAGGCGAAAAAACACCAGCAAGAAGTGAAAAAGCAGGTGGTGGTAAAACAGGAGGCGAAAAAACACCAACAAGAAGTACAAAAGCAGGAGGACAAGGCGAAGCCTGAAGATGCCGATGAGAGTGACGCCGAATCAGATGATGTCGATGAGGATGATGTCAAGATGGTCGACGTTGAAGATAGTGAAGCTGAGCTGAGTGATGCTGAAGACGAAGAGGAGCAGTTAGGTCTTCATGAGGACGAGCACAGCGACAAGGACGAAGACGAAGACATCGAAGACGACGACGATAAAGAAGCCATAAGTGCCGAAAATCAACGACGTCCCGTGAAACCTCAGCTACCTCAAACGGACACAGGTACCACACTCTTCATCCGCAATATCCCTTTTATTGCTACAGAAGATGAACTACGGGTACTGTACGTGTACCTTCTCCCACCACCCCGTGTGTGCTCACTCTTCATGATGTAGATTCCGCACATTTGGGCCTCTACGGTATGCTCGAATTACCGTCGAACCAGGCACCGAACGTTCACGAGGCACTGGTTTCGTTTGCTTCTGGAATAAAGAGGTCGCCGACAAGGTGATCGAGCAAAGCGAAATCTTGCGCGCCGAAACCATGGGCCCGCAACAAGTACGTCTCACTCTCCAAAGTACGATGTGTCTCTGACACCTCTCAGCCAACAAAAAACCCATTTACCCTGCCATCAATATTAACGCCTGACCCATCTGCGGGTGTAGCCAAAAGTCTTGTACTTCATGGTCGCACTTTGGATGTTGTGAGAGCTGTCACGCGGGATCAAGCAGGTAAGCTGAAGGATGAAGGCGAGAAAAGACGAGAAAAGGCAGACAAGAGAAATCTTTACTTGTTGCGTGAGGGAGGTAAGGTTGATTTTGTTATCATCCCTGTTATCTTTGTAAATCAGAATTCTCCAGTCATCTTGCCTAATACGCCAGCGGCCAGCACCATACCACCTGTTGAACTGGAGAAGCGGACTAATTCATTCACTGCTCGCCGTACCATGTTGCGGACAAATCCTTCCTTATACGTATCGAAGACCCGACTCAGCGTTCGCCAGATACCCCTATTCGTTACTGAGCGGACTCTTAAACGCCTCGCTCTCCACGCCCTTCGTACATTCCAAGATGAAGTCAAAAAAGGAGAACGCCACGGTTTGACGCCCGAGGAGCTAGAAGAGGTCACCAAGGAATCCGATGAACCAGGCGACTCCAGCACGAGGCCGAAGGTTGGGAAACGATTGCAGGGAAGCAGAGTCAAGCAAGCCAAAATCGTGCGGCAACATGAACGGGTAGATCCTGTCACAGGAAAAGGCCGCAGCAAAGGTTATGGATTCATCGAGATGCCGCGGCATGCGGATGCGCTACGCGTTCTTCGGTGGGCCAACAACAATCCTGCTGTGGCACCACTTCTGAGCACCTGGTGGAAAGAAGAGCTTGGAGATCTCATCAAGCTGGAGAAGGGGAAGAAGGATCCTGATGAAGCTAGACTGAAGCGGATAAAGGATGAGCTAGAAGGCCAAGTGAAAATGCCCAAGGGTACGCTTGTAGTGGAATTCTCCATAGAAAACGTGCAGGTCGTCCAGCGAAGAGCGAATCAGAACAAGGAAAAACCGACAGTAAATGTATGTATGATTTCCGTCTATGATCACTATTTCTGACTCAGATTTAGACGCGAGTCACAAAAGACCACGGTGAGATATCTCAAGAACCACCTATGAAGAAACGACGCGTTGCGGCTGATGAAACACCAGCAAAGCCTGTGAAAGAAGAACATGCTAATGGTGGTCAGGGCATTGGCGCAGTTATTGGCAGAAAGAGGAAGGAGCGTAAAGCTGCCAAGAAGAGCGCAAAGTAGCCCTGAGTCAAGTGCTGTCTTGTTTTGTTCTTTACCTTTGGTCGTATCATATACCGCTCAAATGGACCACAGTTTCAAAGATATCGACTTTCATTGGCTGACTGACTAGAGACAGAATTTCTATATTTATATTCTGCAACATTTAAACAACGGAGACAGCTGTTACAGCTGATTCGCAAAAACAAGTTAAACTCGCGTCATCAAAGCATCCGAAGCAGAACCCCATAAGCATTAGGCTTGCGCTGACGCTCGTTGGTATACACTGACCTCAGCCTGCCGCCACACCAGCCATGCACACTCACTCTCCCTTCTAGATTTCGTATACCTGTTTTCACCAATGCGGACGCTTCGTTGCAATTTCCTCGGTGTTAAGACGACACTTGTATAGTACAGCTGACTCGGACTGCCAGCATTGCATCTCAAAATACAAACGATGGGCATCGCGGCAAGCATCGCAACTTCAGTATCGATGACATCACCTTTCTCACTGCTATCCTCCGCCGAAATCCCACCATGTACTGGATGAGCTACAACGCGGTGCGTATTTGTACATACACTTCTTTGCACCCTGCATACTAGCAGGCTACATCACAGCCAGAAGGGTATCTCCGCTCGGGCTCTGGAATGACTCGGAGATGAAGAACGACAGTGCCATCTTCATGAACCATATTGCCGAGATGGCTTCGAACCCTGGAATGCCGATGTTCGGTGACGAAGCTGCGAAAGATCAAAGGATCAATGCGTGGAACAAGGTTTGCTTCATTTACTGCCTAGTACCAGTCGAAGTGTACCGTTTCTTCTCAGTGACCTTATAGAGTGATTTATCGTGCTAGTCGTGGGGAAGTCAAGGTATTTGGGCTCGGAGACATGCATCGACATTTACAACAGAGACGGTCTCCTACTGAGGTATTTCTGTGTTGAGGGATTCAGAAGGTGAGGCCATTATTGAAAGCAAGTCCATCTAAAGACTATGTAGTTCAAGTCGCTCACGTGCTTACGGGGTCCTACTTCGGTCACATCCGAGACGCAAAAGTCTCCGCATAATTTTGCAATCAATGATGCTCTAGTACGAGCTGTTCTGGACTCCTGGGGAATAGTACTAGTGTACGAGAATAGGCCTAGGTACGGGTGCGGATAGCCGATAAGGTCTGTTTGAAGTGTTAATGTTTTCTAGCTGATTGGATATGAAACAACCCTTTCTACACGCCGTCATCGTCATCCTCCTCCACTCGTCACTCATCGATCATCACCAACTAGAGACTAAACATCAGTATGAGACTCGCTGCGTTTTTATCATTAGGAGATAGTTGTTGCTAGACGTATCTGTGACAGCGGGTTTCCAGCGTCTGAACTTGCGCAACCTGAATTTCTCACAGGTGACAGTAAGCAATACCATTTGACAGGAGCAGCATAATCCCAAAAGCTTGCATGATCCGTTATCGATATTTATTAATCAAACCACATGGGCCAAGTTATCAAAAGCTACATATTGAGAACCAAGGCCGTAGGAGAATAAGGTCTTACCACCGAACATCTATTCGCTGCACACCGCAACTCACTGTACTTATGTCTGACTCTAACGTATGGTTGATCACAGGTGAATATCCTCATTTCCTATGGTGCGCATCAAGCAGTAGCTTACGTCGATCATTATAGGTACATCATCAGGCTTTGGTCGCCGTTTAGTATCAATCGTTCTAGAACGCGGTGATCGCGTAGTCGCGACGGCCCGATCTCTCCAGAAAATTCAAGATTTTCCCCAATCTCCAAACCTACACCTCCTAGAGCTCGATGTGACTGCTGGAACGACTGCCATCAAGGAACGCGTAGATGAGGCGGCTAAGGTATGGGGCAGGATTGATGTGTTGGTGAACAATGCGGGTATTGGATTGCCAGGAATCCTCGAGGAATGCGGGTAGGACACAGACGTGTTTATTTCCCGTGCCTAATGCATGTCATCGGTTTCAGGGTGGATAGGCTGCAAAGACAATTCCGCCCTAATGTCTTCGGTGTGCTGGATGTCACGAATGCAGCATTGCCATACATGCGTGAAAGTAAGTTTCTGGAGATATGCATGTAACACACGCTTTGAGCTCTGCAGGGAAAAGTGGTACAGTAGTTATCATCGGGAGCCGTAGCGCCTGGAGGCCTGAAATTAGGGTGAGTGGCGTTGTCTATCGTTGATAGTGGCTGAACAATGTCTATTTCAGGGAATTGGTGAGTAATGCCTTTTAAGCTTTTCCCTGGGTGACCAACACTACGGCTGGCAGGCTCTTATGCCTCATCAAAGGCAGCTGTGCATGGTAAGTCGCGTTGGACCCATACACGTTACATCGTCCATGAACTGAAAAATACTTGCAGTAATGGGCGAAACACTTGCCGTGGAACTCGCATCGTTCAACATACGCGTCCTGATCGTCGCGCCTGGCGCCTTCCGCACAGAAAACATATACAGCAATAAATTTGACACGACGCATCCTATTCCTGATTATGATGAAACACGAGCTAAAGCACTGCTGAGGTATGAGACTGTCCCTGGCAAGCAGCCAGGAGACCCCGCGAAGGCGATGAAAATCGTCGTAGACGTCGTAAGAGGAGAAGGCGTTGCAGTTGGGAGGGAGTGGCCATTGTATCTTGTCTTGGGGGAGGATGCAGAGCAAGATGTCAGAAATAAATGTATGAAGGTGTTGAAGCACCTTGATGAATGGCAAGACGTAATCCGGGACGTGAATCTATAAACTGACAACTATGTAGCATTAGAGATATATGATGTAAATTTATTGCTCTTTTCGGGTCTTGAGCTTGAGGAGGCTTTATAAAAGGCGCATCATCATAAACCTGGTTCCACGCTTCATTTCCTCCTCGTGTATTAGGAACTCATGAACGACTGCAGTCTTCCTTCTCTATGACCTGGCTAGGTATTAGGAACTAGATTTTACGGACTACGCCAGACTATACTCGGATATGTCGGGGAAAACGTCAGCGATTCACTCTGTCATGCAGCTCGCGAGCACGCTCCCTATACGCATCATGACTACTTTAATTGATGAAATAAGTGTGAGCCATCTACTGATCGACCGCGATGCGAATATTCGGTTGCGTATATGCTGTAAAAAATGCATGACATACAATCGTGGTGTTTGATGTATTATCAATATGGTCATGTCAGGAGCTGGCCAGCGACGTTTTTTGCCTGGTGTGATCTCTGCACCACAACGAGATATCAGGATTGCAGCCGCCCATGACGTATGACAAATAAAACGCCTCCTATATTCATATTGCCCCCAATTTTGCAGTCCATGGTTGTTCAAATTAATCTGACATTAGGTGATGTCGTACCATTCGCTGCATCACGGGTCGGCAAGAACCCTCAGCTCTGTCTCAAAGGACAGACTCGGAGACCCCTATGGGCCATTGGCCCAAAGCAGGTCTCCAACGGGATCGTCTGGTGATTAGCCAAGCAAAGGGAACTTATGAAATCCTCTGCCTCTTCGAAAATCTCCCAACCTCTATGTCGCCCACCGTACGATCCAAGTGGTCGAATACAGACCCTAAAGCGTGAGCTAGGTCAGGATGACAGGGGCCGGATGCTATGCTCATCATGGCGTCAAATTTTCGTCTCAGTCCAGCAAGCTGGTCTGGCGAGAAATAAACCTCAGGCTATAACAGAAGTGAATCATTAGAGAATGAACACCAAACGCTATCTTGACGTACGATGCCTGGAGGTGGTCCTCCGTTCCCCTGTGGCTGCTCTAACATGGGTCCCACGCCATCTTCTTCTGGGCCCACGTCATCCCTTGGCATTATTTGAGGCATCTCAGTAATTCCGACTGGTACTGTCATCGGCGCTGTTGTGAACAAAGGCTGTTTCGGAATTGGCTTTGGTGTGGTCTCCATCTTGAATTCTCCCGACTGCGACTTGCGAAACGACGCAGGGAAACTTGGGTGCGCTTCAGCATGTGTCATACGAATACGAAGAAGAAGCTCGTTATCGTCCATCGTTGTTATACGTAGCCAGCCACCACAATGATAACGAGTGATGCGAGAACGTGACTTGGCGCGATCGGCATCTTGGTTTCGCGACTTTGATTGCTCTCCTTCAAGCTGGGCACAGAAGTATGTGACGACCGTCGACTTTCCACCGCGCTTTGTTTTCTTTTGACTGTATGAAAGACGTCTTGTAAGAACTGCTCCAGTGCATGCATGACGTAGACAACGCACTTCCAGTGATATTCCGATGCTTCTGCCAGGAAATCTCTAATCTTGTTCGTCCTATTATACAAATGTTCCCCAGCTGCAAACATCCCCGGCGGTAGATTCACCATAGTGTCAAAGTCGAATGGGCGGCCTTTGTTCAATGTGACGAGTTTCAAGAAGTCATCCAAGCTCATCGCCGCGGTGGCAATCTGCCCACATCCAGATGAATCAACAGTGGCAGCGGACTTCCGTGCTACTTGTTTGTCCATACAGCCGATGCATACTTTGAGGTGGCCTGTACCAGTACGTCGGGGTGGGTATGAGTCGACGGGACCCATATAGGCACAGCGAGTGCATTTCTGAAGTATGGTTGAAGAGGCGGATGAGGAAGGACCCGGAGCCATCTCTGTTGGGATCTCGAATGTAGTAGGAGCCATTGAAGAGGGTGTCGGTGTGGATGACAAGCCCAGCACAGGAGCGGGAGAACCTGCGAAGTCGCCCTATAAATTGGGAATAAAATTGCTCAAATGCATCTGCCCATACCTTTTGCTTCCATCTTATACTATCTCGGAAGATCTTAACGCAGTCCGTGATATTCTTGAATTACGGTGGTAAGGTTTCTGTCAGGTTTCTGTGGGTGCACTTCGCGACAATCCCACAGATCACGTGCACATCTCAATATGGGAAAATATGACGGACTCTTTGTATTTCATCATATGATCACACACCATGTAACCTTAGGATCTCATGAAATCAACAACTTTGAGAGCTGGGACGAAGTAACGGAGCCCAGGGATTAAGACCTGAAGGATCAACTTATCGAGACCTGGTTTAAACTGCGCCACGTTCGCGAGCCCCCCGGGCGATGTAATCTTTCCCTCGTGACAATCACATCACTGTCACTCTGCACCAACGCGCGCTCTCATGCATGCCGACTGTCCTTCTTTTGTACAACATCGTCTCTCTGTCAGCCCGCAGATGCAGCTGGTTGCTGCCCACCAAAAGAATCTGTGAAATTGAAATTGTTCACTTTGATCACGACAATTGTTTTCTCTCGCATTCCTGCTAGGCAACATGATCATGGCAGTCTGATGAGCACAATACTCAAATCAGAAATTGTTTACGCACTTTGGGGTCCCCCTTGTTTGATGTTGCACTCACGGGGCCTATTAGCTCAAACGTTTCGGAGGACATTGATACGCTTTGCTTCAAGAGAGCATCAATGCCTTCCAAACATATTTATGGCTGAGAACACTTCATGTTGGGAGTCCTTGTACTCTTAAATCATAGCTGAGACGAACCTTCGGCCGCCCTCAGTTGTGGACATACGTAAAATATAACCGATAACACCTAATAGGGGAGCGCCTGTGTGCACTTTACCACCCACTAGAAATGCTGATTTGAAGATGACATAGAAGGCTGGTTGAGAACGGCAGGGCCTGAGCTCGGGCGATCACCCTGGAAATGCACATATGCAAGAAAGCACTCGTCACTTTGTCAATGGGTTAGACAGGTGTCTTGATCGTACAGCGCGCTTGCCTTTGAGTATTCATGGTGCCCGAGTTCCGATATTCTGCAAAACGCCTGAAATAACGCTGGCACCACAAATGGAACCCTGCACTCCCTCTCTACTTCACTGAGCATACGCTCAGCACGGAGACGTTGTGTCCTTTCCTGCTGCAACTCGATTTCAAGCAGTATCAGTCGCGCCTCCATATCTACAAGAAATCAAATGAGTCAGCTACGTGCATACCGAACTGCTGGTGTACGAGACCATGGGGTGAAGGCGTTGTTTCTTCACTCTTTGGTTGGGGAACACCAAGACGCATAAGATCTTCCGATATCCCTTTCTCAGAATGTTTTAAGGTGGTTAGCTGACCGCGGACCTTCGAAAGCTCAAGCGATAGCCTATTGATAGCCTCTCTATCTCTTGGTGGGCGGGGACCGCTAGGGGTGGAGCTGTTGCTTATGCCGGGTGATCCTGGAAGGGGTCTGATGTGATATGGAGGGATGCGTAATGGCTGTTGAGGGGTGATTGTGAGCCCCGCGCGGGATGTCGGGTATCTGGACCGATGAGTTTTGTCGCCCACTTGAGTGGGTTGGTATTCCTCAGTTGAAAGGCCGTTTAGAGTATGATTCCCCTCCGCTGTACTGTTCTGAATGGGGAGGTGCTGCTCGGTTCGAATTCTCTTCAATAAAGGATTCGAGGAGGGCTCATTATTACCATCTGACCCAAAAGGTGGTGATGAAACACCTTGCTCATTGACGAACTTGGAAATGTTTAGTGTATAGGAATGGCAGATATATCACAGTACTCACATCGAATCGAGATCTCTTCCTTTGAACTACTTCCGTGGTGAATTGTGAATCAGAACGGTCTGATGTAGAAGATAACGGTGGACTCATTCCTTCTGTCCACGGCAGCTCTATTGTATGTTTCGGTCCCAACGGTGACAAATTTGTTCCGCGTGTTCCCGTAAAATCAATGGACGGTAGTCTATGATGGACCTTCAATACATGTCGTTTGTATGAGGACACTCTCACATTTCAACAGCCACCGATTCGCTTTACAGATGAGATCGCGTCTGAGTTTTATTCATGTACATGTGCTTCTGTAAAAGTGCTTACATAGAGAGCTCCTCTTTGACCGCGTTCAGCTCTGGATTCCCCTTGGAAATGGTCACCCATCTTGGGTACAAAGTGCCCTAAGAGCGGATCGACCGTAGTTCACGGTACAAGACAATACTTGAGACATACCTCAACCACAGGGACTGACGCATGAGTGGGGTGAGGCCATGCCAATAAAAACGCAGCACCTTCCTGATGGATGTTTTCGCCTTTTGGACGATGTGCTCTAAGAACATTGAGATCTGCTAGAAGGACATGAAGGGCCTCCGTTTTATTCGTCATCCCAGATATCAGTCGCGCGCCCTTAGCTCCGCCGTACTTGAGCGTAACTTGAATGGTCTCGTAGTTCTTGAAGGAATTCATGAAGGAGATGATAAATGACAATTATCACGGGAGTTCAGACGCTTCAAGTTTGCTGGTTGCTGCCGCACGTGAGCAGGCGGATGTTATATAAGCAAATTAAAATACACCAAGTAAGATAGGCGTCACTCTTTTCCAACACGTCTTACATAATCGTAACGCCGCGTACGCGCCAATTCCCGACGACTGCCAACCAATCCTATTCGTTGATCGCATGTGAACTCATTTCCTCCTCGCAATGATTACCCCTACTGTGCGGTGTAAGCCAGACGACCGGTACTAAATGCCTTTCGTCTCTCACTATGAATTGTTTAGCGCATAGCAGTAGTCCAGACCATCTCGCATACTGTAATTGAGAAGCCGAGACGTAATATACATGATAAGTCTGAAGCACACCAGTTGGCCAGACGAAAAACACAGTCAAAATCTCTGTATCCCAATTGAAAGGTAAAGAAACAATCAAGACAAAAGAGGACTTGAACACATACTTTAAAGGTCGGAGACACCAAGCCGAAACAGACATAACGTACAAGCGAAAACTCATCATTTGAACCAGGGAAAAGAATCAGACCATACCCTGGGTCTTTAAAATCGAGCACTCCTTTGCTTCTTCATTCAGGGAAGGCACCATGTCAGTCATCGGCCAACTGCATGTCCTGCACGCCGAACTCGCCACCTGTCATATCCCATATATTCACGCTTCTCTTCCGGACTTCGGACCCTGAGATCCGGTCCGGTCCGATGTATAGATCCGCTTCCGATCCGATTTACGATAAGCTTTCTAATTCATTTCCTGTTTCATATAACGTTAAACACAGCCTATTCGGTATTTCCTCTTCCCGGTGTTTCGGTTATGCTTATTACCGGTATGATTACTGATCCGTTAACCTATGTCTCATTTCCGACTCGCGTTTGATAACCTTTGCACATGCTTCGTACATAGCCTCGGACCCTTGCTTACTGATACTTCCGTTATCCTCATAGTATATAAACTCGTGTATATGTCCTGTAGTACCTCAGTTCGAATATCATCTTAGTTTGTCCTCTTTCTGTCCTCCGGACTTGAGTTCTCCTTACTCTTGTCACTCTCCGAGACTTCGGATAGATTCCGATAGTCTATATCCTCGGCTCTACCTTCGGGTAGTCTTTACTCTGTTAGTTTCTAGTTCGGATACGTCCGGATTAGCCTTATACGCGTTTCCGATATCCGGAAGACTTCCGGATATACTACGAGACCCGTCCGGACCTTCGGACGCGTTATCGTTAGTACTTTGAAATAAGGGACAGTACTTGGGAAAGGGGCACAGCGTACGAGCTGAGGCCGAAGTCCTTCGGATCCGATCTTACGAGAGTACGACCTTAACAGTATATTCGAACTCACACCTTTCCAAGTACACTTACTCATATCATGGCTCCTACTAAAGTAAACCAAGCCGCTTTGCACGCTGTCGGACTTTCGTCCACCCGACGCGATCCGACATCCGTAGTTAACGCCTTCACCAGTTTCTCTCAGCGCCGTGTATCACGCGGTCCTGCTCAAAGTATTTCGCAACTCATGAATCGTCCGCATCCGGAAACCCCTATGCGCACTCCTGCCGGAGGTGATCCGGATGACGAAGGACCTCCGGACGATGAAGATACTCCTGGTGGAAACCCTCCGGATGACTTCGGAGGTGATCCGGATGATGAACCGGATGACAACGATGATGAATTTGACGGGTTAAACCCACAAGACCGTGTCATGCTTCGGCTTTCTCAAGCCATCGACAATCTCGCACGCAACAATCGTCGTCCGACCTCGTCCGAAGATTCTAAAGTCAAGATCCGTGAGCCCGATACTTTCGATGGCACTGAGCCTCGGAAGCTTCGTGCATTCTTCGTCCAATGCGAGCTCCACTTCCAAAGCAAACCCAAAGCCTTCCGTTCCGGACGGGCAAAAGTCAACTTCGCCCAATCCTACCTTAAGGGTATGGCACTCGAGTGGTTCGAACTGGATCTCCTAGCCGACGAGGACGATGATCGTCCGGATTGGATGGATGATTACTCCGCGTTCATGCTTGAACTCCAAACCAATTTCGGACCGCACGATCCGTCCGGAGATGCGGAAATGCAATTGGAGCAACTTCATATGCGTGACGGACAACGCATTAATAAATATGTTGTTGAATTTCAGCGTCTTGCTTCACAAGTCCGTGGCTGGGGTGACGGTGCCCTAAGACGCCAATTCTATAACGGACTTCCGGCTCGTATCAAAGACGAAATCAGTCGCATGGGTAAACCTTCCACCCTTTCCGAATACAAGATCCTTGCCCAGACTATCGACGCTCGATACTGGGAACGGAAGGGAGAAGTCGCCCGCGAAACTAAACCCACCACCTCCATTCCTCCTAAGCAAACCACGTCCAATCGGACGAATTCCAACTCGTCCGGACCTTCGAGGTACAAATCCGACAAACCCGCTACTTCCGCATCATCCTCCGTTTCTAAACCTCCGGACCTTACCTCCAAGTTAGGAAAGGACGGGAAGCTCACGTCCGAAGAACGTAAGAGACGGATGGATAACAAACTCTGTCTATTCTGCGGTGGACCCGGCCATTCGGCTCAGGAATGCACCAAGTCTACTTCGCGCGCTGCCAAAGGCCGCGCTGCAGTAGTAACTCCGGAAGACAAACCGGAGGCTTCGGATGAAGCAAAAAAATAGTCCGCAACCCTCCCGACTCCGCACGGGATGAGGGTTGCGTTGACTCTACCCGTGCAACGGAGCTACGTCTCAATGCTGTTTCTCTTTCCGATCCGAACTCTCTTTGTCCATACGTTTCTATTCCTACTTTTCCTGATATTTCTGATTTTCCTTCACTAATTGATTGTGGTTCCTCTCACTGTTTTATAGACTCTGATTTCATCCGAAAAAATAAAATTCCTACATATCCGATATCTCCGCTTTCTCTCCGTTTGTTTGATGGTACTTGTAATAATATGATTTCCGAAGCTATAGATTTGCCTATCTGTTTTCCGTCCGGTGTAGTTACCTCCGATACGTTTTACGTTACTCCGTTGGATTCTTCTTGTTTTATCGTTCTTGGATATAGCTGGCTCACCCTACACAATCCGTTGATTGACTGGGTTTCGGGCAGCATCGATTTCCGAACGACTTCTCATGGAATGCCTTCGACACCTCCGACGTCGCTTCCGTCTCCGGATCCGCATCCTCCGATGGAAGATTTACCTCCTCCGACTACATCCGGAACCTCCGCTGATAAAACCATCCCCAACATTTCCTTGATCAATGCGGTTGCCTTTTGCCGGGCCTGCAAATTGGAAGGATCGGAACAGTTCAGCATCTACCTTCGTCCGACCGGTGTAGACCTCCGGTCCGCTTCCCTTTCATCCGATTCTCCGGACCTGTCCGGAATTCCTCCGGAATATCACGAATTCTCGGATGTGTTCGATAAGGGCAAAGCTAGCCAACTTCCTCCTCATCGTCCCTATGATCTCAAAATCGAGTTAGAGGAAGGAACTAGTCCGCCCCTCGGAACCATTTATTCTCTATCTGCAGTTGAGCTTGCAGCCCTCCGGAAGTTTCTTGATGAAAATATTTCCTCCGGACTCCTCCGTTCCTCATCCTCTTCTCACGGAGCTCCTGTCCTGTTTGTCAAGAAAAAGGATGGCTCCCTTCGCCTCTGTGTAGATTTCCGTGGACTTAACCAGATTACCAAGAAAGACCGATATCCGTTACCTCTCATTACCGACCTCCTAGACTCTCCGAGCCGCGCTAAAGTCTATACCAAAATCGACCTCCGATCCGCTTATCATCTCGTCCGGATAGCGGACGGAGACGAATGGAAGACCGCGTTCCGAACGCGTTATGGCTCATATGAATGGTTGGTAATGCCGGAAGGTCTCACTAACGCTCCGGCTGCATTCCAACGCTTTGTCAATAGCGTGTTTGCTGATATGCTGGATGTATGCGTTATCGTATATCTGGACGACATCCTCATCTATTCCCAAGACCTTGCATCCCATAAGGAACATGTCCGAGAAGTCCTTCTCCGTCTCCGAAAACATCGACTCTATGCTAAACCCGAAAAATGCGCGTTCCATACCACATCCGTTGAATACCTTGGTTACATCCTATCTCCGGACGGCTTGACCATGTCGTCCGAGAAGATCCAGTCCATCGTTGACTGGCCGGAACCTCGGAAAGTTAAGGATATTCAATCCTTCCTCGGATTCGCAAATTTCTATCGTCGATTCATTTTCAATTACTCGGACATCGTAGTTCCGCTCACCCGTCTTACCCGCAAGGGGGTTACTTGGGATTTTTCCGATGATTGTCGGAAGTCTTTTGAAACACTCAAGAAAGCTTTCACGTCCGCTCCGGTGCTTACGCACTGGATTCCGAATGTTCCGATAGTCGTAGAAACCGACGCCTCTGACTACGCTATAGCCGGAATACTTTCCATAGTATGTCCGGACTCAGAGCTTCGTCCGGTGGCATTTTATTCTCGGACGCTTACCGCTCCGGAACTCAACTACGACACTCACGATAAGGAACTTCTAGCCATCCATGAAGCTTTTCGGACGTGGCGACATTACCTTGAAGGCTCTGCCGAGCCGATAGACGTTGTCACGGACCATAAGAACCTTGAGTATTTCTCTACCACAAAACTCCTCTCTCGCCGTCAGGCCCGCTGGTCGGAATTCCTCCATCAGTTTAACCTAGTCATCCGTTTCCGTCCCGGAAAACTCGGAGCTAAACCGGATTCCCTTACTAGACGCTGGGACGTCTATCCCAAAGAGGGGGATAAGGACTACGCTTGAGTTAACCCTCACAATTTCCGTCCGGTATTCACTTCGGAACAGTTAGCTTCGTCCCTCCGAGCCTCAACTCTAGTAACTCCGGTTCTTAGGGCAGCCGTTCTGATTGATATCGACCAGCTCCGGAAAGACATCCTGACCGCACTTCCTAATGACCCTATCGCATCCGAACATCTTCCGGAACCTTCGGATCCGAGATGGACGGTGGACGATAGTGGTTTCCTCCGCTGCGACAACCGTATATATGTTCCGGAATCTAATAATCTCCGTCTTCGCGTCCTCCAGAATACTCATGATCATCCGTTGTCCGGACACTTCGGACAGAACCGGACGCTAGATATCATCCGACGCGAGTACACTTGGCCAGGAATCCGTACCTATGTCAAAGACTACGTCAAGTCTTGTACTTCCTGCGGCCGAGCTAAGGTTCCGAGACACAAACCTTACGGATTGCTCAAGCAGTTACCCATACCGGAAAAGCCTTGGAATTCTATATCCATGGATTTCATCGAGCACCTTCCGGACTCATCCGGCTTTACAGCCATCCTCGTCGTAATCGACCGTCTATCCAAACAAGCTATATTCATCCCTACCCACGACACCATTACCTCTCCGGATCTCGCTCGTCTATTCGTCCTCCACGTGTTTTCCAAGCACGGAGTTCCATCCCATGTCACTTCGGACCGAGGAACAGAATTCGTATCGCATTTCTTCCGGTCCTTAGGAAAAGCATTAGATATGGTCCTTCACTTCACGTCCGGATATCATCCGGAAGGAGACGGACAAACCGAACGAGCGAACCAAACCCTTGAACAATACCTCCGGATATACTGCAACTATCAGCAGGATAACTGGTCGGAACTACTTCCCTTGGCAGAATTCGCTTATAACAACGCTCCGAGTGCTACTACCGGAGTATCACCCTTCTTCGCCAATAAGGGATATCATCCGAACCTATCCGTTCATCCGGAACGTGACCTCTCATCCGCCCGCGCACGAGACTATGCAGTAGACCTTGACGAACTCCATCAGTTCCTCCGAGAAGAAATGGCCCACGCACAAGAAAGATATCAAGGACCTGCGGACGCCAAACGGAAACCTGCTCCGGATATGAAAATCGGAGATCCGGTCTTCGTCAAAGCAAAATACTTCCGATCCACCCGTCCGTCCAAGAAACTCTCGGAAAAGAACTTAGGTCCGTTCGAAATCATAGCTCGTCCGGGTACGCATTCTTTCACCATCCGACTTCCGGATTCCATGCGCTCCGTACACCCAGTTTTCCATGTCTCGCAATTAGAACCAGCCACACTCAATACCATTCCTAATCGTATCCAATCGCCTCCACCTCCGGTCGAAGTCGACGGAGAACCCGAATATGAGATATCCGAAGTTTTGGACTCAAAATTAGACCGTCGGAGAAGACAATGTCAACTCCTATACCTCGTCCGATGGTCCGGATATGAAGGAACGGACGAGGAGACTTCATGGTTACTTGCTACGGAGCTCGGTAACGCATCCGAACTAGTTTCGGACTTCCACGCTGCATATCCGAACAAACCCGGTCCTATTCAACTTTGAAGTACATAGTGTGCATACGAAATACAAGTACATTTAGAGAAGAAGCATAAACGGACCAGAAATTCCTACATCTCCATAGACCCATCCGCCTCTCCGGATCCGCCTGCATCACTTCCGGACGCCCTTTCCATCACCTCATCTTCCTCCTCCGGACCCGGAGACGTCCGAAATCCCTTCCGAATATGTCCGAACAACATGGCTTGAAATTCCCTCTGTTGCTGAAGGAACAGCTCAATTCCGGAGCTCATCCGGTCCGCTGCAGCCCTGCTGCCTTCCGCCGCCTGAATACTTCTCTCCAAAAGGGTGTTAGTCCTAGCCAGCTCCGCCACTATACTGTTGGCTGCGGCCACCCAAGCCTGATCATCGTATTCCGTCTCCATCTCCTCCGGATCTTCAGGAGTCGGACTCTTCTGACGTTTCTTACCTTTACCTTTCGGAGATGGAGATCCGGCAGCATGCTTCCTCTTCTTGCCCTTGGGCACCTTGACAGTTCCGGGTCGTCCGGGGCACGTAGCCTTGTCCTTCCGGCAGATATCGCAAGACTTGACCTATCCGGACGTCAAAACACTCGGATCCGAAAAAAAAAACACGGATTAACTCACCAGAGCATTGCTCTCCGCATCCGTCCAAAGGCAAGTCCGGCCTCTGTCGCTGCAACGCTTGCAGGATCCGTCCTTGTCAGCGGAAATGGCACGAGACTTTTCATCCGTCAGGCAAAGCCATCATAACCATCCGAAACTCACCATTTCCTCTACTATCTCCCTGCGCCGTTTGTTTTCTGCCTCCACCCGAATTTCGGACTCTCGAATCCTCTTAAGATCCTCCTGAATCTTCCGTTCCTCTTCACGCTTCCGCTCCGCCTCCTGACGCTTCTGAATCTCCTCCTCCTCCTTCCGAGCCGCAGCTTCAGCGTCCGCTAGTTGCTGTTGAAGCTCCAGCAGTTTCTGCTTAGCAGTCTTCTGAGATCCGGAGGTGTTGCCAGACATTTTCGATAGAGCGTTATAGAGAGTAAAAAGTGGGAAAGGAAGAATCATCCTGGGACGTCCGCCCTTGAGTATACCTGTCCGATTCCGAACTCAGACGCTTCTCCATCATCTCGCGATAATCTCGTCCGGTCCGGACCGATGGTTCTTGTGCCTCTAGGGATCGGCCCTAAGGGGGGGATACTGTCATATCCCATATATTCACGCTTCTCTTCCGGACTTCGGACCCTGAGATCCGGTCCGGTCCGATGTATAGATCCGCTTCCGATCCGATTTACGATAAGCTTTCTAATTCATTTCCTGTTTCATATAACGTTAAACACAGCCTATTCGGTATTTCCTCTTCCCGGTGTTTCGGTTATGCTTATTACCGGTATGATTACTGATCCGTTAACCTATGTCTCATTTCCGACTCGCGTTTGATAACCTTTGCACATGCTTCATACATAGCCTCGGACCCTTGCTTACTGATACTTCCGTTATCCTCATAGTATATAAACTCGTGTATATGTCCTGTAGTACCTCAGTTCGAATATCATCTTAGTTTGTCCTCTTTCTGTCCTCCGGACTTGAGTTCTCCTTACTCTTGTCACTCTCCGAGACTTCGGATAGATTCCGATAGTCTATATCCTCGGCTCTACCTTCGGGTAGTCTTTACTCTGTTAGTTTCTAGTTCGGATACGTCCGGATTAGCCTTATACGCGTTTCCGATATCCGGAAGACTTCCGGATATACTACGAGACCCGTCCGGACCTTCGGACGCGTTATCGTTAGTACTTTGAAATAAGGGACAGTACTTGGGAAAGGGGCACAGCGTACGAGCTGAGGCCGAAGTCCTTCGGATCCGATCTTACGAGAGTACGACCTTAACACCACCGTATTCACCGTCTGTGTCGTCATCGACGGATTCGCATCCGGCAGTTACCTTTTTGTGTTGCAGGGTGTCCTCACAGTCGTCAGTGGCCTTGCGTTTGCCCTTCTTGTCTGACGCGGACTTCTGGAAGGCGCTTGCGGTAATAGACGCATCCGGGAGCACTTTCATCGACTTCAGCATGACTTGGTATCTCCTGGAGCCAACTTTGTCCTCTGGCAATGCATTGTCGCGCTTGCTGGGACCAATCGTCCACCTAGCCAATGCGTCGTCAACGTAGATCACATGCAAATCAATGTTAAGGCTTACAACTTAAGTTGACACTCGACCATCACCACATCACCTGTGGCGAGCTTGGTGCGATACTCATGTGGCTTGATCAGCAACCCCTGGCCGTTTCGCACCGCAGGTGAGACAACCACAGTGTTCCTCAAGTTGTTCTGCGCCATCAAGCCTGCATAGCGGCCGAGGGGGTCTGGCAGACGCGCCAAACTGTCTTCACCTGCGGCTGTGCTGATTCAGTCACAATGTCGACATCCACAAACCTAGACGTACCATCGTTTGTGGACGAGGAACCATCTCCTCCTCCACCTGGAGATCCTCCAGCCATGGCGGCTGCCCTAGCCTTGGCTGACACGTTCACACATCAGCATGGTCTAAAGCTTATGTGACAATTTGTGACCACTTACAGGGACTTTGCATCATGTCTCCATCTGAATATGATTGACCATTAGTGCTTGTGCCACGACACATCAAACAAGCCACTCACTGCCTATGTCGGAATGATTCAGGCGAGGCACGGAAGATCGAGAAGGATCCGGTATATTCTGGATCAAGGGGTCCGTGGTAAGCACCACAGAGAACCTTTCGTTCTCACCTTCCCCGAAACTTCGCCAGAAAGGCGAGTCTCTCGGATGCAAGGCATTGGCGGTGTAGAGACTTGTGCGTCTCATGGTCTGATATGGCGCTTTACACTAGGAAGTACATAGCACGAACTTGTAGCGTCACTCTGTGCACTACCCACAGCTATCTCTATATGACGCGCAGCTTTCCTGCGCAATGCGCGCACCATTCCCGCGCTTCGCGATGTATACGCGCGCGCGCATTCCCGCGCTTGCGCGCCCTTTAGCGCCAGCCATCCAGATGCATCCATCCACTGTCCACCATGTTCTCTAGTGCGTATATTTCTATTTCTCTCATTGCATATTATTCCATCTTTATTTTTATCATGGACTCTCACATATATATATTTTTACATACCTACTCGGTAGCGCTTCGGCTCCGCATGACTGCGCTTAGGCGCGCTATATAAGCGCCAGCAGTACAAACTGACTTTTACCTCCCAATTACTAGTTATCACCTACTTACTACTTAGCAGAATATAGTAGAAGTCTATTTGTCTATACTTCGCATCTCCCTTCTCTTTTCTTGCATTATATTATCACTTGAGTCTAGTCTTTATCATTTTCCGCATACACGCGCGCGCTTTCCCGCGCTTCGCGCTAATACGCGCGCGTGTTCCTGCGCCTTGCGCGCACCTGTGCTTTCTCGCGCTTTGCTGAAGCGCGTACCTCTAGATCTTGGCTGCACTCGCTTCCCCTTTAGGGTCGAACGCACTTGTCTCCTCAAGTAACGCAGGCTAGGCAACGCACGACCTTCAACTATTATAGATACAGCTAGGAGCATTATTTGTTCCTCTCTGTATTGTTGTTTCTACAGCGGGCAGGACTGTTGAAGCGAGTGAGCGAGGAAGTGATAAGCAATGGATCGAAAATACACCTACGGGCATTTCTGGCGTCATCCGCTTCCCCATGCAACACGTTTAACATGTCAAGGGTCGCAGAGCTGCATTTTATGGCCTCCTCTGGATACGTATCCATGGCCTTGACGTCGAGCGGACGAACCTCGAACTGTGCGTGCATCTTTTTCAGCACGTTCAGGTCCAGCTGAGGGATGTTCGACGTTACATCAGGCACATTTGGAAAGTACTCACACCTGTATGCGGCAAGTTGAAGTATGGCCTGGTATGATCGAACTGACCATCAAAGTCGAGGGTCGCGGGAAATTTGAAAGTGAATAACTCCCCTGAGTGGTTGACCCAATACTCGGTGTTGTCGCCCATGCCTCTCAAGGGCCGTGGGTTGTTTGCGTTCGGCACGCAGGTCACTGTACTCTTGTTCACGGCCGCAGGGGAGGTCGCTAAGACATATAAAGACCTCCACAAGGGGCTCACAGCATGATTGTCGAAGTCGTCTTGAGACGCAAAGGATTCTTCGAGGGATGGCAATGCAAGGTGGTCGGGGTTACTGGCAGAAGAAGACATGTCGAGTTGTATAGCAAATGTGCGCAAGATCAGGACGAAGTAGAACACAGTATGTTCAGTGAACCGACTCACCATTTGTATCTCTCCCAAACACCGAGCATGTGATTGAAAAACTGGTCGGACACCATGATCACTTTCTCGTCGGAACATGGACGCCCTCGCGTCTACGATCGAAGGCACCTGCCAACAAAATCTGAGACCTGGTAACAACCCGAGTCCAGACTATCCGACAGCTGAGCGCATGAGTTCTGTTATCAGTTAACTGGCTAGTCTCACCTCGATCTGCTTTCACATTCAATACCATGGAGACCACAATCGGCAGCCTAATGTTGTCTGAGAACTGATGAGTCGCCACAAGCATGATGGTAGACTTCCAGTGAATGTCAATCTTTGTCGAGCTCATTCATTCTCTATCCTTACATAATCAGCTTAAGTCAGCCAGAGTTTCGACATCATTGCATTGTGTCTGGACTCTGGACGCTGTCTTGCTCTTGCGCCATGCGATCTCGCACCAATCTCACTGAATCGCTGTATGCCCGTATCTGCCAATCAAGATCTGAAACGTTTGTGTCACAATCGGTGCCTTCCGACCAACCTGTCTCATGTTTAATTTGAATTCGATATGCAATTCTCTTTGCTGATCTCGATACCGGGCCAAGATGTGTAATTGAACGCGATTCATGCACCCGTCGTGTCCGCACAAGACATCAAGCCCATCAATACCAAACTGACGAGTTCGATCACACCTGACACGACCAGGTATTGTTCCATTTATCGACGCAGTAAGACTGACTTAGAGATATGTATCGTGTCTACACACTATGTCCCTATTGTACATCTGCAGGCCAATGTCATCGTCATACACTCGGCATCCGACGGTCGAGTACATCCTTAAGTCCAAAACTCGGCATCTCCAATTGCCCTGTAGCATGCTCAGCCAGGATCATATCGCATATCGATGCACGAACTGACCTTCTCATAAGTGCATTGATGGCACTGATGTCTCGTTTATTGCAGTCCAAAATCTTATGCTTATTTCCATGCACGTGTTTGACCACTAACACGTTTCCAGTCACGTCTGCATCGTTGTTGGCGATATTGGCGATGTGTCAGATAAGAGCGTTGGGGGCAGCATACACCAACGGATCTTCACGGAAGAAAGTGAAGGCATGGGCCAGAGGGGCAGAGTCAGGCTCGGGAATGACATTGTAAGTCTTGCAATTGCGGCCTGCACCTATCACATGCTTGTTGTGACCAAGGAAATCGACCCAGTGCAGGATCTGGAGATGCGAAATATGGGCGAGAGAGGCAAGCCCGTCACGCAGGGGGATGGGCACGATTTGCGGGGAGTGAGCCGCAGTGGCATAGAGGACACCCAGGTATGTCTCCTTGTAATTCTACCGATGAACAGTCAGTACTTATGTCGATGCCAAAAGTGCAAGCGACAAACGGGCGTGTGTTGCTCGATAATCTCCTTCTGTCTCTCAATACTGACGAGGTCGTGCGGGATCGGTGTAGGAGGCAAATCGGACGTGTTCCCATTAGCGATGCTGTTGTAAGGACATTCTGGGTTCGTGCAACGTTCTGACAGGCGCCACATCACATTTGAACGATAGGCCAAGCATTTCATCGGAAATCTGTGATCCCATTCAAACATCAGTGCATTGCGTCCTGCATCCGCCACATTACGCCACAGAGCAGGGCATAAGAGACCACATGGACCCTCCATGAAGGAAGTGCAGCTCTTGACCTCCCAGCCTTCTTGCGAGATACAACCAATGGTTGGTCCTGGCACAGGGCACAATATCGCACTGTTGGTCACAGCGATATCCTTTGAGGTCCACAATGGATAGAATACGGTCATGCCTCCTGCAGTCATCAATGTCATGTCTGCAGTGGTATGCGAGGCCATGATGACTTTGAAGACACCCTCCCCCATGGCCTCCGACACGGTGATCTTTAACCCACCACGCTGGAATTCGCAATGGTCGCGGACGACCTTGGTGTAGGCATGGTTTATGTGTGTGTTGGCCACTCTGTCGTAGTGTAGGGTGTCTATGATGAAAGCCGCAAGCAAGAGGCCAAAGTCAGAGGGAACTACGATGTTAAGGTTCGTTGCACGGCGACCGTCATCCTGCCACATTCGCATGGTGCAGGAGCCATTGATCACTGCTGATGTGGTGTGCAGCATAAAACGAAACTTGGCTATGTGTTCCTCCACGAATGGCCGCAAAATTCTGTCGAACTGGCTGATGATACAATCTATTCCGACATGTTTGACCTCACGATTTGTCCCTTGCAGGGCCAGCACATCAGTTATGAGCGGGAGGCATTGGTATACCATTTGCACGAGTGGGGCTTGATGGATGACTGTAAGTCTCTCGCATTAGTCACTTAGTTCATATATCGTGCGGCCCACGTACATTGTTTCACTGGATCGTTCATGGCTGGTGCAAAACTCATGTTGGTCGTGGCTCGAGACTGGGTTGTGTGACAAATAGATTTGGTCAGCGAATTCAGAGCCTTGTCGTGTCTCAGCACCGAATCCACCCTCACTGAAGAATCACACATGATTTTCTTCAAGCAAAGATTTCCAATTTGAAACATGGAGAACATCAGATGGTCATTACAATGCGACAGAAAACTGAGTATTAGGCTCCTACAGTCCTCTAGCAATGTCCAGGCAATCCTGTTGAACACTAAGCCTCCAGGTATTTACAGCTTCCGCCGCAACTCTCTTGGCTAGCTCGATGTCTCCGGCATATATGGCATGTATCACCCAGTCATGTGCAACTGAGTGCGCTATAGCTGTTTGTAAATGATTATCAACTTGTTGACATGTGGGCGGCAGGATGTACGTACCCTTGAAGATCGCAGGTGTATTAGTCAATTCTGTGGTGAGCAAAACAAGGCTGGGCAAATGCGTGTAAGCATCAGCTTCTAAGTCCATCTGCAGATCTGAGGCAGGGCGGATGTGAAAGACAGGCGGTGATCTACTTTGTCGTTCGACTGCAAAATGTCAGTCCATGTCACGAACAGACCATGCAGAGGTCGTACTGAATATCCAAGCGCCGTTGCCTTCGAAAATGGCAGACAGCATCCGTAAATCCATTTCTCTTGATCCTTCAATGAGTTATACAACAAGAGGGATGACGGAGAGCAACAACCAACAGGCTTGAGTGGTGAACGTTTGAACCTTCATAGCAAGATTGCGAGGCTCAGTTTGCGTCTCTTCGATCACACATGTCAAATGAATGGCAGGTGGAACCACGGGGCGGCAGCTTACATACTCAGAATCAGGAAAATGAAATGCCAAGTTTGACTAGGTAACCAATACGGGACAGACAAGGCCAGCGAACTCTGATAGGCTGGGCGTAAATCCATTTATCTGGATGCTCGAACAATTGGTACGACAGGATGGTCGATCACGGTGAGCATCATGATTGCAGGCTCAACACCGTCATACTCATTCCTGTCACACTCGGTGTCGAAGTTTGACTGACAAGCCGGCATGAGACAGTCAATGACTCCGAGTTCCGTTCGAATGACCTATATATGCAGATACATTGAAGATGGCCAACGTCGAACTTCCAAACCGTCGCGGTGGCAGTAGTAAGTGTCTCACTCAAGTGCTGTGATCGTCCAGTTAATTTGGCTTCAAGGGTCCAGACCGTATCTCCATGAAAATCTATGCAGAATGACCTGTCAGTCGGTTAGATATATCCAGAATGCATCAATCGGACAATGCTGATCGATCTCGTGGATTTTTCAATCTGAGCAGACGATCGGATCTAACTTGGACACTCTACTTTGTCTAAGACTACCTCCCGTGTTCCAGGTTTGCGTGTCGTCCATTGGCCCAATCCCAAGGCATGAACCAAGCTGACGAGACCTGCGTCCAGAGTTGATTACAGTAGAAGAAGCATTGATACACAATGGAGATGAATGGCGTGAAGTTGGGATGACTCTATGAGTCTAAGCTGCGCGAATGCCTTGAGCGAGCATGCCAGAATAGGTAAACAGAGATGATGAGATAAAAAGATTGCGCAAAGGACGATGAAAAAGATGACACCAAGGCCAACGAGCAAAGAGAACCCATGCGACACTGCAGGGACGGGCCTACCTGGTGCCTCGCCAGCACATGCTACTATGTCTGGTAGTGATTCCAAGCAACAGTAGACCTCAAGGAGAAGCATCAGATCCGATGACCGTAAGCCTTTCACTCAATTGCTTCTAGATCTATCAACCATGGCCAAAGCAGGCGATATTGATCGATCACGTGTCTTCGTTTGAGGCCTTCAATCATATCCAGCTCGATTCTGCTCCGCTCAGACCATCTTCGATGCATAGCACTAGCCATGAAATAGATTCTCTCGTCAGCACTGTATCCAATTCTATGTCGCACGTAGGCTGTGATCTTCCAGGGCTGTATCTTGTCCTCCATGAGTTCCCCAAACCTGTAGGACCTTTCAATTAACAGAGAAGACAGAACCAAGTGACACACCAGCAATGCGTTTCTCGACCTATCGGAACTGCACCTGTGTCATGACAACCACTACAGAATTTCCTATCGTCGAACTGTCAGACATCGCCCGCAACATGCAGAATCACACAAGGTTGAAAGGTTAGTGTGTCAACCATGCTGCACAGCTGCAAGTCGATCTGATCACACCGTTGCCAATACACACAGAGTTCATCGCTTTCCTTGTCCGAGAGGGCATCATCTATTTCTTTTTCGACAGTGCAGAAGAAGGCTATGCTATGGCAGATCTATTTAACAATGAGTAGATCCTTGCATATCAATATTTTTTCGTGTTGTGTCATGCTCGTTCTGGGTCTCACTCTTTCAATTCATGTATACATTTCGTATGTTGAATTCATGTACACATTTCGTACGTACATAGTAATGCAGAGCTCAGCGCGCCATCATACAAGTGTTAGCTGTGGACATCCTCTCCGCATTCAACGCAGCATATCATTCCTGCCTCGTGTGCCAACAACTCGGCGAGCTCCTCGCTTTCTGTGCAAACTGTGACCACGCCTGGGTCATGTGCTATAGACCATATGACAGCTGTGAATATGAGTACAGGTGACGTGCCGAATGATGATGGACGTACCTGCAAACATGGTGGGATGCATGCATACATGCTCGCTGACCACTAAGACCCTGATAGCCGGCTCATGAGCCCCAGGGCGCGAGGGCGAGTCTTTGATATTGACACATGGCACGATGTGAAACTGCGGTGGACCATGATAATATCTCTCTACTGCTCCAACATCACATGTGATGCACTGACTGAGGTGTGTATATGGTACATACCGAATATGATTGCCCCCGCGCCGTTGAAAAGATTGATGACTTCCAGTAGTGCTGTAGACATTGTGATCGTGTTGATGTGAGCGCTATGTGATTGGTGAGGTGGGGCGTGGCCTGGACAAGGAAACTTTAAATAGGGACAAGAGTGTTGGTTCAAAAATGCGCCGGTGTCGCATGTAACTCATCTTGGACTGAGGCACGCCCGCGATCAAAAATATGACAGAGTGATGCAGAGTTCTCAAACATGCCCGCGTTTCAATTGACTAACCACAATTCATTCAAGACATGAGTACTACAACCGATCGCGACTGGTGCATACACACATGAACGAGCATAGGCAAACACATGCGAGCGACGGACATCGATCAAACGCAGGGTGGAGTATGATGCGGCATGACGGATTCTGTGATCTCGAATACCTCTATTGCATGCTATGCGAACATAATCAGAGAGATCCATTCAATCGTGAGTCTGACGTACCCTCCATGTAGCCATGTCAAATTCAAAGACTATCTGATGGCGGTTGGGGGTCACTTGAGGTTCTTGTCCTGTTGATAACACATGAGCTGCTGGCAATATATTAGATACGATCTATGTCTGATGGAAATGGATGCACAGATGATGGGCTCCCCATTGGCATTCAGGTGGTACGCACATACACCCTCGTAAAAGAGGCAAGACAAGTGAAAGAGATTCTCGACCGATTGCCCAAAATCGTCAGGGTTGATAATGAGACGGAAGAGATTGATGGACCCATTGGCTTCAATGATTCTCAGCATTTCATTCTGCGACCCATGGTCAGTGAAGGTGTTAAGTCTCAACCAAATCTCACCTTTTCAGCCGCATCTGTCGAGCCACCCCCTTTGATGTTCGCATCATTTTGGCGAGGTTCAGTAAGGACAGAGGCGCCTGCACCATGCACCGTCGAACTTAACGGCCCATACCTGTCCTCCTGTCAATGGTAACATGATATATATGATGGCTACTTACATGAAGCTCGGGATCGTCACCCGCCTACTTCTCGCCAGTGCTCGTTGTCCGATGTCTTCCCAACCCAAAGAAGGGCTCCAGGTTCTGCCATCTCTCGCAGGGTTCACATGAGGCACTAATTTTGCCATGAAGTCCTCAACAGTGAATTCTAGAACGTCCCTTTCATCCATAGTGTGAGCGGACCAGTTAGCGGTGTCTGGTAGAAAATGCACGTACCGACATAGATCATGGCCATCCACATATGTGACATACGATCACCCCTGAAAAAAAAAAAGTTGTCTGCGGGTTGCATCCGAGCCCCTGTGAACAAAACGGCATGCACCTGGATCAAGAACCAATCAGACGCCCAGAATATACATGTCGATCACTCTGAGACACATACCCTTGGCACATACTGCACATGCTTCAACCTATCGCTGCCAGACATATAGGCAAATGGCAGGTCGGTCTGGACAACATCAGGCTGCAGTCGATACGGTGACAATCGTGTACACTCACACGCTTATTGTCGCAAACTGTATACATATATGCTTTCTGCTTCGTGACGTGACTGAGGGGGTGTCAGGTGACAAATAGGAGTCCCGTTCCCATTCTGACCATTGTACGTCCACTGTGTGTGAGACGGCTGTTTATCAAGTAGGCGAGCAGTAAAGTGGAACCCTTCCAAACTAATGACACCTCGCAGATTATAAGTTGCATCATTGTGACTGGTAGGTAACTTGATGACTTCCGAGGGCAGTAGATGCGGAATTACGCCAGGCATGTCCTCGAATACCAAGACCGGCGGAGGTGAATGAATACATACAATGGGGGCGAGTGAATGAGCACGACAATTCGGGCAAGTCATAGTATTCCACAGCCACTTGTTGCTGTGAATGATCGATTGCAAAAAGGTCACAACCCACGTTTGGACCAGAATTGCTGGAGGGTCCAGAGGGAGATTGACAGTGCCTGCGAGTGTTGTCCAGATGCGCGAGGTGCATGTAGACGGTAAGACATCCGCAGAATGAATCATTGTTGATTCCCAAACATTGCATCCACTCAAGCACATCATGGTGACATATGGTCTGCATACCGCATCTGAGGTTATGTGCTCGAGGATGGCACTGGCCGAAGTCCCTACTTGACCATATCGAGGGAAGGTCAGGTGTAGTCGGGTCAACGCGTCGCGGAAAGCATCGCGATGCATATTAAATGCCTCATGGGTACAATCGTGATGATGTGAAGCCATCAACGACGTGTAAGCTTTCCAAAGTACGGCAGTTAGTGATGTCAATTTGCTCCAAGATGCCTGCCAGTCGACATCCTCCGATGCATAGATCCCATATAAGATCATAAAGACACAGTCATACGCACAAGACCAATTAGTCGCATCCCACGAGCATCCTGCACGGAAGCGGTCGTGTGGGTCCAGACTATGGTGTGTTGCACCTTCTCTCATACGGTCTTCCATCAACTCGCCTCCACTGACTCCTCTCTGTATTTTACAACAGTGTTCATCGTCATATTCTCCAGGCATGGGCTCATCTGGTGCGTTGGCTCTTCTACGTTTTCTGGAAGTGCGAGATGGCTGCTGAGTCGAAGGTGCATAAACAGGTATGGGCTGCATCGACTTTTCAGCTTTGGCATCGGGCACCACGATGTATCCCCCTGGTCGGAGACCATATCGTACGTACGTGTTGTGTTCAATGGCTTCAAAGTGTCGAACCTCGCAAATAAGGTCGGCAGGGAGAGGTTTGTTGAGTTGTTCCAAGGTTACAGGTCGCAACACACATAACCCTTCACATGTCCGAGCCCACGAGGCTGCGACATAGGCGCTGAAACCTCCCTCATGTAAGTTGACGAGGACACTCGGAAGTGTCTTTCCCTGGGCAGAGTGCCCTGTGACAGCGAAGGCTGGCTGTATAGGCAGCTGGTGGCGAGTGATCCGTAGCTTGTGTTCATTACCCTGATCGTCCTGCAGCAATGTGGTAAATGTCCATGTCATGGGAACAACCGGAAAAAAATGGGGTGGCAAACCGCTGAGCTGAACCTTTGATGCAGGGAATTCTACAATTGCACACTTCATGTACGTCAGTTCGGAATCACAGGCTGCTGTGACAAGGTGACGGACAATGCCCTGTGAACCATTGGTAATGCCCAAATACGTGGAAATGTTTCTCACACGAAGTATCACGGGCATGCCGACATATAATGGAATGACTCCAGGTAATGCATTTGAAGACTTGACATTGTTGAAATTCAGATGCATGAGTTTCTGCCGGTCTCCGAGAGTTAGTTCGTGGTGAGCACAACGATCTATCGCATAACTAGACACCATTCCATGTGGTCCGCAGGACACCTCAGCCTTGTGCGCGTTCAGCGTCTCTTGAAGGTTGTTTGTGGCCACAATCGCGGCTGCAGAAATGTTCTGCGGAGTACCCATGTCTACGCCCAACAAGTTGTCACACGACCTTATGACCCGACTGTTGAATAACTCCATGTCATTGTACGTGCATTCTCTCACTCTGAGGCGGCTGACAGCCTGACCATATGCAGGATCTGTCTTCATGCGTTGCTGCTCTGTGAGGGTGACTACAGTGTTGATCGTCTTCCATGCAAGACGCCCCAAGCGTTTTTGTACCTCGTCATCTGTCTGGCCTGCATAACGAGATATGGGTGTGTATAGAGCACTTCCACCAACTGGCGGATACTGAAAGAAATCTCCAGACAAGATCAGCACGATGCCACCAAACCACAAATCAGGATGTTCCTTGGTGAATCGGAGGGCATGGTCCAGTTGTGCTAATAACTGTAATCCCAGAAGTGATGTCTCGTCGACCAACAAATAAGCTACGTTTTTCCACTCCTCGCGTAGTTGAGTCTTTTGTTGATTGCTCACAATGACAGAATAATCTTGCATGCAGTCTCCAAATGCGCGGTTCCCCTTGCCCTTGTTGGTCGCTTTGATTTGGATACCAAGCCCTTTATGAATGGTCATCCCGTCAATGAGTGCTGCAGCCGATCCTGTAGGAGCCAGAAATCATATAATGTGTCCATAACCATAATACTCCATAACCGCTCGCACCGCCTTGACCACATGTGTCTTTCCCGTACCACCAGGCCCGGTCATCAACATAGTGAGTGGCTCTGTCGTGTCCGTCCGTTTGTCTATGAACTTGTGTACGAAGTGTTCTGCAATGATACGAAAAGTGTGCCATTGTTTCTCGTTGAGCTGAAATTCCTCTCCAATCTCTTGGACAATGCTATCCGGGGTCAACTGCTCACAGGGCTGACATGCATTTTCGGTCGGTGGAGGTGGGTTTGAGTGATGAACTGCAGGATCGAAGTTGGAAGTCTCCCTCACGGTTGCATGTTCCACTTGATGCTCGGGATTGAGTGCATTGTGACGCGTCTCTGCGATGACAGTCTCTTGCTTGCGAATCTCGTTCAACCACTTCCGCAGTTGCTGTGGAGTGCAATCAGGACATGCTTGGTCGTTTCTGCAAGTCAACGCGGCGTGCGAATTGTGACAATCAGTTAGTTCTTCGTCCCCAGGAGGAGATGGTCTGACATCAGCAAGCCATCGAGATTGTTTGAGAAGAAGGATCAGCTGGTTTATCTTGAACTCTTCTTGGGCACTCCGGCACACCTTAAATGGGTCTACCGGCACAATGTCCACATTGTCGTCTATTTGAGCGGATAATGGGGCGGTACCCTTCTTCGGTGTCACACTGGTGAGTTGTGCTTGTTTATGCAAGCGGTCCGTGTCTTGCTCGTCCTCACATTCATGGACAGCATCCCAGTGCTTCATGATCTCTGAACTGCGCTCTGAAAATGTATAACTCTCAAAAAGCTGTGTCACAGATGCCCCCGGCGGAACAAGAGGTGCTGTGCTGCTGAACGGTTCAAAGTGAGCCAGGGCAAATAGAGCCCACTTTTTAGGATCTGTGCTGCGAGGTATACTCATGCCAACCACTCTAGGAACATATTCATGTATGCCCTCGCCCTGTGCCTTGTTAGTATGCTCTAAGAGTTCATGCGTCTGGGAGAGTGGGTGTTCAGCTTGGAGTGCATGCCGACATAAGACTCCCATACGACTTTCAGGCGTGTTCTTGACATCCTTACTTTTGGTCTTGGTTTGCAACCGGACACAGCGACAGAAATCGTAAAAACACATCTCAGCCAGGGAAGATGCACGAAACAGGTAATGATGTATTTGGTTGCATTCTACGATTTGTCCATCTTCATTGGTAGCAACCTGAACGCGGACATCTTCGGAATCCTCCTGAGCTCCCAGATCTTCAATTGTCTCATCCGGTTCTTCAAAAGGCTCGTCGCCGTCGTCGGAGACATCCTCGGTGTCTGTCCCTACTGGATGTGGAGAAACGTTGGCAGCTTGCATACATTCTTTAACATAGGAAATCAACAGCGACGAGAGCATTGGGACAGTGATATGGGATGGGATCCCATCGCCGAGCCCACGTATATATTGAGCCGCTTGTTGTGCATGGATTTGCTGCTGCCGAGTGAACTGGGACAAGCATTTATGAAGCAACATTTTGGCAGCTGCGATGGGAGATTCCTCTACATGATTGTTTGGAATCCGGGCGACAGCACGAGACAGAAGGGACAGCATCTCATAGGTTTTAGTGTCCATCTTCGTGATATAGTCCGAAATATAAAACATGGCAGCTTTCGCACTTTTGCCAGACAGGATGCACCTCAGGTCATGATTGTGGCGACAGAATACAAGAATGCTGGGATTGAAATAGTTGACAGTCCCATCTATACACTTGAAAACGACCGAATTTGTGGCAGCCTCAAAAACTGACTCGTCTACTATCTCATGAGGGAACAAGAATCGACATCTATCGTACTTGTGACAAACCGATTGACATGTATGCCATTGCAAGGCTTCACCACATTGTTTTGTTTGAGTGACGAACATAGACCGCCATTCTTTCTCGACGTCGACAACAGCGTCATCATTCAGGATCTCAACAGGTGGCTGGGGAGGTCGCTCCACATGAGGGTCAAACTTAGGATCGATTTCAACCTCAATGTCTGGCAAATGATGGTGAATGATATCTTCAAAGAATTCAAAAAAGCGTCGTTGAAAGGATTCATCGCAAAGCTTCAGATGAAGGTCTGAAGGATTGGTTCCTCCTTCAAGCCATATGAGATAATGTCCGTGAAGAGAGCCTCTTTCAGTGTATTCAGATGATCTGTAAAAAGCTCGCATGCGGCCGAAGACCCCACCTTTGAGAGACGATCGTTGCTTGTCAAAGTGCCACCCCAGAAGATGCTCAAAACAGGTACGCCACATGAATTCATAGAAGTCGGCTGCAGCCACAGGGTCTTGAGCCAAGCGCAAAGCACGTTCACGCCCACACACCAGGGTTGGGAACTGTTGGGAGAGATTGACGGTGTTGTCGCCGTACATGACCTGAAACACAGGATTGTGCGCAGCACTAGGATTAAAGGTAAAAAACAGGTGAGGCAAACCAAAATAACTAAAATAGCTTCGTATCTCATTTCGAACGTAAATCTTCGATGCATGCGAACCTGGAATGTGGGCCGATATTGTGTTCACCTGCTGCAACAAATCCATGGGACGTTTCTCCTGAACAGACATATCCGACACCTTGTGTTTGCGCTCCAATTTTGTGGCTAAGCTCTCCAGAACAGCAGGAGATACTTCGGTTAATTTACGTCCGATCGAGTTGAAACTTGATTTGCGAACTGTGAAGAAGGTATGTAAATGGGCAGCACATCATTGAAGGATATTCAATACAACAAATAAGTACGAATGATGATACCTGAACGCATGATCTGGAAGATTCAGATAGTACTGAGCCTGGTGTTCGAAAGAAAGTGGGGTGTCCCTTTCCTTGTCCTCGAAACCTCCTATCCCGCAAGGAAAAAGAGTGGGAAACATTCCTGGCAAAAGGTCTGGATTTTTATACTTGGGGATCGCATTGAGGCCTCGATGAACAACTAGATCAGGATGTTGACCGGCCCTTGAGTGTAAGTTTTGAAGTGCGGCTGCGGTGCAAGCTCTCCCACTGATTTTGTCGCACTCAGGACCAGACACACCCATCTTTTCAAGCATGACGACGGGTGATAGAGACGCGCCCCGCAATTCTTTTCCTTCGACAGATGAGAGAGTCTCTCCTAGCATATCGGCTGGATGATCAAAAAAACCTGCAGTTTCTTCCTCAAACACTTTATGCACATTCAGTTCGTGGTCCTCGATTACGCCATCCAACAGCCCTGGCAGCAGATCGTCCTCAGGGTACATCAGTGCAATGGTGGAGTCCAAACGTATCGTAGAGTATAACCGATTGTGGTGCTTCAACCATACCAAGAAGCCCCAGATTTTGCTGCGACGGACACGGAAAACGGTTCCAAGAACGTTAGGATTGAATTTCCCGGGACCTACAAAGACAACACTCAGAAGGCCATTGATGTCCGCGGGAGTGCGAGGCAAGACTGACGCAGTAGAAACAACATTCATTTCGTGAGCGCACATGTTGCCGTGATAAGCCTTTGGCTGTGCAGGATCCGATGATTGGAACAATCGAGTGACGTGGGCAGTGAGGCAGTATACAGCACAGACTTTCTCCTCAATCCAGGTGAGGTCTCAAAACTGATCTGGAAGGTCCCCACGGTATAAGTTGTTTCAAAGGGCAAGACGGGGTACCTTATCGTGTTTCCGCAGTGCTGCCTGACATGAGCTACAGATGTTCAAGCTGACGGTGTCATGTTCTACGGATATGACACCCGCGTGGTCTAACATCAGGCCGTCAATGAGTGGGCTGCCGAACGTGAAACGAGGGGACAAAGTTTGCACAATACATTTCTGAATGATGAACTTATCAGTCAGACGAAGAGTATCGAGATGGAGTTCACAAGCACGAGATTCGTCAATGACAATGCGCCTGCAATCGCTTTGATACTGGGCACAGACAGCGCAAACTGGGGGGACAGTCCACCGAGAAGCTCTCATATATGCATCCTGGCACTGAGCCACAGTACAGTGACTCAAAAAAGTGTCCCAATGTTTGTAGCTTTTCATGTAATTGCTATATCATGTGTCGAGACGTGGGAATATGACTAAGCTTTAGGGAGATGTCGGAAAGGTCTGCATCTCAGCTTCATTTCAGTTCCATATACCGTGGGAAACTAATGACATTATGTGAAGATATGAGTATTTTAATTTGATGACTCATTGGGACACTTTTTTGACTTTGAGTTTTACTAATGTAATCTCTATAATTCTAGTACTGTGTGTGACCTCCTTCTGCTCCAATCACTTCTGCCACTCTTCTAAACATATTCTCTATCAATTTTGGGTATTTCTCTTTGGTGATTCCATCATACTCTGCTATAACACTGTCTCATAGTTGGAATAGCCCCTATAGTGAATCTTGATATGCTACAAGTCATTTCTTGAGTGATTCTCAGGGGTATTCAATATGGTTGATGTCTTGGGTCTATGTTGAACATGATAGAATAGTAATATTATGGTCTTTAAGTTATTTGGTAGCCAATCTAGAAGGTTGCTCTATAAGACTTAAGATCTCTTAATCACTATATTCTAATTGGAAAGACTGCTGATGCTAATAAAGTGATTAAATTGATTATTTCCATCATTCCTATGACTATCTCTACTCAAATAGTCAGACAGACTCTCAAGACAGCCCATCTTAAAGCTATAATCAAGAAAAACAGATTCCTCTATCTCCAACCTATAAAAATAAAAGACAAGATGCTACTTTCAAGTACAAATATCAGACTGCTAATAGCTGAAAGAGGTTTATCTAGTTAGATAAGGTTAAAATCAATAGGATGAAATCATATGGCAAGGAATTTATATTAAAATAGATAAGACAATCATTAAGATAAAGAAAAGTTAAATAAACACCTTAAGTTTCAAGACAAAACTTGATGGTATAGGACTATATGAGATAAAATGGAGTGGGAATCTTCTATGAAGCAAAGGGGAGGATGAATACAGAGTAGTAAATACTCATTTGACAGGAGTGTCTGCTAAGAAGCATGCAGAAGTTATGAGTTAATGAAGAAGATACTGTTTTGTGATAAGACAATGACCCTAAGTATACCTCTAAATAAGCCACCAATAGCTTGCAAACCATGATATTACTATTCTATCATGTTCAACATAGACCCAAGACATCAACCATATTGAATACCCCTGAGAATCACTCAAGAAATTACTTGTAGCATATCAAGATTCACTGTAGGGGCTATTCCAACTATGAGACAGTGTTACAGCAGAGTATGATGGAATCACCAAAGAGAAATATCCAAAATTGATAGAGAATATGTTTAGAAGAGTGGCAGAAGTGATTGGAGCAGAAGGAGGTCACACACAGTACTAGAATTATAGAGATTACATTAGTAAAACTCAAAGTCAAAAAAGTGTCCCAATGAGTCATCAAATTAAAATACTCATATCTTCACATAATGTCATTAGTTTCCCACGGTATATGGAACCGAAATGAAGCTGAGATGCAGACCTTTCCGACATCTCCTTATAGCTTAGTCATATTCCCACGTCTCGACACATGATATAGCAATTACATGAAAAGCTACAAACATTGGGACACTTTTTTGAGCCACTGTATGTTTAGGAACGAGAACTGGCCATTGGTTCCTCTGTTCGATGGCCTGCTCGACTGCAGCTGATACGCGCAACACTTTTTGTTCTCGGCGGACAAACTTGAGGCGCTCGGACAGCGTCAACGGATCAGATGCCAACGCCTGAACCACCGCGGACCCGTATTCAAACTCTAATATACAGGTGATCAATTCTGAAGCGTGGGCTGGAAATATATTGGTGAATGGACTGTATGCAAGCCAGATGTCACATAAGACAGGATGGCCTACGAGTTGCAGGTATAAAACATGAGCGCGGATGTGGCAGACCAAGCTATTCGAAGTTTTGGGATGAGAACGACGATACACCACAGGTCGACAGGGTAAAGGCGATTCGTGAACATAGTCACGCAGGGAGGCAAGCGGGATATTGCATAGATGGCGAACAAGAAGGTCAGTAGACAACAATGTCCAAGGCAGCATGCTATCGCCAACAGAATGATAGACATAAGTGGGAGGAGCTGGGCGACGAAGCACAGCTGCCACCTCTGGGCCATAAATGTTTTCAACAAAGGCAGAGAGCAGTGGCAGAAATTGATGATCACATTCAAGCGGAAGCATGACCGAAGCAAAATCACTCAATACTTCGGGCATAGACCTCGCAATGAGATTTGCGTGCAAGTCGAGGAAATGGTGGGTAATAGCGGCAACGAAGTTTGGCTTGGTGCGATGGACGACACGCAAACCTGGAACACGCGAGATACTCTCAGACAATGTAGCGAAAAGTATAGCGTCCAAGCGAGATTTGATTGTATCCTCAGAATAAAACATCCAAGGGGGATATTGGACCAACGTGTGAGTGAAAGAAAAAACTTGGTTAGAACTAAGGGAGAGTTTGTGCATGATGGCACAGTGGTGATAACCTGCACTCTCGAAAACACCAAGCGGCAGCGAGAGAGATACATCAGAGGACGTGACAACGATGTGGACACCATCGAATGGCACGCATCCCGTGAATGGGTTTCTGCACACCAAGCAGCAGCGGCAATGGGACACGAGAGACTTCAGCAGCCAGGCACAGAAGGTCTGAGCAGTAGCAAAAACAGCGGGATGATATTGGGGATAGTAAAGTGCATCGTAATATTTGGGATAATCAGAGATAGCATGAACAGTTGGAGGGGGACAGATGTCCTTGTCCACCACACAAGAGACGCACGAAGGCGCCTTGTTCAAGAATGTCCTAGTAAACAGAAAGTGAATGGGCGAACAACAGGAAGATGAATTACTTACATGGCGGTGAGGAGACATAGTAGAGAGCATCGAGGGAGAGGCCTTTTAAAGCCAACCGCAAAGGTTTCAGATGACAGAATGTTATGACCACGATGCGTATGCAAGCACATGGCAAATATGACAGTGACAGATGCACGTGAACGCAAGCTGACATAATGTTTCCCACAGTGATTTTGGTAGAGAAAAATATATTTGCTGTCGACAAAACCCAGACTTGTCATCGGGAATCATAACCCTAACCCTAAACGCGGCCAAACCTTTGACTTGAAAATTTTCAAAAGTTGAGACTGCCACAAGAAGGATTAGTGACGAGTGACGAGTGATTAGTACATGCTACATGCAGTAACACTATATTCTAGTGCATTAAGCCTTTCTAAGTGTCTCCTTAACCTCGAGAATCATGGAGGGAGGTAGAGTGCGATGTCCATGGTACTGACGGTTAGCCCAAGCTGCCTCGCCACCAGTAAGACCTTGCGCATACGTGGAAATGAAGCGTGCGGATCGATTCGCATATCTGCGTTGTGTACATCATCAATAGTGCACATAATACAATGGCCAATGAAAATAAATACCTTTGAATTTGAAGTAATGGTACATCATCAAGGCAGTCAATGACATTTTTCTCCATTGCATCCATATCGCATGTGCGCTGACTCGTTTGGTATCGAAATTTTGCCGCGCCCCAGTATTGTTCAATAAAATTTAGTTCACAATGAAATTTTGGATAGAAATCGCAAATATGGCCGCGGGAAGTGATGTATTCTTCGAGGTGAGATCTTTGTGAAGTGAAATCTGGTTGGGAAAACAATAGTCGCCGGCAACAACAGTCTGTGCGGTTAAGCTCGCACTTGAATCCCTCACACTGTGCATTGAGTCCAGCTGCGGGCCAGAGATTCCGCTCTCGAATGATTGTTTCCATGCCTTTGAACCAGCCAGGCATAGTTGGGTGATTGTCGCTATAATAAAAATCCTGTGATTGATTGTTGAATGTGCCGTTCTGCATGCGTGGCCCATCTTTGTGGTGCGTCCAGTTCTGGCGAGGTCTTTTGGCATTTTCCAAGCTGACAAGGCATCTGGTGCTCGTTTTTGGTGACTTGGTGCATTGTTGAACATGAACAAGCCTGTCGCAAACCCATTGGTTTTGGTGTCGAAGATATCAATGGAGTGCTCCACTTGCTTGAGCAGATCTACTGCGGAAAAGTACCCATCACGATTTTTTCCCGCCTTGAAAATAACCCACACCTCACTAATTTGTATGCAGTCAGCATTAATTCATGCAATGCTGTGAATTGCAATACTCACTCATCACCATGCCACAAACGGCCCCATTCAGATGTTAACATATCTGAAATCATTAATGATGGTCCCTCGCCCTTGGGTTGAGGAGTGGCCTTCTCACTTGAGTGAGACCACCCTGTTTTGCGATGGTCGTTGGCATAAAACGTTGATTCGTCATGTGTTACAAGAATGAGACGAAATTGGCCAGCTTGAGCAACAGGGAAGCCCTTTGGTGTGTACTGAATCTTGCCATCATTATCATAGATAAACATTCTCTTCTTGTACTCCTGCCATCGTTGAATGAACTGATTGCGATACTCAACAACATCAGGACGTTCATGCCCATCAATGTACATGCCATTCCGCTTTCGTCTGTAATGCCAACCGAGTTTGCGCAGCCACCGCTGCACTGTCCGCTTTGATATTACCTTGGCCTTGGCACCAAGTCTCTCCTGCACTTTTGGTGTGGCAACATAGTCCACAATATCTTGTGCTCGGATGTGGCCCTCCCGTTGCTGAACTTCAGACAGGTGAAGTTGAATATCTTGTGCAAAATATTCATCCTCAAGAATTGATGAGTGGTATTGACCATATCGATGGAGCGGGAGCTTCTCATTACGGAGAAACTGATGAATCCAGGTCTGTATGTTGCATGCATGATTGATACCTTGGCCTAGTGATTTCGATGCCACGAGGAATGCTTCATGCCAACCATATGACAGCTCTGGATCAAGGTAGAGGTTCAAAGCACCAAGCATTGCTGTGATACGAGAGCGGAAAACCACATCAAGCTTCTTGTCTTTGCTGCTTACTGCAATTTTCGCATGGGCACGACGTAAAGCAGGGAAGTCTTTGTAATCCATAGCATTGAGAACTGAATCTGTGAAGGTCTCTGGACTGTCATCACAGGGTGGCTGTCCATTCCGTATGTCTTCCAGCATTTTCTGAATTCGTTCATCCTTTTCGCTAGATAATATTTCAACAGGTGACAATTGAGATGAGTTCTTTCCCATGAATGAATCTGATTCTGATTCAGAAGATTCTTCTTCTTCCTCTCAAACAGGGTCTGGCTATTTTTAAATGATTTACTCATGCACGACAACAATGAACCATGACATCAGAACTCACCTCATGATCAAATGGAGATTCCATAACAATGTCTTTGACTTGGACACCCACCACTTCTGGCTTCTTTTTAATCCAGCTGCTGATAAAAGCCTGATTTGTTTCTGCAATCCTTTTCCTTTCCAGAGCATGATGTCATAGGGTCCGAGTTGAGTTTCCGGAGTAATGCTTTGGCCTCCTGGTATCTTTTGACCTCTGTCTTTCTCCTTTGACAGCAGTATCCTGTGCTCGAAAGAGGATTTCTGAGAATGTGAGAAGTGCGGCTTCATCATTTACATTTTCCCCTTCTTCCACACTGAACCCTATATCATCCTCAGAATCACTGCAGCTCGAGTCCGACTCCTCCTCAGAGTCAGAGACATCTTCAATTGTGGTTTTGTGGGACCTGGAAAGTGCAGACTGAATATTCCTGAGATGAGCCTTATTAGCTTTAGATGTTGCACCCATTGCAAGATGCTTTTTGTGGGTAATATCACTGATTTTTGCTGCCTTCTCCTCCTCGTCCTGCCCAGGCACACATCACGTGATGTATTATATAAGCAGCCAAATGTTGATGAGTCGAGAACTTCAAAATTATTCCCTGGCATCTCATGGCCTTGTAAACCACTTTCTGACTTGATAGAACAAAAAAAATTGGACAATGAAAATCTCATTCAGTTTTGAATATTTTTTATTTCTGCTTCCTGGCAGTTCAAACTATACTGCTGTTAAATATTTCCTAGGATCCAATAACATCAGAAATAAATATATGTGCCCATAATTTGAGCAACGGCAAGGCTCTCAATTTGCTGATGTAAGTGGTGCTGGATAAGAGTGATGCCTATCTTACTGTCCTAAACCTTTTCACACTCAGGCCATACTGTAAGAATGATACATTAAGTACTTACTGTGGTAGGGCAATCCGGATACAACAATTGCTATAGTACATAGGTATCTGCTGTTTGTAGGATTGATACATTAGTGGAGGATCCTGGTCCAGTACTGAACCCACGGTTCTCTGGACCTGGTGCCTGGCCTTCATTTGATGGCATCATGCTTCTTCAGGCTTCCTCGTGCTTCTTTGTACTTCTCCTCGATAACTGGGCCTGGATATTCCCTTTTTGCCGCCAAAGTTCTGTCATGCCCGATCATGCCAGCCCGTCTTCCTGTTTACTCACGCCACTTCTCAGTTGACGTCTTGTTCTGTCATTTTCTCTCTGCGGTTGACACTACCAGGTCATTTGTCTTATTCAAAAATTTGTCTCAGTGCGGTTCGGCCTCGCTGGAGAAGTTAGTGCGCGTGCTTTATTTGATTTTATAAGCATATGTAATGACGCTTGTTCGTCCCTTCCATCTTTTTATTCTCGTTGTGCTCAAAAATATTTGCAGCCAAAATTCTTATAGCTTCTCTTCCTCGAGACGGCGAGTAATCAAGTTCATCCTCAACCGAAAGATTAGTGAGTCATACTCAGTTTGCTTCTGATTGTGTCTTTTTTATTATATTGTAGCTGGGGTCACGTTAACCCGATAGGCCCTCATGCCTGCTATGATGAGGGAAAACATGTTGCGGAAACTCTCACATATGGCTTCAATCATCAGGATGGTGTGGATGTTTGGGTTGCACATATCTTTAACACTTACGGTTAGTCTTACACTCTTTGCTGTGTTCTATTACTTAACTATCACCCCTTAGGTCCCCAGAGTTCATTTTAATCACTGATCTAAGGTTGATCCCACAGTAAACCCTCATGATGCCTGTGTGGTGTCCAACTTCATCGTCCAAGTCCTGTGCAGCAAGGATATGACTGTTTATGGTGATGGCACGCAGACTCATTCCTTCCAGTACATCCACAATCTTGTTGATAGCCTGATTGAAGCATGCTAAACTGAACTTTCTAGCATCTCGGGCCTCACTCAGGCCCAGGCATTTTGAGAGATATAAAATTTCGTCTCACAAATCACATGATCTGTGGAAGGATTCCTACCACCGGGCCATCGCTACGGCATCATCTCCCTTCGTTGATATCTTGGCTTGAATGTATCTGCCTCAGCACACTACTAAATGGATCTGGTTGTTTTCACTTCTGCACTCTCTGACACCTGCACCCTCACTCGTCTGGACCGCTGCTCATGCCAACGGCCTGACACACTCTCACATATGATCATACCATCTGGGTCCACTGTGCTTTTACATCTTCCTCTCCATCTCCCCCACTTACAGCTCTCGACATCAAGTTCTCCGTCCAGAAAGACCGTCCCAGAGTTCTGCTTGGTTTCATCCTATTCCTTGAGACTCTTCCTTCCCTGCGCACTCTGATCCTGCAAAACCACAAACTAGCCCTCTCATTATCGCCAATTGCTCTTCCAGCTCTGTGCAATTTCTGCCCTATTCTCTGCCATCACTTCTCTTAGTTCTGGCTGTTGTATTGTTGAACTCGACATCCATGACGAGGCTGCGCTTATGCCGCTTTACAAAGTGTTTGCAGCAGTGCACTCTGATTTGTCAATGGTGCAAGAGCTCTCGCTGTTTGTAGGGGACTGGGATGATGAGCTTATGCTGGTCATCGTCGTACATTTTCCTAGGGGGAGGGCCAAGCAAGGTGCGCTATATTTCTCTCATTTTTGACGATGCTGATACTCATTTTCAGGACACCATCATTGGGATGGGTTCTTGTACACCACACCTGGTATCCATACACATCTTCTGCCACGTGATATCTTGCATTGTCGTGAGCGATGTATCTTCCGTTTGATGGGAGTCTGTGGGATTACAGCATTTTTCATCCTAGGACAAAAAATGCCATAATGGGATGTTCTAGAGGCACCCATGGAGGCTTATGAGCACAAGCTGTGACTAAGCTCATTTCTCTCTGTCATAGCTATGGCTGCTCTGTATGATCAACCAGTTGAATTTAACCGTATGTGTGTTAGCTCATGAGGTCATTGTTTTTGCTTATATCATTCTAGGTATTGCTCATCTCACTCTCACAAATTTCAAGACATCAAATTGATTTATTGCAGTACAAACAGATTATCGTTGTGGAACATGTGTAAGGAATATATATGCTAAACTATGTGAATTACAAGATTAATGGAGACACTACCTATTTATGTGCAGCCTTTGAACAACTCACAAATGGCGCACCAATATTGTTAGCTTCTGCAGCATGTTTTGACTGAAATCGTTGATGTTTGCCCTGACCATCTTGAAGATCCATGGGCATAGTTTCACCAGTGACGTGGGATCTAGTGCCAGCAATAGTCTTCTGTCATTTCATGGGGATGTCCGACTGCTCTCCTCAAGGCTTGCGTGCATGCTTCCCAGTACTGACTGGAGCAATGGGCGAAGCCTCCACAGCAGGTGGTATTTGATTGTGATGCATGCAAGAAGAGGATCCACCAGATGCTGGAGTTTGGGCGGGAAGTGTGCCTGATGGGATGTGGCTAGTGGAAGAATGCGCCAGGTTGGGTGGTGGAGTAGAGGCAGGAAATGTGAAGGTGGGCTTGAATGGGTAATAAGGAATGCCCGGAGATGCTGGAGTGGGTTCAATTGGGTAATAAGGATTGGAGGGAGCTACTACTTGATAGATTGCGTTGTGAGCTTGTGGTGGCATGGGAAGGGTGGGAAGTGATGTGTTGTCACCCATATTCATTGGGGACAGGGAATCATCAGTGCTGGAGAAGAAATAAAAGGCATCATTGTCTTGTGAGAGAGACTCGGACAGAAGGTCTGATGTAAGCAATAGATTGGATTCGGAAGTCAAGACTGCAATGTTTGCAGGGGTAGGTGTCGATGTATTAGAGACTACTATATCTGGATTGGAGGAAGGTTCAGGAGTAATGACCAAAGTGGATGACATTGTAGAACCAGGCAGCAAGCCTTTTCCTCTCGACAGCACGGCTGCCTCAGCTATTAAGAGAGGTGTTAGTACTATGTATTGTGGCACTACTGAGCTCAGTTGCAGGTGACTTACAAAAGATGCGTTCAACAAACTGTGTATAAGGTATCATAATATTCTCTGAAAAATGTGGGTATGCTTGGCTGAACCGATTGCCCATCTTTGTTGTTCCAACATGGAAACTACTGATATCAAGTATCCCGCCCATACTGGGATATGGTCCGCCCATAAGGACTGTGAATACCCAATCTGTCATCTCATGTAACTCCTTGAAGAATTGTGTCAGAATCGTTGCGATTTTGGTGATGTAGCTGGGCATGCTGTATGTAAGGGAACATGATTTACAGAAACAAAGAAGGTAACTTATGCCTCCTTATTGTGAGTTTGTTTCTTTGCTTCCTCTATTTCCGCACGCTTTGCCTCTTTCATTGCCTCGACAGCAGCAAGAACCTCCACCTTCACTTCTTCAGACTCCTTGTTGAAGGCCTCTTGTAGATGCTGCTTAACGACTTTGAGAGCAGTCTTCTTGGCCGGCTCAGTGGATGGCACATTTCTGAGTTCTTCTTGCTCCTTTTTGACAGCATCTTTGACTTTTCCATAGTGGGTTTTCGAGTACATTTCATATGGTTTCAAAACACGAGAAGGTTTTTGCTTTGAGCCCGTCAAGATGCGCATCATCATTTTGTTGACTGTGGCAGTACCCTGGGCATTAGCCTGCCGACCTGCTTTTGAACCACCCAGATCATTATGGAATTTTTGCATAAGGCGCTGTTAACATGATTTCAGTTGGCAATGCATTTAATATTCAGTAAGTCTATACATACCTGTTGACGCAATGCCCATGCGGTTGCCACTTCAGTAGACTGTTCTTCAGTCAAATCAACATCAAGTGGAATGTCTTTGAAGACCACCGCGCTGAAGGTACAACAATTCAGATGGTGAGTCTGAACAATATGTTGGGTCTTGCAGAACCTAGCTGCTATTCGACCCTAAAGGGTTTCTGGACTAGGCTTAAGGCTCAGAGAAGAGGAAATATAATAGAAAACTGCTGAGCACTCAGACTCATACTGGTAAACTGGTGAAAAGATTGCTTGATTATGTATGTAAGCTACAAAAGTGCCAACATAAGGTAAGGTAAAAACAGTCTCTACAAGCCCAGCCAGAAATGAATCCCTACAGCGCGCTCTGGGAACTTGGTTCCCCATGCCTCAAAAAATGGACTCCAGAGAGGCTCGTAATTTTTGTTTGCTTTGCACTCTAAAAACCGATCATGGTATGTCGCCATGAACTCAATCTGCTCAGCTGAATATTTAGTTGGTGGTGCCACGAGAGAGATACTTTTGTTGCAAGTGCGAGTGAAATTTTGAGTGTATAATTGGGAACCACGTGAATGGTTTTGGTCTGACTACATTACAAGGGACTGATTCAGTGGATATATTGGTGGCTTTGGTAGGACCTTTATCTCTGTCAGTTGATTCAAGTGTTAATGAGTTGACATTCATGCTACCTGTGACAGAACAGGAATCTAGTTGGAACATGAGTCTTCAGTTGACAGATTTAAATCACTACTAGCCTAACAAACATTGTTATGGTACTTCATACTATGTATGAGTTTCGATCCTACCACTGGACTCTGAGTTGTCGTTTCGAAGGTTCCTTGCTTCTTTTTCAACCAACTTGAAGATCACCACTGCTACCACCAAGTCTCTAGTCAACATGCCCTGCCCAATCATTCACAAAACACCTGAGGCAAGATTAGCGGCTGCACGTGAAAAGCGTAGGAGCTATTATGCTAGGTATGTCTTAGATTAATTAAATGTTCCCAATGGTTCCTGATCAATTATGGTGCAGAAACAGAGACAGAATTTTAAAGAGCCGGAGAGAGCTTCATAACTCTAACAGCAAGGAAGCACGGGAAGCACGAAAATTCACAAGAGACCTGTCGAAGGCTGTTGCAAGAGCCTTGCATCATAGTGATGAAGATGACGCTGAGTCTGATGCTGGCAATGAGGATTCCCAGGACTCAGACAATGACGAAAGTACTAAACCATCTGTTCCTTTATACATAGTTTAAAATGAAATCAAAGATGAATTAATACCATATAGATATGACCTTCCAGAATGCTTACACACTGTCAAAGAAATCAAGGATGAAATGTTAGTGAAGATCAGCGACCCTTGCACTTTCGTCCATGGCATCTTATGTGCCTATGTGAAGAATCTGCCAGACGATTCGTCAACCAAAGCCGATATCTCCATCATTGAAACACTGTAGACACAACAATATTGTGAGGAGCAAATGATGCTCCTGACTGTATCTAAAAAATGTTGTAAGGTCGTGCGTTGCCTAGTCTGCGTTACTTGAGGAGACAAGTGTGTTTGACCCTAAAGGCGAAGCGAGTGCAGCCAAGATCTAGAAGTACGTGCTGAAGCGAGGCGTGGGAATGCGCGCGCGTATTGCGCGAAGCGTGGGAAAGTGCGCGTGTGTATGCGGAAATGAGAGACTAAGCTTTAAGTGATGATATAAAGCAAGATAAGAGATGTGAGATGCGATGTGCTAATGAATAGATTTCTACTGCAACTTTCTAGGTATTATGTATGTAAGTAAAGTTGGGTGAAAAGGTAAGTGAAAGGTAGGAAAAGTAAGTAAGTAATAGTATGTACTGCTGGTGCTTATATAGTGCGCCTAAGCGTGGTCATGCGGAGCCGAAGCGCTACCAAGTAGGTATGTAAAGATATATATGAGTGAGAGTCCATGATAAAAATAAAGATGGAACAATATGCAAATGAGAGAAATAGAAATATACGCACTAGAGGGCTTGGTGGACAGTGGATGGATGCTTCTGGATGGCTGGCGCTATAGGGTGCTCAAGCACAGGAATGGTGCGCGCATGGTGTGCGTTGCGTGAGAAAGCTGCGCCTCATATAGGAATAACTGCAGATAGTACACAGAGTGGTGCTGCAAGTTCGTGCTATGTACTCCCTATTAGATTAATACAATCGCGCGGGTCTGTAACAAACGGACTCTCTCAGTCGTTGCGCGCGAAGGCAAACGTCTTTGTGATATTCACCTGTAACAAACGGACTCTCTACTCGAAGTAAGTAAAGGTGAATATGTGAAAATGTAAGTATCTCACCTCAGTCGTTGCACATGAAGGCAAACATCTGAGGTGCAAGGCCGAATTCATAGCTAGCTAAATACCTCGCAGGCTCTTGTGCGAGTGAATTGAGTATGTGAGACTGTAACAATAAGAAAGTATGGCACTGGCCCAAGAGATCAATGGTGTCTTATAAGTACAATAGAAAGGATGATAACAAGATCGCATAAATGTGAAACATACGTGTCACTGGACATTGTGAACGAAAATAACAAGGGAATACTGCATCTCGGCTGCGAGCACACTTGCTCATTTCCAACACTCCCTAGTGAAAAGTGCCATATCACACCATGAGAGGCATGAGTCTCTACAATGCCAATGGCCAATGTCCAACAATTACTCAATCGTGCTGTTCCCGCACAAGACCAGATACTCAATTTTTGTGGAATCTCACCTGAATGGCATGCAGCAGACTCTGTAACCCGTTTCCTGAGGACTGTTCTCGTGTATCTAGAGGACATTCAATTTGTGGTGCTTTATGGAGGAATTCCTGACCTCACACTTGCTCATTCTATAGGCGAGTTGATGTACCAGAAAGGCCTAAAGGTTTGACTGGAGTATCTACCATAAATCTGCGCCTTCAATTTACTTGTAATATATCAAAAGTGCTTACGTTATCTCAATTGAAACATCATTGGGTGGTGTATGGTGTGACACATAATACAATCAACAGTCACATGTCACATGTCATTCTGAGCATCATATGAGTGTCCAAGCACCCCAGCACCCCATTATCCAGCACACCTCAAGCAAACTGTTTGTGTCAGGGAATGGTACCCACAATAATCATGTCTTGTCACCTTACTGGAATCAATATTGTTGACACATGTTCATGGTACGGTACGAAGTAAGCATGTGATCTATTCAAAGCTGATGAACTCTTATATGTAACTTTCAGAATGATTCACCATGTTGACAGTTCACACACTGGGCTGCTATTGTACTCTGCCATGACACAGACCACTAAAAAACCAAAGCTGCATTCAAGTTTTGAGTGTTTCATTCAACTGTCCTTAACATCAACGCCGGCAGTCCAACAAATTCGGGAATATACATTCAATGATGGGCGTACTGCTCTACAAACTGCTTATCTTTCGCACAGCGAGGCCACACTCAAGAGTGAAGCATCTGAAAGTGGTTCACTATGTGCACTGCACACCATTCAAGATTGCCCAGACTATGATGAATGGGCAGAAATATCTCCATGTTATGATCTTCCACTCATTATGGGCGATGATCTTCCAGATAAGCGAAAACAGCACCCTGCAGTAAGTGATATAATTGATCTGAACTAGTAGCATACTCAAATTTTTGTAGGATAACCCGCTCCTTGCCTGGCTGCCAGAACATCAGTCCTTCCTTGATGAGACAATTTTCTTGGAGGGTCGTGCTTAGGAAGCCCAGCGAACACACTGCCGCTGCAGCAATCATGATAATGGTCCCAAGTACTGCTGTAGGGACTGCTTTGGGATGGAGATGACCTGCCATTATTGTATCATCAAACACCATCAATGCAGCCCATTGCATAATATTGAGGTATGTGTTCCCTAGATATACAATATGCATAGTGCTAACACCGCACAGGAGTGGAATGGCTCATTTTTTCAATGCATCAAACTCAAGACCCTTGGTTTGTACATTCAGCTGGGCCACACTCCCAGTGACCGCTGTTTCAATCCATGTCCCTCAAAGGCCAACAATTTTGTTGTTATCGACATTAATGGTATTCATGAGGTTGCATTGGATTTTTGTGGCTGCAATACTGCACAAGTGCACTACAAACAGCTGTTACAAGTGCAATGGTATCCCGCAACTATGACAGATCCACAAACAGCTGCAACATTCAATGTGCTTGAGCACTTTCACCTTCTATCATACGAATCTAAGATTTCTGCCTATGAATTTTTCCATGGTTTAGCCAGGCACACTGACAATACCAGATTGTCGCCCATCAGGGTAAGTCTTAAATTTAAATGCTAACCAAACAGTTACTCAAACTTCAGCCATGCAGGATCGTTATTCTGCATTCATGTGGATGGTCCATGAATGGTGGAACCTTCGACAACTCAGGTGTGGTGGGCGAGGTCATGACCCTGGTGGCATTGCAGAAACGAAAGCCAGTGAGCTTGTGGTGCTGTGTCCGGCATGCCCACATCCAGGCAAAAATTTGCCTAGCAATTGGGAGCATTCACCTCCAGGAACGAGGTAAGTTTGATGGTTGAAGGAGGATGTTTAGCTCACCCGGGTTAACAGATGGCTGTATGCCCTTTTCATCACTATAGATGCGAATTTTCATCTCAAATGGAAGGCTGTCTCCTCTGACCAAATGGATCCTGGTTTGAATGCAGGATGGGCCTACTTCATGGAGGAGCGCACATACAAGAGTTACTTATCTGAGCAAGCTGGCGAAAGACAAGAGGTATGTTGTATATAGTCTACTATTTCATAGGACAATGCACTCAATGTTCCCTTAGTGCAGTACTTGTGTCAGTCATAATGCTGTTAATATGGCCGATACAAAATCCTCACGAGGCCTGGCAGCAACTGGCATAGGAACTGTCGACTGTGCTCGACATGAATTCAAGTTGCCAAATGGGGTAGGTGATCTACAGAAGGGCGAAAGATATGTCTTCTGCATTTTTTCTATTCAGTTACTTGACATGTTATCAGGTACCTCAATATGGATTACCTTGTCTTCTCAGCGCTGGTCGGATTCACAGTAACAATGCTCAATATTTCATACAATATCGCATGCCAATGGTCAAAGAAGCTGTGGAACAGAATGGATCACATGCTGACTCACCTTCACATACCACATGATAACATGCTGGTTCAATATTTTGTGCCAAAGTTTCACATTGCAGCCCACATTGCAGCCTGTCAAGTCAATTTCTCATGGAACCTCACTAAGTGGGTGGGTAGGACAGACGGGGAGGCGCCAGAACGGGGTTGGGCAAATGCTAATCGCATTGCATCGAGCACGAAGGAGATGGGGCCAGGAACACGACATGATATGTCGGAAAAAGTTATTTTTGCTTGGCATACCTTATAAGGCATTGCAAGCCCTCAATTGATCGAGCCCATTTGAAGCACTTGGAAGTGGACCCGAAAATCTTGCAAGTGAGGCTCAATTGACACTTGCAGGCTGATTGCAACCTCATTTAGGGACAGATTGGGACATATTTTTGCAAAAGTTACATTTACAGCCCCTTGTAAGCCGCTTGCGACACAATTGCAAGTCCCTTCCAATTGACTTGGAAAAATTTCGGGTGACCTTGCAACCCCTCAATTGGCCTCAAGAGGGGTCCCTTGCAAGGCACCTTTGGAAATTTCCGACATACATTGGATGATCACTTTGGTGATTGGAATTGGAAGAAGACAACAACGCTTGGTGAGTTTTTTGCTATCGACAATTATATTCCTGTCTGATACTACCTTGACTTAAAGGTCGTACATTGAAGCGCAAGATGGAAGAGGCCACGAAATGGGAGCGGGAACATTGTGCTGCATTGTGCAACCTGGAGGCAACTGTCCAGCCTGCACTGCTGGAAGAGTGGGAGTTGGAAGTTCAGACATGGGAGGAGGACAACACTTGTCAAATTGAGAGCAAGGTTGCTCGTAAGTCACTGCCCATTCATTCTGTCAATTTTTCTGATGGGTCAACATATAGCTATCACACAGGCTGCAGTAAGGTTGCAGCTCACAGAATCAGAAGCACAAGATTTGCAGGCAGGGATAAATCACTCACTCGACATCGATGTCTCCCCCAGTGTGCTTATTAGCGGTGGCATTGAATTAGAAGACATGCAGTACGTGAAGTGTCTCTTTTGCATTATGTTCATCATTCACATATTATGACAGACAACGACTCAAACACAACATTGCAAACCTCTCACTTCATCCCACAGACAAACAGAGAGAGGCCATCATCCACAGGACTAGCGCATTACAGAGACGTATCAATGCTTGGACATGCTATCAACAACTCTACATGCCCGTTGTCTCAATGCTACATTCATTGGCTGACATGAGTGTGAGTGCTCCACAAGCAGCACTCAGGCCTCAAGATTTCCCACTCTATCTTCCATCGGCTCTCAACTATCTCAACTGTGATCGACATTTGATGGAGTATGAGTGGGAACTTCAGTGGGCACAAGCTCATGATGCCCTCAACAAACTCTGTTCCCATCTTCATCTACGCTCGCACATGTACAAATTTAAGGACAAGCACTTACGTGGTCAAGCAGCATCCACCCGTGCCCAGAATTTGATCGCAAGTGTCAAGGTAAAGAAAGATGCAGCAGTGGACAAATACAAATGTGCACACCAAGCACTGGAGTCGCTAAGCTCTCAGGTGGATTAGATGGGCTGGAAGGAAAGACTTCGACCTCTCAGACACGAGGATGCTCAACCGATGGGCGATTTTGCAGCTGGCCATTCTCAGAACACTGGTACCATATCATGGATCTGGCTGGTATCAGACGGTGACACTAGTCACTCTGAGAAAGAGCGTGTTCAAGACTGTAAGTTTTTTAAATGGATGGCATGATCTCTGGCTCAGTTTTATTTAGGTGTCCGCATTGAGTGGTGTAAGGCACGCGCTCGTGCAGCTCGATGGTTTGAAGAAGTGGAGTTACTAGCTGAAGAAATGAGACAAGTACTGACCTTTCTGGAGTGGCAAGGCAGCTAGTAGCAAGAGCACGCAGTCCTATGCCCATTAGAGAAGATAACCCAACAAGAGGGCTTACGTGCATATGCATACCATCAAGCCACCCTCCGTTTTGCAATGCGAAATTCATTCCAAGCTCGTTGGAACTTCATTCCTCAACTCAATCTTGTGGTCTCAGAGTCCGTGGTAGATGATGATGGTGGTCCTTCAATTGATGCACCTCCTGTGGTCATAGAGTTTGAAGAGTAGCACAGTCAGGTTACTCTATGTACTAGATAGAGTCGGAATAGGCACATTAATGACACGATCTTGCGATCCCGATGACACTCCAGACTTGGCATGATGATCTGAGATGGATCTCGCGATCTCATCAGCGGAAAGGTATTATAACAAGGGAATGCATAGCACTACTATACATGGACATGGCCAAGCAATGTAGTAGGGTCATAGGGAACCTATAGTCTACAATATAGTGATGTATCACATTATCTGTGGCCCTCAGCAATTATTGTATCTCAAATCATTTGTAGTTATAGGTAGTGATACATCAAATGTACAGGTACAGGTGTGAATTCTGGGCATATTCTAGGGGAAAATGTCGCTATAATGATAACAAAGTCTGTAACTTTTGGCAAATTACCAGATGAGAGAGTCTGGCAGAAAACGTGGTGATATTCTCGTGTATTTTCACACTTTATCCACATTTTACCCTTTTCATAATCTACCAGTTTGTGCTGTGAATATAATATGGCACATCTGACTTCAATTATACTTGTTCGAAATTTCAAGTGGACTTCGTAAAATTCAATGATTGAGATCACGTGGCCAAAATCAGTGAACTTGGTAAAATTCATCAATGAAGATCATGAGGCAAAATCAGACAGTCCAGTATCTACTAGTATATAGATTGATATGCAAGGAATAATCTGCATCAAGGTAGGTGGTGGCAGGAGGCAGGCAGGTGCATGAGGTGGGTGCACGGATTAGTGCTGCTGTGGTCCAGTTCAGTCCAGTTCAGAGGGCCTTGGATGAGAACCCAGAACCGGACCATGGTCTGGTTCGACAAAATCGTCAAACCCAGAACTGGACCATCAGGAACGGTTCTTAAGGGTCCAGTTCAGTTTTTTTGTGGTCTGAACGTGAACTGAACCATATATTTTTCAAAGCGCCAAAAAAAAACATTCACAATACATCTACATGACATTGGGTAGCTAGTCTAACTACATACCAGCCGCATGCTCCTCTGCCTCTATTGCTGCTGACATATGTCCATTCTTATAGGCTGCCTTCATCAATTGTAGTGCAGAGAATGTGGATGGTGCGAGTGCATTGCGGCGCAGAGTCGATGTGATCCCCGCACTGGAGAAAGCGCGTTGTCTTGTTACTTAAGGGTCTTATATGAAAGTTGTGTATAATGACAACACAATTATACATGGTGAAGACTTCTTGCCAGTCCTTAAGTCCAGGGTCTCCTACTTTTCTACTTCGTGGGAGGTAACATGGTGAGTTCTGGGGAGGATTTAATTTGTTGTCCTCTTCTTGTGTAGTCTTATATGAAGTGTTGTAGAATGTTCTGTGTTCTGGATAATTCATTAGGTTTGTTTCAGCCTAGTAGGTCGTGTTTCAACCTATGAAAGTCTGTTTCAACTTTGTTGTCCTTAGATATGTGTCTCACTTTCCGTTGAAAGAGAGAGTTTTATGAATACACGTAAAGCTTAGAATGAGAGCTGTTCAATGGTTATATAGTCATGTGATGAATCAGCTTATTACTAAGTACATTACAAACACAGTGTAATCTTACAAAGAATTTACAAACCATGACAAACCATGAGTGAACATGTTGAGTCATGTTAAATGTTGTTACAAAGCATGACCAATCATGACTAAACATGTTGAGTCAGCTTAAATAATGTTACAAACCAGAATATTTCCCAGTCACATGATGTGATGACAAATAAAATCTGATGGCTGAAAGAAGCCAAATAAAAATAAACAGTCAGAAATAAATAGAGATACAAAACTTGGTGGCTGAAAGAAGCCAAATAACAATAAACAATGAGAAATAAACAGAAGGTCACATGCTTGATACAAATACAAGTTAAAGATAAGTCTGAAAAGTGAGAAATAAAATACAAGACAATGAATCAAAGGAAAAATGGAGAAGTAACTCAGTGACAGAGGGCTAGATAGTCTCTCATATCTTCCTTATCACTCTCTATATATCTGACATGGTATGAATCACATACCATGCATGACAGCGTTCAGATGGAACTGCACTGCCTTGAATGGGCAGGTAATCATGCGCAACACGAGCTAGTGTTGGATACTGCAGCGAATGTAACTGATCAAGAATGTAAGCGGGGAACCAATGAATTCAAGGGCTGACTTACACCCCACCACACCACAACATCATCCGTCTCCTCCAATGGTGAAGTAAGGTAGGAGGAGAGCTCTTGATGAGGATCCCGCGTGCGATATCCGTTAACTTGGTGCGATGCGGGATGTCTTTTTCAGTCAGGGATGGACGTGCATACTGCAATAAACATCGAAATGCTGGCTTATCAATTAATTGTATTGCCTGGCGTGATGTAAATAAATCTCAAATGAATATAAATATATAAAAATCGACATACCTCATCTTCCATGACAATGAGTTCCATGATATATTCAAGTAGCCCTTCCTTGGTGAACGCGGGTGGTTTGCAAACAAGCTTGCCATCGAGAGTCATTTGTGTTTGTGTTTGCATCATGGTGACATCTTCTCCAGGTGGAATTGCACAAGAGTGCATTGTGATGCCTGCGGCATCACAATGCTGGACTAGGGGTCCCAAGGGAGCAGGGCCAGGGACAAGGCAGCACTTAGGCTTAGTCAAGGTCCGGAGGCAGCATTCAGGCTTAGTCAAGGTTCAGATGAAGCTTAGTCAGCAGTAGAGCACATGTTCGGAGCGGGTTGTAGTGTCATCATCATCATTCTGCCACACATTGCCTCGAGTCACTTAGTCCTAGTTCATCGTGGTGAACAGAGCAAATTCAGCTCAACTCAAGTTCATTTCAGCTATCAGCATTAGCCGCAGCCTCAGCCACAGTACCCACTCCTAATCGACCAATTAGAAAATGTGGAACCTTCGAAGCAGAACCATCAATAGCCTTTCAGAAAAGCCAAACAGATAAAAGACAACCTAATTATGTCGTGTTACGTCCAAAAGACCAAGCTAGATGGCAGGTGTTCCCAGAACACCTGCATACATCACAAAAAGGGCTGTGTCTCCCTTTGCTTATTTTATGTGGATTCCCATCGGAAACTGATGTCTAACGGCTTAAGACCCAGATCAAAATCAGGCCTCGCAGTAACAAACGTCCACCAAAAAATCAACTGGTCGAACTGGTCACCAGACATATCTGCAGATTCTTCTCCCTTAGACACGCCAGAACGTCCTCTTAGCCCAACCTTGCATGAGCCCGAAGAACAGAACTATAGCCAATTCTTCGAAACTGAAGTCCCCGAACTAGACGTCCCCATTCTAGACTTCGAGCTACCGCTCTACATTCAGATATCAACACCCCGCAAGAAAACAGATCCCCTCACTCCTCTCAGCCCTCTCACAGAACTAACAGACTACGATATCGACTCCTTCTTTGAACTAGCAAAAACCAAAGCCATTATGCCAACAGAAGCACCTCAAATCTTCTACAGCGATGGACGCACTTCAGAAAACCCAGCCGATTTTTTAAAGTCATTCAACAGGGCCATGAGACAACAATCCATCGTGACAAACACAGACAAGTTAGACGCTTTCGGTGATTACCTCAGCATGGGATCAGAGGCAGAAGTGTGGTTCAAAGCACTCCTGCAAACATCGCAGAAACCGGGATGGCCAGCATTTGTGGCAGAGTTCGAATCACGATGGCCACCAATAGTCATAGCAGAGAAAACCAAGGCAGAGTAAGAGAAAGAGCTACTAGAGCACCTGTTACCAGACGCAGTGGTTGGAACCAAAACCACTGTCTATGACAAAGAGTGCTGGACGCACGTGGCATGGGCAGCCAAAGCACTCCAACTCGCAACGAGCGCAGGCATAGCATCAAACACTTCGATGATTTGGCAAGTACATGGATGTTTGCCAAGCGTCATCAAGGACCTACTGAAAGATGAAGAATACAAGGATTGGGCAGTGTTCACGAAAGAAGTTACGGATCTGAAAAGTACCCGTCTTCTGGAAAAGAAGGATCAGCATATGAAACGAGAACGGGAAGTTGCATCTTTACGCGCAGACTTAGCTCGCATCCAACAGCGCACCCCAACTTCAAACCCCATCACCTCCCTTCAGAACCAGTTCGCTCGAATGTCGGTTAATACACAGCAAGGAACCCAAGCAGCTTCAAACCCACCCACCTACACCAGAGCCCCAGCGCAACAAGTCAAACGTAACTCGCAAGCAACATATAGTCGTCAGCCAGCTCAACCACAACAACCATTAGCTATCACGGAAGATGTCAGAACAGCAGTATGACAAACAATCTCCAGCCTCGCTCACCACCCAGACATTAATGCCGGATGAGCGGCCTACTCGACTCAGATGAGCCAGTGGAGCATGAGGTGGGGAGAGAATACTCACGTCACACCAGAGTCAGGCCACCCAGTAAAGCCAGGCACCGCAGCAATATGCTCAGGCAAATGTTTTAGTTGTGGGACCCACAGGCACAGCAGCAAGAACTCTGTACTACCAATGGACGACCCTGCAAGACTCCCTAGGAAGGAGTCCATTTGGAGAGCACTCGCTCACAAATGTCTAGGCGCAGTCAATCGAACATCAGTGGTCCAAATCTCACTAGTGTATGATCTTGCAACATCTTTCGTAGTAGAAGAAGAAGAGGGAAAAGGGAACGGGTCGGCATAGAAAAGGGTATCATGCCGACCCGAAGCAGGATAGAGACCCAAGACAAAGAGAAGGTCCTCGTACGCATGGAGGCATCGTGCGAGGACAGAATGTTGGAACCAAGCCCCCAGTCCCCCCTTGAACCTTTAGCTATATCTACTAGCGCACCTGTACCATCCGCTACAAGCACAGCAAGCATTGTTGACCTGTATGCAGCGTGACATATTCTACTCAACAAAGCTCAAGTGGAAACTGGAGAAGTGGTCCCATTCTTACATCAAATCAAATTAGAAGGACCAAAAGGGGAACTGGTTCAGGTTCAAGCATTATTCGACGATGGCGCTATGGTAGCCGCAATGTGTTCATCAATATTCGCAAAAGTTAAACACAGGCTAGACAATGTCCTCCCATCCGCAAAAAGACTTTGTATGGCCAACGGAACAATAATCAACTCCGAAGCCAGGTGGTCAGGAATGATCGAACTCAATGGTGTTCGTGCAGAAGGACAATTCGAAGTCTTCGATAGTGCAGGAGGATGGGCATTTCTATTCGGTAAACCAACACTGATAGCATTCAACGCCGTCCACGACTATACCACAGACTCAATCACGGTATCAGACGCAATACGATCAACAGTACTGCAGAACGCAATACTGTCTCCAAGCGCACTGAACCAAACGGAGGAAGACAGCAGCCTGACAATGGACATCAAGCAACGAGAAATAGCAACGGGGGGTACTATCCAATCACCCCCCTCAAGGCAAGTTTTACTGAAGTCCCAGAACTTCACATTGAAGAAAACTGACCACGTACCTGAGAAATTGCACACCCCAATCGCAAAACCATCAGAAATGCCAATGGGTCAATGGAAACCCCCAGTACTCAATCTCAAATGCCAGGACCGGAAAGACTTGAGGCAGATATGGAAGAGAGTAGAGAGCACAACAATCAGAACGAAGGAGCCGCAGGAGAACCTAGTGACAGCACCGAAGTCAATCAACGTCATAACACCAGCAGACACCTTATAATCGACAGATCAACTATTGGGCGACTTACCAGAACCAGACGCACCATCAGCAAACCCCTCAATTCACACCAGACAAACAAATCTGTTCAACCCCACAAGAGTTGCAGAGATAATGCACCAAGTCACTCTCGGAAACGACCTCTCGGAAGACAAACAGACGGAGTTAGAAGAGTTTGTAAAAGAAAATGCAGACACATTCGCGCTATCTTTAAGTGAAGTCACACCGATCCCAGGAGCACAAGTCAACCTGAACGTCCCAGAAACCGCTAAGTTTAATCTTCGTATACATCAACGCCCACTCACCCCAGAACAATCCAGATTCTACAATGAAAGGGCAGATGAAATGCTGAAAGCAGGCTTAATAGAGAAGGCCCCACCAGAACTCATTAAGTGCATAGCTACTATGGTAATCGCTCAGAAAGCGCACGAAATGGGAGGCCTACCATGGGACGAACTGAAAAGACAGGTAAATGAGCAGTGCGACACGGCAGGGATGAATCCAGCATTCAAACTCCCGGAGCAGGAAGTGCAACCCCAAAACCCCAAGGACATGATCAGTACGAAACCAAGGAAGTGGCGAATATGCCAAAACTTCGCTCAACTCAACAAAGTCACAGAAATAGCCCCAATGCCGCAAGGCGACATCCTGGCTAAGCAACAATGTCTCAGTGGTCATCGTTACCTTTCAGTATTCGACTTCGCCTCTGTATTCTATGTGATTGAAGTCCCAGAACAATGGCACCCATACCTAACTTTCTATGTCGAAGGCCGAGGGTACTTCTGGTATAAGCGTATGCCAATGGGTATCACGGGAGCGCCCACTATATTCTGCGATACCCTAGCAGAAAGGTTGTATGAATTTCTCGTTTCTTATTATATGGAACTTTTTATGGACGATGGAGCATGCGCAGCTAACACTTTTCAGGAAATGATGGTCAAGTTAAGAGCTATATTCGCTAAGTTCAGAGAATGTAAACTCTCGATAGCGCCAAGCAAAAAACGCTTTTGCGTCTCGGAGACAGAGTTCGCAGGAGGAACAGTCGGAAGAGACAGTGTCAAACCAGACCTAACCAAACTCACAGCAATCGTTGACTGGCCACAGCCGGACAATGCGCTAAGTCTAGTTTCTTTTCTTGGGCTTACAGGCTTCTACAGAACTCTTATACAGGCATATGCGAAACACGAGGGACTGCTTCGAAATCTCCTACTAAAAGTCCCACTCGACAGCTTACAGAACAAAACAGCATATCAAAGAACAATGTCCAACTTCAAATTAGCACCGCATTGGAAGGAGGAACAGACCCGCGCCTTTTTAGATCTTAAAACTGCAATCACCTCAAGACCAATACTCCAAGCTCCGCGCTACGATGGCTCACCATTTGTGGTAACATCAGACGGGTGCATAGAGGGATTCACGGCAGTTTTATCCCAAAGAGTCTGGACAGAGTCACCAATGGGAAAATGGAACGAACGAATGCACCCCATCGCTTTTGCATCAAAAAGAACATCCACAACGGAGAAAAAGTATAAATCGTACTTACTTGAATTTGCAGCACTCAAATTCGGACTGGATAAGTTCTCGAGCGTCGTATGGGGATTCCCAGTCGAAATTGAAACCAACTGTAACACCTTAAAAGATACATTACTCAATTCAAGTCTCAACGCGGCACATGCACGTTGGCGGGAAAGTATATTGGCTTACAATATAGTGGACATACGACATGTACCCGGGAAGTTAAATGTCATAGCAGACGGTCTTAGTCACAAATGGGAAGGCACAGCACCAACACCTGGAGACGGAAGTGAGTGGACGGTAAGTGAGAACTGGGAGGCACACACAGGACTCGTAAACGACATAATGCATATCACGGAAGCTAACCCCACAGCTGAAAAACTCCAAGCATGCTTTGCAAACGAGCTTGTATTCCAAGAGGTAATAGAGGCCATCTTCAATCTTGATGAAGACAAGAACCTTCGAGAAAAGAAGAGAGCATGCCACAGAGCCTCCCAGTACGTTGTAGAGAACGGAAAACTCTGGAGACTCAAAGGGAGCACGTCAACTCGGGCAAGGGCTAAAGTAGAGTGTATAACCAAAGAGGAAGCCGAAGAACTAGCAACTCAAGTCCATGCGGAAGGCGGCCATTGGGGCCGTGACGCAATCAAGATTGCACTCTTAGACCAAATCTGTAGCCCAAAGCTCGACGTGTCAGTCCTAACAGCCATCAAAAACTGCGCTAAGTGTAAAAATTTCAGTCCAACGCATTTACACTCACTGCTAGATCCCATAACCAGACGTCACCCCTTCGAACTATTAGTAGGGGATTACCTTACCATGCCCAAAGGAAAAGGCGGTTATAGCATGCTCGGTGTTTACCTAGACATGTTCTCGCAACATGTCTGGGTGTTCAAGTACAAAACAGCTGGCAGTGCCAAAACCACCATTGATAGTCTAGCGTCCATCTCCAGCGCCTTCATAGCACCAGAGACATTCATGGCAGACAGCGGGAAACACTTCAATAACAACGCGGTGAGAGATTTTTGCACGTCCAGAGGATGTAAATTACATACAGTTGCAGCATATTCACCATGGGTGAACAGATTGGTGGAAGGAACCAACAAGCTCTTGTTACACATCTTGAAGCGCCTATGTGCACCAGACCTGGGGGAGGACGAGACACAACCAGCATCTTGGGATAAACTCCCAAACTCCTGGCCAGAGCACCTAGACAATGCAGTTCATTCCCTGAACCACCGCTTACTCCCCGCACTCAAATTCTCACCTAAAGAGCTCCTACTAGGTCTAGTAGTCAACACGCCACCAACACCCATAGAAGAAAGCACATCGGTTCTTAGGAGCGCAAGCGCCATTACTCAGATCGCGTACGCTGAGCAACAGCGCTTAGACGGGTATGAAGAGACTGTACGTCATGCCATCAGACGGAAATCAGCCTTCGACAAAAAAGTACTGCAACGCACCCGGGGAAGTAATCTTTCATCCTGGTCAATTAGTCCAAGTTTACCGCAACAACCTAGATTACACGTTCAAGGCAGAACGCAAGCTTATTCCAAGATGGTCAATCCCTCGAAGAATCCAATCAAGAATATTAAACTCTTACAAACTCATCACTCTCGAAGGCAACCCCTTACCAGGAGAGTTCAGCGCCAGACGCCTACGCTTATTTACCCCACGCAAAGGCACCCAACTCACAGCAAACCAGAGAGAGCACGAAAAAGAACTCCAGGAAGGCGCAAACACGCAAGAGAGAGCAGGTGAAGAGACAAATGAAGAAGAAGAGGATGAAGACAAGAACCTGGAGGAAGAGGAGTGGCTAGTAGAGTCAGAGAACGGAAGTAGCGGCAACGAGGGTGGCGCTGGTTGTTTTTTAGAGGGGCCCATGGACTAGGGGTCCCAAGGGAGCAGGGCCAGGGACAAGGCAGCATTCAGGCTTAGTCAAGGTTCAGACGAAGCTTAGTCAGCAGTAGAGCACATGTTCGGAGCGGGTTGTAGTGTCATCATCATCATTCTGCCACACATTGCCTCGAGTCACTTAGTCCTAGTTCAACGCTCCTTGTAGACTTGAAAATGGGACTTTTTGTGATGGACAATGTGTGTGCGCAGTGTCGAAGTGCCTCCGCGAAATGTGTGATTCTGTACTGGTTCACCAGCATCCCTTGTTTGAAAGTTATCAAAAGAAATATCAAAAACAATATGGACAACTTACTTGCACAAGGTACAGACCCACCCATCAGGTAAGTGGGTAAATATAGTCCTAATGTCCACCATACGTTCGCTTTTTGAAAGCTAGATACAGGCATTAGTCAAGACTAAGGAAGACAATAAAATGAGGTACGTACAGTCAAAGTGGCGCCCCCATTCTCGGACTTAGTTTCATCGGCTTCATCGTCGTCCTCTGGTTGGGGGATCAGCTCATCAGCAGATGACTCTCCTAGATCAGGCATAGAAGGTATATCTTCATCTTCAGAGTCAAGAGGAGATAGGATTCGCATGGCGACTGCAACTTTCTTAGGTGCTGGATGGTCCGTAGCGCTTGATAAAGCACGCTTCCTTGTGCCCAAAAACGAAGACAGCCCACAGGCATTGTCAGCATCATGAATACAAGCTGATGGTTTTGAGGGCTGGCCAGAGCGCCAAGAACCAGCTGTGACTGTTGCTGGGGTGTGTCCAGCCTTGAGCAGAACGGAAAAGGCATCTTTTGTGGATGTAGTTGAAGATGATGGCTGGGCGGAAGGTGGGACCTGGGGCAATGGTACTTCGTCGTCAGGATCATTGAAGAAGGTGATATCGGAAGCATCCTTGAGGGAGCTGTCAGCATTAAGAGCACAGCAGTCTTCAGACATCGTCAGGCAAATAACTCACAATTTCATTGTCGGCACCTCATTTTATGCATGGAGCAAACCCAAACATCCCAGAGCAACGATATCCAAGGAGATCCATTAGAGTTAACAGCCGGTGGAGGATCATGATGGTCCAGGAAGCGTATAGACTGGAACAAGTAGATATCTGTGATATAGTTAAATGTATGTCAGTCGGTGAGAGTCTTGAGAGTTGATTGATTAGTACTAACCTTCAAAAAGGCTAAAGGTAGCCTAATTAACCAATAGTGCAAATCCAGAAGACAACACTTTGACGTCATCATAGTTGAAGTCGAAGTCGACAATGGGTTCGGGGTTCGGAAATGGTTCAGGAAGGTCGAACCAGAACTGGACCGTTTGGGAAGATCTAGAACCGAGAACCGTTTTCCGGTCCGGTTCTGGCTGGCGAACCACGGAGAACTGGACCAAAAGTCCGGTTCGAACCATGGTTCTGGACCGGACCGCGGCAGCACTAGCACGGATGTTGAAACCGCGCAGCAACAGCGGCGGGAGGCGGGCAGGTGCATTGGTAAAATTCATCGATGGAGATCACATAGGCAAAATCATACAGTCCAGTATCTACTAGTATATAGATTGATATGCAAGGAATAATCTGCGTCACGGTAGGTGGCGGCAGGAGGCGGGCAGGTGCATGAGGCGGGCGCACGGATGACCAATCTATTGAAATCGCGCAGCAACAGCGGCGGGAGGCGGGCAGTGATGCATTAATGCATCGAACAAATGCATCAACTGTGCGCGGATGATGCATCAAACGAATGCATCAATATGGCGCTGGTTCTATGGCGCTGGATCTGTTCAACTATTCTTCACACACAAAACTCATACACACGCACAGACGCGACACACACACAAACGAGACGCACACACATAATCACTCCTTCGCATACATACTCTTGTATCGTAGAAAAATTAGTACTGCACTACTAGATCTGACATGATTCAATAATCAAATTATATTGCAGACAAGGTCCCCAATGAAGAACTGTAGAGTCCAAGGGGCAAACAAAATGCACCGAAGCCGCCAGCATTGGCAGCAAAGCCTCGAATCTTTTCAAGGTCTGGCCGGTGGACGAGACGGAGCGATGATAAATGAGTAGGTCTCAGAGCGATGATGAAGGTTTCTATAAGCGCAAAGCAAGTAGAGTCCAAGGGCAAACAAAACGCACCGAAGTCACCAGCATTGAGAGCAAAGCCTCGAAACTTTTTAAGGACCGGCTGGTGAACAGTGCGCAAAGATGCAGGTGACGTGGCGGGCGCTTGTTGTGGTGCCACAGTTGATGGTCTCAATATCGAGCGACATCGAGAAGTAGGAGAGCATGAGAGATGGGGCGCGGCATAAGAGAACAAGTGGGAGAGAGTTAGCACGAGAGAACAGGTATGAGAGAGCAAGCATGAACGGGTGCAAGAGAGCGAGCACAAACAAAAGAGTTAGGGCGAGCATGAGAATGGGTGCGAGGGACCAGACATATAGGTCTGTAGACATTGATTAGTTCACGAGAGAACGGGTAGGCGCAATAGATAGTAACTGCAGGAGTGCAAGATGCTTTGCAGTAAGAATATAGAAAAATGATAAAAAGTCAAAACGCACCTTGAGTCTCAATGTCACCAGCATGGGTCCCTTTCAACTCCCTGGCAAAAACAAAGGACTTGGAGAAAATCGAGCGTACATAGATTTTGTTGAGAAAGTTCCATCTTGGTTCCGTCACCGCTGGCGCTCTAGATGGTACTGTATGCACAAAAATAGCAGGGACAGCAGTAGGAGACCCGCTTTCAGCATTTCATCCCTGGGCGTTGGTGTGAGCCTCTTGACTACTACACATTGACATCCCGAGGTACTGAAGAACTGCAGTGACTTATAGAAAAAAATAGCAAAGCCTCATCAGGCGGGCCGCGGCACAACGCTTATGTAATACATAAGATTGATGCGTAGTTCAGCCAATAATGAGCACTGCCGCATTATTGCCTATGAGGAGCCGTCCATTATCGAGCACTCATGATACTGCACTGACAATACTGCATGTTCCATCGACTGGTATGCGAAGGAGTGATTATGTGTGTGCGTCTCGTTTGTGTGTGTGTCGCGTGTGTGCGTGTGTGAGTTTTGTGTGTGAAGAATAGTTGAACAGATCCAGCGCCATACATCAACCGTGCATGGATGATGCATCAAACGAATACATCTGGCAGTGATGCATTGATGCATCGAACGAATGCATCTGCATTGCCCTATATTGCTGTGATGCATCAGTGTTTGCAGGCCTACAGTTGCAGCACAAATGCATCACCACTAACGTTACAATTACAGCATTTTATTGCATCACTAAGACCAGGACGCCTGATCAAGTGCAGTAGAAGCTCATCTACACTCTATATTTATGATGTTTACCATATACATAGTCGTGTAATGTTCTAGATCGGTTCATATATTCACGTCCCGGATTACGTCCTGCCATTCATCAAGATGCTTCAACATCATCATGCATTTATTTCTAACATCCTTCTCTGCATCTTCTCCCAAGACGAGATACAACGGCCACTCCCTCCCAGCTGCAACGCCTTCTCCTCTTACGACGTCTGCGACGAGTTTCATCGCCTTCATGGGGTCTCCTGGTTGCCTGCCAGGGATAGCCTCATACATCACCTGTGTCTCCGCTCGCGTTTTATCATAATCAGGTATGGGATTCGTCCACGTGTCAAATTTATTCCTGTATATGTTTTCTGTGCGGAAGGCGCCAGGCTCGACGATGAGGATGCGTATGTTGAACGGTGCGAGTTCTAGGGCAAGTGTTTCGCTCATTGCTACAAGATTCTTCAGATGATGTGACGTGTATTGATTTAACGCGACTTACCCTGCACTGCTGCCTTTGATGCGGCATAAACGCCTGCCAGTCGTGACGTTGGTCACCCGCGGAACATCTTCAAAGACGCAACTCACCAAGTCCCTGAAACAGACATTGTCCAACCACTCTCAATCATAGATGATGCTACTCACCTTGACCTCAGGCCTCCAGGCGCTGCGACTTCCTATAATAACTACTGTACCACTCTTCCCTGCAGAGCTTAAAGCACGTGTTGCAAGCAAACCCGTGGAAACTTACTTTCACGCATATATGGTAATGCTGCATTCGTGACGTCCAGCACACCCAAGACATTAGGGCGGAATTGTCTTGTTAGGAAGTCCACCCTGAAACCGATCGCATACATTAGGCACGGGAAAAAAACATATCTATATCCCTACCCGCATTCCTCAAGGATTCCCAGCAGCCCAATACCCGCATTGTTCACCAACACGTCAATCCTGCCCCAGACCTTAGCCGCCTCATCTACGCGTTCCTTGATGACGGTCGTTCCGGAAGTCACATCAAGCTCTAGAAGGTGTAGGTTTGGAGATTGGGGAAAATCTTGGATTTTCTGGAGAGATCGGGCCGTCGCGATCACGCGATCACCGCGTTCTAGAACGATTGATACTAAACGGCGACCAAAACCTGATGATGTACCTAGATGATTGGCGTAAGCTGCTGCTATCTCTTGTAAATGAGGATACTCACCTGTGATTAACCATACTTTAGGGTCAGACATAAGTGCTCTTACGAATGAAGAGCCTGAAGTTCGGACTAGGAACGAGAAAGGGAGTCAGTCTTGGATTTGTAATGCTGCTAGATGATTTCGACAGGGATTGATGGACCAAGAGAGATGAGTTGTTCACGGTAGTAAGGACATACTTTTATATCCAAGTGAGTGGCTGTAGCGGTATAATGGAAACACCTTAGACGGTATAGTAGCGCGTCAAGCCGGTACATATGGAAGTCTATAGCCGGTGGTACAAAGGGAGTTCCGTGGCAAGCGAAGTGACGTTCCTTACAGATCAGAAGACTAGATTAGCTATCATGACCATACCTAAGAACGGAAAAGGGACGAGGTGTGGTTATAGTCAGAAAGTGTACGTAGGACAAGAGAATTTACCTCGGTCTTGGGTCAAAAGATTACTCAATGGGAGAGGAATTGATACGGTTGAGACGGAGGGGAACGTGTATGATAAAGGCGTATAACGAGAAGCGAGTCAAAGTCTTCGATTCGCTTCTCGTTACACGGTCACGTAGTGATTTCCCGGCCCGGCTGGGCTCGAAAGCCGCACCTTTGGCCTGGCTTCAGATGACTTAGGCTTGCCAAAGATACAGGCCGGGCAAAAGCCGCCAGTGACGCCGGCTTTGTCCTGGCTCTGGCCTGAGCGCTTGAGCCACGGCCTGAGTACTGTAAATGCAAAATCACAGGTATGGGTCAATATATGAACTTGAAGAGCTGGATGGAACACATCGGCATTTGTGAATGGGTAAGGACATGTGCAGGCAGACAGAGACAAATGCATGACAAGGTGCCAACGAACGCAAAGCGCCGACACACATGAACAAGTATGAATGAGCGCTGAGCCACAAAGAAGTGCAGATGAATGCAGACGAATTGTGTGATAACAGATATGGACAAACGCAGACATGCGCAAACAAATGTGTGCGACCGAACAAATATGACGAGCCACAAAGGAAGGTGGTCGATGGTGCAATACCTAGTTCAGAGCCAATCAGTACCGTTGCTTTTGAGACAAAATTTCATACCACTGGAGCAATATATATAAATGTTAGAATTTATGTACTAGGATGCTGAAGTTGTGGCTTCGAGCAATTGTGACTAGGTATATGAGTACTTCAAATTTTGGACAACTTACGAGTAATTAATCAGATATAGACTATATACCGAATTTGGTGCAGAATATGCCAAGGCAGTCGGGGACTTGGTGCGCATGTATCGCTACGATTGGTATTGAGATGACGGTAAAGGTGTACGTGACAAAATAGGAAATCCTTGATTGGCTGCGGCTTTACCAGTCGGACCTTGAAATAATACGCACCGGCAATGCGAGCCGTCCACTCCGAATTCACGCGACAACAACATCCTTCCTCCACCATCGACATGCAGGTCCTCGCTAAGACCGCCCGCGCCAGCGCGCCGCGCTTCTGCATGCGCTCGTTCGCCTCGTCAGCGGGAAGATGCCAGGCCACTCCTATCGAGAAGCCTGTACTAAACAAGGAATTCAAAATTTATCGCTGGGTAAGTACTATGCAATTCATCAAAACATAGGGAATTGATGATGTCTGTGTTATAGAACCCAGATGAACCTGCCAACAAACCTACTCTCCAGTCTTTTACCATTGATCTTAATCAAACTGGGCCCATGGTACGTTCACTCCTACATACTTCTCACTGTAATGTTTGAACTCGCCCTTGGCTTTCTTTTGTAATAGATTCTTGATGCGCTCATCAAAATTAAGAACGAAATCGACCCTACGCTCACCTTCCGTCGTTCATGCAGAGAGGGTATCTGTGGTTCTTGCGCGATGAATATCGACGGTCAAAATACCCTCGCCTGTCTTTGTCGTATAGACAGAAACTCGAGTAAGAATTCCAAGATCTATCCCCTTCCTCACAGTAAGTTCTTCGCTGTGGTTCCCCCCTATAATCCTCATTGCATGCTCGTGTTTGCAGTGTATATCGTGAAAGACCTGGTTCCCGACCTGACGCTGTTCTACAAGCAGTACAAGTCCATTAAACCCTACCTCCAGAACGATAACTTGCCTCAGCAGGGCGAGTTCTTGCAATCGCAGGAGGACCGCAAGAAGCTCGATGGAATGTATGAGTGTATTCTATGTGCATGCTGTACGACAAGTTGTCCATCGTATTGGTGGAACCAGGATGAATACTTGGGCCCTGCGACGCTAATGCAAGCATACCGCTGGATCGCCGACTCTCGTGTACGTGATCTTTTTTCGTGAGATATGTCGTGAGATCTTATTCGCGTATTTGGTGACAGGATTCATATGGTGCCCAGAGAAAGGAGCAACTCCAGAACGAGATGAGCATGTACCGCTGTCACACAATTTTCAATTGTACGTTGCGTCAGTCACTTCGTGCGTATTACAAATATTCATAGCTCCCTTTAGGCGCACGTACCTGCCCGAAGGGTCTTAACCCTGCAGAAGCCATCGCGAAGATCAAGCTCGAGCTTGCCGCTGACTAATAGCTTCGCATGGACGGTGGGACGGAGCTTGTGTGAACAGGTCGTCACCTGCGGCCGTTGCTCATGATTCCGAGTGAAATCCCATCATGATATTGGTACTACCTTTGTCTTCGTTCGTCGATGCAAATAAAGAGAATGTATCTTGTCGATTGTTCACGCTTGACAACGCGGTATATAGTTGACCATGCGCAAAAGGATCAGTTCTGAGATCCAGGACTGTGCGAATGAGCGTGAGATCTCGGCAGCCATTGAAAGTGATTGCTTAAGCTTTTTTCAAAGGAAATCATTTTCGATTCACTATCGAACTCGAGCGGCACGGATGCATAGAAAACGTGATACATGGAATACGTACGGTAAGTTTCGAGATTGTTGAGCAGTTGAAGGGAGCAGTGCATCGTTGCGTTGTATGGCCCATATGCAATTTATTTTGAGATCTAGTCGATGGGGAGAAATTCCGGGCGCAGTAAGTATCGCCAAGTAGTCTGGTGTTTTTTTCAAGTGCGTCAATTGGTGCGATCCTTAGACGAATGCTGTATTAGCCCCAAAGGTAAAAACGATAACGGCTGAGTCCGAGTCACCATCAGGCAGAGCAATGTATTAATCGTTGTATTTCCAATAACGTTTTGCTCTCATGGAGGTGGTACCGTATCCATGTACAGCTGACAGTGCTGTGAAAGTGGAAGAGTGCTTCAAGGTCCCAATCCATTATAATTAACAACCTCGACCCCATCTAGAATAGCCCGTGGTATTATTCCTTCAAAGTTCGAGATGATCAAAATAAAAAACATTCTCCTCAAGCACTTCAACTTCGTTTGTCGACGGCGGGTGAACTTCCCAGCCTCTACTACGCCAATTATGATGCTGTATTGTCGAAGGTTTGCACGAGTGTTTCAAGTGTGTCAACTAAGGTATTTCACTGTCGCGCGGATCGTATAGTGCTGAGATCAGGGGATGTGCACTTTACTTCGCCTGCATGCCCTACAATTGAGAGTATCGTCATGGTACACCTTGAGTGGGTGAATTTCGGAATAGGTTGAAACAACAATGCAAGGGAGCATCCTCCGGCCTGGCATACATAATCTCACTTTAGGGGCATCGGTATTTATTATTCATGTTGTATTTTTTGCCTTGTCATAGCCGCGTCAACGGCGCATCACATGCATCACAACCGATGCAGGATCCACGAATGACCGGAAGGGATAGGTTCTAATATCATTCGCCAAGCATATACATTTTGCAAAACCTTTACATGATAATATAATCATTTTGCTACCGTCACCAGCATCCACGCACCTCAACGAAATCATCCGAACACCATATCACCTCGGACAAACAATGCGCTTCTATTTTCTCACCTTTATTGTTGCGTTGACAGCGTCCATATTGTCTGTCACAGCAAGGGGACGAAACTGCAGCCCACCTGGAAATATTTGCGTAACGGATAGTAACTGCTGCGAAAAAACTGATACCTGCGATGGTGGCGTGTGCGGGCTTGAGATGAGTCTCCTCCACCCTGAGAACAGGCCGTAGCGACACACCAGTGAGTGTTTCCGCATTCATATTGGCGACGTTGTTGATCGAGCAATATGTAGAACGCTGCTGATTGAGAAATGAATAGAGGTGGGTGAAAGGAGTACATGTATGAGGTATCTGCACACTGTTTGGTCTTGGCGTAAATATGACACCGCGGCCGCGGCAGACTGGCCAGCGATAAATCAAATGCGTGTTAGCTAAAAGACGCGCAGTTTGATTGGGTCAAAAGTTAAAAATTTCACCGCTTTTATTTATCCACTCGACAAGATTGAAGACATGCAGTTGCTCATACATTTTTCTGTGTACGTCTTGTTTAACCGTCTAGTTGGAGCTCACAAGACAGTCAAGACCTGTGATATAAATCATCAACTTATCTGGCTTCGGGCCGATATAGCCTGACCTTCGGTTACAGACATGCCAAGGATTAATGTCATGCCACATTTAGAGACCTGTTCTCGATCGAGAATGACCACGAAACACATCAGTTTGCTGTCAACAGCATGAATCAGCAACATATGGCTCACGAAGACTTACCTTGGACTTGCACCCTTCCCACCTCAACTCTCCGAATTTTACAATCAGTACAACCTCATCTCGGCCCCCTTCACCAAAACACAACAAGAAAACACACACCTCAGTCATGGCGCCTGCAGAGCACCATGAAAGGGAATCGGGATTGAGTGATGAGGCAGCGAGAGGGTTAACATTTACTCACCGGAACCAAGTCTTCAAAATCCTCGCTGAAGATATGTGAAGGAGGTGATCGCAGGATTGTTCTGCTTCCTGTTGGTCATATGACCCGCGTGGTCCATACTTAGCGCCTCGTTGTTTCGCGTCGAGTGTTTGCAGTGCAGTTGTTGCTGCAAATAGTTGGTCATCCGTTGTCTCTGTATCAGCCAGTAAAATGATGGCAACAGTACCCACATCGAATCGAGATCTCTTCCCTTGAACTACTTCCGTGGTGAACTGTGAATAGAAAAGGTCTGACGTAGAAGACAACGATGGACTCATTCCTTCTGTCCACGGCAGCTCTATTGTATGTTTCGGCCCCAATGGTGACAAATTTGTTCCGCATGTTCCCATGAAATCAATGGACGGTAGTCTATGATAGACCTTCAATAGATGTCGTTTGTATGAGGACACTCTCACACTTCAACAGTCACCAATTCACTTTACAGATGAGATCGCGCCTGAGTTTTATTCGTGTTCATGTGCTTCTGTAAAAGTGCTTACATAGAGAGCTGGGCCTCTTTGACCGCGTTCAGCTTTGGATTCCCCGTAAATATGGCTACTCGTCTTGGGTACAAACTGCCCTAAGAGCGGATCAACCGTAGTTCACGGTACAAGACAATACTTGAAACATACCTCAACCACAGGGACTGGCGCATGAATGGGGTGAAGCCATGATAATATTCATCATCCCAGATATCAGTCGCGCGCCCTTAGCTCCGCCGTACTTGAATGGTCTCGTAGTTCTTGAAGGAATTCATGAAGGAGATGATAAATAACAATTATTACGGGAGTTCAGAGTACATAGGCCGCTTTGCTGGTTGCTGCCGCACGTGAGCAGGCGGATGTTATATAAGCAACTGTCCTAAACTTTTTCACATTTGATCATTCTGCCTAAACCTCATCGCAACAATCATGCTACCAATACTCTAGACTTCACCGGTCACCATTCAGCACTTCAAAGTTCAGACCTACATCTCTCAATACATAACCAATCAACTATTGAGATATTCATTCTAAATAAATATATCTTGTCAACCATGTGCAGCAACAGAAAAAGTGAAGGTGACAAATTCAGACTCGGACAGCGGCCTACTCTGAACTTCCTTGTAATACAGTACTTCTGTCCAATAGGTGAGGTTTGCCGGAAATTGCAGTATAAAGAGGTGACGAAAATATATTCGTTGAATTTCCAGGCGCGAAGCTGGAAACATCAAAATCCAAAGCAAAAAGAACCAAGTGCAGTAAACAAGCTCATCTATACTCAATTTTTACTATATACATAGTCGTGTAATGTAGTAGATCGGTTCATAGATTCACGTCCCGGATTACGTCCTGCCATTCATCAAGATGCTTCAACATCACCATGCATTTATTTCTAATATCTTGCTCTGCATCTTCTCCCAAGACCAGGTACAACGGCCACTTCCTCCCAGCTGCAACGCCTTCTCCTCTTACGACGTCTGCGACGAATTTCATCGCCTTCATGGGGTCTCCTGGTTGCCTGCCATGGATAGCCTTATACCTCACCTGTGTCTCCACTCGCGTTTCATCATAATCAGGTATGGGATTCGTCCACGTGTCAACTTTATTGCTGTATATGTTTTCCGTGCGGAAGGCGCCAGGCTCGACGATCAGGACGCGTATGTTGAACTGTGCGAGTTCTACGGCGAGTGTTTCGCTCATTGCTACAAGATTCTTCAGATGATGTGACGTGTATTGATTTAACGAGACTTACCCTGCACCGCTGCCTTTGATGAGGCATAAGCGCCTGCCAGTCGTGGCATTGGTCACCCACGGAACATCTTAAAAGACGCAACTCACCAATTCCCTGAGACAGACGTTGTTCAACCACTCTCAACCATAGATGATGCTACTCACCTTGTTCTCTGGCTTCCAGGCGCTGCGACTTCCTATAATAACTACTGTACCACTCTTCCCTGCAGAGCTAAAAGCGTGTGTTGCATGCAAACACGTGGAAACTTACTTTCACGCATATATGGTAATGCTGCATTCGTGACGTCCAGCACACCACAGACATTAGGGCGAAATTGTCTTGTCAGGAAGTCCACCCTGAAACCGATCGCATACATTAGGCACGGGAAAAGAACATGGATGTCGGTGTCCTACCCGCATTCCTCAAGGATTCCCAGCAGCACGATACCCGCATTGTTCACCAACACGTCAATCCTGCCCCAGACCTTAGCCGCCTCATCTACGCGTTCCTTGATGACAGTCGTTCCGGAAGTCACGTCGAGCTCTAGGAGGTGTAGGTTTGGAGATTGAGGAAAGTCTTGGATTTTCTGCAGAGATCGGGCCGCCGCGACCACGCGATCACCGCGTTCTAGAACGATTGATACTAAACGGCGACCAAAACCTGATGATGTACCTAGATGATTGGCGTCAGCTACTGCTATCTCTGTATTTGATACGCACCATATGAGATGAGATTCCTCACCTGTGATTAGCCATACTTTAGGGTCAGACATAAGTGCTCTTACTAGTAAAGAGCCTGAGGTTCGGACTAGGAACGAGAAAGGTACTGAGTCTTGGATCTGTAATGCTGCTAAATGAGTTCGACAGGGATTGATGGACCAAGAGAGACGGGCTGTTCACTGTGGATACTGGAAGTAAGGACATGCTTTTATATCTAAGTGAGTGCCAGCTATGGCGGTATAACGGAAACACCATAGACGGTACTATAGTAGCACTTCGAACCGGTACAAAGGGAAGTGTGAATGGGTAAGGATATGTGCGGATAGATAAATGAATGCAGACGAATTGTGTGACAACAGATAGTAGTATGGCCAAACGCAGATACGCGCAAATGAATATTGCGACCGAACAAGTACGAACGAGCCACAAAGGAGGTGGGTGCAATATTATCAGCTACCACAACTTCGGACAACCACTCGTTCAGACGGTCACACAATGCAACAGAGTAGGTGTATTACAAGTGTACAATGATATGTGGCCAAGCCATCAGGGAAAACTCCCGATTTTGCCAAGCGCCCATAATTGTGTTGCAACTGATGAGACCACTCACAATCGTCACAATCGCCTACGAGCGGTTGCCCTTTGTCAACCCATGTTATAACACGGTTGCAATCTAACTGCAATACTCATGTAATAGTTGTACAGATATGTGAATTTCAACGGAATAGTACTGGTACATATTTCGTCATTTTTGCAATTCACTTGCCATTGTTTGCAATTGACATACCATAATATTGTCATGAAATTGGAAAGTCACTTGAGCTCGAGGCTTACAAAAGTCATAAAATGGCGGCAGAATATGATTCAAAGTAGAGTTGAGTGAGATATTGCAAAGTGTCCGAACCAATGGTTGTGCCGATAGTACCTAGTTCAGAGCCAATCAGTACCGTTGTTTTTGGACAGAATTTCATACCACTGGAGCAATATAAATGTTAGAATTTATATACTACGTAGGACGCTGACGTTATGGCTTCGAGCAATATTGTAGCTGATCTAGTCGATGGGGAGAAATCCCGGGCGCAGCAAACATCATTAAGTAGTCTGGTGTTTTTTCAAGTGCGTCAATTGGTGCGATCCTAGATAAAAGCTATATTAGCCCCAAAAGTAAAAACGACAACGGCTGAATCCGAGTCACCATCAGCCAGAGCAATGTAATCGTTGTATTTCCAATAACGTTTTGCTCTCATGGAGGTACTGTATCCATGTACGGCTGACAGTGCTGTGAAAGTGGAAGAGTAACTTGCAGGTGCAAAGAAGGGCACCTAAATGGATTGCAAATACCCAGCGCAGCATGACGGGGCGGACACAATCGATACCGAGCCAGCAGTCATCTGCGTATATATGTTAGATAATAGCTTGCGGTGTAACGGAAAGAGATCAAAAAAGTAGTCTTGAAACGGATGGGACGGCGGAAAAGCAGTCCCCGCTTACATGACAGAGGGATGGACCACCTAACAAGGATGGCCAAGCAGCTAAGGGCGGGATATAGCAGGACCTGCTTGTCATTCATCCGTCCCCCCTGCTAGTTTCGTTCCGTCCGAAGAGTACGACACCAACTTACTAAGGTGTCCACTCGCAGTGGTCCGATGACGATATTACCCATCCTCCTCTGCTAGACACATGCCATTTGGTCGTATGACGGTCTCACTGTCCGGTGAAAAGACCACGCTCCGGGCATCGCTTTCATGTCCCTTGAACAGGACGGGCTCTTCCTTGTGGGAACTTCACAGACCAGGATACCTCCATTCAACGCTCCACTCGAAATCCAACGCCCATCGCGTGACACTGCAACCCTCAAAACTCGGACATCGTGGCCCAACAAGGGCTCCCAATTTTGTTCTCCATGCCAAAATTACACTTACGAAGACTCCTGTCGCCAGAGCAAGTGATGAGGAGACGTGTACCATGGATGAAGGCTATGCAATTCACCCGTTCTTCATGGCCTTTGAGCATCACTTTAGCCTGAGAATTGTCCTTCCGGCGTATAGGATATACGCACTTGGGGAGATTTGTTGTTGATTTTGTGGTTGGTTGACTGAAGCTCAGTGGCCTTATCAAGATAAGAGAGGTTGCCCTGATTCTCGAGTTTGTCTCGAAAGCTGATAGCGAAATTCTTGATAGACATGTGTCGATCAGGATGTGCAGGGGAACGGAGCTCCAGCGCAACCCAACAGAACTCGATAGCCTCATCGAGGTCAGAGAGGACAATCTGCTGCTCGAATCTGACTCGAAGAGTGACAGCGAGATTGTCAAGAGACACGAGTGGATCAAGATGGCAAGGAGGGCGGAGCTCGAGTGCAGCACAATGGAGCTCAATATCCTCGAGGTTCGAGAGGACGCTCTGCTGCTCGAATCTGCCATGAAGGCTATTGGCAAGGTCATCGAGAGCTGTGGCTCGATGTGAATGACCTGGAAGACATTCCTGTAAAGTCGCTCGACATCGTCGTCGTATGCCATGTTATTGTATTGTGAGATCCACTGCAAATTTACACAAAGGACGTGAAGATCGCAGTGACAGTGAAGGAGATGAGTGGAACTTCCAACGCGGTGCTAGAAAAGACAAGATTGCAACTGCAGCGGGCCGACTCGTGATGAGTACCAAGTTAAGGCAGGCACGGGATGGATACGCACGTGCGAGTCCGACGACACTCCAGAAACCCCACCTTTTATTCGTCGATCGTCGTACACCAGTATAATAAATGTTTAATGTACACCGAGCCAGTTCGATGGCCCGTCATTTTGACTCGGGTGCAGAATTCCCATCTCCTCGGGTTTCCCTTCCGAATCAAGTAGTGGAGCAAGATATTTCAGGGGTGATGCTCCCAACCTTCGCAGCCCAAATTCGCCGGTTCTTAATACTGCAGGACACAAAGTGAGTTTTGCGCAAGTTTCTTATGTGCCATGTATGATCATGTATCCCACGCTAAGGAAGACCTTTGCGGTATATGATCATCATGACACACAAAGTTGGGTGGATAGTATCTGAAGTGTGCATGCGCATGGAGCAAGGGTTCGAGTGCTTTAATGAGAAGCGTCTTTCTTCTATTAGTCTGCCCAAGGGAGATAGGTAGATGAAATGCATCATATGTATAAACTTGATGGCTGCCCCAGCTAGAGGATGCCGCAGCAAAGGTAGCATTTTTCCTCATCTGACCAGGAGGGTGCGGAGTAGCGCCCGCAGTCAGCGGTTGACGGAACTCGGTAACTTATACCCTTTACGCATGGACCATGGGCGATAGCTGGCTTCACCCCAGCGGCAGCGGCGATGATGGCGAGGTAAGCGAACTGAATTTTTATGGTATCTAGTGCGTCATTGTCAGTGATGATCGATGACTATCAGCCCCGACAAACCACCCACCCTCAAAGTTTGGGTGTGATCTACGCGAAGGTGCTGATAATGGCACGTCAAGGAAGAGCTCCATGTGAGATGAACGCAACGTTCAAGTCGCTCAAGTCTGATTACTTACTGTAAATGAAGCGATTTTGTTTGGGGATCTGAAACTTATCACGTTTGTCAATTTATATGCCACTAGAAGCCCTCAGTACTTCAAGTTGTTGCCAGGTGCAGTCACCGTCCGACAACCACGGCGATGACCGCAAGAACCTGGCAGCTACAATATGTAGCCCCGATACGTCCTTGCCGCTGTTTCCAACATTAACAGAGGGGCAGAAACGGCGAACTTTGATATGCTATGCAAGCAGCAACGCACGAGCAATTCAGCCGGCAGCATGCAAGTTTCGAAAGCGAAATCAAAGGCGGCCAAGGAGTAGTGGGAAGGACACGGGCTCAAAGCAGAGTACTTGAGGAAGGAAGCACCACGGCATTCGATATTCAACACTCAGGGGTCCAGCATAGAGCCACAAGATTGCGCAATAGGTGCGGGCCTGATCATATAGCCATTGATAACCTGTGACGGTGCCTCAGAAACACATGGGGCAAGGGATACTCACATTTCGATGAATCGCTAGACGGACTTGATATATAAACACTGGCGGTATGACGGCAAAGCGAACCGTCACAGGGTAGAAAGAGCGGTAGGGCAGAAGGTATCTGCTGCACTGGTCATTAGAAGATGGGACGGTAACCGAAGCTGAGTTGCATGACAGAAAGAGGATCATCATATTATCGAGCAAAATTTCCCCATCCACGAATTACGGCATGACGGGGCGAACAAGTGCGGAAATAAAAATCCGGATTATAAGGGTAGGACAATATTGGGTGACTATCCGTAGGCAAAATAATGCGGAATAGATTATAACGGACTTTGAAAGATATTAGCAAAATTTAATATGTACAGAAAACACAACCGTAACGCATCTGGATTAAAATAATTCGGTCAAAACTGCAATGGACGACCTGCTACTACAGTACCACAATCTGGTGAACGACGGAGAAGAGATGGGTTTTCTCGACGACGAAGAAGACGCGAGGATGCTAGCAGCTACCCTCGTCGCTGGAATAGAGCTAGCTCGACTTGATCGTGTCGAAACCCGGAACCCTAAGCGATTGTACCTTTGTCGTGCCCACTTACTTCCTGACCCACATCGAAAACTTCAGCTGAAAACTTCGCCAGGGACCTCAGGGATGGGACTGCGTATATTGGAAAATGTTTGGATCAGGTGGCGACCTTCGCCATGCTGAACATGTGTCAGGCGGACCTCAAGTCTTGGATTAGTCAGCAGATAGCTTAGGCGTAGTGGCCCAAAACGGATTTAATCCGTCGTTTATAATCCGGATTAATCTGTAAGGGGGGGGCCCCCCCTTCTAGATTTAGAGTTTGTAAGAGCCTCAAAATAATATGTTTTGAACATCCGACGCAAATGAACAGCGGCATCGCGGCACGACTTCCTTATATGGTCTTTTTTATTCTATCTTATTTTATTCCGCATTATTTCAGCCTACGGATAGTCACCCATTGATGATTTTGGGTGTGCAGAGCCAGTAGACTCGGTGCACAGTTTGTGAGGGTCAGATCCAGTGTGAGTGCGGGTTAACATGCTTAGGAGAACGGCGATCGAGCCTTGGTGACAACGATAACTATGATGCAACAGTGCTGCCTCAAGACCTTATAGCACTCCGACGACGACGGATTTACAACACTTTAAACCTGTGGTCATAGAAATCAGCTTCAAACTTTCTGAGAGCGGCAATTTGGTCACAAACCAAAACGCATGATGGTTAGGCAGAGCCCAGGCTTGTCCGCCGGATTGGCTCAGGTTCGCAGAAAAATTCAAGGCGGGTCTTGAAACCTATCTTGGATAGTCGATGGTGTCGGAAGGTCATATTGTAAACATCTTACTAAGTTGTCATGACTCGTCGATGAGCCCTGCGGTAACACACTTGGCTGAGAAATGAGTATTAAAACAATTAATATGACTCACGAAGATAAGATTATTGGCACAAGCATCTAGTGCCTTCGGAGGTGTGAAAAAGAGTATGCGCCGTTGAAATTTTTGTTCGTTTGTAATCGCTGTGGACCCACGCAGGTTTATTTGTTTGTATTTATGGCGGCACGCTGATTTCACACCGGCGCAGATATCCTAGGATCGAAATATTCCGCAACGGTGAATGCTGAGCGCAGCTGAGTACTCAGTACTCAGTACGTGAGGTTGAGGCAAAATCCGTACGGGAAACAAGCATTGAAGAAACGGACGAACCTCACGTACAAGAGTGTGACGCTCCATTAGCGCTGCAATTCTCGCCCAGCCAACCTCGTCCGGCACTCCCTGCCGATGAACTTGAATAGCGTTTCGTGGCAGTACTTCGTAGGGTCCTTCGCTGCACTTCCGTACGCTTTTCCAGGGCTACATCGAGGGAATTGGCGAACAAAGATAACTCGTTACTGTAGGTATTACCTTGTAAAGGTTGCTCAATTCCGAAAGTTCGACTTCACTTGGGATCCGAGCACCGCTAAGCGTCGCCAAACCTATCCTAAACGAGACTCGGACCCAAACTGGGCGCAATTCCGAGGTTCTCCAACCCATGCGCGCCAGCATCGTCTCCACGTATCACACGTGGTGTGATGAGCAGTAGGTACTAGGCAGCTTTGTCGTTAAACTCCGCTCGCGAATCACCTAGTTCTAGTGTCACTAAGCTGACTTGGATGCATTGAAATACTTCAGATTCCGAAAGGATAACAGGGCACCTACGACTCAGAAGAAATCCAATAACAAATGAAAGCGGCCAGCTGAAATTTTCAAATTCTGATCTATCGATATGAAGATAGACTGACACACAATCGATGATACGCCTGATATCTAAACATGCCTTCTCTTTGATATTTTCTCATACACTTGTTCTGCATACAAGCCCGATTTTAAATAGCAGTTGCACTGTGTACAATGCGCCGTGAGTCAACACGATGAGATTTTATGTGAAACAAGTGTTACTAACCATTGGCGAGCCCCTGCGTACAAAAAGGCTAAGGGCTTACTACTTTACGCGGCAGCCTCCTTACAACATGGTTATGCGGCCTGCATGCATTGCATGGCAAGTTTGAAATGTTCGGTGCAAACCAACAAGGCTTAAGCGCTTACGACTCTACCCCTGGTAGTTTCCCAAGGTTCTCCGGTATTAAATAGTAAGTTTGAAATGTTCTGCGCGACACAAGACTTACCTCCTCTCTCTTGACCTTGTCCTGCATAGATCACATGGTGAGTGCAGCACATTCGGTGCCAAAAAAACAAGGCTGACTGGCTCTGCGCCGACAAGGGCCATCAGGCCGAGGAGTATACGAACGCAGCAGAGAGGCGGATGAACATGATGATGAGTTGATTTCATTTAGGGGGATTGTTGGCAACTTGATTGTTGATGCTGTCTGTTTTATACTCCACAGAAGAGGATGTCAAGCCGTGTCTTGGACATGCTGGCACAATCCGACTGCTGCGATGACCACTTTCTGAATTTCTGGCCAGCCTAGGCAACATTTGGGTTAGACCCGATAACATACAGTTCGAATTCGATACAACATAAAAACCAATCGATCATCGATCATCCTCCACCATTGTAATTAACTACCTCAACTTCATCTATAATACCAGTGGTATTATTCCTTCAGATTGTTCAACCCGATCCAACTCGTCAAATTTCCATCAGCACTTCAATTTCGTCGATGGCATCAGGCGAGACACACTCTAGACCAGCAAGAAGGTCACCTGCATCACGAGGCTCGGTCGAGAACGGAGGTGCCGGCACGAACCAGGCTTCATGAGGTTATTCTTGCCAAAATTTGGAGCTGAAATACTTGCGATTCTGCAGGGATAACAATAACGGGGCACCTACGACCCAAAAAATTCCAATGGCCAATAAAAACGGCCAAATGAACTTTTCAATTTGTGATTATCGATAGGAAGATAGGCGTGAATATACTGTGTTCTCCGTTTTTTGTTTATCGCTAGGATGCGCGAGGGAACGGCAGTTGTCGACGAGTTTTGTTGTCAAGGTTGGCCAGAAAGTGGGTCGTGGCAGGAATCCTTGTTTGCCACGATGCCCTCTACTCACTCGGTATAAACTGCCGCAATCCCATCACGAACCTTGCACCAATTCACTACTGAATAGCATTAGATCCCATTGACCCGGGTCACGTACGCATTGACAGCTAGCTCCCTCAGCTGACCGCTGAAAAGTTTCGTCCCGATTGTGCCGGCATGTCCAAAACACGGTTTGACCCTGGCCGCTTCTGTGGAGTATAAAAAGACAGTATCAACAATTCAATTGCCATCAACCTCCCCAAGCTAAGCGAAATCAACTCATCATCGTGTTTATCCGCCTCTCTACTGTTTTGTTATGCTCCTTGGCCTGACGGCCATTGTCAACGCGGCAGTGCTCGTAAGCCCTGTTTTGTTTGGCACCAAGTGTGTCCCACTCACCGTGTGATGTATGCAGGACAAGGTCAAGAGAGAGGTAAGCCTTGCTTTGCGCCGAACGTTTCAAACTTACCATATAATGCATACATGCCGACGAAACTATATCCTCCAAGCTTTTTTTTAAAAAAAATCCAATTCATGTCCTATGGAGTGTAACTCTGAGGACAGTACTATCTAGTCTTAGGGACCCCCAGTGTCCCCGACGCATCTCTAGGCACGCGAATGCCCTGGTGTGAAGCGTACTCCACCAGTCCGCCGTTCGCGCCGGCCGTTTTAGACGCGCCGCCTTTCGAAGGTGAGATGACTTTAAGTATACAGTATCGGTGTTCTGTACCAACAGGTATCAAAGATATAACACGTACTCAACCGCGAGTGCGGTTAGGTACAGGAGTCAGTAGGTAATGATTGGAATAAGGAGGGTACGGCCCATAGTTGACGGATGGGGTAGGATTCCAGATCGAACCTGTGAAGACTTGGATGGTGTTGCTGACTCCATGTGGGTGAGTGAGTGAGTGCGGGGGTGTAGAAGTGTGGGGTATGGGAGTGTGAGGGGTCCTCTAAGCTTGAGGCCATGCACCCTTAAGTCTTGTTGTAGGCAGAGACTCCCAAATGGTCGGTAACGCTTTTTCACATCAAATCTCATCGTGTTGACTCGTAGCGCATCGTATACAGTGCGACTGCTATGTAAAATAGGGCCTGTATGCAGAACAAGTTTATGAGAAATGTCGAATAGGATACAAGTAGCGCTCACAAAGATATAAGGCAAATGTAAATACCAGGTGTGTGATCGATTGTGTGTTTGATCTGTGCGTCTGTCAATCAAACTTGCGTAAGTCCGACAGGGACAGGTACTTGCATGCATAAAACTAAGTGCTCAAATATTTGCTGGTGGATGTGCAAGATATGCCCGGTCCCAGATGATGTTGGCGCCTAATCCAGTGGCTAATTTGAAATTATTTGGGCTGAATGCGGCAATGCACACATAACCGCTATGAGGAAGTATGGTGAAGACAACGCAAGTATCTGGGTCCTATAAAACAACTATTTTAGCACCTGACTAGCTGGCGAACCCCCTTCCGTCGGGGGAGAGGTACGTCGAGTTCACGGCGGATGGGTGCCACACAGGTGGGTTGGGCGCGTACTTCCTCTCGATGTTCTAGAGGATAATTCGGACATTCTTATCCCAATCCGCTGCTGACGAGATCGTTATCAGGGAGCAAGGAATTTTCAGTGACCTATATAAATGGCCCTTGTCGCTCAGAATCTATAAGGACTTGGCAGTACATACTCGTGCGTTGTGGTACACACATCGTACGGTCCGGAGGCTAATTTTAGCATGGCGCATCATTGGGGCACTTCTGCACCAAATAAGGAGTACTGTGGGATGCCGACGAGGACCTGGATGCAGCAAATGCAACGATGATCTGTGAAGGGGGGAGGGCGATGTCAACTGCGAGCATTCCAAGACTGCGCATCCATTAACCGGTCACAGACTACACACGACACCGATCGCTCTTGCTCAACACGATCGGACCTGATGGCAAGTAGATGTGACGATCGCCCAATGTATTGAACTTTGGAATGACTCCAATAAAGTGCATTGGATCTATAAACTGTACGATTACATGATAGCACACCTTTGGTCTTCTTTATCCTCTGCGATCGTCTCGGACCCTAGTAACGCTGGCTAGCGAGGTATGCTCCAAGATTGGTGACTAACAGGCCTGCGTCTTGAGCTGTTTGAGGATAAATGTATGTAACGACGAGGATAGCTTGTTTCGTTTGCGCTAGTACAGCACCATCGGTCTTATGGCCGTGAGCATGCATCGTAGAAACATATCGTGAAGACCCACCTGTTTCTTGCCCTGAACCACAATAAGATCCGGATCATCTCCGTAGGTATCCGACGATAAGAAGATGTATTTCTGATTAGCGATACGGAAGCCAGAGGCCTGAACTGCAGCTTTGTTCGTGAACGCAGCAGTGATCGCCTTCTGCTCCTCTGGGGAGATCTATGCAAGATCGCGTCAGAGCTGCACAGACATGACTACTTTCAATATGACTTACCGTGATGTCTGAGGATTTAGCCCATACACCTCCAGCTTTTCCCAAGATCGCGGCCTGAGTTACTTTCTTGGTGCCGACGAGGTTGTTGTCTACGTATGCTGTGGATGCATGAGACCAAGAGCTTGTCTGGCGATGCAGCTCAGACTTACCTTGCCAGGACATATTATGAGGGACTGAAATCGAGACAACGAAAAAGGTCGCGAATTGAAACTGGGAGACAAGAAAGAGTCTGGCGCAGTACGGAGATCGCCATGATATCGGCGTTGGAAAGCAGACCGCATCAAAGTCCAGTCGGAAGTTACCTAATAAGCAAGTGGACCACCGGGCCAACCCGCCACGTGCCACGGACGACTTAGTATTAGTAATCAAGCGAAGATGGTTAATATGGTCGACGGTACGTACCGTCCGTAGTATTACGTAGGTCTGAAATTTAACTTTGACGTTGAATTTTGGTTAGTACTTACCCTAAACTTCCTGTGCTCATGCCCTTGGACCTTGCAGGCAGCGAGACAAGCGCTCGCTTATCTTTTCAACTTGACTGCAAAGTTCAACCACGAGCCATCTACCGACTTCGAATATAATCGCAATCAATCGTCCATTCTAGTGCGCAAGCATCCTGTGATATATTTGTTGCTCGATCGTTTCAACATCACCGGTCATCACCATTTAAATCCCTTTGATTTCAAACGAAGTTACATTTTAGAAATTGACTCCTCAATTAGCGTCGTATGTTGCCCCCTCTGAGATAGCCATCGCCATTACAATTTCTAATTGCACCGTTGAACTGAACTAGTACTACTTCCCCGACTTCACCTATTCCGACTCCCATTTTGTGTCGCATTCTATCGTCAACCTCTATTGTGAGATTGATGTAAATATCTCCTTCCCTTATCGCCTTTCTCGTTCTCTGACTCGACCGACAGTTCCTGGCGAGCTTCTAGCAATGGCCAAAGGAACCTGGGAGAAGCTGTCCCAGGTCACTGTCCTGGGTGCTGAATATGACTCCCCTGAATGCCAGCCCCATCCAAAATGTTTGAAAGAGACCCGAGTGAACCTTCTCGAATTGATCTACGGATTGTTGGACAAGCGAGAGACGAGCCAGATCATTTGGCTGCATGGCACGGCAGGCGTCGGGAAGTCTGCCATGGCTTTCACTGTGGCCGAGAAGATGAAAGGTCTGATGATGACAGAGATGACGAAAATCGAAACAAGGCTCGCGGGAACATTCTTTTTCGAGCGCAAGCACACGAAACGCAGCACAACCGGTCATTTCTTTGCCACACTTGCTTACCAGCTTGCGAGCAATTTTCCTAGCGTCAAGAACGACGTGAACAAAGCTATCTGCGAGAATCCTGTGGTTCTAGACTCCAGCAAGTCTCTTTGCGACCAGATGATGGCGTTATTTCGCCGACCTCTCTGGCACCTGCAATCCAGTCTGTGCGAGTGTCCGCCTCTGGTGTTTGTTGTCGATGCGCTTGATGAATGCCAACCTGAAATGGTCGCCGATCTGATCTCCCTCCTCCGGGAAGCTCTTCGTGATCCTGAACTTCCCGTGTTCCACATTCTGCTCACCAGTCGCTTTGAAGAACGCATCCGTAAAGCCATTCAAAAAGAAGAGATGCGCATGCTGGTGCATGAGATACCAGTGAACACTTCTGGGGAGGGCGTTGCTGGCACCATTTCATTAGACGGCGAAGATGTGGACAATGACATCTGTACATTCTTCCAGCATTCCTTCACGGAGTTGCAAAATTGCCATCCTGATTTCCCTCAGCCCACTGCGGATAATCTTATGCAGCTGGTGAACCGAGCTGGCAGACGTTTCATCGTGGCATCTACAATGATGAAGTTTGTCGATGATGGGTACAATGACCCCAGGATCACCTTGAGCTTATGCTCGATCTAACCACCAAATTGCTACCTGGGACAGAAGTGTACAACCTGTACAACCTCATCCTCTCCACCTGTTCAAACCCCAATCGGGCATACCAACACTTGTCTATTGTTGCTGCCCTCGCAGACCCTCTGCCAATCTCACAGATTTCGAAGCTCCTTGGTCCTGGTCAAGGCAACGATGTTGCGACCACACTGAAACAGTTACGTTCTTTCATGAATATTCCCGCTGACAGCGGCCAATCTGTGAATATCTACCACTCGTCCATTCGGGACTATGCTTCAAACTTCTCAAACTGCAATCTCCTTGGATCGCAACCCATCCTACCACATTCCCTGCTTGCTGATTCCTCTTTCCGTTTGATGGTTTGAGACATTCCAGAACACACTGCTCTCGTGGATGCGCTCTTAGAATTAAAGTCGCAGAATCAGGCTATGCAACCCCATGACCCCTGAAACTTGCAACAATTGTCAGCCTTCATCGTCGAGCCACCAGAGCCGCTGCAAGTTCTCATGGGCCTGTTATGGCATCAGGGAGCTTGTGGGTTGGGTTTGCGATCCTGGCTAGGGACTTTGGACGGATGTGCGTGGCTGCAGACCCAATGTGGGGAAGACTATTTGCAGACACAGGAGGGGCATGACTGGCTGCAGACCCACACAGGAAAGACTTGGTTACGGACCAAGAGGGGGCAAGGGTGGCTGTGGACTCAAAGGCAGTGACAAGTCAATGGATACCCTAGTGAGTACATGCGGAGACTTGTAGTGGAGAAGCCTTACTGGAGACCATCAGTGGGCAACACTGGCTGGAGATAAAGACTGGGCAAGAGTGGTTGCTGACCCAGGAAGGGGGAGAGTGGCTGCAGACCCAGACTAGAGGAGAGTGGCTGCAGAGCCGACACGGGGAAGAGTGGCTTCAGACCTCAACTGGACGAGTGTGGTTGGAACAGACTTTGAGAGGCCAAAAATGGCTGCAGACCGAGAGAGGACGAGAGTGGTAACAAACTCAGAGCATGAGAAAGTGGCTGACACTGAGAGGGATGGAGTGGCTGAAGACACCGAATGGGTGGGAGTGGCAGCAGACATCGAGTGGGAGGGAGTGGCTGGAGACACCGAGTGGGACGGAGTGGCTGGAGACACCGAGCAGGAGGGAGTGGCTGGAGACACCAAGCGGGAGGGAGTGGCTGCATACACCAAAAACAAGGCAGTGGCTGCAGGCACCGAGTGGGAGGATGTGGCTGCAGGCACCGAGAGGGAGGATATGGCTGGAGGCACTGAGCGGGTGGGAGTGGTTGAAGACACCAAACGGGAGGGAGTGGCTGGAGGCACCGAGTGGGTGGGAAGTGGCCAAAGACATTGAACAGGAGGGAGTGGCTGCAGACACTGAGCAGGAGGGAGTGGCTGCAGACACCAAATGGGTGGGAGGGGCTGGAGACACCAAGTACGAGGGAGTGGCTAGAGACACCGAGCAGGAGGGAGTGGTTGGAAACACTGATCGGGAGGGAGTGGCCGAGGACACAGAATGGGAGAGAGTGGTTGGAGACACAGAACGGGTGGAAGTGGCTGGAGACACCGAGCGGGAGGGAGTGGCTTGAGATCCAGAATGAACACAACCGCCTGCAGACCCTAAATAAACTGCAAAATCCAATCGGGCATACATGGCTACACACCTTTCATGGGCAAGAGTGGCTCTTGACCCAGAATGGGCAAGAGTGGTTACTGATGCAGAGTGCGCAAGAGTGGCTCCTGACCCCAGGAGGGCGAGAATGGCTGCATAATACTCCGGGCGGACAAGAGTGGCTGCGGACCCCAGGTGGGCTGCAGACTGAACATGGCCAAGAATGGCTATGGACAAAGAGTGGACAAGAGTGGCTGCTGACCCTGAGCGGGTGAGAGTGGCTGCAGACCATGGGGGGACGAGAGTGGCTGCAGACCGAGAGAGGACGAGAGTGGTTATGGACCCCCCATGGTCAAGCATGGCAGTCGACCCCTGCAGCGTCTGTCTGGGTGACAATGGAAGACTTCTCAAGCACATTGGAAGTAATCAGCGAGTGCGCAATCACCCTACGATTGCCTTCCTCACAAGCTTTTCAAGCAATCCAGGAGTTTAAGAGCTTACCAGATTTCTTGATGTTTCCTGCATTTCCTGGTATTAAGGCCCCAGGATCACCCCACTTCCACATCCCTACAAGATTGTCTAGATATCGAGGTAATGTATGCTATGACTGCATTCACAACTTTTGCCAACGAAGCACAGGATCGAAGTCGATCATCCTCTGATGCCCTGAAGTATGCATGTTAAAACTGGATCTTCCATCTCTTGCGAGCTCTTAGTATAATGGACGACAAGCTCAACTGTGCATTCAAGGTCTTCTGGGATCGCCACCTCCTCTCCTGGCTTGAAAGGCAGTGGTGCTTGAAGGGCTTGCAGGATCATCTTAGTCCCAGGTCTGAAACTGTTGATTTTATGCACTGGATGTCATGCTGTCTTGTCATCTCACATTGATATTTTTCTTTCCCATCGCTTGTGTATTTTCAGAATTTGTCATGTTGAAGATTGAGTTGTCACGAAGGTTGAGTGCTGAGTACTGAGTGGGGGCGCCGCCCGCCCCTTCTCCTTGTTATCTCGCATTGATATTCTTATTTCACGAATTTGAAATGTTGAATATTGAATGTTGGTGTTCCCAGTTGCAAAATTCCATCGTGAACTTGTATTAAATGACATGAAAAGAAGTCGACGAAACTCTCCTACATACTCCCTTCCCGAACAGGTTCGTCTACAAGACGCTTCTGAAGGTTGCAAGGTCAGTTAAAGGTAAGATGTCGACAAAACGATGGGGCTCGCTTTGACATGTGAAACAGGAAGGGGAGATGAAGGGCTGACTGCTCTCCTTCGTCTTTCGGGGATTAAGGATCGATAGTGAGCAAGAATGGACCACAGCCACTGAAGTCGAGACTTGCACCTGGCCTTTAGCAAACTCTTGTGCCCATGACAAGGACGGCAACAATAGGTAGAGAACCGCTGGTGCTGTGGTCAAATTGAGAGCAAAGTGAGATGAAAAATCTGAAACGAATGAACTTGGAAAAATCCATTCCCTGGAGGAACATTGACAAAGGTAGCGCATTCATTTTTGTTGCGCTTTTTGGTCCCGTGTATGGAATATCTGAAGGACTAGAAATTAGACCACTGCCTCAAGGGATTTCGGCTAATTCAAACGCCCACCATTGACCATGTTAGCGATTGAAGACATGAAAAGGACGATGTCAATGAACTCGGGGGGTGCATTTGGAAAGAAATACTGGCCCCACTCAACTCGACCTAGGTAGGTCTCCCGGTTTGCAACTTCTTCAGAATGCAGAGCTAAGTAGCAGATATTGGAAAGCGATAGGATCTCGCCAAGACAGTCCACGTTGTCCCCACCAGGCAATTGGATGACAAAAGGATATACAGCGCCTCACCGTGCAATATGTTTTCTCTGGATGTCGAACTCACTGGCAGATACTGGAAAACAATAGTCTCGCCAAAACGGTCCAGGCAATTGGACGACGAGAGGGTACGCAGCGCCTCACTCTGCGATAAATTGTTGTACAGCATGTCATACGACGCAAGCGCTGAGTGCACATGTTCCGCAATGCGGGATATAGTCAAAAGTGCATAAAAGTGTCCATTACAAGGCTATCACTTGGTGAAAGACCGGATTATTTTGGCGGAAATATGCAAAAAGAAGATAGATCCAATAAACGCCAACGAGAGTATGAGGACGACATATGGGTCTCTAACATGGGAACAAAATCAGCTTGATTGAATGTTACGTTTATAGCAACATGACACGTACACTCGCAGCCCTGGTGAGTCGTCAGTGTAAAGTTTCAGCATTGTCCCCGAAGAGCCGCCAGCTCCTGCTGCACGCGTTGAATTCGGTTTCACCTGCGTGTTTGCAGCCCTCCGCCTTTGACAAGTTTCAGTCAGAAATGTGTGCAAACCACAAACAGGCTATGAGACATACCGAACCTGCGCACCTGGCGGTCTTGCAACGGTACCGACCTTGGGGCTAACAGCGTGGGTTGAGCTTTCTGAATCAGACTAAGTGATTAACAGGTGAGTATCGAAATAATATAGCTAGGTTGCTCGTTACGCACCATGCTGTTGACGGTGAGCTTTGAAGACTGGAGACACGTTGGTGGAGGAATTGAAGTGCAAGTTCGTGGGAATATTATTTAGGTCCTTCCTAATCCACCACTACTTCCGCTCCAGCGTCATTTGAGCGTCACTGACTTTTGTCCAATCTCCCTTCGTACCCTGGCTGGTTCCTAACATGTCACTGGTAAGTTCCAATCCTATGAGTCTATGTGACGCATATAGACAGGACTATCACTCTAGATAAATGCCATCGTTTCCCGAGGACCCACAATCCTTGCTGAACACCAAGCTCCGGGCCAGCGAGACTTCTCACATGGTGCATTGTTTCCTGTCTCATCATGCGCTTCTTAACATAGTGGCATACATAGCTACACAGACAATTCTTTCCAAGATCCCGCCGAACAACAGCAAGTTAACATATGTGTGGGAACAATACCTCTTTCATTACATCTCCGAGGACGGCTTCACTTTTCTGGTCATGGCAGATGACTCTGTGGGGAGGTGAGATTTCTGAAGGACGTTCATCTGTTTTTTTGTTAAATATCACCGTAGGAAGATGCCATTCGCTTTCCTAGCGGACCTGCAGCGCAAAGTATGTTGTCACAGTACAATTTACCCCTTGTTCTGATTCACATCGCAAGTTTACCGAGCTCCCATCTTCCTCGTCTGTTGTACTAAGCTCTACCCCCGCATACGGACTTCAAGGCACCTTCTCTCCCACCATCGCCTCTCTCATGCACACGTACAATACTGCTCCTCCAACGGACGAAGTCGCCCGTGCTCAAGCGGAGCTGAACCAGGTCAAAGATATCATGGTCCAAAATGTCGAGCAGATCCTCAGCCGCGGGGAGCGTATTGAGCTTCTCATCGATAAGACTGACAACATGGCCACGCAGGCCACCGCATTCCGGCGCGGCGCCAGGACGGTGAGGCGGCAGATGTGGTGGAAGAATAGCAAGATATTGGCATTGAGCGTCTTGGTTGCGCTACTCTTATTGTATATCATTGTTGCTCAGTTCTGTGGGGCTAGCCTGCAGTGTGGCGCACAGTCTTGAGCGTCTCCATGGTCCGGATTGCTTATTTATTTGTACCACATAATATCCATATGTACTCCCTAGACTTATCAACGCTCATATTCAATGTTTGTTATATTTAGGCACTTCAGACCCGACATATGTAACACCTTAACAATATCTCTCGCCAAGGTTGCTTGCCCGCAAATTTTTACGCGTAGAGACGATGGAGATAAGTGGATCAGTACTAAATATAGTGAGTGGGGGATCGACACATCCAAGACGTTTTCATTTTTCTTCAGGAAGAAACTACATAAACGTCCGTAAAGAATCTACTATGTAACTGCATATGCGTGCACAATAAGTAAAATACAAGTCTGGCATAACTCGGGACACCAACGATGAGAATACAGCATGTACGCCTCGGTCAGAACAACACCACAAAACCATTATAAACACAATATTGGCTACACACTGTTGACGGGGGAGTTTATTCGGACTCCCCCGTATAAATAGTAGTCCCATCGACAGCAATGGGAAATCAAAAATCCAGAAGTGACAGTTGGTTAATAAATCGAGGAAGTCATAAGATTCATCAGTCTGCTCCAGCGGTGACCGGGTTAGACAACTTTGTCCTGCCTGTACGTCGTTCGCGATGGTAGGGGTAAACATCGGGTGGCACATTCGTAGCATCCTTGAGGTGCTGCCACTCTGGTTCCCGTTCTCGCTCGCGATCACGTTCCCGACCGCGTTCACGCTCCATTCGTTCGCGTTCCTGCTCTCGTTGTCTTTCCCTCTCCCGCCTCTCCTGCCTCTCTTTCTCCTGTTGCATCGCAACACTACTAGCATGGACCAGCGTCTTTGGCATGACTGTAGCCGGGAATCCCTCTTCAAGACCAGGCGTAGGAGTCACAGATTGACTTGCAGTGGAGTTTCTCCGCAACGGTGTATGCACACGCGTACTAGAATTCGTCTGCCTAGGGATCCCATTGGACGATGGCGGTGCTGGATATGGTGGGGGGAACGACGGTTCATCGCCATAAGACATCGGGATCTTGAGGGAGGATGATGGCATAGGGCTGTCAAGGATATCATGGAGCTGAGCGCGCAGGCGTTCACGATCTTTGTCTCGAAAGTCATCGACCGCCATGATCTGGCGCGGTGCGACCTGGTCTTTCACCTTTGGCTCGTACATATCTCCTGCGCGCATCTCGTAATCTCTGCTAGCACCATCATATGAATCTCGTGAATGAGTGTCTTTCAACCGAGGTCCATACAAGCGGTCCGAGGAGTAGCGGCGTGAGGGGGAGGAAGTGCGACTAGATATATGTAATGTGGATGGGTCCCGTGATAGTCTGCGAGATGGTGTATGAGTACCGCTGTGTGCTAAAGCGATTGAACGCTCAGCGGAGTGATGACGTGAAGAAGATCCATCACGACTCGACATGACAATGTCATCGCGAGGGCGAGATCGGGACAATCCAGACCAGTTATCCGGATTGGCCGTAGAGGCAGACGAAGAGACGGAAGCATCGGCCAACTGACGAGACAACGAGGACCGAGGAATGGGAATAAGCTGAGACGTGGAATCACCCATCGTTTGATCTTCGTCTGCGTCAGGCCTTAATTCCAATTCCTTTTTGCCGCAGGTCTTCTTTAAGTCAATCTCATCTTCGTCCACCAATGCGCGGAACGATTGGATTGCAGAAGGCCAAGTTCCGATTACCTGGGCGAGAGGAGACAAGTGGAACTCCTCTTCCTCGATGGCTTTCGCTTTCGCTTTGGCCTTCGCTCTTGCTTTGATGCTCAAAGGATCGTCCTCGATCAACTTCTCAGGATGCTTCGGCTCTGGCATTGCATGAAGATACCGGACCTCGACTGGCCGTTGGAAGTCAGGTAACGGGTTAAATGCAATTCTAGCACGCTTGAGCTCTTCCCGGAGAACTGTGTTCTCACGCATTGTAGCTTGCACCTGTGGCTGTCAGTAAAACAACACTCGCAGGACATTACAAAACACTGACTTTGCTAAATGATACTGATAAGTCCATAAAATAAATGGACCAGAATACGATAGGCTCACCTGCTCCAATACGAATTCGATTCATCATAGTGTTCCCTCAAACTTTTCTCTACAGCAAGAGCAGTATCTTTCTCATCCTGTCGAATACGTTGCAGCTCCTCGTACTTGACTTGCAAATTCACGATCTCTGCTGTAAGACGCGAGCGTAATTCCTCAAGAGCAATTTTTGCCTCGCAGGTCCTCTCAACTTCAGCCACCTTTTCCCGTCTCATTTCCTCAAGAGCAGTTTCCACCACCCGGTTTTTCTCAATCTCAACCGCCTTGTCCTTTCTCATTTCCGCGAGATGCCGTTGAGACTCGGCGAGGTTCCAAAGAAGCAGCGCGCTCACTTTCACAGGGTTCTGCTGATCACAAAAAAAAATAAGATTTAACTGGGACGTCTTAACATGACGGCATCATGAACGTACCTGGTCAGCTGACTGTGACTTGTAGTACGTTCGACATTTCTCGATTACCCGGCGGAGTTCAGGAAGCTTGGCACCTTCTCTGACGACACGGGCGATATCTTCCTGAAGGATGCGGGCTTCGTTGTCAGGAGGCGGAGAAGATTCAGGGTTTTCAGGGACCTCTTCTATGGTGGCGGTCGTAATCATAGGCGACTGCATATCAATGTGAAGCTTGCGGACGTCCTGAGGGGAGAATCGAGTCCGACAAAGGGGACATATGTGGCGCAAAAGATGATCGAGACACCTTCGAATGGGTAAGTTAGATGAAAACAATACACGATCAATGAATCGAGTACTTACTTTTGGCAGAATGTGTGCCCACAAGAGATCGAGTGCGGTGAATTGCCGCCATTCGTATAGCCCTCCATACAGACATCACAGGTCGAGGATTTGTTGAGTACCAACATGGTTGAAAGACGATGGAGGGATTTCCTTGAGGATCGGGAAAGGAGCGAATTAAGCTTATAGCAGCTTGATCGCCTACTCTAGCAAGGAGGTATCGCAGGAAGGAAGGAAAGAAGGGACTTGTTAAGGACCCACTCGGGTATATGGGGGAAGGAAGGGATTTAAGCCAGCAAAGGCTTAAAGGCCAGACCTAACGTGCGTGGCGGGGTGGGTGGTGTAATGTTGTGCAGGGGAGGAGCGAACATTCATAACGTTGAAGAGATTATAAGAAGACACGAGGCAACTAAGCGACGTGAGATAGAACTTCGCTACTTCCTTGAGGGTCCTAGACAAACCTAAGTGAAATGATCACATACTAAGTTGGCACGATCAATCACCTGGATGGAGCTTCCGATCTGAGTTCCAACCACCACGATAAGAACTTCATGACCCGAGTCTTACCTTTAATGAAGCTTAGCAGGGAACGCTGAAGGGAATCAGTGCCACTCGCCGGGATCGAGAGTTTATACCGAATTGGCCGAATTAGATTCCGGCAGAACTACGCGTGGATAAAGCAGTGAACAACCCCTCTCTTACCGCACGTTCAATTTCGGCTGCCTGGCATGGAGAAGGGGTGCCTATGAACAATCATTTGGTTCGGCAGCACTGATCTCATAGAACCGGCCCGACACGGATAGGTTGACGATCCTCGTGGGTTCGGCGTTGCATAATAATAAGTTCGCTGCTTGAACGTTTCGTCAAGTGCCGCAAAGAACGTACAGCTCAACGTATTTTGTCCGAGTTGTTGTGTTATATGCGTGCCTCCCAGGTGGTATGTAGCACTGAACAAAAAAATTTACCCTTGCCCGTCGGTAATGGGCTGAGCGTCGCTGACTCAGCACGCGGTGTTAACGTGTCATGCCTTGCACTACGTAGTACGGCAATACCGAAATTAAATTCGATTCTTAAACATATCTTGCAAGGCTAGTTCTGACCTTGGACACTCTCGTTCTTCTGGATTGCCGCTATGTTCCTTCTGGATTGCCGCTACATTCCTTCTGGAATACCGGTACGTTCCATCTGGATTACCATTCGTAACTGGGAGTCACCGATGGATAGCTGGGACATATCACATCCGGTAATCTCAAATCATTCTGGAGTGTAAGTTTCTGACATTTTTTGGTGGTGTTGCTCGAGGTTAAGGGTGATGTACTGAGGTGCTCGACGACGACATGGTGTTACGATGTCGAAGCGACATGGGCGTCTGCCACATTGTCAAAGGGCGCTCCGAATTGATTCTGAACACGTATTTATACTATCCACAGGTTTCCTGCCAAAGATATACTGGATTTAGATCTCCTTTACCTCAAGGCAGCTCTATCTTCCATTCTGAGAAGTCATCCAGTGGAGAACGATACCTCGCTGACGCGCACCAATGCCCTTGACATCAACCATGATGCATGACGCTCCATTTCCCCCTACACTCATCTCTGGAGATCCCCTTTGATTCTGAAACGAACCGCTGCCTTGGGTTGTCACCTCAAAAATGCCCGTATCCTTCGCCTTCGCCACCTTGGCCATGTTATCGGTCCCAATTTGTCCTATGGGTATGTTTTTCTCCAGTGTGTCCTTCATTTGGGCATCCAATCTACCGGCATCGGCTCCTTGTGCTGCGCGGGATGCTCTTTGTCCACCTTTCTAAGCAGACAGGTCACCATTCTATCTTGTTTTCACTCTCCGTCTCCGCAGTCAAGTCATGACCTTAGAGAAATATTTCTGAAGTTGTACGGCTTGCGCGGTTCGGCCCCACGTTCATACCATCTCCTAAGTACGTGCCAAAGTCCCGGACTATCTGCAACCCCCTGAGTTAGTGCTTCGTTCTCAAGATGGTAAGAATACTTTGGAGTCAAAAACACACCCCATGCCATCATACTTCGGAAGTATATCGATCTGCACTATCGATAGGCACATGTCCCATCGCAGTTATTTGGGTCCAATCATGCGTTTTTTCCTGTGCTTTATCTCCTTGGTATGGCTTTGCATTCTCAGCTTATTTCAAGCGCTTTGTTTATTCTCGACTTGGATCAGCCCCAGATCACTAATAGTATTCCACGTCCCACTCTAGATCTTCCAAGCAGCCGAGTTGGGCGCACTGCGATGTCTTCGGTGCACGGTACGGATGTTATTCAACACCGATGGATGTAGATGGCGAGTCAGTTGCACCGACTGGAGTCTGGACGCAGATGGTTGCACTGCTGTTCCGATATAGCATGTTTTAATATCTAGATACAGCCCCCAGATAGGGAACAATTATAAGTGCTATCTCATTATTAATATTAATGTTAATGACTGGGGAAGTTTCCGTGATTCGGACCAGACGTACGTACAGAATGACCAGCGTCTGAATCTTCACTTGCATTAGCACACACGTGTACTATAAGGTGCCTCGTGCCTCTGCCCGTTGAAATCTCCGCTGTTTATCAGAGATCCGCGCCACCGAACGCAAAACTCAGTACCTACTAGTACCAGCGCTATACCAAAAGTTTGACGATCAAAAAACTCGCAACTCCGAATTTCCACCATCACTGCTTCTGATGAAATCAACGGCAACACCGTAGATAACAACAACCTTGCAACGTACACGTACGCTATATGTCATGTCAGCGTGGGGAAAATAAGCTTGGCACACGCATCATGATCTATCAGCCTGCGCTACGCTCATCCCACATCCTTGGCCACGCACATCACACGCGTAGGAAGCCTTGCGCTTTTACTTGATCCGCAGCATAAAGTACTGAAGACTACATATTAGAAGGGAATAGAAGGGGCGCTATCTCAGCGATTAATATTAATTGTATCGAGTCGATGGAAGGTTCCATATGTGCAGGCACATCAGGGCGTAATCTAGAGTCCATGTCAGCGCCCTTGCAACTGCACTGATTCATACACACTTCGCGAGAGCCTCGTGCCCACCAGAATATTAAGTGACCATTGTTTTGGCCATCGCCGCTGCAGCGCGCTGCTTGTCGTGTGGTCTATGTCAATAATCCCTTGATCCACCCCACAGCTAACGCAAACCCAACACAAAAGAGCCTGTTGTCTCATGCCATGATCTCGAACCCCAGTATCATAGCACCGATCCATCCCATCAAAGCCGAATTCGACCCGCTCATCATCTAAAGAAATGCAGATTGCGGTACTTGAATGTCAGTTACGATAGATCACGACGTACACCAAATGACAGAAACGTTTAATAATACAAACAATACGAGAAAAGGAGATAGATGGCAAACAACAAACGCATGACAGGTAGCGTCTCTCTTATGTAAATTGAGTGCGGTGAGAACAAAAACTCGGCGACGAAAAACAAACGGGGAAAAGAAGGATAATCCAGATTCCAGATAAAAAGAACCATACGTATACTAATCAGAAGCACCAGTCATGTGCGATTAGCCCACATATGCACAATGCTAGGCCCACCAACGACTGGGGTAGGAGCGACGATCTGTGGACCATTCCCTGTATTTGAAAAAGGACCATGCGCCCTACTTGTGACAGAACCATGCCCGGTGTTTGTAGACGGACCATGCCCGGTACTTGTAAAAGAACCACTCCCAGCGCCTATGAAAGGACGCACGGCATGATCGTGCACTGAAAGCGAAGCATCAAAATGGAGCGATAGCGCGTTGGTATTCGTATATGAAGAACTGCCACTGGGAACGCGCGGTGTCGTCCCTTCTTCGTATTCCCTCGGTTGTGAGGTATGTCGACGATGATAGGCGCGCTGGGTGCGAGAGGATTGGGTGCGAGAGAGGCGATTTGGAGTGTGGGAGGTGTGATATGAGGTAGGACTAGGTGGAAAAGAAGTCCGACTCGCAGCATACGAAGATTGCGCACGATACCTCCGCTCCTCATCACGCACTGCATAACCCGCATCCCCTCCATCTTCAAGAATAAGACCCAATGCATCCGGTCCAGCGGTAGACATTGGTATGACGGGCGCCACGCTGATATCTCCTCCATCTTCATCTGTGTTATCTTCGTCTGATTCTAGGCGACCTATTATAGACTCGCCGGCAACGCTCCCCTGCCCACGCACGCCCCCATTGTGCAGCCCCAGAAGGCCTAGGTGATCCATGCTGCCTTCCCGTGAGGTGGACATGGTTCCCCATGTAGTGACGCTTCCTGGGCTGTCCATGTCCAGTGTTGTATCTAGGGAAGGGATAAGTGGTCGGGGTCTAGGCATGCGGATTTGCGCGTCGGTGGGACGGGACGGTGCACCGTCGTTGGGACGGACAGAACCAGCTGCACTGTCATTCAAACGTGCAGATCCTGCTGCTACATTCCCATTCGACGTCGATGACCCAACATCGAAACCAAGAACCTGGCCAACACTTTGCACCGCCGCTCGACGTCCTACACCAATATCAGGCGGTGGCGTACCAAGCAAAGGCACATCCGAAAGACCTCTGGAAGCATTCTCCGCTCGGGTCGCCTGACCAACGTCTTGCACCGTCGCTCGACGTCGCATACCATTCTCAGGCAGTGGCGATCCAAGAAAAGGTACGTTCAGATAACCCCTAGATATGTTATCCACTCGAGCTGTGTCAGTTACAGCCCGTTTGGGAACGGGTCGTACTCGAGGTACAGGCGTCGTATGATCTTCTCCTGATGAACCAGCCAAGCCCAGAACATCCATGACTGATTCTGGCGATTGCATCTCTAACAACGGAAAGGCCCTTTCGTTGCCACCAGCCGACGACATGTACGGAGCATTCATCAGCTGGTACCCTGATTCGTATCCTGAGCCATAGCCTGAGACGTAAGCTGCGGCAGAGGCTAGCCGCGTGGACAGATCATTCGTTACGTCTGTGCTGATACTGATACTGCTCTTCTCTTTGCGTCGTAGCTCTCTCTCATCATCAGATCGCCGATCCTCAACGACGAGGGGACGTGTCGCCCAGGTAGGAGAAGAATTGACGCGGACAGTGCCTGGAGGGATGTGCGCTCCGCGGGTCGTGATGTTTATTTTTGACTGAGACTCGGGTGCGCGGCTGTGTATGGATGATACACGGGGCCGTCGCGTGTCGTCTGTCCAGTGTTCTTCTACCCGAGGAGCCTCGGGAGGTCTGATATTGGATATGGGTGGGGGCTTAGGGGGATGAAAAATTGGCTTATGGGACGAGTTTGCTCCCTTGGATCCTGAGGCGTGGGCTTCGCCATTGACTTGAGTGGCGTTATCCCGCGGGGGTGGTGCGGGGTATGGAACGGCACCGCCTAAGAGAGGATCGAGACCTCCACCGGGCCTTGCAAAGGTTGGGAACCGATCGATTGGCAAGGGCTCTGGAGGTGGGGGGAGGGGGTTGCTGGTGTTGCGATATCGGGGTTGCGGGTTTCTAAGGTTTTCTAACTCGACATGTAATTGGGACAGCTATAAGGACACGAGGTAAGTCCAATGCAGATGCCGCTGAACCAAATGATCACCTCTCTATATAGAGAAGTCATTTAGAAGATATTCATTACCTTACTACTGATGACTCACAGAGCATGTTCATTCTCAATTTCTTGAATCCTGGAAAGTAGACTTTCTTCCACTGCACGAGATGTTTTGGAGTCGTGGTCTGCATTTCGCTTGTTGTTCCGAAGTTGACTTCGGAGGCGACGATATTCTGCTTTTTCACGTTCGCTCTGATCTTGAAGAGCTTTGTATCGCTGAAGGGAAGACACGGCAGCCCGAAGAGCCATATGCTAAAAATGTCGCATGTGAGAAAATGGAAAGAAATTGTATTTGCAACGAGGACCGCCATACGTCGTCTTTGCAATGACGAAAAGACTCACAGAGCTGGGGTCGTCTGGTTGAGACTGCAGCCATTCCTGTACTTCGGTGACTACTTCAACGACATCTGCCTCAGGTGTCTCTTCACCTGAAACCAGAGCTATGCGCTGGAGGAGGAGACTGGCATGAGCATCGATAGCGTCCTGTGCAGCATTATCTAGTTCGGGTGGATTCGCAAGGTGGAGTTTCTTGATACGATCTGACTGGAAAGGCTTGCGGCAAAGTGGACATGCACTTGGTGATAAAGAGCGAAGGCACCTGGGATTGAAGAGTCGGATATGAGAGGAGAGACATGAATATTGGAGGCCGCAAGCTGGCCGGGAGTATGAACGCACGTGAGACAGAAGATGTGACCGCAAGCGATTGCATGTGGAGAATTGGCGGGGTCTGAAGAGATAGAGTAGAGATCGAGGCAGACATCACACCAACTTGCAGGATGGACAACAAGCATACCTAGTTCATAACAAAAGCAAAAGTTGTCTACCACATGTCTAGGTGTCGTGCAATAACAGTGCTATGATGACTCAGCGAGTAGCTTAAATTAAAGCGCTGAATCATCATAGCGGTGCTAGGCGGGGCCCCTGTCATACCACACTGAGACCTACCAGGCAGTACTCGATCTTAGGCATTCGTTTTTCATCTTTACACCCAGTAGCTTTGAGGGCCAAAATATTGCACTTCAAAAGTGAGTCAACTCTCAATCTGCCAGTGGTTTCCATCCAACGGTTCCAAGTATTCGAAGCTTGCTCATGAGTACAATTCTGATATAAGCATAAGTACCTGCGAGAGACAAACGAGGGACTACCGTAAACATTAGTGACGGTCGAGTATGAGTGCGAGTATCTCACCTCAGTTTGAGTATAATGTAAGGATGGGAGACTATCATATACCTGTCTGCGTTAGCGACGATGTAAAATACGAGACCGTTATTGTACGTGTGCAACAAGTGAGTGTGAAAGTAAACCAAGATAAGAGTAATAGCGAGACTTGCATGTTACCTCCAACACCGTGACTTAGCTCTTCTTCCACTTGATCTGCCCAAGCGTCTTTGGCTATGTCGTTGTTGAAGAACGTTGAAGGTCCATAGCGTCTCCAATGCTTCTGCAGCTAGCGCGACACCTTTGGCTATCAGACGAGCCCTAGCAGCTCTGTATTCGACGGTCGTGAAATCTGGCAAGACTGCATCGTCGGGGTTATTAGCATAGAAACAAGTACTGAATTAATGAGCAGAGAAAGAAAGCTAGGGCTAGTGTCTGGACGAGAAAAAAGAGCATTACTGTCACACCGCTAACTCACACGTAGACTGACTTCTCCGTTAGCCTCGTTCCTCAGCTAACTCAGGAAAACTGTGCTGGGGAAGAATGTGGGAAATGCTGAGATCCGTACAAAGTGCGTGAGAAGACGTCCAAGCGTCGCTAACACTTATGTGTGTACTACATTTTTGCTTATGTCTGATGCATCAAGTAACGTTAACTGAGTCCTGATTGGAAACCCTGTTCGTTGCAGGGTCAAATTATTTGGCAGAATACCTGTGAGCTCCTTTGCACACGTGTTGGTTGAAAATCACATAAGAGGCTTGCCAAGTTTCATATCTCAGACCCTGCAGTTTCACCCGAACTATGACCTTCCACGTCGGTCTCACTGATTCACACGAGTTTTCTCCCGTGAACATGAACTACCCAGCCGCCCACATCCATATGCTGCCAGTGGAACTTCTACAGCACATATTCTTGCTTGTCGTCAATGACGTTCCAGACTGTCCTAGTGTCTTCTCCTATGGGGATACAACCATCTCCCCCAATGTTGGCAGCCCTCCCCTAGTCTTCACCCGCGTGTGTCATTTTTGGCGAGTCATATCACTTTCAACGACAGCGATCTGGTCGCGCATGCAGGTCTCCCTTCCGGGGCGAGTCGAACCGTTGAAACCATTCCTTCCATCTTTCCTTCAGTCGTGGCTTGCACGCTCTGGAAATCAGCCCCTTACCCTCCGCATCGTGTCCGGAGAGCTCCCTGTACGCACCACACGCCGCTGCATGCGACAGCCGTGTCAAGAACCCTCACAAGCAGATTCTCAACTGCTCGAAATCCTTCTTTCTGAGAGCAAGCGTTGGGAAGCCGTGGCCCTGGCGTTTTCAGACGACCTGAACCGTAACTTCGACACACCCGAGTTGAAATCCTTGCAGTGCTGCTGGTCAGAACTCAGCAGTTTCAATGCACCAAACCTCACCCATCTACACATCACTTATCGCTGGTCTCTTACTATGCGATTTAGACACATTCCCACCTGTGACAACGTGCGTCATCTTTGGGTCCAGAATGCTTCGGCCCGCATCATACGTTCTACTTTCCTCATGTTCCCTCGTATGGAGTCCATCAAGGTCGATCTAATCTTATCAGATATCGGCCATCCACACAATTCAACTACCCACTCTTGCCTCGAATCGATCACTTTCCCTATCCCCTCGGATCCTTTTCAACAACGTGAAGTTCTCAAGATATTTGACGAACTTCATCTTCCCATGTTGCGCAAATTGACGTTTGTGGCAGATCCAGAAGAGTCGGAAGTTTCCTGTATTGTGGCAGCGCTGGAAATTGCATCTTGCAACGTACAGGTGATAGATTTTCAGACAACCACATCGTTGAGCGAAATTGATGTGGATGTCATTGAGCCGTTGTTTTCACTTGCGAGGGAAGTTACAGTTCGTGGGGAGGTGCTCTGCCGTCCTGTCAGGTAATGCTGTGTCCCCCGTTGGTTACATAGATATTGCACATATATATTACAGTAGCGAATCTCGGTATATAATATCATATTTATGTTAGAGTTGAGGTATTACAAGATATAGGTCAGCGTACAAATTTTGTCCGTCCCGAAAGTTGTTGATATCAAAAGTTCTCGGACCGGCCATAACATGTGATAACATAAAGCGGTGGGAAACTTTGCAGGGAACTAGTACCAAACTACACCAAGCGGACAAAGGGTTTGAGGTAATCAGGCAAGGGAGGAGGAGAGCTGAAACGAAAGCGGGAAGGGGGGAAAACGCCGCGAGAGATGCCATCTGCCAGGTTATCGCAAGACCTCACCCATTTAACAGAGATCCGAATACCATGTTCGAGGGCAAACGAGGAGAGACGTTGCAGAATGTCATTTTGGACCACGTTACGAGATCGACCAGCCTTAAGGGCTTGAACACCACCCTGGTGGTCAGAATGCAACTGCACACGCACGTCACGAAGACCCGAGCGGACAAGGGCGCGAAGACCGAGGTCGATCGCTACCATTTCTGCCCATCCGATGTCTCGACCATTTGCCCTCCAACCGTCCAACAATTCCCAAGCGAGCCAGCGGGAATCAGCGAGGAAACCGATACCAAATGAAGTAGAGGCATCGACAAAAATAGATAACGGGGGAGGGTCGGGAATCAGCGGACGGGGCGGGGTACTTTCTAGTCGAGTGTGAATGACTTGTCGAAGATAATCTATATTTGATATACTGGAACAGGGCTGTGGCTCTGGAGACAAGGTCATCATCTTCAAGTAGATAAATGACTTTTTTAGGGCTTACGTCGTATCTGTCCATCTGGGGTATCACCCAACTTGGAGAACATAATTTCGAAGGCCTCTTCTGCCTCATTGCAGCGCACAGCGCCAAGAAGCGCCGCATTCTTCAATTCGTACCCTACGTAAGAAGAAGGATTGAGTTTAATGACCTATACAATTGGTAGAATAAGCACAGTTGCTAGAGAAATGATAACTATCGTCCTCACCCTGTTCGCATCGTGAAGAGCCACTACGAAGAGGTTGCGTTCCAAATTTGCTTTACTGCGGCGCACAAAGAGTGACTCGCATGAAGAGTCCAGCTCGATCCCCGCTGAATACAATTCAATAGCCGTTTCATAATTTTTTGCAGCAACAGCTTCGTCTCCCTTTGCGACACAGCGCGCAGTGCAATCATTCTTGAATGCTAAACGATACCAGAGTAAGTGTCGATGCTCAAGTCATCTAAGACCCAAAAGTGCTCACCAGTAGACCACTCGAGGTCGCTGTCTTTCACATCCTCATCGATCATGGACATCATATATTGGTGGGATTGGACAGCTTCGATCACTCGATCAGCGCAGAGGTATGCTTCGCACCGTATTTTGTTGACGGTTTGCCATGACGTGTCCAAGTCCCAGCCGAAGAGCTGTCCGGCATATCAGCAATCAGTAAAATGGGCTCTGTGGTCTCATGGCGCACCACCGTGAATATCTTCAATCTAGGTTCAAAAAGTGCTCTGCTCGAGAACAAGTCCGTCATACTGGGAACACTACGGTCGAGTTGATCGGCGGCTTCGCTGTACCGCCCATCCTGGAAAGCAATTACTGCAAGCTGCACACGTAGATACGACTGATAGGTATGGTCGAGAGTGAGAAAAATTCGAGGTTTGACACAAAGCTCACATTCACAACGTTGCACGGAATTGGATCTGAGTGTTGAGAAGCGGTCGTGAGGTCTTCAACTCGCCGCACTGCCTCATCGTAGCGACCGGCATAGAAAAGCGCAATAGCCTGGACAAAATGATATCGAAGCTTGGTGACAAACTGACTGTTAGAATAGTGACTACAGTACCTTGATCAACAGTAAAAGATTGATGATATTCGGATCACTATTGGAAAACACAAAAGCGGAATCGAAAGCTTCCATCGCGTCCCAGAGCTGCTTGTTGCCGCAAAGGGCGATGCCCTTGGAAATGTAACCCAATAATGAGGGCTGTATAGCAATAGACTATGCGACAAAGCTGAGTAACTTATCGTCGACGACATTATGAGAGACAGAATATCTGACCCTAACTGCGTCTTGAAGTGCATCGTCCCACTCGGACTTTCGTGCCCTTACAATTGAGCGATTACCATACGTATCGCGTCTGTTGTCATCTTCGTCAAAATCAATCTCATGAGTCAGGAGGTCTTCGATGATATGAAGGTCCCCGGAATTTCGGACCGTCTTCTTTATAGCGAAGATCTACATAAAGTAAGTTCACGTTCGGTCAAAAGTGAACGAAGACAAATAGCTCACGTCAAATAACGGGTCCTGGTCGTCATCGTCGTGGGTGTCGGAGTCACTTGTACCATCCTGATAAACAGAGGGCTCTCTGTGATTGCCATTATAGCTGTTATGCTCATTTTCGCTGTCGCAATCACTCTGTGAGTCAGTACACAAAAAATTGTTATGGATGAATAGAAAGGCAGAACAACAACGAGCAAGAACATACCTGCGTTTCGCTGCTGCGGAGTTCAAGTTGTTCTCCTTGTACTTCTTCGTACTCTGTTGTGCTTCCCTCCACTTCGTCATGCTCCAGGATGTCCCTAACAGACCAAAGCTGAAGATTCCCATCATCGGCTCCACTCACAAGCAGTTCTGCATCGGGAGAAATTGCGACAGAGTGAACTTTTTTGGCGTGCTTAAGTGAATGTCCTATCTGCTTATGCGTCTTTGTGCACCATAGCCGCACAGTGCTGTCGTCCGATGCCGTGGCAATGAAGGAGCTATCTGAAGAGATGGCAAGACAGGTGATCCAGCGAGTGTGACCGATGCATGGTTGACCGATCTTTTCTCCACTAGACGAGTCCCAGAACTTGGCTGTATTGTCGGATGATCCAGAGACAAGCTGGTTACCGTCAGGCGACCACACAACGCTTCGAACTGACCATTGGCCAGCGTTGATCTTGAGCAAACATTCGGCGTTAACGGTGCGCCACACCCGGATGGTATGGTCAGATGATCCGGATGCTAATTTTAGCCCATCCGGGCTAAATGACACACTCCACACGCGTACGGTTTTACGATGATCGAGTGTTGCAAGGACTGCGCCAGTCTCTGCATCCCATACAACAACCGTCGAATCATGTGAACCGCTTGCAATCCTCCATCCATCCGGGGAGAAGCACACAGAATTCACCTTCTCTGTATGCTTCACCAGCGGATTGAGCAACATCTGTTTGCTCTCGGTGTCCCAGATGATGACGGTGGTATCATCTCCACCACTCACAATTCGGCTGTCGTCTGAAGATATGGCGACTGATCGCACCCGGTCCGTGTGCCCCTTGAATGGCTCTCCTACCATTTCTCCTGTCTGCCGCACATCTAAAATTCGCAGGGTTTTATCATGTGAACCAGTGACGACCCGTCGACAGTCATTAAAGAATGCCACTGCCCACACTTTGTTCTTGCGCCGTCGCACCGCTTTTATTGGCGCAGGCTGCCCTTTCAAAGTATCTCTTGCTGTATCAGGTACCCCTGACATATTGTGTGACCTAGACAGAGAGACGGACAGTTAGAGTAAATTCAAGTTGCCAAAGAGCGTACGTTTGGGTTATCGTTGTGTTGTGGTTTCTGTGTACAGTGAGTTCTTGGATTTTTTTCCGAGCCGCGACTCATGTCCTAGGTGCTTATGTAGAATTCTTGGGTGGGCCCATACCACGCTGCTGCAGCATGGATCTCATATCGCTTCTTCCGAATCATCACCCAGTCTGGTATGATCTCCAATTTATTTCCCATTGCAATTACTTCAAAATAGGATACATCAATGTGGTAAATTTATCCGAGTGTATCGGGCAGTGATGGTTCTCGGTATATCATGTTATTCTGTGGTAGAGCTCGAGCAAGATAGTCAATGTAAATTCCTCCGGTTCCTGACAAAAAGTCAGTACATGTCTGTGTTCGCACCGAATTGGGCACACGAGTGAGTACTGTCTCTGTTCGTAATATGCAGATATGCGAATAATGAATTGAATAGATGTAGCACTGTTGATCCAATCAAGCCAAGGGACATACAAAACCTCAAGATACTTATCGGGCACCATTCAACAATCATTTTAGGTGCGGAACTTTAGAACTAGCCAATCGTTGTGCTGCTAATTACAGTCACATAGCATCCATTCGAACCATCGAAACTGGAATCAACTTTCAAGGAAATACTACTTATACTAGTATAAATAAAAGATCAAGCGGACTTCGAAGACCATCGTTTTTTTCCATCACGTCTAGCTGCTCGCTGCCTGTATTCAAAATCCTGAGCGGGTCAAAGTCTGAGCTCCTCGACGGTGTTTCCGTCAAGCTCGATCGGAGCTCACTTGAAGACGTTCTTTCTGCTCGTTTCTATTATATAGCTTCCGCCCTACTTGGCAATGGACCAGATGCCAGCATTGAATGTATTGTGACATCATGAATGCCAGTTCCACTATGTGCATCTATTTGACAGCATGTTTTCCGCTTTACTTTCCATTGTTCCTCGCCTTGTGAAGGTACAAAGTCAGCTGCTCGGACATGATGATGATGATGATGATTTGAGCGATAGCACTTCAACAGAGAGATGCTCAGGTTTATCTACGCGACAGGTAAATCTTTAGGCTCGGTCGGTCATCGCATCACATCCTGGTGAGCTGACTGCTGGAGTGATTAGTTGTCAGGCACTAGTACTGTGTCCCCCATTGGTGATACGATAGATATTGCACATATATGTTACAGTAGCGAATCTCGGTACATAATATCGTATTTATGTTAGAGTTGAGGTATTACAAAATTGGTCAGCGTACAAATTTTGTACGTCCCGAAAGTTGTTGATATCAAAAGTTCTCGGACCGGCCATAACATGTGATAGCGTAAAACGGTGGGAAACTTTGCAGGGAACTACCAAACTACACCAAGCGCACAAAGGATCTGAGGTAATCAGGCAAGGGAGGAGGAGAACTGAAACGAAAGCAAGAAGCGGGAAAAATGCCACGAGAGATGCCATCTGCCATGTTATCGCAAGACCTCACCCATTCAACAGAAATCCGAATGCCATGCTCGAGGGCAAATGACGAGAGACATTGCAGAATATCATTTTGGACCACATTGCGAGATCGACCAACCTGAAGGGCTTTGACACCACCCTGGTGGTCAGAATGGAACTGCACGTGCACATCACGAAGACCCGAGCGGACAAGGGCGCGAAGACCGAGGTCGATTGCTACCATTTCTGCCCATCCGATGTCTCGACCATCTGCCCTCCAGCCGTCCAACAATTCCCAAGCGAGCCAGCGGGAATCAGCGAGGAAACCGATACCAAATGAAGTAGAGGCATCTACAAAAACAGATAACGGGGGAGGGTCGGGAATCAGTAGACGAAGTGGGGCACTTTCTAGTCGAGTGTGAATGACTTGTCGAATACGATGATCTATGTCTGATATACTGGTACACTGCTGCAGCTCTGAAGAAAAGGTCATCATCTTCAAGTTGACAGATAAGTTCTTCAGGACTTACGTCGTATCTGTGCATCTGGGGTATCGTCCCACTTGGAGAACATGATTTCGAAGACCTCTTCAGCTTCATTGCAGCGCACAGCGCCAAGAAGCGCTGCATTCTTTATTTTGTACCCTATGTGAGAAGAAGGATTGAGTTTAATTACCTATGCAATTGGCAGAATAAGTACAACTGCTAGAGAAATAATGACTGACATCCTCACACTGTTCGCGTCGTGAAGAGCCATCACGAAGAAGTTGCGTTCCAAATTTGCTTCACTGCGGCGCATCAAGAGTGACTCGCACCAAGAGTCCAGCTCGATCCCCGCTGAATATAGTTCAATAGCCGTTTCATAATTTTTTGCAGCAACAGCCTCGTCTCCTTTTGCGATACAGCGCGCAGTGCAATCATCCTTGAATGCTAAACGATACCAGAATAAGTGTCGATGCTCAAGTCATCTGAGACTCAAAAGCGCTGACCAGTAGACCATTCGAGGTTGCCGTCCTTCACATCCTCATCGATCATAGACATCATATGTTGGTGGGATTGGACAGCTTCGATCACTCGATCAGCGCAGAGGTATGCTTTGCATCGCATTTGGTTGACGCTTTGCCATGACGTGTCTAAGTCCCATCCGAAGAGCTGTCCGGCATATCATCAATCAGTGGGAATGAGCTCTGTGATCTCACGGCGCACCACCGTGAATATCTTCAATCTAGGTTCAAAAAGTGCTCTGCTCGAGAACAATTCCGTTAAACTGGGAATACTACAATCGAGTTGATTGGCGGCTTCGCTGTACCGCCCATCCTGGAAAGCAGTGGTTGCAAGCTGCACATGTAGATACGACTAACAGGTTTGGTCGAGAGTGAGAGAAATTTCAGGTTTGATACAAAGCTCACATTGGCAACGCTACACGGAATTGGATCTGAGTGTTGAGAAGCGGTTGTGAGGTCTTGAACCCGTCGCATTGCCTCATCGTGGCGACCGGCATAGAAAAGCGCAATAGCCTGGATAAAATGACATCGAAGTCTTGGTGCGACAAGCATGACTGTTAGAACAGTGACTACAGTACCTTGATCAGTAGTAAAAGATTGAGGATATTGGGATCGCTATTGGAAAATACAAAAGCGGAATCGAAAGCTTCCATCGCGTCCCAGAGCTGCTTGTTGCCGCAAAGGGCGATGCCCTTGGAAACGTAGCCCAGTAATGAGGGCTGGATAGCAATAGACTATGCGACAACACTGAGTGACCTATCGTCGACGGCATCACGAGAGACGGAATGTCTGACCTTGACTGCGTCTTGAAGTGCATCGTCCCACTCGAACTTTCGCGCCCTTACAATTGAGCGATTAGCATACGTATCGCATCTGTTGTCATCTTCGTCGAACTCGATTTCATGGGTCAAGAGGTCTTCGATGATATGAAGGTCCCAAGAATTGCGGACTGTCTTCCTTATAGCGAAGATCTACACAGAGCAAGCTCACGTTCGGTCAAAAGTGAACGAAGACAAATAGCTCACATCAAATAATAAGTCTTGGTCGTCACTAATACTGCTAAGGGCGTCGTGGAAGTCAGAGGAGTCGCATGTACTGTCCTGATCAACAGAGGGCTCTTTGTGATTGATGTTATCGCAGATATGCTCATTTTTGCTGTCACAACAACTCTGTGAGTCAGCACGTAAAAACATGTTATGAATAGAAAGGCACAACAATAACGTGCAAGAACGTGCCTGCGTTTCGCTTCTGCAGAGTTGCTCTCCCTGTATTTCCTCGTCCTCTGTCGTGCTTTCCTCTACTTTACCATGCTCCAGTATGTCCCTAACAGACCAAAGCAGAAGATCTCCATGATCGGCTCCACTCCGAGTCACAAGCAGTTCTGCATCGGGAGAAATCGCAACAAAGTGAACTTTTTTGGCATGTTCAAGTACATGTCCTATCTGCTTATGTGTCTTTGTGCACCATAGCCGCACAGTGCTGTCGCCTGATGCTGTGGCGATGAAGGAGTTATCTGAAGAGATGGCAAGACAGGTGATCCAGCGAGTGTGACCGATACACGGTTGACCGATCTTTTCTCCACTAGACGAATCCCAGAACTTGGCTGTATTGTTGGATGCTACAGATACAAGCTGGTTGCCGTCGGGCGACCACACAACACTTCGAACTGTCCATTGCAAGCCAGCGTTGATCTTGAGCAAACATTCGGCGTTAACGGTGCGCCACACCCGGATGGTATGGTCAGATGATCCGGATGCTAATTTTAGCCCATCCGGGCTAAATGACACGCTCCACACGTGTACGCCGGTTTTGCCACCATTACGATGATCGAGTGTTGCAAGGACTGCGCCAGTCTCCGCATTCCATACAACAACCGTTGAATCATGCGAACCGCTTGCGACTCTCCTTCCATCCGGGGAGAAGCACACAGAGTTCACCTTCTCTGTGTGCTTCACCAGCGGATTGAATACCATCTGTTTGCTCTCGGTATCCCAGATGATGACGGTGGCATCATCTCCACCACTCGCAATTCGGCCGTCATCTGGAGATATGGCGACTGATCGCACACGGTCCGTATGCCCCTTGAATGGCTCTCCTACCATTTCTCCTATCTGCCGCACATCTAAAATTCGCAGGGTTTTATCATGCGAACTGGTGACGACCCGTCGACCATCATTGAAGAATGCAACCGCCCACACTTTGTTCTTGCGCCGTCGCGTTGCCCGCGTTGGCGCTGGCTGCCCTTGAAAAGTATCTCTTGCTGTATCAGATACTCCCGACATATTGTGTGACCTAGACAGATAGGTCCGGGTCAGCTAGAATGAATTCAAGTCAAAAAGGATCGTACGTTTGGGTTATCGTTGTATTGTAGAACTCGTGTATAGTAAGTTGTTGGATTCTTTTCTGAGTCGCAACTCACGTCCCAGGTGCTTATGTAGGGTTCTTGATGGGTCCATCCCACGCTGCTGCTGCATGGATCTCACGTCGCTTCTTCCATCATCACCCAGTGTGATATCTAATTAATTATACATTGCAATTACTGCAAAACAGGATACATCAATGTGATGAACTCGTTTGAGTCTACCGGGCAGTGATGATTTTCAGTCTACCGTACCATTATGTACTAGTAGGCCTCAAGGAAGATGGTCAGTGTGATATCTGAACGTGCACACCGAATACGCACCATGATGGAACGTGAGTACTGTCTCTGTTCGTTGTATGCAAATCTGGGTGATACATTGAATAGATGTAGCAAGTTCTGTTGATCCAAGGGACATCCCAAACCTAGTAAAGGTACTTATCGGGCACCATTCAACAATCGTTTCAGGTGCCGAGCTTTAGAACTGGTCGATCACCGTGCTGAAAATTACAGTCCCATACCATCCATCCGAACTATCGAGACTGAAGTCAACTTTCGAGGAAATATATTATGCTGCTGAATCTGCACAAATATTATTTGTGCCCCCCCGAAATTGAATTTGTGTGACACCCCGAAAAAGGAAATTGTGTCGCCCCAAAAACTATTGTGTGTCGCCCCGAAAACTACAACATGTGTCGCCCCAAAATTATATCATGTCGCCCCGAAAACAAAAGACTCATGCCGAAAAAAAAAGTATGAAAAATTCAGAAAAGTACTTTATTGAAGGCAAATTTGAGTGACAATTGTAGACTAGTATGTATACTACTGGATGACTACCTGAATATGATCCATAATTTCACTCTTCTTCCTCTACAAGTCGAGTAACCATTTCCTTTGTTGTAGCAGTAGCTCAGTGGACATGCGAAGTCAACTATCATATATTGGTATGTACCTGTTGTAGCAGTAGCTACAGGTAGTGTCAGTAAGTAGGCTAGTGATGTCTCAGCTCCAAGCTGCATTTTTCAGAAAATGAGCATAACATGCTGAATAAAATTCCTGAATTCATGAAAATATTTATGGACATAGATTGAGCCAAAAGCCGGGAGGCATCTAAGGGGAATTGGTACTGTGATGCATCATTGTCTTGCTATAAAGCAGCTCAGCAAATGGCTTGAATTTTGAGCCATTTTCTGAGCTGCTTCATAGCAAGACAATGATGTATCACAGTACAAATTCCCCTTAGATGCCTCCCGGCTTTTGGCCCAATCTATGTCCATAAATATTTTCATGAATTTAGGAATTTTATTCAGCATGTTATGCTCATTTTCTGAAAAATGCAGCTTGGAGCTGAGACATCACTATAAGTAGGAACTATGTACGAAGGTAGTACTAACCTCAGTGGACGTGCGAAGTCAACTGAGGAAGGTTACGAGGTGTGGGAACAAATGGTATTTGTAGGTAGGTAGATATGAAATGGTACCGAGTGTCCATAGTAGCGAGGATTGATATAACAACACTCCCCCTCAAGCCAAGCGCAGGCCGAGGGTGGAGGCAAAATGTTTGACCTTTAAGCTGGGAAGAGGCTTTGTAAGGGTATCAGCAGTCATAACGTCCGTAGGGCAATAAACTAATAGAATTGAGCCTTTCTCAACAGAAAAACGAATGAAATGGTACCTAATGTCAATATGTTTTGTCTGGGCGTGGAACGCCCCAGACTTCGCGACTGCGATGGCCGATTGGTTGTCGCAATGGAGAGTGATGGGATGAGTTAACAGACGGAATACTTCACTGATGAAGTGGCACAACCAGACTGCCTCCTTTGTGGTGTGGGTGGCCGCAACGTACTCGGCTTCTGTGGTGGAGAGGGTGACGAGCTCATGCTTCTTCGAGCTCCATGACACTGCCCTGCCATCTAGGATGAATGCATACCCGGATATCGCGTGGCGATGCTCTTGGGATGCGCCGTCTGTTGGAAGGAAGATGTTGGAAGAAGGACTTGCCTTCTGCATTCAGACTGATTAACATTGATTTTAGGTGTGAGGCGCAACCTCGCCACTTTGTGTCATATGGACACACTTCTTATCGCATGGCTTCTCTTGACGCTTCTCTTGACGTATTCAATCTCTGTTCTTCTTCATCCCCATAAGTATCCTGTCTCCTCGTTACTTGCGTACCTCAGTTGTTGATTACCAACACTGAGGTATGCACTCTTGTTTTCTTGTGCTTAGTCTCGTACTCACTCAAACTGTCTTAGTGTACGTTCTACAGGTTATGAGCCCTGCATCCTAAGCGACACAGAAACCAGAAACGTACGGACTCCCTCTCATTGGAACAACTCAAAATCTTTCTCTTCATCTGCTCAAATTCACTCTGATGTGTCGCACCAATAATGGGAAAGTATGACCACATACCGGAGCTGACGGGAGCAGAGAATTACATTCCCTGGGAGACACAGGTGCAGCTCGTCTTGACAAACAATGACCTCTGGTGTCATGTCACTGAAAACGCAGGCCCAGGTGACATTCTTGGAGCAGCTTCGGGCCTGCCTGTAGCAGCTGTTCCAGCAACTCCCACCGATGCTGAGAAGGCAGCCATACGAGCTTGGCTCATTAATGATTCCAAGGACCGCTCCTTGGACCCATACCAAGTGGCACCCCGAGTAGGACCCCGGAAATCAGCACTCAACGCGTGCGCTCAACAGCACCGAAGACGTCAAAGGTGTTCGAGCGCACCTTCTAGGTCTCCATCAAAACCTCACTATCACCTATCAACACCCAGCCTACCCTCGTCCGCTGTGCTCATATGCCCGGAAACCGCAGAAGCATCAGCATAGGCACGGGAAGTGCGCCCACACCCCGAACAAACTCTCCTACATACAGCCTCAATACCTGCAGAACTACCAGAGCACCAACCATGCAAGGAACCATAGAAGCCACTCCGAACATAGTCAAAGATATTGAAAGTGGGAAAGAATTCCTTAGATCCAAATTATTATGCCACATCAACCAACCACTTACGTTAACTCACATTATATCTGTTCTATTCCAGATTACGCAAATGTTGAGCTCAACACCCGCTCTGGTGATATCCGCAACACGTGCAGTTGCGTTCGTACTGAAAGAACACGTAGCCTGCGACATTGCCGAAACAGCAGCGAAACAGATCTCCGAATCACTCTCTGCATGCCTGGTGGAACACGTAGTGGCAGTGATCTCGCCTCAAGTAGCTCTAGTACACTCCGCATCTCAAGCCATTGCAGAATAATTGGAGGAGACCAAAACGCTACATAACCTAATAGCCCGCGAATGTATGGAGAAGGAAGATGGCATCAGAACAGCAGCGGACCACATAGAAGAAGCGGCAGATTCACTCTACTCCTCTCTTGAACTATGCCAAAGCGACCTGAAAACACTAACTCCTTCTTTAGATGCAGCACATGACAAGATCAACTCCCTATATACCAAGATCTCCAATCTGCCCACACCACAAGCCGTTCCATCCCAGCCCTCATACAGTGCCATAGCAGCTAACCACCTCCCTCCTACAGTAGATCAAGTGCTAGGGCACGTGGCCATCAAAGCATGCCAAGTACTGCTAGATCCGACACTGGGTGAAACCCTCTTCCCCCTGAACTCCTCCAACTACACCATAGTGGGTAAACTCAAAGAAGTGCTGATCAAGGCAAGGGACGACACGACACCTCCAGGCAGCATCAGGGCGGTTACTACTCTCCGCAACGAAGGTATCGTTGTAGAAATGGAGATGGAAGCACTAGCAAGCTGGATTAAGAGCCCTGAAGGCAAAGCAGCTCTGGAGAATAATCTGGAAAAACCCGTATCGTTCCAACAACATCATTATCCATTAGTACTTGAATTCTTACCTATTCATCTCCAGATCAAACACGAAGACTTCTTACGATCGATCGAACAAGAGAACCACCTACCACCTTCTTCAATCATTCAAATTCTTTCCTCAAGCAATCTCACCTGCCGCTTCCTTACTTATGAAAAATATCTTTGCGACTACTTACCGGAGTTCTCGAAATGCTGCGTGCCCCAAGACACGGCCATCACCTTCAGATATATTTCAATATCACAAGATGTCCCCTCTCGGTTCCCCTCCTGTAACCCGCCGCACTCCTTATTCTACGAAGGCAATACTATTCCAACAGCAACAACGAAGATGTACTAACCACGACTTGGATGTGTCTCATAGCGGTGTGTTTACTACATTATGCTATAGAAAAGCTTCCCTTCCTCACACAGGACCATGCAACAGTGTCATCCATCCCGGCCATCAGTTTCTTCGTTTCTTTGCTAGCAAAGTCTACCTCATCAGGCGCATGGGATTTCGACGCATCTCCTAAGCGTACTACACAGAATGAAGCGAACGGCTTGGTACTCGCAGGTTGAGGCGAATATTGGGGACTCCCAGGTAAGTACATAGTATATGACATACTCTGCATAACTCATGCTGTAGACGCTGAGTGATTTCAGTCTTCGTTGCTTTTACCTTTGCTTTGCTTTGTTCCAAGTCACACACATTACCAACTTCTTTAGATTGATTCAAGCTTGTATGTCCATGTAGGTCTGGCATTTAGTAGTAGCTACCTATTCCATTTCATGATTTTTATCTACATCAGGAAAAACCTCCCATTTTAACTTAGACAAAATTAGAACAATTGTTCTAACTTAAACAAAATTTGAATAATTTGACTTAAGCTCGCTACGCTAGTAAAATTTGACCTAAGCTCTCTAATTTTTCAAAACTTGTACATAACTAGCACAAAGTCACAAAAGTATGCCAGGGATTAGCGCGGGTAATTGTATCAAGAGCTCTACCTATCTTCGAACAGCTTTTGACGAGTTGCACACGTATGCATTCAAACTAAACGAAAAACATGTACTAGTGACTACAAATTAAATAATACCAACTGGCCCAAGACTTGACAGTGCCGTGTCATAGGCACGATATAGCGAGCAACAAATTACAAGTTCAACATTTGCGTGTATTTGTATTTGTTTGACTCACGTGACTTTTAGTTTCAACATTCGAACATTCAACATTGAACACATCATCCTTCCCTCTTCTACCACATCCTTCCTTCTTCTATGTTGCCCACTGTCCGTAGTTGGTGAGTATGTTGATCCTCATTCGAGCAACGACCATGCTGATCCAAGTCGTCAGCCACCATTCACAGTTCGTGAGTATGTCGATCCTCGTTCGAGCAACGGCCATACTGATCCAAGTCGTCGGCCACCATTCGCAGTTCGTGAGTATGTCGATCTTCATTTGAGCAACGGCCATGCTGATCCAAGTCTTTGCCCACCATTCACAGTTTGTGAGTGTGTCGATCTTCATTCGAGCGATGGCCATGCTGATCCATCAAATCTACCTTGCACTATATCAAAATGAGATGGCATTAGTATAGCTGTATATATATTATATATATTCATGCATATGTTACATACAAGATGCACATCAAAATGATATTCTTTCATACACATGTTGCACAAATATAATATCATGGGATTCTAATCTAGAGATTAGATATGTCATAATGAGTTTTATTGGTCAGCTCTACCTGGTCATATCTATGTGTGACATTATGTCAATAATATTCAAGGCTGGTATCACACTGCTGTCTGCTTGCAAAACACGCATCAAGGCGATGATCTTCTGGCATGTTCTTGTCATATGTTGGATATGTGCATCACTACGACAATAATATCCAAGGCTGGTATCACACTGCTGTCTGCTTGCAAAACACGCATCAAGGCGATGATCTTCTGGCATGTTCTTGTCATATGTTGGATATGTGCATCACTACGACAATAATATCTAAGGCTGGTATCACACTGCTGTCTGCTTGCAAAACACGCATTGAGGTGATGCTGTTCTGACATGGTCATATCATATGTTGGATATGTGCATCACTACGACAATAATATCCAAGGCTGGTATCACACTGCTGTCTGCTTGCCAAACACGCATCGAGGCGATGCTGTTCTGGCATAGTCATATCATATGTTGGATATGTGCATCACTATGACAATAATATCTAAGGCTGGTATCACACTGCTGTCTGCTTGCAAAACACGCATCAAGGCGATGATTTTCTGGCATAGTCTTATCATATGTTAGATATGTGTGACACCATGATAATAATATCTAAGGCTAAAACATGGTGTATAATAATGTTGTTTGATTACCAATTATATCTGGTCATATCAATTTAGGGTCGATTCCCTGATGGAGGTATTGCAGCATACCATGGTCATACCGAGTCTGAGAGTATATCCAGTGACTCAGAAGACAGCTCCACCTCATCTGAGTCGAGCTTATCAGAGCCCTCTCACAAGACCAAATATCGTTGAGGTATGGTATATTGTTTTTTTTGTTGATTGCGAGCGAGGCTCACATTAAACTTTTGTGATCAGTATCAACAGAAACTGATGACGAGATTATGCCTGCATTGGACTCTGAAACCATATCCGAGTCGGCCACTATAGTTGACTTGACTGCAAGTGATGATGAATACACTGGTGACTTTTTTGGTTCTTTCAGTTTAGATAATCATGATGTTGTTGCCGAGCCAGAGGCACCTGTGGAGGCTGACCTCACCCCTTTGGAGCCTGTCTCGTCATCTCCACTGCAGGCCTCTGTATCTTTTGTTATTGATCCCAGTCTTGATAACCCCCCAACCTTGCAGGCCTCTGGGTCTTTTGTTCTCAATACCAGCATTGACAACCCATGGGAAGGGAATTGTCTTTTCAATTTCTAGATTTTTTTTTTGGCACCTATATCACTCAACTTGAAATATACTGATTATAATCCTTTTACACCAACTTTATTATATCTGTTTATATTCTGGTACTCGTACATAGTAACTATCTCTTACTACAATGCTTTTAATTGACTTGTTTCATGTAAGCCTGGGTGGAAATGAGCATGACGATGATAAAATACACTGTCAAATATTGGTATCACAATTTTAATTTCGGGGCGACATAATATAATTTCGGGGCGACACAATTTCCTTTTTCGGGGTGTCACACAAATTCAATTTCGGGGGGGCACACTTTTTATTTCGGGGGGGCACAATAATATTTGTGCAGATTCAGCAGCATACACGTCTAGGATCGCTCCCTGTATTCAAAATCCTGAGCGGGCCAAAGTCTGAACTCCTCCACAGTGTTTCCGTCAAACTCGATCGGAACTCACTTCAGGACATTCTTTCTGCTCCATGCTCGTTTCTATTACATTGCTTCCGCCCTACTTGGCAAAATGGACCAGATGCCGGCATTAAGTGTATTGTGACGTCATGAAGATAGAAGTCGACAACGCAACGAACCTTTCAGATGAATGGTCGCCAAATGTGAGTTCCACTATGTGCATCTATTTGACAGCATGACTGTACGTGATGTGGTCATGCCCAAGCCGTGGCGTGTCCTTTAATCTTGACAAAGTAAAACACACTGGTTAGTCCATTACAATTCAGGTCGCTCTCACTTGTGATGTAGACGAGGGTCCTCGTGATCGGACTATTGCCGTACCTTTTCACCTGGCAAAACAGATCGCAAATTGGGACTCGTGATCGGGGAGTCGAGCACGAAATAGTTGTTATCAATCAAGCGTGTCACCGTTAATGAGAGTCTTTGTGTGAAACTAGGGTTCACACCACCGCAAGGGGACCACACTCTGAAACCCTCCTCATCTGCGGTTTATATGTTGGTGCAGACCATGGTCTAAGTTTCCAACTGATTGATGTTGCTAAGGGTAGTGAGAATTATGCGGAAATTTTACCTTTGTCGTACGGCTTTCTTGCTGGTTGTTTATCATATGTTGTGTCTGATATCCACCTAGATATACTGCATATTTCAGACAGCTAGAAATTATTGTCCTACGAAGCTAACTATCTGCTATCAGGTATATCTTCACTGTACGCGCTCAGTGAATCTCGTCTTGAAGAATGTTATTGTATACTCCTGAAGGCAGTAAAGAGTAAGTCATTACTCATTCGCGTAGATGTATACACACCTCATCATGAGTTTGCTTCAAGCTCGGACGGTCCAGCATTCCTTGAGCGTATTTCCTGAATTTGGCAAATTTCGGTCCTTTTAACTCCTCCCCTAACTTATACCCCATCCCGACAGGGAATTTTCCTATTTGCGATTAATTAGATTCAACTTCTCGGGGAAAGGCATGAGTGGTTGCTCTACCTAGGTCAGTTTCGGTGATGATCTTGAGCCTTGCGAGAGCCGGAGAGATGCATGCATCTGCATTACTGTAGTGATCTCCAACCGCGAAATCTGTACCTTCTTCGAGAAGTCCTTGAATGAACTCAATCCCCTTCAGGACATTGTCATATGACCCCTGCCCTCGGATGAAATCGTATAATGGTGCTTCAACCTGTTTAGTAGTCACATCGATGAACAAACGGACTTTGGCGCGCAGAACAGGATCCTTTGGCAGGAGGCCTGAGTCTGGATAAAGGTCCGCCAAGAACTCAAGGATGACGTTCGATTCTGCAATCTTAGCGGACAGGGGCGAAGGATCATCGGGGTCGACATTGGGTCCCCCATATGTTACAGCAGGCACCTATAGTTATGTCACATTCGTCTCCAATAGAAACAGAATACCATCACACATACCTTGCCGACTGGGTTCACTTTACTGGCGAACCACTCTGGTTTATTGGGAAGATCGATTTGGTAGGCTCTGTAGGGTGCATTGGCTTCTACAAGAGCCAGCTCGACCTGTCAATTTGCGTCAGAGACTCGTGAGATGGTGTCAACAGTCATTTCACCTTTGCGCTATAGGGCGAGAGCTGCAAAGTTATGGGTCAGACAAGTTTTCCGCTTTACTCCATTGTTCCTCACCTTGTGAAGGTACAAAGTCAGCTGCTCGGACATGATGACGACGATGACGACGACGATGATGATGATGATGATTTGAGTGATAGCACTTCAACAGAGGAATGCTCAGGTTTATATACGCGACAGGTAAAACTTTTGGCCCGGTCGGTCATTGCACCACTTCCTGGTGAGCTGACTGCTGGAGTTATTCGTAATCAGGGAGGGGCAAGTGCGGAAATGAATCTTACTAATTGATAGACAAGTAGTCAGACAATCATAATATCCCGATCGCTTGGTGAATGAGTCAGTTGCTGACTGAAATGTGGCGTCCGCCTGCTGGTTCACGTTATATATCAATATTACGGACTTCAAATCAACGACTGAGCTTACTATACAAACTACATGTGAGCAAGCAGGTAGCAGAAGATTCTAGAATTCGGCATCTGCCGTCTGCTGGCAGACTCTCAGGCGCGTAGGGTCGTCAAGTTCGACATTACATACCATGAGCCTGGGACGATCGCATTTCACTGATCCTATCAGTCTAGTGAGCAGCTCGGGTTCTGCCCAACACCCCTCAATATTGGTTCTAGCAAAACCCAGCTGTAATATGCTATGTGACGTACGACAAAACAGCTTTTTTTTCGAAGGTTTTGTTTATCGTCATGAGGGGGTGAAAAAATGAAGGCTTTGAAAAGCGTTACCCGGATCGGACAAATTGGTTCCTGTTGCGTAGAGGTTAGTCGTCGCTATCACGCCTGTCAAGAAGGTGCTCAGCCTGACGAATATCGCGGAAATGAAGAACGACCTTCAACATAGGTTACATCTGACGCTAAATGTCATTTACAAAGCACAGAAATGGCGAATGCCTCTTACCACAGCACCTCCATCCACCAAACCAAGGGGACAGGATATCGACGCCCCCGTACAAATCCTGACACAGAACAAAACACAGATCCACCCAAAAAACTTGCGATGAATTCATCCTTACCGGCAAGTTGAATCTACCACTGCAAAGTCTCAAGGTCAGCAATGAAGAGAAATCACGCAGTTCTTTGATGTAATCGTTTTTGTCTGGGAGCATGCAAATATTCCGGATCCTCATATCCTAATTACAGCTCTCCGGTTCATATTTTTGTATGATTAATGTCACTAGAGTCCTCACCTGATTTATTCGTGGGTCCTCCTGACAGGTAGGCGTTGCCAGAAAAACATTGTTTGCACGGTGGAAAGGTTGGATCGTTAGCCTTGTATGATACTTGAGATCGCCATTGGGAGCCAAATTTAATGACAATTCTTGCATTGAGCTGTGCGACACGCAAACATGATGCGCTGGTATGATCGTGGGCAGCAGAAAAGTCGTGTTCAACACGCTATTTTTATATTTAATATTATTACACAGAAATTTCTCCCAAAATGGAATGTAAGGGAGGAAATTGCGATTAAACTACCGCGTCTGCTTGCACCAAACTTGACTCAAGCCCCAGACAAAGTAAGTGCATTCGATAGCCATCTGACCGTGCTTTCATTAAAAGTTGCAGCAGCCAACAGTATTCGTGTGGTGCCTACGGCTGATACGGAATCCGACTCTTACTTATGCGTTACGGATTGCCACGCTCAACTTCGCCATCTCCTGAACGGAGGTACGTGCACAGTGCATGCTGCGGCGAGCTAGGCTCATTCATTATCCATCAGATCTCGCAGACGTACCTCCACTTTCGGTCTCCCATCAGATACCGATAGCGATTTCGAAGGGCCACCGACAGATTCAGACTCAGAACTATCCTCCCCAAGCTCCCTTTCATCGGACTCATTCTGCTATGAGTCTGAATCACAAGTCCCGCCACCGCCTCCGTGCGTGTATCATCATCACTATCATATTCATGTTCACACCCAATTACTTTACTTTTGCAGCCGCCCAAAGCGCGAGCCACGCAGTCCAGCTGAACAACGCCATGCAGAGGACACAGTGGCTGCTATCCGCTTACGCACACGATACCACGATCCCTACGAAGAATGGGAGAAACAAACGCGCAAGGATGCATTCGTGCGTGCCTATTTGTTCTTTCTACGCAAAATACCCCCTGACAGTTTCTAATAGCACACAGCGCGCAGAGCACAGGTTCAGACGCGCTTAGAGACGCAAGGTCGGCGTACCCAGCGTAACACGCAGGAGCTGAAATCATTGGCAGCTATGCACGCACAGCAGCTCGTGGAAGTGCAGAAACAGCTCGCAGCATTGCAGGTGCGGCAACAAACGGAGGTTAACAAGCTCGTAAGTAGCTGGCAGGAGCAAGATAAGACATTTCGCAATAGGATAGAGGGTGTTATTCGCGTGGAAGAGGAGAAATTACGTGCCAAACTCGAAGCTGAACGCAAAGCGCGGGAAGAGGCCGAGAGAAAACGGAAGGAGGAAGAAGAGAAACGCAAAGTGGAGGAACAGGCGAAGCGGAAAGAAGAGGAACAGGCGCAAAGGCAGCGGGAGGCAGAAGCGGCTGCAAAACACCAAGAAGAGGAGAAAGAGCGTTTGCGCAGGCAAAAGCTGGACGCTGAGGAAGCAGGGCAGGGCACAACTGGGGATGTCATTAGCCGAAGAGGATTGGGTACACGCTCGTGAAACTCTCAAGGTGGACCTGCTACTTCTGACCACGTACTGCGATACTGATACCTAATTCAGAATCTTAAAGCCGGGCCAATGAAGACAGTCAAGGGGAACCAGCCATTCAAATCCAAATGGAGCGCCATTCGCCGACAGATAACACCAAAGATCGGACAACTAACACACGATATCGATTCTGTCATGCGAATAGTAAGTTTATTTCCACTATTATTCCATCACCTCAAACTCAAATTTCCAGACTCAACAACTCATAGATATTATTTGCCCGTCAGAACGACTTCCTTTAGACATCTACTTCGCCGCTCTATCCTCACTAGCAAAAGCCGTCCTTCTCCAAGCCGAAACAGAGGTCACAGCTGAAAAACGAAGCGCTATACCCCTGGCCATGGTCGCCTGCGAGACTGCTAGGCACGTTGGAAGGTTTTCCGGATATTTTCTTCGCGAAGCTCGTGCAGCGGTGCGGTGGGTGGCCCTGTACCGTCAGCGATTCCTTCCACAGATTCAGACGGTACTGCATGGAACGAACTAGAGCGCATCAAGGCGATGGGATACCGCACGAATGATGGTCAGAGAGAGACCTTATCCGATCATGTTATGCGCGTGTCTGGGATGATGCGTGTATATTTCTTGATTCTAGCTGCGCCTGTGCCGCAGCCATTGGATAAAATGTTCCAGTTACCACGTTTCTGGACGTATTTCGCGAGAATGATTGGGGATGAGAGATTACTAGAGACGGCAGTAGCCGCACAGGTACTTCATGGTGCGTTTTTTGCAATTGGGTGCTTCCCAGGCTCTCACTCCTAAACTCCGTAGCTGCACTTGACGTTGGAGGCATGGAGGCGAAGTTCATTTGGGGTAATCAGTGGGTGAAGATGCTGGAGTTGCTTTACGAGGGTGCAACGACTGGTATCGGCGGAGTTGCAGGGAAGCTGCTCGGTGGTCAAACCCCCGAGGGAAAGGCTGCGCGTGTGCGCGTACAACTTCAGATAGAACGCATCATGGATACCACGAGCTTGCGATGAGGCTTTCAGGCATTCTTCCACCCAATCACCATCTATTCGTTCACCACGTATGATATTTTGGAAGTACATGCATTTTTGTACAGTAGCATCAGCCTATACATAGAATTTTACAACGCTATGGTGCGCGTCACTTAGCCACCACTACTTTTGAACAACGTTCTCACCCCCTCGAAAAAAAATCAGATTTTTATTTCCTCTTGTAAAAATGATCCTTTCGATGAGTAGAGTAAAGCTACAAGAGGAATTATTGATTGAATCAAATCTGAGCGAGTTTTTTAAAAACAAAAGGGATGATTTGGCCACCTAAAGTACTATGACTCCCCATCAATCAAAAATGCGAGCCAATGTCTCCGGAATACGTCTGTGAGACTTGTACTTTGTAGAGCTGAATTGCTTAACCTGAAACTGGGCATCCTTTGTGCTCAGACCCGTCCGATATGCCTCCATCCAGCGGTGCATGCGATGTTCCCACAGTCGAATGGTACTGAGCTGCACAGACTGCATTGCTAAGGGCATGTTCTTCTTCAGGGTCTCAAAAGTGCCGTCGCAGTTGTCTCGGAGATATTTTTTGACCTTCCCCCAGAAATATTCGATGAAATTGAGTTCACAGTGGAACTTTGGGAGGAAGATGCAGAGATGACCTACCTTCCTGTGGTTCTTGGGCATCAGAGACTGGTAAAAACGACATCTGCACGATAAATTGTCGTTGTCTACTGTAGCGCTACATGTTTCAAACTAATATCGAAGCATCCGTTGGAGTTGCACGCGTAGGGTTAGGGTTGAAATTTTTCCTCAGACCGATTTGGCCACTGTTCAAAGGTAGTGGTGGCTAAGTGACGCGCACCATAGTCAAACTTTGTGATGTGTGAATAAACGCACGCCGACACCGATCGGGCCGGTGCCACCGATTCGTGCACTACAACGCAAGCGTTCCGGGCGATCAGCAAGTGAGTGCCCAGTTGCCTACAGATTCTCCTAGACTGGTAACTACTCCTTACAGGCACGATTATTTTGTTTGGGTAGGTAGTAATTACCATCCGTACCAAAATAAGCTGGCTGGGTACGAGACTAAGATTCTCTGAATCTCCAATCGACATCGGATCACTGTGCCCGGGACCGCGTCCAAGTTATTCAAAGAGACATTGTATTTCAGCCTCAGGACTTCTTCAAGTTGCCAAGCCGTGAAAAACGAATGTCATGAATTGCGGAAGTTGAACGTGTGGATCGGGGGTGTCAAATATGTACCTGGAATCTGACCTCCGATCATGGAAGACCTCTTGCTTAAGTGGACTGGCGGTTTGGATGTTGTTTGATCTTAGAAGCAAGTGCGGCTGGGAGCTGAGAACGAACCAGAGTGGGTTGGACAGTGGTCGATGAATTGGATGGTACGTTCGGTGGCGGCATCCAGCGTCTGTGAATCTCTTTTCTCCTCCTCTCATACCTATCAGGAGGAATAGGATGAGATGATACCGCGGCGGCGTATGTCGAGAACGAGGGGCGGGCAAGGCTAGGAGTTGAGGACCAACCAAAGTAGGATGAATAGTTGACGGTTTTACCTGTCCGTTCGTTGGATGTGTTTGATGGTGGCATCCGACGTTCGCGAAACCGTCCTCGCTCCCACCCATCCCCATCTTGCTGAATAGGAGTGACTGTTTGAGGCAACCTGGTGGCACCGTTTGTCGAGAACGATGTACGAGCACGACCAGGAGGTGGGAACGAAGCAAAGTTGGGTGCATAGTTGACAGGTTTGCCTGTCGGTGGGTTGGCCATTGCGTCTGATGATGGTATCCAACGTTCGTAAATCGGTTCTTGCCTCCACCTGTCCTCATCTGACTCAGACCCATCCTCATCTAGCTCAGACCGATCCTCATCTAGCTCATCCTCATATAGCTCAGACCCGTCCTCATCTAGCTCCAACTCGTCCTCATCTGACTCCCACTCGTCGTCCGGCCCCCACACGTCATTATCTGGCTGAATAGGTGTGGTCATTTGAGGTAACGTCGCAGCGGCCTTTGGGTAGTGGGTGGTTTTGCCCATTGGCAGGATGTACGTCACGTCTGGCGCCGGCAACCATCGTTCGTAAATCATTTCTCGTGGCCTCTCCTGGTCATCGGAGCTCGGTCGATTGATAATTTGAGGGGGCGTCGTAGAATGTCTTGAGGGTGAGACGGAGATAGTCCGTGGTCTTGATAGGGGAATTGGGGACGTAGCACGTAAGCGAGACTGACAGCATCGACGCTTTCGTTGAAGTCTGAGACCTAATTGATGGTGCCGTCGTGCGTGCGGGGGTCGTCGATTTTTGGACTCCAGCAGCAGAAGCGGAGGCACTTCGAGAACGAAGAGATGCGAAGCGCGGCAGCACGGGGGGGATAGCTGGTTCTTTGTATGAGGATGCTGCAGATGAAGAAACTGTTTGGTGACGTTCACTTGATCTAGTTGAAGCGGCAGTGCTGGGGCGGGCAGGTAAATTTGTAGCCCGAGAGTAAGCGGACTTAAGGGTACAGCGGGTAAGCTCTGCTCGAAGAGCCTGGCATTCTTGCACTTTTTGGGTATAGAGTGCTTGCTTAAACAAAAAGAAACATGGTGAGCGACGTGAATAACATCCTTCAAGCCACAACATACTTGTCTAGAAGAGTACGTCAGTCAAAATCAAAGTGCTATCATGATGGTGCACTTCAAGGTTACGTACTGCTTTAGGTTGGTTTCTAACTTGCTGACCTTCAATTCCATGTCGTCTAGCTTCCCTTTTAGGATGGCCTCAACTCCCTTTGCCGTCTTCGTAGCTTCCGAATGAGCGATGTGATTCGTCAAAATGGTCTTAAGCAGCACAGCACTTGATGATAATGAATATGACTGCACTCAAAGTTAGCGGAACCGCAAGTACTTGAATTGTCAGAAAAAAAACATTACCTGGACGTTGGAATATTCGCCATTAGTCAACCACTCTTCTAGCTCCTTGTAAAGAGTCGAAACCTCTTCCACTGAACATTCTCTTGCGACTACCTTGGCCACCTTATCCTCCAATCTACGAGCCTCTGCACGTATGCGCAAGAAACTCGGCTCGACTAAGGAAGACAAATCTTCCCCTCGTGATGGGGAGCGGTGGTGAAGAGCCTCGTTGAGGTCACCTTGCCACCGAGGAGTAACCCCTCCGCTCCCTGGAAAGTTTATGTGTAGCAAATGCACATCACCACAAATGAAATGCTCGGAGCAGAAAGGGCAGGCAGCTTGGAGACGAGGCGATGTCTTTTGTACAATTTTATTACAGCAACTCCAGCAGAAAATGTGACCTAAAAACTTGCAGCGTTAGAAAATTTGATGACTGCAGATCTAATTTTTTTGAGAGCTCACCGCATGGAATGGAATTAGGAACACAATGCGGATTGTACTCTTCTGCGCACACATCGCAAACCGAACCAGGACTAAGCGTGAGCATGATCAAGGTCAACCCGATGAAACCCTTGCCAGGTTTGCCAGACAGAGAGCTATTGACGAGGAATAGTGCCTATCGTGGTGGTGGATAAATGATAGCATGAAATCTCGCTATCATGGCACCTGACAGCAATTACAAAATATAGTGCACTGCACGCACAGCAACTCAAGTCACTCGACCAGCTCGGCGTCGGACTTCGCATACAACTTACCTAATAGAGGCTTGCGATGCTTAGTACCCGGCGGCCGGCGCTCGCAGCGCGGCATGTTGTGCGGACTAGTCAATAACGTCAAGGAGTCTAGGTTAGACAGTATAAGGACATTGAGACTTGAAACCCTCTGTCCGAACAGACCGTGACGATAACTCCAGCACTGAACGTCTCGCAAAGTCGGCATTTCCGTTTTGCTGTCGTACAAGTTTGTAGTATGGATGCAACCAGTTAACCCTTGTCGTCGAGTTGTCGTCAAGACTGTCCTAGATGAGACAAAAAAATGAGATTCTGACGAGAACGAAGTAATGTATATGGATCGAAACAGACGGCGAGGAGCACTGCAACTTTTAGCAACTTATGTAAAAAATTGACGTATTAATCGTTCAGGGAGAAAGATAAAGCTAAACGCCCAGCCAAACTCCGCCACTATTATTAGTTGCGCTAACACGCCTGAAAGGTGCGGAGACCTGTAGGACTGAAACCGAATACGCATACATAGTGATTGAGACATCCTCAGTCTACGTTGTTCGGCGGTTTCTGACTAAGTCAAACCCAATCGTAAATCCTGCCTGTCCTGCCCGAGGAAAAATCCTCAAATCGCCGACTTATAATTTAATCAGGAACAATCGCAAACTTACCAGGGGGGGCAGTGATAGAAGAAGGTAAATGAAGTCCGCGCCGTAGCAGCATGCACTGAGCCAACAAAACCTTGTATAAGCGCCTTCATGAGTTGGGAATTGCTTACCACACACACACGATCCACGCCGTAATACATCCCAAAAGTACGCTGCTCTCGTCAACTCGAGATGCTACTGATCATCTTGTTCCCTGCATAGGTCAACGCGACATGTTACTAGGAGTGTCTCAAGAAGCGCACCCCACCACAAGAGTATCCGCGGATCGGATGATGCAAGAGCGATCGGCGCCTACGTGGACGATGCGAAGTCACACTGATTCATTGTTGGCGGTTGCGTTCTTCAAAGACGGCCGACGAGTCGTTACCGCTTCACACGACAAAACCCTGCGAATTTGTGATATGCAGAGAAGATCACTAGTAGGAGGGCCATTCGAGGGTCACAAGGACTATGTGCGATCGGTCGCAGTATCGCCAGACGACAAGCAAATTGCGAGCAGCGGAGATGATAAAGCCATCATCGTCTGGGACGTTGAGAGCAAACAGATGATATTCGATCCACTGGAAAAGCATACAGGCTGGGTGTTGTCGGTGTGTTTCTCACCTGATGGAAAGAGACTCGCCAGCGGATCGCATGATAAAACAGTTGTCGTATGGGATGCCAAGACTGGCGCCATCCTTGTAACGATTGACGGTCATAATAATTCGGTCTGGAGTGTTGCATTCAGCCCAGATGGGCTAAAACTAGCCTCCGGGTCAGCGGACCATTCCATCCGGATTTGGCGCTCCGACAATGCCGAGCTTCTTCTCAAAATCGACGCTCACCAGCATTGGATTCGAAGCGTCGTGTGGTCGCCTGACGGTCAGCAACTTGTTTCTGCGTCGTTCGACAAAACAGTCAGATTTTGGAGCTCAGATGATGGAGCCCAGATCGGTCAACCTTGCACTGGTCACGCTTACCACTCGCTCGCCATATCTTCTGACGGTTCCTTCATTGCCACTGCCTCGGATGACAAGACTTTACGGCTTTGGAGCACAAAGACACACAAGTTGATAGGACAGGTACTCGAGCACACTGCCTGGGTTCGCTGTGTTGCAATTTCTCCCAATGGAGAGGTGCTTGTGAGTGGTGATGGTGAAGGGAAGGTGTTGCTCTGCTCTGTCAAGAATATGCTCGAGCAATACAACGCAGAGGAAGGGATAATGGAAAATGAAGAAGCACGGCAACAACAACTCCCATTCAGTGAGGCTCAGGTATGCTTATGCCCATTATTGTTTCGCTCTTCCATTTATCTACATTACTCGGCGTGGTGGCGAATAGCTGCGCAGTTACGAGAGAAATGAAGAGTTCCTTGGCAATCACGGCAGTCCGAGTAATCATTCCTCGGAAATTGACGAAGGCTCTGACATTGACGACGTACACTCATTATTTGACGTGAGTTGTTTGCCTTCCATACGTTCATTTATGACGGAATGTGAACTTACTTTGTATAGATCCTTACTATACGGGCGACGCTCTGCGATGCATCCATTACTGGTATCCTAGATACCGCTGAAGAGCTGCTGACTCAAGAGATTGACGCGGGTGATAACAACCACGAATCCTATGCTAATCGCTCAGTTGTAAGGGCACGACGTGCCGAGTGGAAGTATGCACTCCAAGACGCAGTCAAGGTCAGATAGTCTACTTAATGAAGCCAGGTTGACTCAGCTCTATCTCACAGTCAATTGCGATCCAGCCTTCCTTATTGGGCTACATTTCCAAGGCTATCGCCCTCTGCGGCAATGGGCAGCTCTGGGGCGCGATGGAAGCTTTCGACCTCGCTTTCATATTCTGCAACCGTGATCCGATTATAGTTGATCTCTTACTATTGATCAAGGTATTTTTATTGCTGTTTCCATAGTTTTTTAGTCATACTAAAACTTTAATGTCATTTTGCCCAGGCTGTCTCACTTTTCAATGCCAATTATCATGATGAGGCGATGCGGCGAATTAAAGACCTGACTACTACTTATCAACACCGAAATAGATTTCCATGCAACGTTATTAATGTGGGTTTGATATTAAACCTTGCAAGTTTTCTCACTTTGAGACTCTCCAGTCATATTTACGTGCACAGCTTGCGATAATTGATTTGAAGAACGGGCAGTACAGCGAAGCCGCTGATCAATTCACGGCCAGTATTACTGGTTTGTTCTTACATCCGACACTTTTAGAACCTAGATTGAAGATATTCACGGTGGTGCGTCACGGCGAAGCTGTTGATGACACTTTTGATTGATCAAGCGCACTACACAGCTTTTCGGTTGGGATTTGGATTCGTTATGGGAAACTATCAGTCAAAGACGGTGTGATGCGTTCCTCCTCGCTGGTCAGGTGATCGAAGCAGTCGAATGTTTTCAATATATGATGAACATGGTTAACGAAGCTGGGAAGGGCAGCTGCATCGAATGGTCTACCAGTAAGTGTTTTAAGATAAAATAAAATGAACATTGATATTCATAGTGGTACTGATTAGCCTTCAGGCTAGACTGCACTGCGCACTGCGTCGCAAAGGCACACGAGGCTGTTACTGCGAGCAATTATGAGATGGCCGTCTCATTGTATACGGCCGCGATTGCGCTGGATCCTACGAGGACATCCCTTTTTGCGCACCGTAGTAAGGTAAATTTAGAACTAAAGCTCTATGCGGAGGCCCTTCAGGATGCGGAAAAGGTGTGGATGATATCCATTGTTATTCTAGTAGCTGTGCTAATACCACCGATGTGCAGGTCATTGAACTCGACCCGTCGTCATACCTTGGTTACGAAATGAAACATGTAGCACTCTACGAGGCCCAACATTATGGCGAAGCAATTGAGGCCTTTGAGATGATGCTCTCCAAGTTGGACTGCGGTCCCGATACTGAGAAACAAAGCAAGCTCCACATTACTCACGTGTCAATGGGAAGATCATTAACTTGTTTTCCAGAGCTGCGTTGGCAATATATCAGTCCATCTAAAGCAAAGGACGCCATTCGACAAGCCGTTCACGTTCGACTTGAAAATGCTCCACTTCGTCTACTCAACACCTCTACTGGGCGTTTATGCAACCTAGAGACGCAGACTCATACTTTCGTGGAAAGCACAGAATACAAGCAGCTTTTATATTCATTGATGATCCGTGCACCCCTCCAAACGGAGCTCATCACAGAAGCGGTCAGGAAGTACTTCAGTCGGGTCATGTTATCGCACAGGTGGGAACAGAAGGAGCCACTGCTGCACGACATCCAGGACAAGGTCGTGTACGATTTGAATCCTGTCGGAGCCATGGTCAAGTTGCAGACATTCTGCAAAACTGCTCGTGATGCGGGGTATCGCTGGGCGTGGAGCGATACCTGCTGCATCGACCAGAATAACAATGTCGAGCTTCAACGATCGGTGAACTCTATGTTTGTTTGGTATCGTCAGTCAGCTCTTACGATCGTCTATCTGTCGGACGTCCCGTCCTCAGCAAAGTCTGGCGCACTGGCAAAGAGCGCTTGGAACACACGAGGATGGACTATTCAGGAATTCTTGGCTTCCGTAGTTGTTCTCTTCTACCGAGCAGACTGGACCCTATATCTCGACGACAACTCTCCTAACCACAAGAAGTCCGCCACTATCATGCAGGAGCTGCAGATTTCAACAGGCATAGATGCATCGTCCCTTGTCACCTTCCGTTCGGGCATGAGAGGCGCGCGCGAGAAACTCCAATGGGCATCAAGCCGTGTGACTACATTGCAGGAAGACATCGCATATTCATTGTTTGGCATCTTCGGCATCCACCTACCCATCATCTACGGCGAAACGAAACAAAATGCGCTCGGGCGGCTCATACAGGAGATCGTCGCCCAGTCGGGCGACATTACCGCCCTGGACTGGATCGGGAAATCATCCCGGTTCAATAGCTGTCTCCCAGCCGACATTACCTCGTATAAAGCCCCGCCATGCATATTGACATCTTTACCGGAAGATGAGATGCAAATGTCCGTCTCCAGGCTGCAAGATGTTGTCCCTGTGGAGTCAGCTACGAAACTCTATACCCTCCTTGACAACCTCAGCGCTCCTCGTTTTGCGAACTCCAGACTGCAACTGCCTTGCATCGCATTCCCTGTCACAGATGTCAGAAGGAGGGATCAGGGGAAATATTTCACTTATTTTGTAAAGGCAGACGGGCTTCAAGACCTTGTGATCACCACAGAGGATAAACTGACTCAATTCTCGCGCACAAGGCCCATTCCGCAGTCATTCCTGCTCGTCCGCCCGTGGAATCGTTATGACCCCGGGCTACTTGACTTTGAGGATGATATGTCCATCAAAACAATGTCTATGCCCTGGTCAATGTCAGATCGTTCACTGAGCGGTTCTCCTGACAAATATGAAGAAAGTGTTGATTCAGAGTTGCCCTTACGAGCGGTACGATTGACGGTTCGTCTCGGGCAGGCTTTTGGCGCATTTTTGCTAGCGCAGCAGCGTGGTGGGGAGTACAGGAGAATCGCTTCGGATCACAATATCATGGCACGGGTCAAGGACATAACTGCTGTTGATGACATGAACATCAGAACGCTAGAGATATTGTAGCTAGTGCATGGATTTTGAAGTCTGGACAATGACAACTATGATCGTATGAGACACCGAGGCGTTGTTTGGTGTTTGTTTGTCCCTGATGCTCCCAATACCGTGACTTGTTTGTACCCTTGTCGCTCCCACCCGGGGCCCACAGCGGTCATTCATCGATTGACCATCCTTGCAAATGCTCATGTCAACTTTCGCAATTAGCTCTGATGCGAGTTCGAGGACTAAAGGCCGCAAGATCACTCAGGCTCTGACGTCAGTGGGAAGAATTCTGTTGACAATATTAGCACATATACGCACAGATACCCTTCCCTGCAAGCTGGGTTAACCGATCAGTACCCTCATGACTGGCAGAGGACGTCATTCTAGGAGCCGGCATGTTTGCAAATAGTTTGCTGACTGCTCCAGGGTCTCATACGGCAGAGCCGGGGCTGGCCGCTGTTTCTGCCTTTTTGGATTTTTTCTAAGCAGGGAGAGCAGCCCTCATACAGCCCTTCGGTGCTCTTTTACTAGCGCAGCACCGTGGAGTGGAGTACAAGAGGATCACACTGATATCGTACGAGTCGGAGATATGAATCGTGTTCATGGCACGATGAACGCTAGGACATCACATTGTAATCGCATGCATTTTGAAGATATCGAATCTAACACGTTTTCATTCATACCCAGCATGGGTTGATATATGTGCCATACTGCGTGCTAACTTACAACAGGAAAGAAAACCATCATGACTGTGTCATTGAATCGTTGCTGAGGGCAACACCAAGAAGACGTTGTCTACCCCCATCGCCCCAGTCACTTATCATTGTCAGTGGGTTTACTCAGCTTCTATCCGTAATAACTCATCTCTCCAGGAAGGTCATGCTCGTTCACCTTTAGAAATCCGCAGCAAGTGTGTGCATCGATGGCTGCAAGATCCTTTGCACCTTCTGACGTCAGGTTGTCGACAATAGCACGTATGCTACCGAGCTCTTGGCATCTGAGGCCGAGTTACCTCATGGAGCACAGTGTCATCGAAGTATTTTTACTAGCATTCCTCAACATCCAATATTCTATTGCGCCGGTCATGGATACTCAATATGTGCCTGAGGACCAGGAAGGGCGCAGCTCATCGGTTGCAAGTTCTCAAGTTGAGCCGGAATGTATTTGACATGTCGGGTCAACACTACTCCGGTTGAAATTATCTGGAAAACGCCAGTGTCGGGATCTAGCGACAATGGGACGACCAGCAAGATTATGGATTTCGGCCGCCGTCATCGTTTTTCGCTTCAGGTAACAGAGGTGGACGCCCTCGAATATTTGCCAGGCGGAAATGCTACTTCTCATGCGACACAACGCAATACCAATACCTGATCCAGAATTAGAAAGCCAGGTCAATGGTAAAGAAGGGGGAGCAACTCAAATCCCAATAGAGCGCCATTCCCCAACAGATAACACCAAAAATCGGGGAACCATGTAATTGTAACTAAAAGGCATCGACTCCGTCATGTGAACAGTAAGTTCATTTCCGCTATTAATCCGTCACCTCGAATTAAAGTTTGCGGTCCAACAAATCGTAGATATCATTTGTCGGTCAGAACGACTTCCTTTCTCAGAGAGCCCCGTTGACTATACCGTACATTGTGAGACTAGAACTATTTTCTGTTGCCACACAATTTTACCGCCTTTCCAAAAATAAAAAACAAAGAAGTTGAATTTCCTCTAGATATTCATCATGTCGTTAGCAAAAGCCGCCCACCTTCAAGCCGAAACAAAGTTCACCGCCGAAAATGAAGCGTTACACACACTTCTTGCCCCTGGTCGGTCGAGACTGCTAGGCACGCTGGAAGACTTTTCGAATATCCTCTTCGCGAAGCTCGCAATGCAGCGGTCCGGTGCGTGGCCCGTGCCGTCATGTTCCTTCCACGGATCCAAGCGGTACTTGCGTGGAACGACAAGGAGCACACCAAGAGATGGGATACAAAACTAATAATGGCCAGAGGTCGACGTCATGCGCGTATCAGGAATGATGCGTGTTTATTCCCTGATTTTAGTCACGTCCGTGCCGCAGCCATATGTTGGATAAGATAAGTCCCACTTGCCGCGTTTTCTGGACGTATTTCGCGAGAATGATTGGGGACGGGAGATTACTGGAGACGGCAGTACTAGCCGCGCAGGTCCTTCATGATGCGTTTCTTTTTCCAATTGGGTGCTTCCCAGGTTCTCTCACTCCTAAACTCCGTAGCTGCACTTGATGTTGGAGGCGCGGAGGCGAAGTTCATTTGGGGTAGTCAGTCACGGTGGGTGAAGTACTGCCGTTGCTTTCCGAGGGCACAATAACAGGTGTTGTAGGGAAGTTGGTCGTTGGGTGAACCCCTGAGGAAAAGGTTGCACGCGTGCGCGAACAACTTCAGATAGAACGCATCATGGATGCCACGAGCTTGCGATGAGGCTTTCAGGGATCTTTCCACCCAATCACCTATCTATTCGTTCTCCACGTATAATATTCTGGAAGCACATATATTCATGTACAGTGGCATCGGCCTATACATAGCATTCTATAGAGCTAGTTATATGATGGATCGCTATCCTTGTGATTGAGATCATGCCCCGGAGATGAAGCATGGGTGGGGTAAGATATTAAGTTTCATGATGTGGTAAGTACCTTAGTAGTGCACGATGGTGCTGCCCTACCTTGTTGTGAGATCAGGCCGCACCTAGACCTGGGGATGAACAACATAAAGTTAGCTTCAGCATGTAAATCTGCGATAGACGCTCGCTAGGGGGGCTAAACAATGCCCCCGTATGGTGTTGGCGAAAGAGGTCACCCTCGGTATAAAACGTGCGACCCGCCGATAAGTCGCTAGATCTCCTTAATTGACGATGGGAAGAGTGGTGACCCGTTCTACTCATGGCATCACGTTCAGTTAACTTCGAAGAAAGTATGAATTAGGAGAAGGACTCCAATACCTTGATCGGGAGGTATCAGGAGACGCGTTAGTCGAAGGGCAGAGCAAACTCCGTAACGTGCGATCCCGTGTGCGTTTGTGATTAGTGGACGCCAGCTTACTATAGCTATGATCGGGCTGCGCCGATGGCAGTTTGTCGAGGGAATGAGTCGATACCGCAGCCGCTGGATCCGCCAGGCACTGCGGGAAGACTGCAGAGCATTGCAAGCGCTCCGGACGATCTGTGCGCGGGTACGCAGTTCCTTACAGATCCTCCGAATCGATATCGGATCAGTGTGCCTGGGACCGAGTGAGAGCTGTGCAACGACGAGATCTCGTGTTTCAGCCTCGTTATATCTTCTTGACAACGCCGGATCGCGGAAGACGGGACCTTGACCAACGGAATGGCACACCTTGCATTCGCATCCCGCCACAAGCTCCACGATGAGATTGTGATAACTTTAAAAAACGCATCAGAGAATGACAGCATGGCCTAGGGCGTGTTCGAAGAAGAGCCTGCTATCCACTATCCGAATCCGATAATCGATGGTCGGCAAGAAAGGAAACATATCGCAAGTCGAACGTGTGCGTGTGTGCAGAGGATTATTGTCGTGTAATAATCAGTCGATTTTTGGCTTTTCGATACTTTATTTCGAAATTTGGGACAAACCTGTAGGTCCGGCGTGTCAAGCATGTACCGATAGACATCTTCCGACTTCCGATAACGGTGGATAGTCTCGTGAACAGCTCGTGAGATGGCCTGATGTGGGCAACTTTGCTTTGCTGCCATTTGGTAGTTTGGTCATTGTCTTGCTCCGTCCGAGGCCAGGAAGGATGCCATCTACGGCCGCTATGACTCGGATGGTTGATTGTCATGGAAGAGCACAGCGAAGTGCGCCACCTGATCAGGCGAAACTACCCATGGATACATCAGTGGAGTCATATGTGGACCTGGATTGTGGGTATTTACGCTGCTGCGTAACACAGGCGGGAATAAGCATCAGTCATACACCGTTGATGAGCGGGTGAATCCCGCCGGGCGGGAACACGTGTTTCGCACACCAGATATGTTATATGACCTGAAATGGGTAAAAGTGTGAGATATAAAGGGTTCCGACTGATATTTTTGCCAATAGCTAGGCGGCATTGGCACAAAAAGGCTGTGAGTTCCTTCGGCAAGTTTCGTACGATAGCATTGGCTGTTCTTCTAGTCGAGTCATGCTTTGAAAGCCACCAGGACAAAGGGCGAAATACCCTAAGCCCTAACCCTAAATTAGAACTTGTCCATTGCATAATGGAAGCACAATTATTATTCATCCAAAATTTGTGATTTGTGATCCTGAAAGAAATACCTAGAACATGAGGAGGCTCTCTAGAAAATGTCATGGAACCTGCAGATGCAGCTTGTAGATGAAATTAACATATTATGAAGACGGCGTGTTTAGTGATTATGGCTAGATGGCAGAAGAAAATATGATTTGTTTGGCTATCAAGCCATGCGTGCAGTGCATTGTTTGGCTACTTTTGGTGACTTGCCGTCATTCTGAGATTTTTCACTTCATGCTATTTATCCACCACCAGGTCAAGCGATACCCCTTGTCAAAAGCTTTCTAACTAGCAAACCTGGCAAGGGTTTTATCGTCTTGACCTCATGCTCACGCTTAGTCCTGGTTCAGTCTGCGATGTGTGCGCAGAAGAGTACGGTCCGCACTGTGTTCCTCACTCAATTCCTTGCGGTGAGCTCTCAATCTTTTGATGATGTGGGAATTTTTTTTAACTCGAGTCATAAATCTTTCTATCCCGCAGGTCATGTCCTCTGCTCTAGTTGCTGCCATAAAATCGTAGAAAAGACATTGCCTCGTCTTCAGCCCGTCTGTCCGTTCTGTCGGGATCATTTCACTAGCGAGGATGTGCGTTTGATCCGCATCGACTTCTCAGCGAGTGGATGGGCCACTCGGCGGCGGGGTGGCCTCACTGAGGCTCTTGACATTGCTGACCGCTCCGCGCCACGACGGGAAGATCGTTTTCCCTTCGTTGAGCCGGGCTCCTCGCGTACCCGCGCAGAAGCTCGTAGGCTGGAGGATAAAGTAGCCAAAGTAGCTGCTAAAAAATGCTCAGTGGAAGAGGTTTCGACTCTACACAACGAGCTACAAGACTGGTTGACTCATGACGAGAAATCTAACGACCAGGTAAATTTTTTCATCACTATTCAATGTTTGTCGTCCGGCTAACTTTTGCGTGCAGTTGAACTCTTCTTTATCCTTGAGTGCTGCGCTGCTCAGGGCGATTTTGATGAATCATTTCGCTCATTCGGAAGCCACCAAATTGGCAAAGGGAGTCGAGGCTACCCTAAAAGGGAAGCTAGACGACGCAGAATCATCTGTCACCAAGCTAGAAGCCGATCTAAAGCAGTACGTAAATTTTTGATATATACGTTTTTGCTTGGCTGACTATTCTTCTAGACAAGTACGTTATGGTTTGAAGGATGTTTTACGCCGCTGACCTTGTCTTCTTTTGTTATAGCAAGCCCTTCACAACCAAAAAGTACAAGAATGCCAGGCTCTTCGAGCAGAGCTTAGCCGTTTCACTCTTAAGTCCGCATCATCTCAAGCCACAACGTCACCTGTCCGTCCCAGCACCGCCGCTCCAACTGGATTAAGCGAGCGGCGCCAATCGGTTTCCTCATCCGCGGCATCTACGTACAACGTACCAGCAATGCCATCGATGCTTTCGCGCTTCGCGGCTACTCATTCTCGAAGTACGTCCGCATCTGTGTCAGGAGGGTCAAGACCAACGACCCCCGCACGGATGACGACACCATCGATTAGGTCTGAGACCCCAACGCAAGCGTCGATGCTGTCAGCGTCTCGTTTACGTGCTACGTCCCCAATCCCCCCTTCCAGACCGCGGACTATCTCCGTTTCCGCGTCGTCGCCCCAAAAAATAACTCGTTCGCACTCTGATGAGCAGGAGAGGGAACGAGAACGGATTCACGAACGTTGGATGCCGTCGCCGAATGTGGCATACAGCCCGCCGACTGGCAAAACTATCAACTATCCACCCTATTTTGGTTCGTCTGCAGCTCCAGGCCGTGCCCGCTCCTCGTTCTCAACAAACGCTGCTTAAAAATTCTCGTTTTCCTTTTTTTTTTCCTTTTTGGATTTGTTTTTGCTTGGTTTCAGTCTAGCGGTCCCAGGACTACTACTCTACTTGTCTCATATTGCTATCTGTCGCCTAGTTCTCGTATCCATCTGACTTGACTCTTTTCCATTTCTCTCGCATCTTTGTCATCTGCATCTCATCATTGGCGCTGCTCCTTATACTAATGCTTTATTTCTCTGTATCGTATCCATTTCGCTTTCTTGACAGCATTTGGCTTTGGCAGGATTTCTGAGCCATACCCGTTTTCGTTCGTGTTACTTATTTCCTTTGAACATTTCAACCCTTAATTAAGGAGCGCGTTTTTATGTGCGTTTGATTGCACAGCATACACTCTTCGTAGCATTGCGTCGTTCCGCTTTCATTGTCATTAGCGTTCGTTGCTCTCGTCCCGCTTCCATTTGATCTGCTCCTCGTCGATTCCCCCTTGCTTCCAGAACTTGACCGTTGAACCTATATTCTTTCTCCTCCGTATCCCACTTCCCCCTGCCATTCCCAGCCGTCGTGCTCTCAGATATACCGTCTCGCTATCAGTTAGTTGTTTCTTACGATAAGTTTGCGAATTTTAGTTTTCGCAGACTCCCTTATGGGATTTGATGATTCTCAGTACTTACACAGTAGTAGTACATGATCTTTGTGACGCTTTACCTAGTATTTTTGAATGACAATTGTAGCGTTCTCATTCGCACTGCGGTCGTTGATTTGATATTGTTTGATCGAAATGTGAAACTCAAAACGCTTCAACACTCCGCGGATAAGTCTGAATTGTTTTAAACATTGCGGCAGTGTGCACGTAAAGTGCAAAGCTCCACAAGTCCATGGTTATAATCACATGCACTGACTCGAGTTGCGGACGCCGCGTATCTCGTGCTACCACAGCTTTACTTTACTCCGTGAGCTAAACGTCGCGTCAACGCTTATCATCCTGCGAATTCGGAACAGTACGTTGACGACTTCCAACGCGCGGATATTTGTTTTCGAACGATATTCGAGTCCCTGAAGTGGCTGCAGCGTGTAAAACACGCTGCCTTCCGAAAGAGGTACAGCGCCGATGCAACGAGGCTACGAGGGCTTGCGCATCATCGGCCTAACTGCGCATGGGCCACAAACCCAGCTGAATCTCTCGTCGGATATTACGCGAGAGATTTTTTCGATGGTTAAGCGTGAACTCAAAACGGAGCTCTTGCAACGTTGTAAACGCATGCGGGGTAGCTGAGTTACGGTCTGGCGTTATCGTGTTCTGTTCTCCGCCGCGTATCGTATGTGGTTTGTGACGTGAGCCCTGAAACGCGATTTGTGGATGGTGCGGATGATAGGGGACCTTGAAGGAGGTTTGACGTAAATTCTGATTAGTGTCTTGGTTCCTTTGGCTTTTCCTTTTGAAAGACTGGTCGATCGTCGATCGGTTTGATTGTAGTTGGGCCCACGGTGTGATGAGCATAGGAGGTGTTGGCTCCTTCGAGGGACGTGCTCAGGCGAAGCGTTCTTGGCCCTAATACGAGGAAACGACTATCTTCTTTCGATAGGCTGACCAATGTCGCAAGTCCGCTTCTATCTTTGATACGAATCTGATAGGGTAGGCTGTGCTCGATTAGGACATCAAGTCGCCGTGCTCGTCGTATCGCAATCATTATCTCGTCCAGCATATCATTCCATAGGTTATTGATACATAGACTACATATTCACTCGAGTAAAAAAGGTTCAAAGCTAAGGGTGACTAGCAGGGACCTGGCACGACGGATTAAAGGCAGCACACAAAACAAATCGAACGATACTTACGCTGCTCAAGCCCAACGCAGATGCAATCTTGCTGTATTCCGCGCTCGTGGGGGTCACGGTGCCCGCGCAAACTGTGTATTATCAGTCAACACATCCGATCGAGGAACGGCAGTGTCTTGACGTACTCTGGGATATGCGGCCTTGGTCGCTCTGAGTTGCGATAGCGAGCTGCTGTGCGTTCATGCCTGATCGAGGGTCATGATGTTCTATAGTGATCGAATATGTACAAGGACATGCGCACCCTTTTTGGCGAGAGCGCTGGAGAAGGCATTGCATACGGGCATGGTGAATGAGTAGAGGATGATGATTAGATGCAAGTTGGAGGATAAGAGTCCCTGACCCGTTTGATCAGTTTATATATGTCACAGTGACAGCTTGACAGGTCAACTGATCATCATCATGGACCGTAAATAGGACACCGTATCAGGGATACTTGGCTGTCCCTGCCGAGAAGAGTATCTGATAAGGCTTCTGAGGAACTTCCACTCACAATTGAGAGAAACAGCGGACGTGATACTAATAGGGCATATTTCATGATATCATTCTGCTACCCGCAAGGTCCGACAACACGTAAAATTAACGCAGCCTATCGATCCCCATCTTTCTATTAACACGCAGACAGCCTCGCGTGCGAGTCGTAATAGGAGCGCCCACATTGAGATCATACTACATACTACGCATTGATGGATACTACTGGCCATCGACTTCCATCTTCTCATCTTCCAAACTTCGCTGTGAATTTGAGGAAGTTTCATAGTCGTGTGGGTCATTTCAATTTTCAGGTGAAGGCATGAAGGACAACTACACGATCCTTGTTGCGTGCAAATTAATTTGAATTTCGCGTATTTGTTCATATTTGCTCAGTTCCAAATAGCCCGCTAAACCTTGCTTCAGATTCCTCGACTCCAAGGCCCGTATCGCTGAATATACCTCAAGCCCATCAAAATGGTGCGTATATCATTCCGTACACCGTCCTGTGATGTTTTATGCCATCAATTCGAGCACCATTTCGCAATTTTGGCCTGTCATTCAGATGGATTGCAAGCTGACTTTTGGATGCACAGGCCCCGAAAAAAACCAAGGTCGCCAAAGAAGATAACACCGTCTCGCTCGGTCCTCAGGTCGCTGAAGGAGAGCTCGTCTTCGGTGTCGCACACATCTACGCCTCTTTCAACGACACATTCGTCCATGTCACCGATCTTTCCGGCAAGGAGACCATCTCCCGTGTCACTGGTACGCGCCACTCGCTATCTCGTATAGATCTTTAGCTACATGATGATCGTGAATAGGTGGCATGAAAGTGAAGGCTGATCGCGACGAGTCGTCCCCGTACGCCGCTATGTTGGCTGCTCAAGACGTTGCCACGCGCTGCCGCGAGGTCGGCATCACTGCCCTCCACATCAAGCTCCGTGCAACCGGTGGTACGGGCACCAAGACCCCCGGCCCCGGTGCACAGAGCGCCCTCCGTGCTCTTGCTCGCGCAGGCATGCGCATCGGGCGTATCGAGGACGTCACCCCTGTCCCTACCGACTCCACCAGGCGCAAGGTACGCACTCTCACCCGTTCCGAGGGAACGTCGTCATTAATCTTTCCAACAGGGTGGTCGTCGTGGTCGTCGTCTGTGATCTCCATCTTCATGTTATTCCTACGAGATTTCCGAAGAGCCAAAAATTGCTATGCATGTAATCGGAGTTACAAATGATATGTCGCCGTTCGACGCGCATCAGGTTTTTTTGCCTGCCCCGCGGTCGTTCACCTGTTTGTGTTCTCTAGTAATGTGCTGTCAACGTCTTTTGTGCTTCGTATCGACGCGTGAGCGCTGAGCGTGAAAATCATGTGAAAGTTGACTAGGTTTTTGAGCTTCCGCTTTATGTAATGGTTTTTCTGCCTGTTCTTACCATCAACATTTTGTGACAATGCTGTACCTCCTCAGCCTGAAGTTATCGAACGCGAAGCAACGGAACTCATGATTGTGTATAGATTTCTGCGGACTGGATTATGTCTGGGTTCTGTTCCGAGGTCTGCCACGTCACCGTCAGGAGGTACCACGGGAGGGACCGGTGACCACGTACGTTCCCAAATTCCCGTTCATCCATGTAGCAAACTTATCATCCAGTGCTGCGACTCGTGTCGACAAGCTCTCCCTAATCAGTTCCCTTTTTACAACTTGAATCGTTCTAACGACCGGTGTCGCAGCGGCAGCGATCGCATTGTCGTAGAGCACGCTACTGAGCGGGGTCATCTCTTTTCAAAAACCATATATCCGGCGCTCTGCTCACTTCCTCCTCGTTCATTGTAACCCCGATAGCTCTTGAACGCCATTCCCGCGAACCGTAACAGCATTCCCGCGAACCGTAACAGCTCGCAAGCAGACTTGTTTTGCCACGCCTCCGTCGCTCTCGCAGCTGGCGAGGTTTTCTGTGTATCCCCGAATGAACGTCGTACACAGAGCCCCGAATCGTGCAAGTGAAGGACGATGCGGCGCGGGCTGTGGTGGAGTACGCTAGAGTCATGAATTTGTCCGGGAAGGACTCAGGTAAGGAGTTGGTCATTTTTCCTGCAGCGATAGTCTATACAGACAAGTCAAAGCATCAGAGCAGAGTAAGTTTCAAAGCAGTGAGCTGTAGGTCTGTGTCAGGTACTTACCTCGGCTACCGTTGAGTGGGACATTTGAGCAGGACATGCAGGCAAACCAATGGTGGTGGATGAATGCGCAGCAAGACTGGATCTGGAGAGCGCTGAGAGTATGCGTTTTTTGGTCAAAGAGATGACTGTCGCGATTGATTCGCAGCTCGAGCACTTGACTGCGAATGCTCCTGACTGGTGCGTGTCCTTCTATCACGAAAACACTTTGTGCGGCTTGTGCAGCGAGCATGGTGTTTTGGAAGAACCAGGATCGCATCTCGCTTCACAGATTTGTCGATATCTCTCAAAGGTGAGTTTGATGTATCTTGTACCTCTTGGCCCCAAGGGGTTCCGACGATTGTATCCCATTGTTGCCAAGAAGCGATGAAATGCAAACACGGAAGGCCATTTTGAATAGGTACATTACGCTCCCGCACTTCGCCGGCACTTCTCATCCAACACTGAAAGTTCTCTTCCCATTCGTCAATCCAAATGAAGACTCCTATGAGCCCTCCTCTAGCCATCTCGTATCCACACTAGTACGGTGACACTCCTGTTTCAACTGTGCGCCACCATGTTCCATCCTCATGCCCTTCTCTTCTTCTTAGCATCTGTGGCTCACGTTCCAGGGAGGGTATATTACTAGCTTGTTCACTTCACGGATGCTGACGATACCGAACGAGGAAGAGACCAAGACTCGGTCTAGCATTCACCTTATCCTATGGCCAGCTCACACGAGCATGCGTGAAGCTCGCCGTGAAGTTCACCGATCTAGTCCTTTCCGAATTCGCAAGGGAGCTGTTGCTGTTTTCATCAACAAGATTTCACGATTATTGGCACTGCGCGACTGCCTCGCTGGAAGACAAGGGGTCGTTGAAGAGAGTGCTCGATACTCTCGCCATGACAATTAACGTTGGGTTGACTCGTTTTCTTTGTAAGTGGCACAATGCCCTCGTGTATCGCAAGTGATCAAGGCATGTGATCATTTATGATGCTCATTTTGCGAATAGCGAACTATAGGCAGTAGGTGATCTGGGTCGAGACCGCAGCCATGAATCTAACATCCATATAGATGGAAGCGTTTTCTGACTGCCTTTGGGGCCCCCTTGCTTCCTCCCTATTTTGATCTACCAGATGATCAACTTCTAGCGTATTCAACTCTGCCACTTCCAGTAGAGAATCCGTATATCAAGCAACACGCCGCTGAAGATCCTCCCTACCGTACACTTACAGAGTCATCGGATGGATGGACGCCAGTGTGAAGCTCAACAAGCTGATGTTCGTGTATTCTGATACGTGGATACGTGAGCGTCTCGTACATTTCTTGATTGTCTAATGTATTTACCTTGAAGAGGCTTGGTCGCTCAAAGTTCTGAAAGCATGTTATTGAGAACAAATCAATCTCATCCAAGCGCGACCCAGCCACACAACTCCATCTTCTGACTGATCTCCGTGGGCATCCGCAACACCATCTCCTTATGCAGTTCATTGGCCCTACAGCTCTCTGAACAAAGCACGAACCTCCCAAGCCCTCCCTCCCGTCCTGCGAAGATGCATACCGTCGGCGGTCGCTCAGCACGGAAATAGTACATGGTTGACGAATATGTGTCGATGAGCGTGAACATATGTCCCGGCCCACTCTTCGCTTGTTCCTTCGCATCCTCATATTGCTCGTCTGAGCCTATCCGTCTCGAGAACTGTTCCGGTTTTGAGAACAGCGAACCACTCGGAGTGAAATACATCCTTGGGAAGTGTGCAATGGTACCCCCGTATAAGTGACTTTCTACCGTTTCTCTATCAACCACTCCTTTAACCCCGATCAACCACGGTTGTTTGTTGATTATACGCCCAGATTTGCTATAGAGAAACAGTCGAGGGGAAAAAAACAGGAGGAGGAGTCCGATGCCAATGAGTACGAAGCCTGCGACTCTGCTGGTATTCGGTATAACCCCTAAACCAATGACAATGAACGGCCAGGAGAAATACGGTATGGAACCGACAATCTTCCTCCTCAACGAAAATGTAGTCGCAAATGGGACCTCCGGGAAGTCCTTCCATCTGATGGCTGCCGCCCGACAACCATCCAAAACGAGAGCTCCGTTCTCTGTTACACCAGCGACTTGGATCTCCGGAAGAATATCCCAGAGATTTGCGTCGTATATATCATTGTCAGCGTACCAGCACGCCCCTGGGGTGGTGGTTGAGGGAAACATGGACACCATGCGATCAGCGATACGGTCGATATCGTTGGCCATTGACAACCTCGCGAGTGCGCGTAACTCGTCCTCATCGTGGTTTGGCTGAATACGGTGCTCAAAAAAGCCCATGAGCGCATAAACGTGCTCCGCTTTGTGTGGCTTATACCCCTCGCCGGTGGCAGACCTCTCACCTACCATGTCTGACTTTGGTGGGGGAGGAGGAGGGCCAGAACGTGTTGGAAAACCTGCCATAGCGCGCCTCCATATAGCTTTTTTCAAGAGTGTTAAGCGCTCTAGCCTCTCAAGCGGATCCTTCCCATCAGCATATGCATTGACAATTGCTTGTTCATCTTCGGAGTTCGTATAGGCCAGGTTAGCCAGCTGAAACAGCGACAATGACTCAACCTCTTCCCGATCCCGGAACTTGTAACAAAGCCGAGAGCTCAGGAGGGCTTCTGGAAAAGTCCATACCCGTCCGCCCCAGCCCCTCCAGCACTCGTCCTCTCCAGAGTCAGCTCTCCCGAGCATGATCAAAGTCGTCTCCGCTCTACGGTAGACGTCTGACATGCAGTAAACATCTAGATTCTCCTCTGATGGAGTCTCTCCTAGACACTCCAAGTCGAGCCAGTAGGCATCGAATTGCTGTCCGAGCACCGCCGCACGAACCTCGTCTGTAAACTGTGCCTTTCCTTCCTTCTCACCCAAGCCTCGAGAGTAGACGTCGGTGGCGCGGTAAGAGATGGCGATGTATTTAGTGTGGATGATGATATCGCGATCTACGCATCGAACCCACTCACTCTGGTTTGGGCTGCGGATCATGAGAATTCGAGGGTAACAGGCATGCGTACGAGTATTCATATCAGCTTCCTCTTTAATGCGCGATGAATGCTCCATGCGAGAACGAGCTGCCCATAGCTGACCCTGAAACTGGCGAAGATACGGTTTGTAGTATCCTGCGTTATACGGCGAATCAGTATCATCTTCAGAATCATCACTGGCGTTGAGATAAAGTGCCACGAGAAACCAGATGATTGGCCACAATAGCTTCAGTGCAAACCACACTGATTTTCCGATCCATTCGAAAATAATCCATCCTTTGAAGGGGGAATGGGTTAGCAGCCATATGGCGAGCTTGCTGGTATCGTTGGCGTGATCCTTGAGGGGGACTTCGAATTTGCCAGAGGGTGTGACAGCTTGCACGATGAGCCTTCGGCAGATGCCAGTGGTAGGGCTGATGTATCTCTGCTCTTGACCGTGCGTTGTCAATATTCCTATATCATTGGAGCAAGTGATGTCTGAGTCATGATTTGTGAGTGGGATCCAGTGCATCGTAACGGTTCCTGTAAAAACGTCGGTGTAATGATGGGTGCGAAGACTACAGGACCTTCGAGCTGTGAACTAGACTCACAGTGAGGAGAGTATCACAAGCAGGGTGTTACTTCTCACAGCGATGCCTTTATATATTTCAGGTACTGTAACTCTGTGGATGTGTAGGTCGCGCATGACATATACCGCCATGGCAGTTGCAGAGTTAGAAATCTCGTCTAATCGAACCTTAAGATCCAGAATGAGATACCGCCCAGCGGCGTCTTCTTGAAATGCCTATAATGATGTCGGAGTCACATAGCTCTGAGAGACCTAGTTCAAACATTCTTGACGCAATTTTCATTTACCAATAGCATCAGTGGGGTTGATGTGTTAGCTGCATGTTTCCGTGATGTACAGCGAGGTGACAGGGATAGATTGGTTGCAGCAGAGGACAATGAGAATATCTGGACATGAGTAAACACGAGCAGGAAGGTGGCACACCAGCGAAAAAATAGTTGTCAATTTTGTGGCATTTCTTTTTTGATATCTATGACATACCTACACCAAGAGTGTTGTTAGCCGTCCTGCCATTGCCCTAACAGAATTTGGAAAAACCTGGCTGTTGCAAAAGGTCTAAGGCAGAATTTGACAGAATTTGATTAACAACCGATCCCCTGTGACGCGTCACGGTTGTACCATCTACTTCAGGAATATTCGATGGGCGCAATCTTATGCCTCGATATCAAATAGGCGCGGCTGTTCTTCTCGTCTCGTTGTAGATGCACAAAGATCAGTTTGGAATAACAAGATCCTGTTGCCTACCGATGGTGACTAGCCTATCACTGTCAGAGTTTGACCTCGTCGAAAAATTGTTGTTGAACATTGTATCCCTGTTTGGTAGTCTCAGTCAAACAGCATTGAGTGAGGGTCTCAGCCCTACTGACTCAGGGTGCTGGGCCCAGACCGGGCGGAGCCTAGTGGAACATGCACATAAGTTGCATCCGCAGTATCAAATATTTCATCCTCACAAAGTATGACAGCGTCAATCAGTGCATCAGCACTTCAGCGGTGATGCGAACTTCTAGAAATGAAACATAGCCTACTCCGAAATAATGTCCAACAAATGGTGCGCGAAGAATGCACCGGATCTGTATCATGTGGCCAAATTAAATTTTTCATTCCATTTCTGGAACATTCAGCGCTCAGCGATGATGCGCCCACTGACATAGCCTCGCTGCAGCACCTTGGCATAGACGAACAATGCAGGCGGACTGATAAAGTGATAGCGAATGTTTTATTTGGAGTTGGAGTTACGCTAGGCAATAGGCTATGTGCTGTCTTGTTGGCGAGTTATATCCTGACTGGTGAACATAGGCTCGTGATCACTGATTTGCTACCAAACCATGGGATTCTTTCGCAGGGAGGAGATAGTCATCTGAATCTGATCTTCGGACAAAGATGGAAGGGTACGTGAGGAGTGGTGTAAGAAGTAATATAGGCCGGAAGACAGCTGTTGAACTCGGAAGGTTGTCTGACCCAGTCGAGGACGGTGATGTCTCCCGATCGAGCCACGATCTCCTGCAAGAGTCGCCCGAGAGCGTTCTGCATCTTCTCGCCATAAATGACAGGTAGGTGGACACCGAAGATACCAAGCAATGAGTACGCGACGTCTTCTTGCAATGTGGTGACGCGAGATGACGCCCGCTGAAGTCTCTGTCGAGCGTCGCTCATCCCAGGACAAAAGGAGATCAGAGCCCGTGCATTTATTCCTGTGGCATCCTCTAACTCCTGCATGATTACAGGACTCTTTGTGGTTGGGAAAGCGATCGTCCAGATATAATGACCAATCCTTTTGATAGAAGATAACAACTTTCGAAGCGACGAATTCTTGAAAGGTCCATCCTCGCTTGTTCCAACATTCCTCGCCAGTGCACCGGGTTGGGATGAAGGAGGGACATCGCAGAGGTAGGCGATGGTAAGCGCTGAATGACGATACTAGACGAACATAGAGTTGGCCGATTCTTGAAGCTCGCTGTTGCTCTTCTTGTCGATGCAGCATGTGTCCATCCAAGCCCAGCGATATCCAGCATCACGAGCGACATTGCAGAACGACTGCAGTTTCGCGATCCCAGCAAGTCCCTTCAACCCACGCACATCTTTATCTTGAATGTCCTCCCACCTGTGTGATAACAGGACGCAACAGAAGTGCGTTGCCACTACATCTTTGACGCGCTCTGCTCGGAGATTCGAATCCGTCGTTGGAAATGAGACAAGCTCGTTGTACTCTGGACTCGTTTTGGAGGCGTTCATTCGTGCCACTCTATCGCACAAAAGACCCGTGGAGGTATTCAGTAGACGTAACGGGGCATTCCAGTTCAATCCGAACAACTCTTTTGCTTCCGATGGAGAGACATACTGCTGACGCAGATCTACAGAACCAGATAGATATTTCGAGATCATACAGAAGTTTCCCATGGCTTACCTCATATCTGAGCTTCGGGAGAATCGTCCAACTTGGACAACATGATTTTGAAGGCCTCAATAGCTTCGTCGTAACGGTGCGCGCCACGCAACGCTGTATGCGTCAACTTGTATCCAATGTGAGACGAAGGATTGAGTTAGATGACCTATGCATCACCGAAGTCAACACGGGCTATGAAAACATAGATGCCATCGCACCTTTCGCGCATCGAGAAGTGCTTCTGTCCATAGCATTTTTGCCAACCTTGCCTTGCTGCACTTTACAAAGATGACATCGAATGCAAAAGTCAAGTCGATCACTGCCGAGCAGAGGGCAATCGCCCTGTCATAATCGCTTGCAGCGAGGGCAGTATCTCCATTGGTAAGACAGAGCGCGCTGTAGCCTTCCGTGAAAGCTGAGTGAAATGTGGGTAATACCGTAAGGATTGTAGTTTGGGTGATATTATGAACTCCAGACTTACCATTGGACCACTCAAGGTGTTCAGCCTTGGTATTTTCGTCACTCGAAATCATGATATACTGGTATGATCTCATGGCATCTAGAAGTTTACGTGCGCGAAGGAGTGCATCACAACGTTTACAGTATGGTGTGCACTGTGCAGTGAGCCACAACAATTAACGTGTAACTTTGGAAATAATCACGTGATCGCATAAGTTTCAACATCACCCAAGTTGTGCAATATTAGTACAAAGGTGAAATCATCCATGCCAATCGACCTTGTCTCGCAAAGCAATGATCGATGTATCCTAAGCTTGTCCGACGGCAAGCCACGTATACGCCAATTTCTGCTTCACCGAAGCAAGTCATGCGCTACCTGCATTCGCAACGTGACTAGTGCATCTGCAAGAGCGTATGCCAGCTCACCCTTCACGACGCGATTCTCTCGGTGACGAAATTTGATGAGGCAGATACAAAAGCCTGATCGTGAGGGCCGGAGTCCGGTGTCCGGTAATTGCTGAGGTTCTGGCTAGTTTTCGTTTTGCTTCTTGCCAACACCCATGGTGAATTTTACTATCCTCGCAGGAGGATACACCTCCTTCATCGCCTCGTATATGTTCAATAGCGAGACGAACACTTTGACATATCTGAACCAGTACATCACTGGCGGCAATCCAACTTGGATAATCTCGCACCCTACGAACAAGAGTGTTCTTTAGTACGTGTCCTCCTCTTGTGTTAGTATATACGCGTGTTCACTGATGTATTTGATTGATCGCGCAGTGCAGTCAATGAGAATCAGCCTACAGGCGCACTACAATCATTCATGGTCGGGCCTGAAGGAGCACTCACCCTCGTCGAAACTGCATACTCTGGAGGAAGTGGCCCGCCGTATTGTAGCGGTCTCTCCACGGGTCAGGTAGCCATAGTCAACGTACGCCACAATTTTTTCTTTTTCTTAAGTCGATGCTGAATTTACAACAGTATGGCTCCGGAACTGCGCGTGTGATCCCCACAACAGATCCGCTGCATTTCTCCGCCGATGATAGCACCATTGTGACATTCCCTGTCCCAACCGCCGGAACGCAGGGCGTGTCCGAACCACACATGGTATACCAATATGGCGAGGAGCTCTTGATCCCTGACAAGGTATTTTTTGGGACCTTTCATCTATGATTTGTGGCCTTTTTACTCACCGCGAGTGGCTGTTTCAAGGGCAACGACAAAATCTGGCGTCTCGGCCAGAACGGGTCACCAGGTGACTTCTCAGTACACGGTCAAATCGCGCAGCCGATCGGTAGCGGCCCACGGCACATCCAGATCTACGGTAAGCCCATCTTCTTTCACATTCTCTCTCACTAAGCCAGCATACAGAGAACCAGCTCTACACAATCCATGAGCTCGCAAGTACCTTAACACTCCAAGACTTCCCGGCATACCCCAACTTCTCCACTCCCCTAATCTCCAACGTTTCCACTGTCCCAAATTATCAGCCCGCAGGCTCCAGCTTCGCAGCTGCCGAAATCCTTATCCCACTTCCAACAACCGAGTTCCCCACCCCTTACATCTATACCTCGAACCGCAACACTGGTGTACAGGACTCACGTGGGGATACGATCGCCATTTTCGAGAAGGTGAATGGCCAGTTGGTCCTAAGGAATCAGGTATACACGGGCCTGAACCAGATTCGCGGCATGATGCATGGGCAGCAAGCCGGCGAGGGAGGTGATGCATATATTGTAGCGGCCGGATTTGCGGGTACTGCAGGCGTCAAGGTGTACAAACGAACGGAGGGAGGAGCGAATTTGGAGGAGGTTGCAGTGAATACAGAGCTTCCAACGCGGACGAGCTTCGTATGGTTGAAACAATAGAGGATAAGATACACTCAGCATTAATGCAGACAGTCTGCTGTCTAATCGAGGCGCGATGCAAACACAAGTAACAATGACCTGAATGTGGAGAGAAAAGACTCTTCGTGAGTACTAACACATAAACTGATACTAGATGATACCTTAGAGAAGAGACGAGCACGACGTTAGTTTAGCGCTTGTATGTTATAAATGGAAAGCCAGACAGCCGTTCATAGGCACTGAATTTTGGTGCTATATATTGAGTTCAACGCCCTCTGGCAATTCAGACAATCATTCATCGCAAATATTTTGTGTCTTGCCACGTGAGGTGTTATGCCAGATTAGTGTTGTGCAACTCCATTCCTACTCACAAATCATCAGCTTGAGTGCACTGTAAGAGCGACACCTCTGGCACCGATGCCAACAAACTGAAAATACAAATTGAAATAGAAATTGGTCGTACGTATCGTGTAGGTCTGCAGTCTCAAAGGCTGGAACATCGAAGTCCTTGGCAAGTAACCGGTTGTGCGTGGCCATGACTGGATGCTACATGCGAAGTCGTCAGATTGTCTCAAGAATGCTTTGATGAACAAGGTGGGAGGACGCACGGAATTCATCATTGCTCAATGAGCCCAAGGGCAGTTGTGGAGCGAGGCTTGATAGAACACTTAAAGGGTTTGAGGTGGCTGGGAGCGTGTTTATTCAGACCAGCGCCGGACGTCATAAGAGATGCGACATACCTGGTTGAACCTGGTAATTGATCGATATCGGGTGTAACCTCAACACCATGCTCGACAACCTTTGAAATGTCAAACACTGCCAGTGACATTGCAGTAGTTATCCAGATAGAGGCATCAGCGAGGTGGAGGCCTGCCAATGTCCAATGAAAAGTTAGTGGTTCAGAGATTCGTTTGTCAATTGACATGAGTTGGGCACACCTGGGCAAATACTGAGGAGCAGCAAGTTAGTATTCCGCTCAAAACCCACTGTATGCTTACCGTCTAACGAATCCGAAGCAGGCTGTGCGAGGTTCCATCTCAGGTTCTTTTCCGTCCTTAGCCAAGAAGCGTTCAGGGTTGAATTGCGAGGGGTTAGCATATGTTCGTGGATCGTTGAGCATGAACCTGTCGCAATTAAGAATATTGCAGTCTGTTCATCATTCGAAGGGGAGTACTAACCAAATGTTAGGTATCACTAAGGACCCTTTTGGAATATAGTACCCGTCATGGATATCATCTTCGGTCACACAGTGAGGGAGACCTGTCATTGAGATACCCGTAATCAAATAGTGGTGTCATAAACGAGGTTTGAATACCTGTAGGACTGACAACGTGCCAGCGGAGGACTTCTTTTACCAGGGCATCAGTATAGGGGAGGGAGTCGCGGTCAGCGAAGGTGGGAAGACGGTCAGGACCGACAACCACATCTATTTCAGCCTGAGCTTTCTTCTGCACATCAGGGGAAAGCGTCATAGCTAGAAAAAGCGAGTATATTGCAGAAACAGTCTGAGGAAATAGGTTTGGTAATCTCAGAAGATATAGGGAGGGACAAACCGTGTCAGTACCACCGGCGTATAGGGAAAGCGCAGACCATTTCACGGCGTAGTCCTCTTCTGCAGAAACACCACTGCCTTCTAAGAGATTCGAGGTAAAAGATACAGGGGCGATGCCAGCAACCTGTAAAATTTGAACCTTGATGCATATTCGCAAGACTGCAAACTGGTCACCATCTGGTCCTTGACGAATTGGTGGGGTGCAGAAGCCATCTCTTTGAGGGCCGCACGCCATTCACATGCTATGCGCTTGAAACCAGCACCAGGAAACCACGCGGGGACCTTTGCCACTAAAACCTCCAGGCCATCGAAAGCCAATGCAAACGTCAGGATAATATAGCTCACGGAATGGTATAATATCAACTATAAAGGCACCGGGAGCCAAAGCCTGCGAAGCATTGGTTAGAACGCGGTTGGCGAGGTCAACGAAGGGATCATCTTTCTCTTTCACTTCATAACCATGAGATATGCGCAGAATGACAGCGCCAACGGTGCTATAGTAAAAATTCAAGATCATGACAATATTACGAGGATAGATAATACATACTATCGGATATGCTCCTGCAGTCGATCAGGTTTCACAAGCACACACTTCAGGAATCGACGAGTCTCGACCTCCTCAATTTCGTTGTATACGTTCACTGCGGCGCGACTGCCGATGACGCGATGTAAGTTTTTGCGTTGCTGGCGAAAACGGTCGCCATAAGGAAGTAAAGCCAAGAGTCATTCCAGCCCACAAGTTCGCCAGCCATAGGAAGAACAGGACGGTCAGAATACAAAGTGCTTTTACTGTCCATCATATCCATTGCAGTCTTAACAGAGTTCAGCACAATGATGTGCCGACCCAGAACCTCGATATGCGTGATATCACCTGCAGAAAGGACTTTTGAGAATGGATGATTTTTGGAAAAATGGGAGGCACTCACCATACTTCTTACCCCACTCAGTAAATGTGATCCGGGGCTTGATGCGAGGCATATCCAAAAAATTGCTAATGAGAGGCCACTCCCTGGGACCAGGTGGATATGGTGCAGGATTCTTCTTGATGACCGTCTGCTTTATCAAATAGACTCCCACTGTGACACCGGCGAGGCATAGCAGGTCCAGCCAAGTAACGTTGGTGATTGTCAACATGGTCTACTACTAGCAGAAAATGAGCAACTCGAGAACGGGGATGTAGAGCGAACGATCAGATAAGAGCACATCGTGTTTATAGCTGTTTGCAAAAATGATGCATGAGTACTTGAGTCACTGTTAACGGCATTCACATCGGGGTGAACAATATTTAAAAGAGGCTTATATGTTGTACAAAATGTGAAAACACTATTTGATATTTAAACTAACATGAAGATGGGTGCACGACTTCAAATTTTGGTGGTGTTTTGTGTGTCATCCAAAATATCAAATATTCACAACCATATTCACACAGACAATATGTCAACAAATATAAGAAATATAATCAGATTTTCCATATCCGCTTCAATTTAAAGTTGGATCCTTACATAAAACTTTGGAGAAAACTTGAAGTTTTGCCACAGCTTGACATTTAAATTGAGTTTTAATGTCATGTCATCTGTAAAACTTCAAGTTTTCTCCAAAGTTTTACATGGAAATTGAACTTTAAGTTGAAGCAGACATGAAAAATCTCAGACTCCAAACCATCGGCAGGTGTGAGAGAGTCTTCATACTGTTACCTTAGCCGAAAACCAAATATGTACAACATAATTTCAAACACCGCAACTTTGAGACTCTACACACCAAGCCGACTGGCAAAACTTGTAGTGGCGCGAGGTTTGGATGTATTTGTCCCACCGAAAAAGCCTTCCGAGCGCGCTGACATATCCCAAAAGAAATGGGAGCAATCGAATATTATTGTCAAAAATCTTTAGCGTGACGTGCCTTTAGTGACATGATGGATAATCCCTTTCTGAGACTTAACATCTTCTAAGTCACGTATCTTGATGTCATCGCCAGCTGCCCGGTTCGAAGTACCGAGCTTTGCAGAAATGAAACGCATTGCAGAAATGAAACTGGGTCTTACTCCTTGTACTTGGCAACTCCAGTCCGCTCACAACCAGCTTGAGAACAAAGATGTCTTCACCATCTCACCCACCGGCTCAGGAAAGACTCTTACCTTCTGGATTCCCCTGTTATTCAACAATGGTGGAATAACCATTATTATTACCCCGCTTAATATCCTCAGCGAGAAGAACCGAGATGAAGCAAATGCTTATGGGTTTCCCGCCCTTGATATATGTGCAGAGACAGCAACAGACGAGGCGTTTAAAGTGAGTCGTTATTCAGTGACATGAATACTACACGAGTCTGAGCATATATTCATCAGGACATAGAGAAATTGAAGTATCGAGTTCTTGTTGTTAGCCCGGAACGTGTACTTCAAGACGCTCGATTCAAAAAACTTTGGAAGTGTCGAACGTTTACAGATAATCTCTTCAGTATCGCGTTTGACGAGGGTCATTGTATTAGCGAATGGGGCAAAGACTTTCGACCGCTGTATAGTGAGCTGGGGAATCTTCGATGGTACCTTCCAGCTCACGTTCGATTTCATGCCGTGTCTGCGACCATGCCGCCGCACATCCTCCTAGACGTCCAATCGAAACTTCGCATTCGGTCATACAACCTTGCTAAAGTTGTCCGGTCAAACGACCGTGCAAATATTCATTTCATGGTCCAGGAGATGAAGTACCCACGAAACACGTACTACGACCTTGGCCGAATCTTGCCACTCAAGGAGGGCACACCGCCCGAGAAGTTCATGCTGTTCGTAAATGCTCGAGATCAAGCAGAAGCAGTTTGCAATAGCTTATGCAAAGACTTGCCTGCGCATCTTCGCCATAACATCGTATGGTTCCATTCGGGCATGTCAATGCAGTTCCGGCTGGACGCAATGGAAAAGCTGTCAAAGGGTGAGATTTGGGGGATCTGCTGTACTGATGCAGCGGGAATGGTGAGTAACTCACAGTCATATCGAGAGTCCCTCACGTATATATTGATGTTGTTATTGCTGTTATTGCAGGGCCTTGATCTTCGAGACGTCAGATTGGTCATTCAATGGGGATATATAGACTCACTTTGCATTTTGATGCAACGCCTAGGACGCGCTGCGCGAGACCACGCCTTAACGGCACTTGCAGTGTACTTCGTGGAGCCGCTGTACTTTGATACATACAGTGGCAAGCGCAAACGGCCTGAACTTGATGAGGGACAGCATCGCACGAAGAAGAAGAAGGTCACGAACGTGGACGCTGAGAGCACAGTGGTGCGCGACGAGGAGAACAGTCAATGTAGGACTGATGGTGGTACCCTCAATGGGGGGGACAATGACGGGCGAACGGACGGCGTCAGCATGGTGGTAGATCAGCGCAACAGACACACCATTCCAGAGGTTGCTGGCACTTCTACTCCTATGAGGATCCTTCCGGTAAACGCTGATAGTGATGTTATCGAACGAGCTGCTATGTATGCATTTATCAATGCTCACCTTCGAGGATTCTGCCGTCGCCGAGTTACAAATGAATATTTCAATAATCCAAACCTAATAGGTAAGAATTTTGAGGCTGGATAGAGTTGATTTAGCTGACATTGAGGTTATCGAGAACAAGGGAATACATGCTGTGAGAGATGCGCTGCAAGGGTGTCACACATTTGCTGTGACGTGTGTAACAAGATGGAATTACATTCACGGCTCTTCCCTCTGCAACAAATCACGTCAACACGCGCCAAACCAAAGTACAAGATCAAGCCATACAAAATGACCGACACCGAACGCCGGCTTCAGCAGGAGCTCATCAAATGGAGGGACTCGAAGATAATCGAGGAGGATCTCGATGCTGATGACTTTTTTGGTCCCCAGATGATCATGTCGAACAAGATCCTGAACCGTATTGTCGACCTCGCGCACTATCACAAAATCTTATCAACAACTTCTCTCTTCGAGCAGACATCATGGTGCTACTCCTCTGAATATGGGCAAAGCGTCCTTGATATCATTCTTACTTGCATCCCTTTGCCCATTGTCCAACCTCCCGCACCACCTGCTGTGATCATTCCACCTCCACTTGGCTTATCGTCGTCAACAAACCAACAACCGACCGCCAGCACCTCCGCCACAAATGGCGTCATGTTGCCATCGAAACGTTCACGAAAGTGTCGTGCTTGTGGTAGCACTGATCATATAGGTACGCACTGCTCACTATGTCCACTGTCTTATCATACTCATTGTTCTTCGCAGCGTCCAACAAACTTTGTCCAAGATATATTTCCAAGCCCCGCAAGTCAAGATCTAATATAGAAAATGCACCGGCCATGGTGGCACCTGCTCCAGGCGCTTCTGAGCAAGGTTTCCATCCAGTGCAAGGACAACAACAGTTTGTTGGTCCGCAGAACAATCGAGTCGGTTAAGGTTAGTCAATAAAGTCATCTCCGTCGACATCGAAAACGCCCGTCTCTTCCTCGCTAACTATCTTCTGCTCTTGCATCAGCACCATCCCTTCGTTGATCTGATCGGGAATCGACCACAGGGCCTTCCGACCCTCCTTCTTTATATGTGCGTAGTTCTCCTTTATTTTCGTTGACAACTTACGGATTGTATTCATCATTTCAGGTTGTGCATGACGAATTGTTTGATGCTGAAGGTGGAATCCGTTTTTGATGACGACGTGACAGTTACGGTAGACCTCGATCAGAGGGGATTCTTTAATAATATGTTCTAATGTACCATTCGGACCTCCGCCTCTGTATATGACCTGATGCCATATTAACATTCCAACCCTAAGCAGCTAGGAACTAACCTTGGTGTACAGATTGTTCCTCTCGACAACCCAATCTACAGCGCGAAACGCTAGCGCATGCCCGGAGGGGTTGCAAAGTAAGTTCATTCGAATGATATCACTGACATATTTTCAGATGATGCGCAGTCAATACGAGCAACTCCTACTCACCTCAGTTTTTCAGGCCAGTTAAACTGAAGGTTTACGAGAAACCTCGTCATCTGGGAAGCATACTTGTGCTTTCCCGTGGCTTTGAATATGTAGATCCACGGTAAGAACGACGCTTCCACTCTCCCTATGTCACCAGTATTCATAGCTTGACACACGTCAATGTACATCAGCTCGTCCCTGTTTCGCAGTGTTTGATTTTCGAATCGCTTGTCGCGGATGGTCGATGGTCGTGCTCGTGCTTCGTCAAGGCCTGGCGTTGTTGCAACGTACTTCCGCACAATGGTATGTGACATTGCCACCACGTCATCCCATGTTGGCTCAGAGGCCGCGAAAGTCTCCAGCGTGTTCCATTCCCGATTCTCGTTCTCTGCTTCGATCCGCCAACAGTCCATCATCGATGCCCAGATGTCATGGTGAATGACATCGTGCACTCGCCGAAAGCCAGGTTTACTGACCATTTTACCAGTTTCCTCTGGCCGAAGGACTGCAGTGTGTTGGTACAGGCTGTTCTCATCATCACGGCCCTCCTTTGGCTGAATATACGTTCTCCAGATGGCATCTGTGCAAGCCATCTTATAGTGGAACAACCCAGGTAAGAAAATCACGTATTGGAAGCGGTTCTTTGGTGTATGCTCAATGCACCGGCTGTTACGGACAGTATCCAGTCGCTCCTTCGTCAAAAGGTCACCATGGATCAGCATGATGTGCTCCGACATGTCCACGTCATGCTCCACATCAAACCCGCTATCGCGAGGATCGCCAATACCTCCTTGTCTAAACAGGTTGTCGAGAACTTCAACATTCCCGTCTGTCGTGGACTGCTTGATATCCATTGCCCGACAAGGTATTTGATTTGTTTTGTGCACAGGGATTCTTTTGACTGTATCAGGCTCATCTAGCTCTTTTTTGAAATGCTTGAATTCTTTGACCTGGTTGACCAGAATGGCACGAACGTGCCAAGAAAATGCTTCCTGGCGAGGGCTCAGTCTAACGGGATGCGTTTGACGACTGTAAGCATCGTTTTTGTGCAATTGAAGGAAGCTTCTCCACTCCGTCATCACAGGTAGTACTGATGGCGATGGATTGTGTGAATCCTGATCCCAGAGCTGCGCCGAGGATCGTAGAGCATCGACGTTATCGTCGTTGATGCCATATAGAGGAATGACGGTTGCTGACGTCGCGCTCACGAAGGACCCTCGATGTTCCAGCATAGGCTGGGCAGCTTTGAATTGTATGTCGAAATTGTCGTATGCGAATCCAGCTTGTAATGTCCTAACCTCGCGCTTGATTTTGCTGCTAATCTCTCTAGATATTGACGAGACAGCATTGTGTATCGACGTCAAGCTAATTGACAAACCCGCATGGGCGAACACTTCAACAACTTTCTCGGGGACACACGCTGACCTCATGAAGAACCCCAGCCATCCTTGTAGTAGGTTGCACTGTGAATTTGACGTCTGAAGGCATATGCTAATCATTACAACAGTTCTCTGCAGTTTTCGTCAGCGATGCAGCGTTTGATTTGCAAATATCAACTCACAATGACTAACAGCGCAGCGTTTCTTTCAGCTGCACGACGTTGGCGTTTTCCTGATTGCTCGTCATCAGCTTCTTCATTCACGTCGTCTTCTTCGCGCATCATTCCTCCAATGTCATCACCTCCAAATTCTCCAAGGTCCCTCTCTTCAACATAAATATCCATGTCCTCATTGCCCACCTTCACATTCCCACCCATAGCTCGCCGCTGCTGAAGTGTGCTGTCGAGCAGCGCGAAGAATAGATGCCACAGGTTAGGTGCCACCTCCTGCATTTTTTCTGCGAGCTGATGCATGAATGCACTCTCCAGTTGTTCGACAGTTGCAGACGTGGCTTTGAAACGAAGTCCGTGCTTTTCGAGTGACAAATCTGTCACCTCAGTTCGCAGCATGTCCCGCACGATTGTTATTGCCCACTGTGTTACATGTGAGTGCGCATGTTCTTCTCTGTACAGGGCAGCACATATTCTAACTGCCTTCGTTGTTAGCGAGTTTCTTGCGCTCTCGTGTTCTGTGCTTCCGAGAATGTGGTTGATGAAGTCTGCTGGAGTGAGAAAATTTTCTTCCATACATGCAAGCACGTTGTCCAGTCGGTCTGCGAGACTTGTATCCATCACGAGCGCAACAGCACGAAAGCTAGGACTCTGTCTTTTGTTTTATGCATTTTCTGCCATTGTTCTCTGCACTGTTAATATTTAATTATTATTATTTCCGTCACATAATTAAACAATACCATTTGTCTTTTTATAAACAATGTGACATCAGTTAATATTCGATTGCTCCCATTTCTTTTGGGATATGTCAGCGCGCTCGGAAGGCTTTTTCGGTGGGACAAATACATCCAAACCTCGCGCCACTACAAGTTTTGCCAGTCGGCTTGGTGTGTAGAGTCTCAAAGTTGCGGTGTTTGAAATTATGTTGTACATATTTGGTTTTCGGCTAAGGTAACAGTATGAAGACTCTCTCACACCTGCCGATGGTTTGGAGTCTGGAAAAATCTGACTATATTTCTTATGTTTGTTGACATATTGTCTGTGGGAATATGGTTGTGAATATTTGATATTTTGGATCACACATAAAACACCACCAAAATTTGAAGTCGTGCACTCATCTTTATGTTAGTTTGAATATTAAATATTGTCTTCACATTTTGTACAACATATAAACCTCTTTTAAATATCGTTCACCCCGATGTGATTGGAACATGGCGAGTTCGAACACGTGTATCGATGAGGGACACTAGCTGCCAAATTGAGAGTTTGTCCATGGAAGATTCCAGACGCTCGACAAAGGACAATGTAATAACCTTTGGTTTTTCTTTCTTCCTCTTCCGCGAGCAACTGGGTTTGATGCGTTGATGAAATACATGGCATTTCGAGAGACGATGATGTCCACAAATAATGAGCTGTAGGCAACATAACAAAATTTAGATCTGAATATGGACGTAAGATAACGAGAAATAACTCAGGCTGCTCCATGCGCTCAAGTCAGCCAGAATATTTCCGTTTGTCTTCTAACATCAATGTCTTCTTGGTTGATGTGTTTGCTGCACTGCACGCTAGTATAAAACACATATGCATGCTTCCAGGTCTAGGCGTGAAATTGGTAAGTACTATGGTATGCGCACTCTACGATTCATGAGTAAGTTCGCTGCAAGAGCTGGACCTGCTCGTCCTTGCTCAGCCCCATGCGACCTCTCCAATGGCTAGGACAAATAGGTATTTCGTCAATGTTGCGCGGGCGCACTGGTAATGCCAGAATAGCATCTAGAATCTCTGGAACATCCTCGGGTTCTACTTCACCTAGCCTGTATGATTCATATCAGATAAACGCATGCGCAATAACACACAATTAGAAGGCTTCAAACATACCATTCTCCGTGCGGGTACACAAGAAGATTTGCTGCATATCTAGAAGGGTGTATGAGCGACCAGACTTGGTGAAATGGATGTGATGTGTGCATACTTGTGCCCTCCGACATGTGCCACTTCTGCAAGTTTAATGCGAGTACTGGGATCACTTAAATTGGTGTCTCTGCGCTTGCGGAGCTCATCCCTTATAGCCTGGGCAACTGCTCCCCCAATGTCTCCGCACCGACAATCTCGCGCACCATGAGTACAGACATACAAATGCACATCATCTGAATTCGAGGGTGTAGCACCAGAGACACCTTCAGCATGTACCCTCAACTTTTCTCCCACCTCCTCAATATTGTCCATGGACACAGTAGCCTCAAGCTTTCCCCGTAGATGCGCAAACGCCGTCAGATGATACTCCTGCTTGTCTTCCTCCCCAGGTGGTCGTGCACAGACAGATTTTTGGTCCTCAGACCACGAAAAATTGACAGACCCACCCCATTTAGCAGTGCGTAGAAGGAGTGCGCGCTGGATGGGGGTTGCGTACTTGGCGGGATACTCGCTAGGCGGCTGTGGGGTATGCAAGAAGATGTAGCACCGGTGCGAAGGTGTTGTGCCAACGAGCTCTGATGTAGACTTTGCAGCGGTGGATAGCGACCGCGCGAGCGTTTTGAGCGCACGGAAAGCTGGCATGTAGAGGACCGAGTTGTGAATTGATTCGCGGAACTGCGGGCGGCGGCATTGAAGCGCGGTCTAGGGGAACGTGATCATACACGTGACCGGCGCGACCGGATCATTGATTCGATGAATGATAGTCTCTCGCAATTGAACGTGAACGTTGAACATGATGCATGATGCATGAAGCGCGATACTACATAGTCGCTGTACCACTGGCAGGGACATTGGCAACACATCGTTCCTGGCTGTGTGGGTCAGACTAACATCGTCTAACTCTACCGAATTGACAGTCATAAGGATCTTAATGTGAAGGTCTTGCTAGTATCACGGTGAAAAGGCTTCCGAGATTTCAATGTCACCCCTGCTGGTTCTACCATAGGCCCATTACTTGTGTCGCCTGTGCGCAGCATTCGACTTTCATCTCGCAGACCCTGTCTTTTCGACTGGGCATGTTTCTAGTATGTGATTGGCGTGTTACATATCTTGCCATGATCCATTACCCGAATTTCTCGAACTCTTTCAGCAGCCACGTCAGCGATATTCCCTGGCACTCGTTTCAAGATGTCAATATACAAGCTATACCACAGATCCCTCATCTTTAGGACTGATCTGATGTCTTCCTATCTGCAATACCAACACCACGAAACAGACTACAAGTGCTCCAGCAAAACCTACGGCACCACGCGTCCATTGGCTTTCAATCTTGAAGACTAAATCGCCGAAGCCTGCAGCAAAATATATGAGGCTATTGCGAGGGTTCAGCAACAATACTCTTCATGCGGTAACATGAATGCTTACGCCCACACCAACAGTCCATATGGCAAGCTATACAATATGGCTAGCACTTCTGTGCCGAAGAAAGACTGTTCCACGTATGTCAGAAGCGCAACCTGTCCTCTAGTCAGTCCTTGATAGAACAGTATTTAAGAAGTTCTCTTACAGCTCGCTCGCAATCCCTTTTCTGGTTTTGACGAACCAGAAGAAGTACGAGGAGGACAACTGCAATGCTGCAAACTACTGATATATAACTTAGTAATCCGGCGGTGTCTGGCACAGATGAAATTGCGAGAAAAGCTATGTTAGCATTGAGAATAACTGTCGCCTGGAGTAAGTCGTAAGTGTTGCTGACTCCACTTATTTTAATAACAATTTACCGAAAGCGCGAGTCCAGTCCACTCGTCATTGAGTTTGTCAATGAATTGATTCCACAGGACGCGATTAATGATCCTATCAACCCATATCACCTTCAGATCTTCTTGGTGGGTACGAGGGGAGCCAAAGAGCAGGAAAGAGGTAATAATGAACAGAAGCGACTGGTGATCATGGCCCTTGAAGTAGATTGTCTGGTCGGAATCCAGCCTTGCACCTGGCTGTCCACAGAAATTGAAAAACTTTGCTTTGACTACTGTGATATTAGCGAAAGCCGGTAGAGTCTTTAGTTACGCACTGAACTCGGACATAAATCGGGCTGAAAGAAGATGGTTCAACATACTTCGCGAAACACATCGTTCAAGATGAAAACACACCCACGACACATCTCGTGTGCGTAAATTGACCATCAAGGGTTCCTATCGAAGAAAACATCAGTCATCTGAATCGTGTTCGCAAAAACCTTTACCAGTACTACCTTCGATGTTCATAACGAGGTCCAGCATCTTCTCCAGCTCCTCTTTCTCAAACGGAGCGACACACGTCACAGATGTGATGGTCACTGTGAGATTCACAGACGTCAATGTTTCGCTCGAAAAAAATGCAATGTGGTATCGGAAATCACCTGCTGCGGCATGCATAATCATTTGTTTTAGTTCCTCGAGAACAACTGGCGTCACTCGATTTTCATGTGGAAATAGTTCACAGTGAGTCCTTGAAGCTGTTTGAGTCGGTATCAAATCTACACGAACGGCTGACACGATATCAGAAACTGACCCCGGTCACCCAAAGTAATAAACATACCTGGACCTCACCAGTACTGAGCTTCAATAGCGTATTCTGAAATTGTGCATGTCAGTATATAGAAAAATGCGGGAGATGGTCAAAAGTCACACACTGATATGACCCATATTCTTCACTCGCCTGATGTTCCCAAACAAGGTTTCCGCATCAAAACGTTCTAGCCAGAAGATGCACCGTGTATCTTGCTCGACAAAATAGTAGCCACAGATGTTCTCGTCAATATCCTCAACGACTAATTCTGTTTTGCTAGTGATATCCACGTTTGGGTTGGCCTGTGCATCGTTATATAGTTGATCTGCGAATGCCTCGATCGCAAGGAGGGTTGACGGCTTTGATAAGTCGGCATCAGTGTATACCCGCTGCCACCTTCGTCAATAATTGTGTGGGACGTCAAATATGAACCTACGCGACTGCTGTCATAGTAATACAAGGCACCTTCAGGGTGCACGAGTGGTTTCCAGCGACCAGAGGGCGGTTTGCTTGGCGTCATCAGCTTACAATAGTCCAACTGCAGAAGAAGTACATACTCCTCGAACACCTTGTTCCCCGGCTCAATGAATACGCGGTCCCTCGTTTGGGGTCTACGCCATGAGTAGGAATCGAAAAAGGAGGCCAAATGGCCTTATACCGACTTACATTGTACGCTTCCTCTCGTATCGATTCACATCAGATGCTGGAATAGGCCTCGCCTTGCGTATCGATGTAGTAGACGGAGATGTTGTGGATGACGATACAGATATGCCAGAATTTGAAGGGTTGAGGTTACCGCTTGCTGTAACGACCGAAGTCGCACTAGCAGAAGGTATCGGAGATGAGGTTGTCGACTTCTGTGGGGTTACCGAGCCTCCAGGACTGCTGACTGTGATATGAGGTACTGTTCTGTTAACGAGTGACTGCCTTAGCATCTTTCTACTGCTTGAGAGTGTTGACGGGGTAAGACATACTGTGACAAGGCGGGAAGAGGATAGCTTGTTGGCAAAGTTGCAGAAGACCCTTGGAGCCTTAATCACAGGCGAAGATGGACATGATTGAATTACTACAAAGAATAGAACACCACATTGCAGACGAACCGGTGTGCCCTAATGTAGTCAAAGATGGTGCTTAGCCCCCCTCTAGCACGGCTTCGTAAATTCGACTGAGAAGACATTGAAATAAATCAGTATTCAACTCACTTATTTTCGCAGCCTGAAGCTGAAGCGCCGAACAGCCTCAAACCACGTGTAGTGCATGTATGGATGTTACATCATCCATAGAACCATGCTTGATGCCGCCTTGATGCAAAGTACTGTCCTGACTCCTGGTGATGCCGAGTACTTATATTGATATTGCCATAACTTGAAGGTGAACCTTTGAACGCCATACTATGTTGCCTGAAGGATGACGTCGAGTCGTGGTCCAAAGACAAGTCTCCCGTAATAGTTTTTCAAGTTACATAAAAACAGTCATCCTTCTTTTCAAGCTGACCGACAGACTAATTTCCGACACTTCGGAGTTTACGTTCAGCTCTGCCGCTGTAGTGCGCATACAACTATGCGTCATGTGAACTGACACATATTGACAAAGCATGTCGTAGGCCAATCGTCTAATCATCCCAGTCGCCTGGCCTGCATATAAACAGCTAACTACTATGCTTGATCGTCATATCTCGGCACCATGGGTTTCTTCTCAAAGTCATTCGACCCAGTCACTGACCTCCCAGACTTGTCTGGTAAAGTCATACTTATTACAGGCGGAAAGTGAGTAGAATGTCATTCATGATCTGAATTTTATTCATACAGTTGCTTTGTAGTGCAGGTATCGGCTACTCGACTGTGAAGCACCTGGCACGTCGTGGTGCCAAGGTGTACATGGCCGCACGCAACCGAAGCAAGGCAGAGGAGGCGATCGCGCAACTGAAATCAGAGGGACTGGGTCCTGGGAACGGCGATGTTATCTGGTTGGAACTCGATTTGAAGGACCCTCGAAATGCGAAAAAAGCGGCAGAGGAATTTATGAAGCAGGAGAAGAGATTGGACGTTCTCAGTCAGTATATGTTTCTGTTCGTTCATGATTTTGGCATGCTGATTGAATTACAGTTCACAATGCTGCGGTGTAAGCTGTTCCGCTCGCGTGGGCGTGATTGATACTGAATGCCCTATAGGTTTGTTGAGAATTACGCCATGACGCCGTATGGTAAGCCTTAGTCTCGCTCCGTAAAGTTCTGCACTTACACATCATCCCAGGAGTTCAGGAGATAGTGATGGTCAAGTACGTCTTCTGGCAAGAAATAAATATGTACGAAGTACTCACCTATATTCATTCCAGCGTCATCAGTCATGTCGTCCTCACACGCACCCTCCAACCGCTGCTGGACCAGACAGCAGCTGAACCAAATTCAGACGTCCGCATAATCGTCGTATGTGAATCTACTTCACCCGTGGATCCCGAAAACTCACAGTTCCCTACTACCATCCAGGTCGCTTCAGACGGCCACCGGTTTGTATCAGGGAAACCTCGTTTCCGTAACCTTGATGATCTTAACAATGAACTCAAAAGTTCGTTTGCCCCCAGCTTCGCGCGCTATTGTACGTCGGTCGTCCATTGGTATCTTCTGCCAGTCTCACGAAATCTCTTCACTAGGCATGTCAAAACTCATGAATATACTCTACGCTTCTGAACTTCAGCGACACCTCACCGCTGTTGGCTCTCCCATCACCGTTATCGCCGTTCACCCTGGAGCAGTCGACACCTTCTCTCATAGATCCAACTTCAAGTTCATCGTCAAGCCTCTCGTGTCCCTCTTCTTTGTACGTCAAGACCAGGGTGCATATACCTCGGCGTTTGCGGCTGCGTCGGAAGAAGTTGCCAAGCAGCGCGAGAAGTACAAGGGCATGTATTTAACGCCAGTAGGCAAGCTAACAGAGCCGACGGAGGTGGCGAGGGATGAGGGGCTTGCAAGGGAGCTTTGGGATACTGTGGATAGGTTTTTGGAGGAGAAGGGGATTTGATGGAAGCTTTGTTTGATTGATGAGCTGAGATCGATGCACGACGAACAGCCGTACCTCCAAGAGGTGTCGAACGGACAAGGACGTTGATCTCGCCTCTGAATTATGATGGGACGATGATCCCTGTTGATACGTTGTCATGTACACTTGCATGACACTGGTGCCCATCCAGCCTGCGCGCTTTTCCTCTCATTTTGTTTAGTACAAATGCAATGCTACGTATATAATTAACTGTACACTACATATTGTAATCAACAAAGTATCTCTGTCATCTCCGCAAATCAATTTACCGGGACGAGCCAATGGTAATGAAGAGCTATAAGGATCAAATTGATTAACTGCGAGGAACAAACAACATTGGAGACTCAGTCCTTGCGGCCTTTTCAACTCATTCTCGTAGATAGGGATCTTCGGAGTTGGGGAGATATGATGATTTCAAATCGCAGATGTTGAACGAAAGAAGTGATGCGAAAGCAAGGTCTCGTTGTACCTTCGGCACGTCGACGAAGAACCCTCCGCTATGTGATTGGTCTGTCAGGAAATCGCGGAAGGATGCGTGAACGGGTCGGATTGGGGTAGATGGGGCAGTGGCACCGCCGAAGAGGGATCCCATGCGTTCTACCATGACCTCCACTTTGTAACGCTCGCTTTCATCTGGAAGATAGCTTAGCATGGCATTCAGGGAATTCAAAGGGAAAGGTTCGGCTGTGCCGAGAATTTGTCCTATCACGGAGCAAAACATCGCTAAGTGTGTTTGCTGAAACTTGGAGCTTTTGTGTCTATCCTTTGGCATAATCTGCGTTAGAATTAAGTGATACATATCGTACAACAGGCGCTCCCGTTCGACAGGATCGCGGGACATTATGACATTGAACGACTGATCGGAAGATAAGCCAGGAGGTGTTTCGATGGATTCGTGAGCAAGACGTGCCCACTCGAAAAGACCATCAGCTTTCTTAGCGAGGGCTGTGAACTCTTTGCTCCCAGAATATGGAAGCACTTCCAGCGTCTTTGACACGTAAGCGCAGATATCGTGTTCCGCGACTTCTGGCGGAATTCCATTCAGGCGAATCCTTCGAATATGTTGAGCGCTCGCAAACGAATTTTGAATGTCGCAAAGCGGGCGAGAGATAACGATAAACCGGAAGTTCTTTGGGAGCTCTGTGATTCGGGTAACAGCAGGGTTCTGGAATTTACCAGAAAAAATGCGTAAAAGGTCACTGCGTGTTTCCATTGCCTCGCCACTTTCGTCCAGTGCGTCGATAACGATAACGACAGGCCCCATGGGTGACTCAGAAAGCTTCCTTAGTGGTCCCACAAGAAACTTCTGCCACTGCTGTACGACATTTGCTGTAGTCTTGAGCGCAGTTTCGTTCTTGACTGCATCTGCTAACACTCGTCTCATCTCCGGATGACGATCAGCCAGGTCACGCGCGATTGTGGTGAAGACCTTTTGATAGCGATCGTTTGTGTTTCGGTCGAAGTAGTAACAAGAACCAAGTGGGCCCACCCTGATGAACGAGCCAGCGATCGTGTGAGCAATGGCTGATTTACCCGTCCCTGCAGGGCCGGATAACCATAGCACGCGTGGAACATCATTTCTGCCGTCGTTGATCCATCCCACGATATTGGAGAGAATGTCCGTGCGCGTCCGTCCCTAACAGGCGTCGCTTCCTAGTATCTAGTCCTGCAGCCTCCGCATAAGGCATAGCATCGAATTCCAGTATTTCACCTGTAGAAGTGTGAATGGATGTCGAGTCAGAAGCACGTCCGAATCCTTGTACGGTGAATGTAGATGGTTATGTCGCGAGCAACTTGGCCACGGAAATTTTGCATGAGTGCATCCAACACTCCGTTACACTGTTGTACCGTATCGTTTGTTTCCGAGATGATGTTCTTTCTGAGCTCTCCCCTATGATACGATTGAAAATCTGCGAAGTGTAACGACTCATTAGAGACTCACAACAAAATTTCTGCTCCGAATAATCCCTGCTGAAGTTGGCGTATTCTAGGGTCTGCTGAGATATCTGTCCGAAGATAATCCCCATCGACGAAATCTTGAGAAGTGTGTCGTCTTGCGTCATAAAGCCATACGCTTAACCCAACTTCTTGTAGAGGTCGAGTATCGCTTCGTTGCGTTCTGCTTGAGCAATAATTAACTGCATGCAGAACAACTGAGCAGGAAGTACGAATAATGGCGAAAAAAAGTACTTTTGATGCGTAAGATAGCACGTACAATGCCAGCTTTGCATACAATGTACCTGCAGAACGGTCTTAGTCTAGTTCTAAAGTGGAAAAGAGAGATCATACCTCTGCGATCGTCCCGATCACAGCGTCGAATATCCTGAGTTGAATATGAGTAGCCTCTACACTGTCTATATCATCGAGCGCTGCTGGTCCATTTTTGCCTGCGGACAATACGGGTCTCGCGCGTCCCCAAAGTCATCTGATCTGCACCATGACCGGCATCCCAAAGTGCGTTGTTGACAGATTGGGGATCGGCGCCTTGTTTCACAACAGCAGAAGTATCCTGAATCCGTGCGGTCAGCAGAAGTTAGACAGAGAGAGCGGAAATCGGAATGTCACCTGTGTGGATCGTTGAACTTCGTTTGTGTAAGATTATCCCTGGGATCCTAGTACACTCAGTATTGATTTCGAGTCTCGACTTACCGAAATCCTTTTGATTGCATCATTCCTAACCTTCCCCAGAAAACGACAGATTTTGCCACGGGGTCGGTCCTAAGGATGGATGATTGACATTGCGTTTCAGCCATCTGTCGATCTGGCCCTCGAGGCAATGTTTGCTGCTGTGTTGACTTCAGGCGCTAATTCTCCCCAGATGATGGCCCGGGACTGATAGACTACAGTCTCCCTTTCAGGTTAAACTTTTATAAGGAAAACAGCCATCCTTTTTTCAATTGCAAGCCGACGGACAGAATAATTTCCGACATCCTCGGAGTTGCCTCGGAGTTTAGCTTGCTGTAGCACTTGCGCGTACAACTGTGACACACGGTCACCGGTATTGACAAAGCATGTCGTCGGCCAATGATCTAATCATCCCTGGCAACCGCCCCGTATATAAACAACTAACTGTACTCGACATTTACCTTCTGTTGTTTCTCCCCCTTTCTTGTTACATTTATTTATCTCATCACTATGGGTTTCTTCTCAAAATCATTCGACCCAGTCACTGACCTCCCAGACTTGTCTGGTAAAGTCATACTTATCACAGGTGGCAAGTGAGTACAATCTCTCTCATGATCCAAATTTGTTTCACATAGCTGCTTTGTAGCGCAGGTATCGGCTACTCGACTGTGAAGCACCTGGCACGTCGTGGTGCCAAGGTGTACATGGCCGCACGCAACCGAAGCAAGGCAGAGGAGGCGATCGCGCAACTGAAAGCAGAGGGACTGGGTCCTGGGAACGGCGATGTTATCTGGTTGGAACTCGATTTGAAGGACCCTCGAAATGCGAAGAAAGCGGCAGAGGAATTTATGAAGCAGGAGAAGAGATTGGATGTTCTCAGTCAGTATATGTTTTTGTTCGTTCACGATTTTGGCATGCTGAATGAATCACAGTTCACAATGCTGCGGTGTAAGCTGTTCCGCTTGCATGGGCGTGATCGATACTGAATGCCCTATAGGATGATTGAAAGTTATGCCATGACACCGGATGGTAAGTTTTGGTCTCGTTCCGTAGAGATTTGCACTTACACAACATCCTAGGAGTTCAGGAGATAGTGATGGTCAAGTGCGTCTTCTGGCTAAAAAACATGTACCAAGCACTCAGCTATTCATTCCAGCGTCATCAGTCATGTCGTCCTTACACGCACCCTTCAACCGCTGCTGGACCAGACAGCAGCTGAACCAAATTCAGACGTCCGCATAGTCGTCGTATGTGAATCTACTTCACCCCATACATCCCGAAACTTACAGTTCCATACCACCATCCAGGTCGCTTCAGACGCCCACCGGTTTGTATCAGGGGAAACTCGTTTCCGCAACCTTGATGATTTTAACAACGAGTTCAAGAGTTCGCTTTCACCCAGCTTCGCGCGTTATTGTACGTCGGTCGTCCATCGGTATCTTTTATCTCATGAAATCCCTTCACTAGGCATGTCGAAACTCATGAATATGCTCTATGCTTTTGAACTTCAACGACGCTTCACCGCTGTTGGCTCTCCCATCACCGTTATCGCCATTCACCCTGGAGCAGTCAACACCTTCACCCATAAACCACCCCTATCTCACGTCCAGTTCATCGTCAAGCCTATCGTGTCCCTCTTCTTTTTACAACCAGACCAGGGTGCGTACAACTCGGCGTTTGCAGCTGCGTCGGAAGAAGTCGCCAAGCAGCGCGAGAAGTACAAGGGCGTGTATTTGACACCAGTGGGTAAGATAGTAGAGCCAACGAAGGTGGCAACGGATGAGGGGCTTGCCAAGGAGCTTTGGGATACTGTGGATAAGTTTTTGGAGGAGAAGGGGATTTGATGGAAGATTTGTTTTATCGATGAGCTGATATTGATGCACAACGAACAGCCGTACCTCCAGGTGTTGAATGGACAAGGACATTAATCTCAGCACTAAATTATGATGGAACAATTATTCCTGTTGATGCATGGTACCGGTGCCCATCCAGCCTGCGCGCTTTTCCTTTTCATTTTCAGTACATCTTTGCATCGTGTTTTACATCTTACTGTATGTCGTTTCTTCATAATCGATTTGTCGGCTCTTCGTTTGTTGCAATGTTGCAGCAACAACTTATGTACTTCATAGTCTGAATCATGAAAAATCAAGTGGTCGATCTCTAGAAATCGCGGATCAAGAGCGCTCGAGCGGGAGTAGCCAGAACCTGTTTGAAAACTAGCATATGGTGATATGTAGAAAAGCCGGGCTGCTAAGCTGCGTAAGACAGCAAGATGTCTTCAGATCGCACGAATGACGATATGATATATCTCTATGTAGTGGAACAGAGCGTGTTCCCGCTACCTTTCTTCCCTGTGCATAAATTATGATAAAAAATTCAAACGATGTGATGGGCAGAACTGGTGGAATACCATATTCTGTCGGTGTGGCAGGTGGCAGAATTAACGAAAAGAATTACGCCACATTGATGTTCTACTATCTGTTGAGTACATCTTGAGTTCTGTCGCATTCTGCCCGGATGGGAGACAGCACTACTGCAGCAGCGTTCCCCAAGGTCTGCTATAATTAGCCTGCACAACCGTGAAATAGACTTACCTACGTTGTCCAGCGCAGATAAGAAGCGTTCTAAACATACTGCTAGCAGTCCGCACGTTCTCGAGGCTAAACATGGGGTTGCAACATGTCACAGGCTTGTCCAGCTGACTCGGAATTCTGCATCCTGAATGAAGAAGTTCAGTAACCAAGAAAACACCGCTCACAATAGTGCTGATAAGGTCAGCAGGTGGATCTCGCGACGGGCCACATCGGAGAGGGCATGCGCAATTCTGCATCACAGGTGACAAAATTGCACTCGAAAAAATGCGAGGATGCTGATATGGTTGTATTAAGTTGATTGTTAGTCCGTCACCGAACACAGGCGATGATCTCACTGCGGCCAGGGGATCTGCTCTGGCGAGACGTGATAGCATAGTGAAACGTCCAGTTCTGTTAGTACTATATTTGTCAAGCTGATTTTTGGGACATAGTAGCCTTGCTGGCCTTCCGAATCATGGGATTGATAGTTGCCTAGATAGTCTCTAGTCAGATGATTTGCAAGTCACCTACGAAAAAATATCTGCCGCTAGAACCATTACGCTCTCTTGACCATTATCATCGCCACCGGCCATTCAATGTCTACTTCATCATGTCCTTCCACGGCTCTCCCATCCTCCCGTTCGGCACCCTCCTTAAGATCTTTCCAGAACCGCATTGCAACATCTCCACGCGGGTTCTCCGCATCCGTGGGGTTGTGCTGACGGAACGTATGCAACGAGCTCCATGTATTGAGATAAGATAGCAGGTCATCCCACGTCATCTTCTTGTGCAGGATCACGGAGTGTGGGGAAGGGAGAGATGGGTAGTGGTCACCTGCTATGCATTAGTACAGTGTCACGCATCGATATGTTCAAGACAGACCTGTGAAGAAGACTCTCTCAAAGTCAGTGAACGCACCAGGTACAACTTCGTTGCCATCTGGCACCTCAACCAGGTGGTGTTCTAAAATCGAACGGCCGGGTTGCTGCCAGTATGGGGCAACGCTGTTCAATGGGTCGATCCCTTGGCTATAAGCGTTGATGTTCTGTGTGAGTGACGGATAGCGGGTGAAGCGGAACTCGGAATAAATCTAGGTCAAATAAATGTTAGGAATGGCTGGACAAGTAATGGCTCGGAGATGGGAATACAGACCCAGAATGCAGCACTCCCGTTCTTCCTCAGCACCCTTGCGAGCTCAGGCCACATTTTGTTCCAATCGAACCAATGGCATGCCTGGGCTACAATCACACAGTCATCAAAAAAAATTCCTTTCTCCTTCTAACATGTAACACGCACCAGCAATGACTAGATCCACACTGTTATCCTCCAAGAATGTTAGACTCTCTGCGCTCGCCTGGATGTACTCATATTGGCCAGTGCTCTCTGGCGTATTCTTGAGGGTACCTTGAGCAACTTCGATCATCTTGGAGCTTGGGTCGACGCCAGTAACGCGCTTGAAGGGTGTGAGCTCGACTGTTGCTTGACCTGGAATCCCGAATGATCAACATTAGGTCGAGAGTCCAAGCCCTCCAAATTGAGCATAGTTAGAACTGACCCGTCCCACAACCAAGGTCCACTGCTCTATCCCATCTTGCACCCTCGTTGCGCTCGTGGTACCGGAATATGAAGTCAAACAGGGACCTAGGGTAGGTAGGCCTGGAAGTCGCATAGATGGCGGTGTCGAAAGAGGAATTAGCAAAAGTCGCCATCGTAGAGGCAGCGAGTGTCTACGCAACAGACGATAGCGCTTGAGGACCATTCATGAGGACATACAGGGAATATAAATACTCGAAGAGCGTGTCAGATGGTCTTGAGATGACAGTCGATGTAAATATGATCGTCGGTGCTATCGGAAGTACTTCGTTCACTTGGGGATCCGAGCAAGAGGTATCCGCTCGGGGAAAAGTTATTAGAGAGCTCAGTATGAAAATTCCCAACGCCCAGAATAAGTGGTCCAAGTTGTACCATCGTACTTCGGCCGGGAGCACTGGCAACAGGCTGAGTGGTGAAATTTGAAATTCCCTCCCAACCGCATTCGGAATTTGATTTTCGTACCTCTTACTACGACCTGTATCGCATCAATCATTTTTCCCTTGGTGACTTTGAAACGTGCCATGGTAGCGTTCAGCGAATCCAAGAAGTGGATCCACTGTCGACTCTTACCGTTCTCGCGTTGGCCCCGTGTTGATTGGGCTAGATCTACAAAGTCTGCTCAGTGATATATTGACGGAGGCCCATCTGGCCGCTGGTCCAAGTCGGTCACCTACAAGCAGCGACTGCACCAGTACCCGTTTGCACTCTACCGAATGTCGCCAATCCACACACCGAAGCCGGACCAGTGATCACACCTGCCATGCGAGACCTACCATGCCTGTCAACATCGAAAGTGGAAAATTCATCCAAACGGTCTTCAGCGACACCACCGTCTGGCCTGACCCGATGGTCTACATCTGAACGTCTTTTTGGGGTCGCAGACAAAGATGTGGAATACCCCCATCCTCTATGACGTATGGAAGAATGGACTCGATAAGAACCGCGCAGAGCAGGCGTAATACACTTGATGGTGCATCCCTTCTCATCTTCACAATTGCTCGTATCCAGCCGCTATTGCCTACTTTTCCCATCATACTTCAGCTTATTCAGGAGTTACTTTTATGGTGTCTCTAGCGTGCCTACGCTTCACGATGCTGTCAACGACTCGATCGATATGCCCGCGTCATTTCCTGTCATCTTGGTTTTCTGTCTGATACCTTTCCCTCTGTCGAGACAATGATACAATGTCATGATCGCCTCCTGTATGATTTGTCTGTTTTTAAATTCACTGCGGTTTCCCGGACTTTCATGCACATGACTTACTCCCCCAAGGCGGCGTGCTGTCCCTGCGAGCATCGACAATGCTGTCATGCTGTCTGCTCTAGCATTGAAGTATTCGAGCCCGTTCTCGATTTCTCATGATTGAAATAAGAATGAACAGCCATCATTTGACGAACGCAAGCCCAAGTCTACATAATACAAAACAGAACGAAAAATGGGTGTTGAAACCCAATACAGTCTGCAGCGCTCAGCAGTTGAAGCTGGTAGTGCTGAGTATAGCATTGGAGAGTGTATTAGAAACGTCACGGTCCGCACCGTTCAACAGTTGAATCTGGCGTGCTTGGTATCGTACACAAGACGAGCGCATAGCATGCGAAAAACGCATCGAAAAATGAGAAACTTGGCTCGAAGTCATCTACTTCTGTTTTGTCAAGTCCTTTGCTGCCGGCTGTTGGTAAACTGCGACTTCACAATGAGGCGAGGAACATACACATGCGATTTTCAAGGGTGAGCTCAAGAATCTTCTTCCCCAGTTCCTCTCCCTCGTAGCCTTGACGAGAAATCTCTGTCGCCCCTTTTTCCACTGCGACAGTCATCGGAGATTTCAGGTAGTAGTCCACGGCAGACTCGATGCACTGCCAATTCTTCCGGCGGTCCTTCCGAATCGGGAGAAAGGCAGAGTACTCGAGGGCGATGATAGTAGCTGCTTCTTAGAACTACAGGTCATACAGCGTTGTTCATATCTATGATGGTGACTGATATCAGCTTTGACATGGGACGAGTCAATCTGAACCACTTACTAGTATACTCTCCAAGTGTACATAGGACTTGGGACGTGCATGTTTTTTCAGAGTTGCACAACCGATCCAAGACCCTCTTCGAACGTTCTTCTCCAGATGCCACTTGAGTTGCATCTTGATGTCTCCATACGCAACTGGACGCAGAGCTTCGAATTTGGTGAATACCACAACTACAGGAACTGAAGATTGATCATTAAGTCCGAGCATGGCAAATGACAACAAAGTTGCAAGCTCACTGTGCCTGGTGTCGCATTCCAAGAACTTCTCTTCCGACCGCTGGAATGTTCGACAATGTTCGTCCATCGGAATACAATACCTAATGGCAATCACAATGTGCGCAACATAGGAAGGGGGCTACTTACCAGATAGCATGAATTCGTTCCTCCAATTTCGTCGCATGTAGTATGGGTTCTGAGCTAAATTTCTTCATGTTCTCAAATTCTTCTTCAGAGCCCGCTTCGAAACCGGGATTGCTTCTGAACACCATTTCGTTTTCGATGTCGTGATTTCCATGCTGAGCGTCTATCAGCGCATGTATCCCCTCAGGGCAAATGGTGCACATACCTTGATCGAGGATTCCACGACGGCAGCATCGATCTACCAACAATTGATAAACAATATCCTGTGCATGATATAGATCCTCACTCGCACCTTGTTTCCTTTGTTGTCGTAAATTCCTGGGTACTCCATGGTGTTGCAGACCTTCTGAAGGATGGTTGTTTTGCCTGCGTTTGCTCTCCCTAAGATCAGAACTCGAAAGCGCACAAATCTTTCTCTGAGGTCCTGGGAATCGATGATTGCCACTGGGAGATCTTGATGTGCGTCCTGAATTTGGTTTATCGGATATGCACTGTCGTACAGAACGGGATTGTGGTGAGATATGACAGCGAACGAACCAAAGCAAGCGTTCCCGTGGCTTATGACAAAACAGCTACACACAACGTCCATCTCTTGTCTATCTGCCTGCGTTAGGCAACTGATGATACCCTCGCGCAGACACGAAGTTGCAACTGTTCAATCGTTCATACGATAAAGCATAAGGATTACACAATAAACGACGCCGAATAATGAGAACGTTGATAAATATATACACTATAATGAACAATCAGAATATAGCGGAAATGATAGAATATCCCTCTTCCCTACCCGTCTGGCTGAAAAGTAGTGATATCGGAAACCTCTGTAGATGGTGGTGAGCTGTATCCTCCAAGATCTGCCAGACGATTGATCCTTGAGATGTACGAGGGCAAACAAGAGCCAAGAGCAAGTTAGGGTCCGGAATGGGTCACATCCCGTGGTGCTTGATAGGGTCTGCACGTTTGGAGTCCCCCTGGAAGATGATGGTCCGGGTATGAACTGAGGGGTGATGGAGCAGCAGGTTTCGGACATGCTGGCTGAACTCAAATGTCGACCTCAGTCGTTGGTACTAAGAGAAAGGCCAATGCAGCGGGCCGCGGGAGCTTGTGTATAGCTTGGGGCAGGCTTGGTACGCATCCCCAGACGAGTCTGACTGTCCAACATACTGTATAAATTGACGTATATATTGTCAAGTGTCGGGGAAGACGTACCGGCCAACATACACTTAGATTCGGAGGGCTGGCATGCGGCTTACTGTCCGCCCCAAGAATCCTTGAATACTGACTCCTGAAAAGAGTGGACAAAGCTTCTTGTTACTTCGAGAGTTGCATATAGTAGCATCCGGTCCTGTGCACCTTCGATTGTTCCCGCCCTGGTGCCTCATTGATATTGCTCAAGTTGGCTCATTCTCGGTTCATAACGAGCTCCCTGTTGTCTTTCGACAGTATCGAGATCGTGATGTAAGTGATGAAGTACATGACCCTGCGCCTGGAATGCACGAAATAGTATGCTTTTGCAAGAATACAGTGAGTATGAAAACTCGCGGCACAAGCCAAGACTCACTAATTTGAAAGATATTCGTGACTGCATGCCTTGGATCCAGCCATTTCGAAAAAAAAAAGTCGACGGAATTGCGGGATGTAGTGCTGAATGCATGATATGGGCGAGATTATCTCTGCTACTTCCTGCCGGTGCGGTGAAAATCCTCCGGGTGGCCTAGTATGCGGCTATGCATATTCGTGGAACCGGACGAACTTGAAGAAACTGTTGTATTCGTAGGGTGTTGTTATAGCCCTTCGAGTCTGCGAGCAGTAGACAGTAACTTTGCTGCAGCGTAGAAACTGCGTGCTGAATTGAAATGGAGAAAGGCGTCTGTGCCATGGGTCGGAGTCGGGACCTTCTATTTTGGTCGTAAGTTGTAACGTGAAGTTTTATTTATAAAAGAAAATGTCAAACTGAACAGTAAACAAGTTACAAGGGATGTCGCTGCCGACGAAGTTCAACGTTCCACGTTCAGCCCTTGTCCTCTAGCATTATGTCCAGCTGAATTCTGCGGATCTCCCTGCAGCCAGGGGAATTATTCTGATAAGACTTTGCAGTAAGAACATAGTGAAACGTCCAAGCCCATGTGTTTTTTTAGTATTGAACTGATCTTGGAGACATAACAACCTCGCTAGTCATCCGAATCGTGGTATTGCCAGTACTTCACCTACACAAGCTAGTAGCCTCTAGTCTGATAATTTACAAGCCGCCAACAAAGGGACACATACGGTCCGCCCTCTAGCGCTATCACGCTCTCGTAGCCATTACCACCGCCATCGGCCATTCAATGTCTACTTCATCATGTCCTTCCACGGTTCTCCCATCCTCCCGCTCGGCACCTTCCTTAAGATCTTTCCAGAACCGCACCGCAACATCTCCACGCGGGTTCTCCCCATCAGTGGGGTTGTGCTGACGGAACGTGTGCAATGCACTCCACGTATAAAGATACGATAGCAGGTCATCCCATGTCATCTTCTTGCGCATGATCACGGAGCGTGGGGAAGGGAGAGATGGGTAGTAGTTGCCTGCGGTGCATTAGTGAAGCTGAAGTGTCGCGTAACGATATAAGACAGACCCGTGAAGAAAACTCTCTCGAAATCGCTAAACGCACCAGGTACAACTTCATTGGAATCTGGCACTTCAATCAAGTGGCTATCTAAAATCGAACGGCCGGGTTGCTCCCAGTATGAGCCAATGCTGTTCAGTGGGTCAGTGCCCTCGACATAAGCGTTAATTCTCGGTGTGAGTGACGGATAGCGGGTGAGGCGCAATTGTGAGTAACCCTAAGTCAAGTAAATGATAAGAGCCTGAGTGACAGGACATGTAATAGCTCGAAGACGGGGACACGTACCCAGAATGCAACACTTCCATTCTTCCTCAGCACTCTTGCGACCTCAGGCCATATTTTTTTCCAATCGAACCAATGGCATGCCTGGGCTACAATCACACAGTCATCGTGAACAAATAGTAGTTTCTCCTTCTAACATGTAACACGTACCGGAAATGACTAGATCCACGCTGCTATCCTCCAAGAATGTTAGATTCTCTGCGCTCGCCTGTATGTACTCGTATTGACCAGTGCTCGTTGGCGTATTTTTGAGGGTACCTTGAGCAACTTCGATCATCTTAGAACTCGGGTCGACGCCAGTGACGCGCTTGAAGGGTGTGAGCTCGACTGTTGCTTGACCTAAAATCCCGAGTGATCAACATTAGGTCAAGTGTCCAACCCTCCAAATTGAGTACAGCTAGAACTGACCCGTCCCACAACCAAGGTCCACCGCTCTATTCCATCTTGCACCATTGTTGCGCTCGTGGTACCGGAATATGAAGTCAAAGAGGGACCTAGGGTAGGTCGGCCTGAAAGTCGCATAGATGGCACTGTCAAAGGAGGATTTGGCAAAAGTTGCCATTGCAGAAGTAACAGATGTCCACGTAGTCGACGGTGGCACTTAAGGACTGTTCACAAGGATGCACGGGGAATATAAATACTCCAATGAGCGTCTAATTGGTATTGAGATGATGGCCGATGACATGAGGTCGTCGGTACTATCGGAAGTACTCATGTACGTATCGGGCACCCTTGAGATAGAACTTCCAAGGAGCGACTATCAAGGAGCTGAGGTCTGGAGACCTCGTCGGGCAGTCGGGCCTTAGGATTTTGCCGCATCGTCCATAGAGGTCTTGGGTTACCGGTGTAGAATTATTGATTACCGTGACAGCACTCAAGTTGAGAAAGTAACGTCACGACTCACTAGTACTGGCACATCGGGGTGAACAATATTTAAAAGAGGTTTATATGTTGTACAAAATGTGAAGACAATATTTAATATTTAAACTAACATAAAGATGGGTGCATGACTTCAAATTTTGGTGGTGTTTTGTGTGTAATCCAAAATATCAAATATTCACAACCATATTCCCACAGACAATATGTCAACAAACATAAGAAATATAGTCAGATTTTTCATGTCTGCTTCAACTTAAAGTTCAATTTCCATGTAAAACTTTGGAGAAAACTTGAAGTTTTACAGATGACATGACATTAAAACTCGATTTAAATGTCAAGCTTTGGCAAAACTTCAAGTTTTCTCCAAAGTTTTATGTAAGAATCAAACTTTAAATTGAAGCAGACATGGAAAATCTGATTATATTTATTATATTTGTTGACATATTGTCTGTGGGAATATGGTTGTGAATATTTGATATTTTGGATGACACACAAAACACCACCAAAATTTGAAGTCGTGCACCCATCTTTATGTCAGTTTAAATATTAAATATTGTCTTCACATTTTGTACAACATATAAACCTCTTTTAAATATCGTTCACCCCGATGTGTGGTGAGAGTCGTTACTTTGTTTCACTGCCACCGCTGTAACCTTAGCACTGTTTTCGTAATCCATTCACTCAAGTGACAGTCACCGTGGATATCGATCATGTTCAACTCGTTACTGCTGACTATTGCAAAATTGAAATACTTCACTCGCACTACGCCTTGAAGGTTCGAACACCTGTTCTGATTCATCTGTACTCCGGCGCTGCATGTGCATGAAGACTCTCAGGCTCAGGCTCGTTCACTTCTGCTCTTCTCCGAGTCGAGTCTTTTGTTCGTCTGCACTCTGGCGCTGCAAGCCTGCCAGTGCATGTGGACTCTCATCCTTCCCAACCCGGAGTCTCTCTTTCAAAGTCGTGTGCTCTGGCGTTGCATCTAGACTCTTGTTTATTCGGTATGTGATAAATCCAACCTTCTAGACAGTGCTGACCCATGCGTAGATCCCCAAGGAGAACTCACCCTCAGCTCTGGAGCAAACTTTGGTCGTTGTGACGAAAAATTGTTGATATCAACCACTTCCATATCCAACATATAGTAACTGAAGCGAATGCACCAATACACGCTCTATTCACATTATCTCGACTGCTAGCTGTTCCAGCTTTTACTCTGACAATCCCCGACCTGTTCAGACCTCTTTTGACCGATTTATGCGCCAGATGGCTTCACGATGATGACGATATCGAAGACAGGTTCATCGCGTTTCATCTCATTGAGCTTCATGAGGAGCTATATCCGTGCGCTTTCTTATCGCACTTGTGTCATTCGTCTCACGTCTGGTTGTAGATGCTCATACGCTTTCTTGCAAAAACCATGTCTATCCAAGGGACAACCTGCTTTCATAGCTGCGGCTCCTGCTGTTGCTGAAATTGGATCATTCGTCTGCACCGCATGTTGCTTGCGTATTATCGCCTTCTCCGTGCCAATCGTCTCATTCCCGGCAAGCATCTGCTATGGGACGGGTCGCTATTATCCAAATCACTCTTCCCGCCCCACCCTAATACAGGCGTACGATTACTTGCTGCTCAGTGGCATGCATCGCATGTTAGTATGGCAGAAATTAAGCGCGTCGGTGATAAAGGTGCTGTGATGAATGTTGCAGAGTTCGCAGATGGCTCAAACAAGGAGCCACATTACAGTATACGCACCTTGATGAGAGCCTTGACGTTTGCTGCAGATATTGCAGGGCCGTTCGGGTTGCGACGGGCGCTTTGGGAAGGGATGTTGATGGCATTCACTATGGTGTTAAACGGGGGAAGCGCAGAAACTGTAACTGCCCTTGCATAGAAGCATATCCTTGCCGGTGTCCCCAATTGCTTGCCAGGGAACCGATTTTTCCTCCTGGGTGGTCTATAGAAGAATTCATCAAGTTTGGACCGTTTCATCTTGAGAAGGGACCACTCCCGGAGGATTCCATGGAGGCATATATCACGACGCCATAGGTCGAGAAGAAGCTTGTCGACCTCGCAAGAATCGTCTTGACTTGACGCTTTCCCGTGCTCATTGAGGGGCCCACCTCAGCAGGCAAGACGAGCGCAGTGGAATACCTCGCTCGCAGAACCGGTCACAACTTCATCCGTATCAATAACCATGAGCACACTGACGTGCAGGGATACTTCGGCTCATACATTTCTGACCCTGCCACTGGCAAGCTCGTATTCAAAGATGGCTTGCTTGTCCATGCTCTCCGACATGGACATTGGATTGTACTTGACGAGCTGAACTTGGCACCTACAGACATGTTGGAAGCTCTTAATCGGCTACTAGATGACAACCGGGAGCTCATCGTTCCGGAGACACAAGAGGTCGTCCACACTTCATGCTATTCGCAACGCAGAATCCTCCTGGCCTATATGCAGGGAGGAAGGTTTTGTCCCATGCCTTCCGACATCGTTCACTTCCAGGATGCGCCTCAAGCGGAGCTTGAAACCATTCTCTGCCAGCGTTGCTGTATCGCGCCTTCCTACGGCCAGAAAATCTTCAGCGTGTTCTGTGAATTATAGAAACATCGTCAGTCAAGTCGCGTTTTCGAGAGCAAAGAAGGTTTTGCAACTGTTCGTGATCTCTTTAGATGGGCCGGTCGCGATGCAGGGGGTTATCAAGAGTTGGCAGAGAATGGGTATATGCTACTTGCGGAACATGCACTGTTACTGACTCCTGCTATCACCATCTATTGTCTTTCATTTACGGATGCAATTCACGACAAGCCCAGATCTTAGTAGGGTAAGGTATTTAGTTCCAACGAAGTCGAAGTCGAGGGTGGAAATCAATGAAGCGATTTCTAGGCCATGAAAGCGGTGAACTGGATTTGTCCACTTGTACTCTGTTGGCGACCTGGCCCCATAGGATCGTTACTTGGCTTCAACGGGCCTTGATTCTATCATCTTGGTCTAGTGTTAGTGAGTTATATTTGCGCTCATGCCTGTACCCTTCGCAATTTTCGTTCACTTTTCAATAATTGGTGCTTCCAAACGTCTTTGAACATTTTTTCCACCTTCAGTGGTTTAGTGCGAGTAATACTTACACTTCTTCTAGAAATATCAAAGATGTGGATCAACATCAAGGACGTGCACGACCGAGTCTGTACATTCCTTGCAATGAAAGACTTCTGGTGCCCTCGGTTGCACGACTGTCGAGAAACCCAACTCATGTATACACACATACCTGATCCGACAATCTAGTCCGACAACCTGTACTTCCGTCTTGGTGTCTCTTGGTCAAAAACACGATGAAGTCACCACTCAAGTCGCGCCGTAAGATAGACTGAGATGAAGATTAAGCGTGATATCGGGTGTATACAGTAAGGTAACATCTATTCTAAGGTATATACTTACAAGACCTGCTCTATTGCTGATCATTCTCTGGCGCAAAGGGCCAATCCGAATAACCTGCCGGTGTGAGATTACCGCCCATGTACCATGTTGCTTGGTCACCCCGCTCAAGCGCGATGCCCTTTCGCAGACGGAATGGAAGATCGGGCTAGTAGAGGGGATGTATTAGTCACTGCCTACCTAGTCTAGGAAACAAATAACTCACGTTTGGCATAAACAACCTCCCGAATCCAATGAGGCCGCCTTTCTTGTCTACCGTCTCAATTGCGGTATCCCGGGTATATCCGTTTGTGCTGATGAATGTACTGCCCTCAACCCCTTGCCAGATATCGCGGAGGAAATCGCTGTTTTTCTCAGCAGTGACTTCGGCAGGCATCGGCTCTACGACGTGGATGTATGCGAGTTTGTGTTTGCGCAGCTGCTGAACCACGTAGGAGAATTGGGGTTTGGGGTCTGCCATGCCCATACCTGCACCGCAGATCAACTAAATAAAGATCGCTAGTATTGAATGATGCGACACGTACTGCTGAATGTGCCCCACGGGCTCATTCGGAACCCCGTCCTCTCAGCACCAATGGCTTCAACAATGGCATGCGTTACTTCGAGTGCAAACCTTGCGCGATTCTCGATGCTTCCGCCATATTCATCTGTGCGTTGGTTGCTGACGTCTTGTATGAACTGGTCGATCAAGTAGCCATTTGCGCCATGAATTTCAACGCCATCGAAACCAGCCCGAATGGCATTCTTTGCCGCAGTGCTATACGTGGCAACGTATTCTTTGATTTCATTCGTGGTGAGCGCGCGTGGTACGTCTGTTTTTCCCGAGAGGGGGATGGGTGAGGCACTGACGAGAGGACTATTATCCTCTTTGGCAAGAACGGCTGTTTCTGCCGTACGGCCAAGCGCCCAGAGTTGTAGGAAAATGAAAGAGCCCTTCTCGTGGACTGCTTCTGTCACCTGCAGTCCGGGGCGTGAGTCAGCTCTCATCATTTAAGCAAGATACAACACACCTTTTTCCATCCCTCCACATGGGCATCGGTGTATATCCCGGGAACATTATCATAACCACCAGCCCTCTGAGATATGAACGTGCCCTCTGTGATAAGAAGAGTGCCAGGGGCAGACCCTCTCTGAGAGTAGTATGCTGGTGCTTGTGGGGTTGGGACGTGATTTGCGTGTGCACGTATACGGGTGAGTGGGGCAAGGACGACGCGGTGCTGTAAGTTGATGTTGCCTACGCGGATGGGGGAGAAGAGTGCGGAGATGGAAGAAGCAGACATGTGATCTATTGCAAACTAGGTATGAAAGGCTTTGAATGATATTGATTGAAAGTCTGGGCAATCGACATCGTGTGTTTTATATCCAGGCTGAACGAGTTTAAAATAGATAGATTTGTCAGGCCGGCTGTAGGCCATCAGGAAACCCTGATGGCACCCAGCACCGGCAGGTCGCGCTGCGAAATTAGTTGTGATATGCTCAGCTAGCGCTGGCCAGGCTGACTGACTCTGAGTAACGACATCACCGAGTCGGATTTCAGATTATTCATCATCGATTATAAATATTTCACAGCCACAACGTTAACTGCAGGGCCAGCCTTCACGACGTTGTACATCAACTTCAGTAATGATTGATTAAGTCATTCTCCGAGTCAATGGAATTTGACAAACCAAGGGGTCAAGGTAAGCTTCTAAATGTTGTTGTTCAAGCAATATCGTTTCTAAGATATCGCTGTAAAGTGCTAGATGTAGTGCTCGAGCGCTCAAGCTCAAGAACGGACTTTGCGACACTGGCAACCTCTGGCAACGCATCATTTGCACCTGCCAGTGGATAAAATGGATCCTGACCTTGGCCCTGATGATATGAAACGCATGTCACAAATTTTCATTTACGACAAAGCGGTGAACTGCATCACCATGCAGAACCAAGTCATATCACGCCAAGGGGCATCGTGAAAATGCTGCGCCACTGCTGCGACTGCTGCCGCAACTGCTTAGTTATTTGGCTGTCGGATTATAGGCGTACCTGTCACACTCATTGCATACTCGAATAGCATAGGGCGGCAAGCAGCAGCTGGTACCTCAAACTCCAAACTAGTCGGTGGTGTGTAAACAGTATTGAAAAATTCAGTCTGAGCATGCTCTATTCAGACCAATATCTTGGAAGGTGGTGCGTGACTCTCCAATTGTCAACAGTGAGAGAACCCCGACAGGCTGAAAAAGTTAATGGAGCCATGCGTTGTCTTGCAGCGTGCGCAGTGCCCTCGATCGCGTTGCATCAACGCTCATTATCTTCGTGAAGAAAACAGTTGGGATAGGGAATAGAAGACTCCGTAGTAATTCCAGTTCAGGCTCCACATTATCCAAAGTGAATGAATAACCGGCCGGGTGATCCTGGCCAGCGGCGCCAAAGGACATTGACAGGGACCTATCATTTCTGCGAGCCTTCATCAGCGCGGAAAGCGATGGAGAGAGTGTGTGAAGAGATGTAGAGCTGCGAAAGGGACCGCCCATCTTTCTTGTACTCGCCAGCAGCGTGCAGCAGCAAGAAACTAAAGACAAACGTCGGGCACCACTATATGCGAAATATTGGCGGTGCAATTCTGCTGACTTTTCACCACCGGGCAGACGATGTCGTGCCACAACTCTATCAATGCTTTTTCCAACGCTGGATTACCTGTGCGGTGGAGTTTCTTTTCCAGCTCCTGGAGTTTTTTAAGATCGGTATGGAGTTGGATGCTAGCCGGCGGGTGCTTGTGCGAGATGAATTTAGATTATCGGTGCTTTATATGCTTACTTGTCCTTTTTTTGCCTGAAAACACGAGATTAAGTCCATACATGTGCTATACAATACGACTTACCATGGTGGACATTCTGAACTCTTCGTATTGTTGTTATTATCGTCGCCTAACGACTTACGCTTACAGTTTCTCCCTTTCAAGGGTTCAGTGCTGGAAGCAGATTTCTCTGCTGGAGGATTTGGGGAAGTCTTGCGCGATGACGCCGAAGAAAAGTCTAAATCAGAGTCTGATTCTGATGAGCTTGAAGACTCAACGGTGACAGGCCGACGACGGGCCATAATGATGACTGAGAGATGATTTCAGACTGACGCTGGAAAGTAAGATGTGTACAATCTAGTCCGACAACCTGATATCCGACGTACTTCCGGCTTGGTGCCTCTTGGTCAAAAACACGGTGAACTGTCACCACTTAAGTCGCACCGTAAGATAGACTGAGATAAAGAATCAAAGATTAAGCACAATATTGGGTGCATACAGTAAGGTAACTTCTATTCGGAGGTATATTGCTTACAAGACCATGTCAGAATTTGCTGCTCTATTGCTGATCATTCTCCGGCGCGAAGGGCCAATCCGAATAACCCGCTGGTGTGAGATTGCCGCGCATGTACCATGTTGCTTGGTCACCCCGCTCAAGCGCGATGCCCTTTCGCAGACGGAATGGAAGATCGGGCTAGTAGAGGGGATGTATTAGTCACTGCCTACCTAGTCTAGGAAACAAATAACTCACGTTTGGCATAAACAACCTCCCGAATCCAATGAGGCCGCCTTTCTTGTCTACCGTCTCGATTGCGGTATCCCGGGTATATCCGTTTGTGCTGATGAACGTACTGCCCTCAACCCCTTGCCAAATATCACGGAGGAAATCGCTGTTTTTCTCAGCAGTGACTTCGGCAGGCATCGGCTCTACGACGTGGATGTATGCGAGTTTGTGTTTGCGCAGCTGCTCAACCACGTAGGAGAACTGGGGTTTGGGGTCTGCCATGCCCATACCTGCACCGCAGATCAGCTAAATAAAGATCGCTAGTATTGAATGATGTGACACGTACCGCTTAATATGCCCCAGGGGCTCATTCGGAACCCCGTTCTCTCAGCACCAATGGCCTCCACAACGGCATCCGTTATTGCAAGTGCAAACCTTGCGCGATTCTCGATGCTTCCGCCATATTCATCTGTGCGTTCGTTACTGACGTCTTGCATGAACTGGTCGATCAAGTAGCCATTTGCGCCGTGAATTTCAACGCCATCGAAACCAGCTCGAATGGCATTTTTTGCGGCGGTGGCATACGTGGCAACGTACTCCTTGATTTCATCCGTGGTGAGTGCGCGTGGCACGTCTGTTTTTCCAGGCATGAAGATGGGTGAGGCACTGACGTGGGGACTATTGTCTTCCTTGGCAAGAACGGCTGTGTCTGCGGTACGGCCGAGCGCCCAGAGTTGTAGGAAAATGAAAGAGCCCTTCTCATGGACCGCTTCTGTCACCTGCAGTCCGTGGCGTGAGTCAGCTCTCATCATTGTTAAACAAGATACAACATACCTTTTTCCATCCCTCCACATGGGCATCGGTATATATCCCAGGGACATGATCATAACCACCAGCGTTCTGAGATATGAATGTGCCCTCTGTGATAAGAAGAGTTCCGGGGGTAGACCCTCTCTGAGAGTAGTACGCTGACGCTTGTGGGGTTGGGACGTGATCTGCGTGTGCACGTATACGGGTGAGCGGGGCAAGGACGACGCGGTGCTGCAAGTTGATGTTGCCTACGCGGATCGGGGAGAAGAGTGCGGAGGTCGAAGAATCAGACATGGTGAACTAGGTATGAAATGCTTTGAATGGTATTGATTGGAGATCTTGAGACGGGAATCCACATCGCGTATTTTATAGCCAACCTCGACAGGCTGAACGAGTTTGAAATAGATATATTTGTCAGGCTGGTTGTGGATCATCAGGAGATCCTGGGTGGCACGCAGCACCGACAGGCCTGAGTGCACAGCACTACAAGACATGCTTAGCGAGCGCTGGGCTGACTGATTCTGAGTAACGATGGCAGAAGCTGAAGAACTGATGCCTATCACCCAGTTGGATTTTAGATTATTCATCATCGATTATAAATATTTCACAGCCACGGCCCACAATTGGAGACCTGTTCAAACAATCGGTATACCGGCTGTTGCACATCAACCACAGTGTCAGTAATTATCAATTATGGTCTGTCATTCTCCGAGTCGATGCATGAGTCGGAATTTGACGAACCGAACGGTCAAGGTAAGCCTCCAAACGTTGTTCAAGCGATATCGTTTCTAAGATATCGCTGTAAAGTGCTAGATGCAGTGCTCAAGCCCAAGAATGAACTTTGCAACGCTGGCATCGCATAAGCGCGGTGTAATGTCGCCATTTGCAGCCGCCAGTCGATAAAATGGATTCCGACCTTGGCCCTGATGATATGAAACGCGTGTCACACATTTTTATTTCCGACAAAACGTGGAGGCATCACCATGCAGAACTAAGTCATATCACGCGCAAGCATGAGACGATCCAGTGCCTATCAGATCCCCCCTACATCGCTGTCCTTCTCGACCTCAATGTGGTCATGGACCCCCGAACCTTGATACCACGTATCCTAAGAGGGTCCCAGGCCACCGCGAAACAGACTGATGTCTGCGGATCTATGCTTCTGGGATGAGCTTTACCCCATTTCCATCTTAAATCGACACACTGGCCCTACGACAGGGCTACAAAGGATTCTCTCGATAGAAAGAATCACCATCGCGGACGACTCTCAAAGCCCTCGTCAAATTCGGGAATACTGCTTACTAGGTTGCGCAACTCGAGGTGGGAGGCACAACAAGAGTCGCCACTCGAACTATGACTGTGAAGGGAGGTTATTGAGTATATATTTCAGCTGGTCAGATGTGCGCATCTTGGCAAGAGCTTCAGGAGTGCTCTGAAGATTATCCCGGTATCACAAAAAAAAACGGAATAAAGTCGTTCGAAGTACTTGCGCGCTAGCAGGAAGTACTCTCAGTAAATCCAGAACCTCGAGTGAATTCCATAGATCAAAGAACTGCAGGAGATGATCATACTATGGTCGCCTTGCTAGAACTTGTCTACCCTCTCGTCATCAGCCTACTGAGTTGAAACAGCATACGGGTCTTGTTTCCTGTCTCAAGCTCTTCGATTTCGGCGCTGTATGGTGAGTAATAGTCGTTCACGTTCACCATACCTCACATCCTGATTTGAATATCCGACGTTTCAAGACTTTCACTTGGGATGCCCTTTCTCTTTTGGTGCTTATATGTATCTCTATTCGACCTCTAAAACGTCTCGCCCACCAGTTGAATGCAAGTCTTTCGGCAGTCAAAACCGTTACCTCTCTTGGTCGCGTAATTCCCGCCACTGCTCTGACATCACCCTTTGAACACTTCAAAATTCCTTCACCCAGCCGCCAGTGTTACTAGTGTGGGCCTCAGGTAATACTACTCGCACCTCACTGATAATTGTTTCTTCTGCATGGCGTGAGCGGAAGGTACAATGGCTTTGTATGATCCGACATGACGCCTTCTGCGATCGCATATCCGTTCAAACCCCACACATCATGAACAACGAGCGGATGCAAAGTCAAAAGACTGCCTAGCTATGAAACTAGGAGAACAAGAGCATCTTAAGGTATTTGAGTCACTTCTGATGCTAGATTTGTCCTCTCCTTAATGTATTCATATA